CAGTATTTAGAGGAGTATTTAATACGGCTCTCTAGTAATAAGAATAAGTTCAACTGTTGAAATGGATGGACTGAGTCGGAGCTGCTGTATAGGCATCCTGAGCTGAGTCGGGGCAGGATCAAAATTTAAGTTGACCATGCTCTAGAATGTGCCCAGCAAGTTAGTGTTCTTGTGCCTTCTTACACTTTAGGTTTGATATATGTGAGGGAACTACCCATCTATCCCTCAGCTAGGCTGGTCTTTGCGTGGGGCCTAGAGCAGGACCTTGATTTGACTTCCTATGGACAGAACTGCCGTAGTTCCATTGGAGGAGGTGTCAGCCACAACTTAAAACAGTCGTTGAATTGATCAAAACCATAGCTAGCCCTCTCTTTTTGTTTCCATGCGTGTTACCATCAGGTGGTCATTCATTTTTCGTAGGGTCTCCTTCATGTTGTTGTTTGGATGATCTTCATCTTTAGCTGGTTTTTTGAACACCAACCACACTACGTCTTGCTTTTCAATGACAGATCAAAGTCATCATCTTCTAAACTCTATATAATACCATAATATTTTAAATCCATCTTATGAGATTTAAGGTTGAGAACAGAGAGACGGACCGGAACTAAATAAGTGCCATTAAGTAACAGTTGTGACGTAGACAGTGATGGCTCATCTAGCGTCATAAAATGTCCAGCCTTCTCCTTCTGTTCTATATTTGCGTCTTTTCACGCAGGCACATACACACAAACAGATTGATCCCTGCCTGCATTAGTGTGTGATGTGCGTTGTTCAGTGACTAATAGCCTTGGGGATAGGCATGGATGATCTGGAGAGCAGAGAAAGAAAAAAAACACAAGCATGTATTATTTTCTTATGTGGCTTTACTTAAACGTGCAATAAAAGGAATGTAACGGCCTTCTTAGATGCTTTCTCATTTCGTGAAGTATTTGTGAGATAAGATCAGCATCTAAATTTTGTAGCACAGACGTGATACCAAGTGTTTTATTGATCAGTAAAATGTCATGCCCATTGGTTAAGAAGAATGCTAGAATCTGAAGTTTGACGTTGATAAGATAAGTTTAATGTAATGTAATGTACCATTTTTCTTTGTTGGTTTTGGATATTATTATTTATTTGCACTCATATTTCTTTACCACACGGTAAAATGGCAAAAGGTTCTTGCTGCAACGATTTATCCCCTTTTTAATGGTCTCATTTGACATTCATTACCTTCTGGATCATGCCGGTGTTTTTTAAAAATAAAATTTATGTTTATCAGGCTAGATTGATCTACTGGATCTGCAGTGATTGTTTCATCTTCGGCTGACCCATTGAAACTGGAAATTGCAGTGAGGGAAAACCTACGTGCTTCAAAGAAGGAATTTGCTAAGACAGAAGATGATTTGAAATCTCTGCAAAGTGTAGGGCAGATCATTGGTGAAGTCCTACGTCCACTTGACAATGAACGTTGTAAGAACATTGCTCGTGTTCCTTTCATAGTCATATTTGTCCATTTACAAGGGATACATGCGTAGTATGTTGGAAATTCTTTCTGTGGGCCTGTGATGACAGATTTCTGCCCATCCGTTTGATGCTTCTTAAATTTCAATATTTGTGATGAGTTTTTTTGCTTAATATGATTACGAAGCATAATATGCATTGTCCTTAGGCATGTACAGTTCTGCTCCACTTTTATTTGATTTCAAAGCCTGATATTCTTAATGGCTTTACATCTGAGCCCAAAGTCGGGTAATGATTGTATATCTCCAACTGGTTATACATTTGCTCCTTTGTAGTTTCAATGTCCAAAATATTTCACTCATCATATTTATCATTTTTATTGATTCTCTCCGTTTTTACAATGTACATGTATTGGTAATTATGCTGAACAGTATCATTCATTTTTAGTGTAGATACTCAACGATAAAAATTTTAGAAATAATACCTCAGGCGACAAGTTATCTGTTTCAATATCATGACGATGGATAAGTAACAGAGCGTTTGGTGTCTTTCATTCACTTGTGATATTGAGCCGCTGGTATGTTGTTGATTGTTTTGCTAGTTTGTGGCAGATGGTCGTACGTTTGGGAAGGCTTATGATAGCTATTCGGCTAGTCTGCTTAGTCGAGAGGGAATTGCCCTAGTTGGACACGTGCTCGGTCTCCCAGATGATGAAGTGTCTCACTTCTGCTAGATTCTTTTCGATGCTCAATGTAAAGTAGCAGGAATTTTTAATGTTCTGGGAGACGATAGTAGGGTGATCCATAATCATAGCCATTATTTATTTGTCTCTTAAATGATAGGTAACAACTTAGTGAGTTCGGCTCTCACAGGTTCTCATATTCAGTATCTTCATGAAAACATTATATTAGCATTGGCGGGGTCAGAAATTAGTTATGCTGAAGTAATAGAGAAGCGACTGATCTAAAATTCCAAATCTAAGGGCATGGGCAAAGCGAGGAAGAAAGGTAATAGGAAAATCAAGGTCACCTGATGATCCCTCCTGAATTTCATCATAGCCATGGCTTGACCGGTCTAATCGAGATGGGATTGACAGAGTTAGCTTATTCTCAGGAAAGACTGCTTTGGGTAAAAAGTTCGTCTTTCAACTATAATATGTACGTAGATAAATGTCATTCGTTGTTTTATACGGATATTTTTTTTGGAAGGAAACTAGTGGAGTTGGCTGATCAAGATGGAGTGCAATGATTGCACAATATCAATTTAAGGTGAGATAACTAGAATACAATATTGAGGAACATTCGATACATCTTATTTGCCAAACTTACTCGCAGCCGCACCCTGGTGTGCCCCTCTCCATGTTGGCTCCAATAACTCCTACCTGGGGAGGTGGGTGGGTGTCTATCTAGAGTTCAGCAGTCGCATAAGAGTTTTATCCTTCAAATTAACTGCGGTTTAAATGGATTGATGATGCGTCTTCCTGTACCCCATGGAAGTGGATTTGCCTGCCTGTTGGAATTCTGTCCTGTACATTTGAATTGGCCTGTTCTGATAAAGTTTCCACACCATGCGATTAGGTTACAATTTTTTATCTATGAATGCTTAATGTCTCATGATCCAAAGTATCACAAAAATATGGCGTCCATATGTGAAACGGAATGACTGATTCTTTATGTAGTACAGATTTTTCCTCTTGAACTATATGCTAGTTTTTGTCCAGATTTTGGATATCCTTTTAGAGGTGTTGGATGGTTGAATACTAATCACAGACATGTAGTTGAACAATAGAAACACTACACCTTCATATATTTTATATAACATGGTCTTCGGTCTTCTGCATGGTTTTACCTTGGCTTATATTTTTTCTTCTTTAAACGTCATTTTTTCACGGGGGTTTACCCACCTGATCAATCATTTGATTTCCAGTGATAGTTAAGGCAAGTAGTGGCCCAAGGTATGTTGTTGGCTGCCGCAGTAAGGTTGATAAAGAGAAGCTAACAGCTGGAACTCGAGTGGTACTTGACATGACGACTCTCACAATAATGCGTGCCCTTCCACGAGAGGTACTGGTTGTCCATCGACATTTAATTCTTTGTTGGAGAGAGCTGACATTTTAACTTGTCGTTAGGATAAATAAATATTTACAGATTTCCAATCTCTGGGCATATGCTATCTGTATTGGACCGCTTCTATTTTCTTGCATAAAGAATCAAACAGATAGATCACTGATCTCTATGATTTTCTCTGAATATCTGTTGGTGACTATTGTGATTAATCTTCTTATTTTAGTCTAGTTCATCAAACTAGAGATTAGACGTTGTGCATCAATCTTCTTATTTATTTTTTCCAGGTTGATCCTGTAGTGTACAATATGCTTCATGAAGACCCAGGTAATGTCAGTTACTCTGCGGTGGGTGGTTTATCCGATCAGATACGAGAACTCAGAGAGGCCATCGAACTGCCACTGATGAATCCTGAACTCTTTGTCAGAGTAGGAATCAAACCCCCAAAGGTATCCATAGCACTTTCCTTCTTTGAATCCTCAGCAAATCCAGATCTATTCTTGTTATTTTAAGCAGGGTCTGACTCGACCTCATTGACTTGTAAAGTTTGATTATCATCTACCCTTTTTATCGTAATGCTTTCAGGGTGTACTTCTTTACGGTCCCCCTGGAACCGGAAAAACACTGCTAGCACGAGCTATAGCTAGCAACATAGACGCTAATTTTCTCAAGGTGATCGTTTACTAATGAATAGTTGAATTTATTTCATTTCCTTCATCATCATCTGCATTTTCTCACTTGCTATTCTCATTTAGGTTGTTTCAAGCGCTATAATAGACAAGTACATTGGAGAAAGTGCCCGCCTAATTAGGGAGATGTTTGGCTACGCTCGTGATCATCAGGTTTGACTTTGGGCTCTCGTTATCTTATCCTATTATCCTTCAGGCTATTATGTATGTGTCCATAACATGCGCTTCTTGGAAGTGTCTTAATATATGTGTCTGGTACAGCCGTGCATTATATTCATGGATGAAATTGATGCCATTGGTGGGCGCCGCTTTAGTGAGGGCACAAGTGCTGATCGTGAGATTCAAAGAACATTAATGGAGCTGCTTAATCAGCTGGATGGATTTGATCAGCTGGGGAAGGTACCAAACTACTCTCGGAATCTACGATAAATTGATTTGCCTGCTCTGATATTTAGCGTGAAACATGCTATTATGAGCCCAATAATAGACCAGAAACAAGGGAAAGCTCTCATCATTGATGGCGTCTAATCTTCTGCCCTTGTCAATGTACCTCATTCGTTTTTTCCCAAAATCCTGCTTTGTTCATCAGGAGAATGTCGGTTTTCTATCATAGCGCAATGGCTGCCACATTAAGCCCTTACATTACCTCTGAGGGCACAAGGGTCTCAATCACATAAATTATATGACGCGCAAGGTCCAGGATTATCTGATTGATGAGGGGATTCATCTACTTATTGATGATCCAGTGGCACTTGAGCATTATTATGCTGTAGAACTCAATTACCTGGCTTTATTCTTTATTTGCAGTTTATAATTGAAATCTAGAACTGGATCCTTCGATTGAAGCGTGGTTCTCCATCAGGGCTTGTACTCTTCTTGAAATCGGTCCACTTGAGCCGCACTTTCCTTCCTCAGTATTGACGCCTTGCATAAATTTCCCCAGGTTAAAATGATTATGGCCACAAATAGGCCGGACGTCCTTGATCCAGCCCTCCTTCGTCCTGGGCGACTGGATAGGAAGATTGAGATCCCACTGCCCAACGAACAATCAAGAATGGAAATCCTTAAGATTCATGCTGCCGGAATTGCGAAACATGGGGAGATAGACTATGAGGCGGTGGTCAAGCTTGCAGAGGTGACCTGATCCCCCACCCTTCTCTCTCTCTCTCTCTCTCTCACTCACTCACTCTCTCTCTGGCCTGATTCTTTCCCTCTCTCCTCAGGGTTTCAATGGAGCCGACCTTCGTAATATCTGTACTGAGGCTGGGATGGCTGCAATACGAGCAGAGCGTGACTACGTGATCCATGAGGACTTCATGAAGGTATTCCCTGATTTATGCCACAAACCACTATAAAATCTAAATTTTATTTGCTTATTCATCTTTCCAAATGGATTCTGCAAGATTAGCGATTCATATTTTCAAGAAATAATGAATAAGGATATGAACCAAGACCAGAAACGTAATAATGGAGAAACACAAGGCCTAATTAGCTTTTTAGTTCATGTGGATAATTTTATGTGGCGATGATTAATCGGAAATCGACAATAAGAGATCCGCAGACTGAACCCATGTCTGAAATTCTGAAGTCGGATGGATGAAGATACTTCCCGAAATGCTGTTCTGCTCATGTGGATTCTGTTCTATTCCAGGCAGTGAGGAAGTTGAACGAGGCGAAGAAGCTGGAGTCGAGCGCCCACTACAACGCTGACTTTGGGAAGGACTAATAGTTGAGATCTTCTCGGGCTTAGCATCACGTTCGTTTTAGAATAGTCAGTTGTCTTGAGCCGATGGGCCCGGGTTATACAGATACAGCATTCTATGTGGGTCATTGCTTTCTCTTTCTAGTTCTCTACCTTATGCCAGCCCGGAAGTTGTTTATTATCATACGTGGCGGGATTTTGATCTCTCTCTCTCTCTCTCTCTCTCTCTCTCTCTCTCTCTCTCTCTCTGCAAGCTATACCATTTAGGTATTTAGAAATATCAATAGTCATATAACTTAGAAATATTAATAGTTATATAACGGCCATGCCCCTCGTGTCACACCCCTCGCTCTCCACCAATTGAAACCGCCGGCACTCCCTTAAGTAGTATGTGGGCGTGGATGTATGCTGGCACGGCATGAGACGCACAGGTCGGCACCATGTTTATGGCAACACGACATGACACAGACTGGCACCATGTACACATAGGTTGGTACCGTGTGCATGGCAGCACGACATGACACACCCAAGTTGGCATTGTGTGCGCGGCAGCACAGTATAACATGCATGGGATTGCAGGTAGGACATGTGAACGTGTGCGAGGTGGTCAACTCTAGTGTGAGGCAGGTCACAACATTGGCACAACGATGACACAATAGTTGTACTGCTCGAGAATGTGAGGTTAATGATTTGGCCTAGTTAACCTTGTTGTCACTTCCTTTCATTAGAGCTTGTGTCGTTAAACTATTATCTTCAGGAAACAACTTAACCACCAAACTTAAGCAGTGGTTATGGGACATGTGTGGGGTATCATGGACAAGTTGTCAGGTTAAGATCATGATATGACGCTGACGTGTAAGGGTAATTTCGGAATTTTCCATAGTGTATTCTCTCCTATAAATAGGAGTCTACTGCCACGTTGGTCATGTAGGACTCTGTGTGGGTGAGAGTTTCCTTTGTTGTAGCAAGTAAGCTTCTTAATTAATATAAGTGTCATCCCTTTGAGTTTCGCTTCAAGGTGATCTTTGGTGAGGAAGGAGGGCTGCTTGGGTGACCGTTGGGTGCACAAGGTTGCATGAATGTTGGGTGGTCAACTCAAGTGTCATCCATTTTGACCTTGTGACAATTGGCATCAGAGCGTGTTGCTTGTATCTTGGTGAAAGAATGGTGAAAGTGCTCTTGGCCAGAGGTTCTTCTAAGAATGAACAACCTCTATGGCCACCATGCAAGAGAATGTGGAGTCTAAATTTCAGGTGTTGGAGGCATATTCGGAGGGCCCCCAAACAATAGTAGGTGTCACCATCACACACCCTACCTCAGCATGGGCTGATGCACTAGATGTAGAGGAGCTGCAGGAGCTTGTTGACAATCGTGTCATAGATATGGCATTGTTAGAAGCAATTTATGGTAATTTTTTTTTAATGAAAAAGTGTTTTTTCCATATCAAAGAAACTTTAGGTGAATCTCTACCATCCCCACAAACTCTCTATCGAACAATAAAAATGAAGGTATTTTTTAGAATTATAATGCAAATGCACAACATGGCAATGGCATGACTCAAAAGAAAGCCCCTAAGCCAAAGTCATTTGCAAGTGCATGCCTGCCTAAGAGTTGAAAATTTTCATGTGCAACTTAGGTCAATATTTCAAGGTAAACCTCACCCTTAAAGTAGAGAGGGTAGTCTTGGCAAGCATGTACCTCAGGTCAGATGCCATACTTGCGTGGAGAACAAAGATGGAGCACTTTGTTGAGTTATGTATTAACTTAATATTATTTATGGCTTTTAAATTTAATCTAAAATCATGAAATTGATGAGATGGAATATAAATTTGATAGGAGATTGATGTCTTGGAGCAGATTAAAGAGTATAGATGATGAATATATATTGAAGATCATTTCAATAGAAGATTTAATGTGCATAAGGATTGAATTAACAATCTTAACTATAGGAAATATTTCATACTATTTAAATTATTGTCGGGGGTAGAAATGTTAAAATATTTAAACATAAATATAATAATAAGTCTGAGGTAAAACTATCATCATCCTACGTTCCAATGTTAATCTTTTTTTATATATCAAATGACTTCTTCATTAATATAAGCAAATGTAATCATTAAAAATATCTCTTGATGAACATTCGAATGTAATAAATTTCATAGGTAGTTAACAAGATGTTGAATTGTTACTAATTTTATATGATTACTGAACTAACATTTTCACTCAAGGACAAAACAGGTCAGATGTTTTACCAATCTAACTAAATTGATTTTTGTTTGAGAAAATATGTCAAAGATAGAGGGGTGCAACTTTTCAATAGAAAGTTGATCCAAATAAAAATCCAAAGTTGAAAATTAGATGTTAAAAAGAGTTTTGATTAAGACAAATCTGAAATGAGATGAATTTCACATAGTAGTGATTGACTTAAAAAGACATTTTTTCTTCTCTATCGCCTCCTCTTAAAGCTTGAAGATCAAATCAATTTAAGAGAGATGAGGATGTCAATTAGAATCTTTTTTTTCATCAGCCCAACACCTCTCAAATCTTCTGACAACTTATGGTGCACCAAATAACACATTGAAGGTGGGACTAATCTTATTATAGATCGATTATTTGTTCTTGTGATGTGTTGTATGTGAACTGATTGAGAAATCAATTGTATGTTAGTAACACAGGCACATAAGTCATTGAAACACATGTGGTGCACATGTAATAGGGAAATAAATGATTAGTAGGGTTAGAATTTTAGGAGAAGTGCTCACAAGCTCACAAAGTTTGGTGATATCTAGGATTCTTGATCCTAACAAATTCAAGTGTATTTTATTATAGAATAGTAAAGTTGAGGTAGATTACTTGAAAGTAGATGTAGGTAAAAATAATGTCTCATATTTTTATATTAATTAATAATATAATTAAAATATTAATATAAATTGTTTTTTAAAGATAAAATTATTATACTTGATTATAAAAAAGTATAAATCAATTCACACCCCTCTTGATTTATTCATTCATCTAAGTGTTAATGCTCATAGTTTTGATGACTACAAAAAAAATATTATGAAATGTTGATGTTTATTTATGTGTACCATTTACATGTTTCAAATACTTAATATATTAAACGAGTTAATCATATTGATCTTGTTTCTTAAATGATTATGATTTTATTAATGAAAACTAAAACAAAGGTGTTGATCCTTCAGAATGAGTGGATTTATATTTTAGGAATATTGATTGATAAATATTTTATCAATTAACATAAAGATCTATAAATGAAAGATTAAGTATATAGTTATATGTCATGTGTTAACACATAACTCATGATGACACATTCATGAAAGTGAAATATTTAATCTTTGATTATATGATGTTCTAATCATATTAGGTCGTTTTTATAATTTCAAAATAATTTAAATATTATGAGTATTAAATCAGTAAAAAAATTAGGAAAATTTTACATATTCAAGTTTTAGAAAAAAATAACTTGACGATGACATGTAAGCTACTTAAATAGGAAAAAAAGAGAAGAAAAACTTCAATCAAGTTAGGAATCTCCCTTTTGAATTTAAATTCAAAAGGCCGTGAAATAATGAGATTCAAAGGTTGGAAAGTCCAAACATTGTTACTATGTCTTTTGGGAAATGATTTTTTTTAAAATAGATATTTAGAAAAATGAAGGTTTGATAAAGAAGACAAAGACTTTGAACATATGAAGGTTGAACATTGATCATTAAGCTTTTGATCAACAATGAATGAGAAAGCTTCATATTCTTCATCAACTCAATCCGACAAATGATCCAACTCATCTACTATAACTATTCTCCTCCATCTTGCTCTAAGATAATTAAGTGATGAGGGGAAAATGTATTGAATGAAGGCACAAAGTGCTAGTAGTCATTTTTAGTTTGAGAGATGATAAGTTTCCATAGAGTTGAACTTATGTAATTTAAGTAGTTGATATCATGAAAATTAATATGTACTGTTAATAAAAATAATTAATACTAGAGGATATTACCTCTAAGACTAAAAGTAACTAGGTGAGAAGCGAACGAACATTTAAAGTTCAGTTTTCTTAGTGAAAGAGTGTTGAGAGGTCTTACCACAATGTATATTGACATGTACATCGACATGTAGATAAGTTTGAGCATAAATCAAACATAAATATGAAGAATATGTAAAACTTAGAGAAACTCTAATTCACCCCTTCTTGGTATCTCTGCTGATTTTATAGTCCCAACGTTAAGAACCAATAGTCTCAGCAATGGTTATGAGCCGTGTGTAGGGTTTACACATTATCTATCTGTCACATCAAGATAATGACTCGGTGCTAAAGTGTAAAGATAATTTGGAGATTTCTCGTAGGCTATTCTCTCTTATAAATGGGAGGTATCCACTGCCACGTGGGGCAGCAAAAGGGCGAAGTCTGAGTGGTAAGAATTTCCCAATAAGCTTAGTTAATTGAAGAGATGTCCCTTGGAGCTTAGCTTTCGGAGGTAGACCAACTTTGAGCCCCTCACACGACGCCCTTTGGGGAGGGCTTTCTCAGCCCAGGCGGCGGAAGAAGGCGAGGACCTGGTCGTAGACGACCGTCTTGGCGCTGACGCCAATGATAAAGTCAACATGGGCGAACTCCGGGACAAACTGGACGGTCAACTTGTCGGCGTCGTGCGAGCGGAGGTCGATCAGCAGGCGCCGGACGTCCTCTACGTCGGAGAGGAAGTCCCGGCCACCGTAGCTGAGGAAGATGGGGAACTCGCCGGATATTGCCGACATGTTGTACGCCGGGGGCCTCTCCTGCCCGTACTGCCGCAAGTTCGCGTCCCTCCCTCCGAAGTCAAACTTCGACGGTACCCCGTCCCGGTAGGCTTCAGGCACCGACAGGAAACACGACGATGAATCCCTCTCTCTCCCTCGATGTTCTTTCACATGGGGGGAGAGTACAGTGGAACTTACTCTGAGCGAAGTGCACCATGTTCCTGGTCGACGTCGGCTGCGGCTCGTAGTTCAGGAAGAGCTCTACCGTTGACTCGTTGAGGCAGCAGTTCTTACCTGCAAGTGTAGAACACTTGAACAGTCAACGCCACCCACATACATATATAGAGACATATAACTATATAAATATACAAATATAATGAAAAGCCTCGTCTGTGCTAAGATCTCAGAGAAAAAATCCGAAAGATAACCACGGGGCCAAACTTCCAAAAATCCCAGACTTAGGCCTAGAATGACATATGAGTTGAGAGATAGAAAGGGAGGGAGAGAGGAAGAGAGAGAGAGAGAGAGAGAGGACTAGTTTACCTGTTAACGAGGTCATGAGGTCGTAGCAGTCGATACTTGGATCTAGGCAAAGTAGCTTCAGGAAGTTGGTTACCGGCAGCCTGAATTCGGGAGGAGAGAGAAACGACAGTTGAGAGAGGGAGTTCGTTGAGTTCACAGCGGATAATATTGATTCAGGTAGAGTGAGATCTGCCGGGAGGCTTGTTTACCCCTTGGGGTCGAACTCTGAAATCCCCAGCCATGCCAGCATCTGGTGCAGAGGAAAATAGGGAGGTTGTCACACGTATCACATACATGTATACATATATGTGTCCGTGTGTGCGTGCGTACGCTAGAGTTAGAGCGGGAGAGTTTGCTAGAAAGGAAGTAAGATGCAGTAGAGACAAAGGGAGAAAGACGTACGGCGAGAGAGAGAGAGAGAGAGAGAGAGAGATGGAAGATAGATGGATCTACGGATAAAGATGAGTAAGGCCAGATGGATAGGTACAGATAAATACACAAAAAGACGTTCAAGGATATCTAGAAAGTAAGTGAGCGAGATACGGAGAGAGATTTGACAGATAGAGAGGTAGACGTAGCTGAAAAAGAGAAAGAGAGACAGATATACATGGAGAAAGCATGTATCACACGCACAGACATTGGTTGAGAGGGGGGTAGATGGATAAACAGAGACATCTAGCGGTGGATAAAGAGAGATGGATTTCTAGATATCTAGAGAGAGTGAGATAGTATAGATAGAAAGAGTGATTTATGTCTCAAATAATGAGCTTATGGACTCCTCATGGCTCTCACCTCTCCGAGAAACGCCCTTGCGGCTACTATCCCCAGGGGGGTCGTCATTCGGCTCAAGTAGGCGACGGGGCTCAGCAAGGCGGCCGACCTCAGTTTGTCCACCAGCCTCCCCTCCGAAAGGGACGCTAACGCCATCAACGTCCCCTGCAACACCCCCAACAGAGAGATAGAGATAGAGATAGAGAGAGAGAGAGAGAGAGAGAGAGAGAGAGAGAGAGAGAGAGAGAGAGAGAGAGAGAGAGAGAGAGAGAGAGAGAGTTAGTCCCTCCCAACACTAAGCTCCTTCATGGAGTGCAATTCTGACCAGACCCACCATGGAGTGGCCAACATAGTCCACCCTCTTCCCCGTCTTCTGGTATACGAAGCCAACGGTCGCCGGGAGCTCGTACAACGCCAGCTCGTCCCAAGACCACCGCCAGTAGGCCTGCCATTTGGCGCATCAGTCAGGAGCAGAAGCTCCCCGAAGACGGCCACCAAAAAAGGAAAGGGATGACGGCTCCGCTGCCGAGGACTGACCGGAGATGACGAGTCGAGGGTGGAGTGGCGGCGGCTCCATCGTGTCCCTCTCGCGTTGGCGATCCACACGTCGTAGCCGGCGTCGGCGAGGACGTAAGCCAGAGACTCCTCCGGCGAGTTCAGCACCCACGTCGTTCCGTCCTGTGCATGCCGACGGATCGCCCTTCACGTACTGAATCTTTCTTTTGTATTAGGAATGTTAATTTTTAATGTATACCATGAGAACCCCGTGTTGGAGGAGCACCGGCTGCCGGGGTCCCACCGCGGCGGTGCCGCCATCTCCATTCCGGCCTTCAGGGATCCTCTGCATGGTGAGGATGTATCCGTCTTCCGTCGTCACCTATCGATGACGATTTCAACCGATGAGGAGCTGCTCCGACGAAAGAGAATGAACAAGAAGGACCTACCTTGAACTCCTGGCATTTGTACCCGTTGGGGGCCACTGTCGACGCGCATATACCGGCCGTCTCCCCGGCGGCGGGACCTCCGCCACCGCCGCCGTGGCCGGGTTGCAGCGGCCACCACCACCACCCGCCGTGAGCCACCACGACGAGGCCGCAGGACCAGACTGACGAGGAGACAAAGAAGAAGAAGACGATGGAGGTCTTCGTCCCGCACCCGGGGCCCATTTGAGAGAGAGAAGGCAGTGGAACATCCACGAAGAGGAAGGGGAGCCCCTTAATATAGGGGCAAGGTACCGAGAGTGGGGAGAGAGAGAGAGGGAGAGGATGAGAAGAATGCGTCACCCATGGTGACGGCGCTTCCCATATCGCGGTTCATGTAATCCGATGCAAATCCCAGGCGTGAAGGAAGAGGAAGAAGATGACCTGGACTTAGGTCGCGCTCCAAAGAAATTTGTACTTAAGAGATGCCCGGTGGGTCGGACCAGTAGGATCCCGCGCTGTCGTTACGTTCGATTATGTCAGTTTCTCTCCTCACGAGCACCCTCTGTGTTTACACCGTAACGCACTGGGATTTCTTAACGGAATCGTCCCCGATTTGGATCAGTACTGAAGGCCACCATCAGCCGCCCAAGTCCGTAACGGAAAGGTAAACCCGCACGTACAAGAGCAAAATATCCACGTGGAGGGGCTCATGTGAGCCAGATACGCATGTCCACATGCCTGGGAACACGCGGGGTATCTAATTGGATACGTACACCGCCACCACGGCCTTCTTCTCAACTCGACGAATAACGTCCAGATATGGATTGACGGCCATATTTTCCAGATAAATAATTTTAATTCCACATATTAGTGGATCTGATTAACAGCGTAGCAGCCGCCACTAGGCAATTATTCTCCATGGCACCCGGCATTTCTAGATGAGGAACCACCCATATTTGACGTATAAAATAAAAATAAATTATTTTCCCAATTATTTTTTTCCCTAATTAGTAAATTTGTTAAGAGCCAGCCAACATTGTCACTAACTAGCATTTTTTCTCTTTAGATGTGGCATTTTGCAGGTGCAGATCAAAGCCCATTTTCCTGAATAAAATTAATTTCGATGTATGCCCATGATAAAAATCTTAATATTACTTTATTTCTCTAATTGGCATATTTGCTGAAAGAACACCAACCCAGCTGCCTACACTTTAGGGCAGTGTTTCCAACCGTAGATTGATCCTGAATTAATCGTTTATATTTACATGAATGCTAAAATTAATTATTCCCCTAATCAACATATTTCTCTAGAAGCTACCAGCTTGGGCCACTAGTTGGTGAGCAATAATTTTTGAAAAACTCAGGATTATGGGTAAAGCCCTCTAGAATTAGTTTTAATGGGCTCATTTACAATCAGGTTTGGCAAATAAAAATAACAAAAGGAAAGCATGGTTTTCTTGCTGGTTTGTCTTGTTTGGAAACTATAAATAGTAAATCTAGCATCTCTCTCTCTCTCTCTCTCTCTCTCTCTCTCTCTCTCTCTCTCTTCATTTATTAATCTTTTCTCTACTAGTAGGTAGGGGTAAGCTTCTATGAAAATAATATTTTAAAATTTTAAATAATTATTACATTTATAGAGTGTCAAGACTAGTTAACAAAAGCTAATGCTAATATGTTTGAGAGAGAATTTGCATGAATAGGAGGGGCCTTACTAGAAGAAAAAACTTTAAATAATTTAGCTTGAGATGCATGTTAAAATTAATTAATTACAAATACTTGTCTTTTTTTGTTTGATATCCTCCTTTATAAATTATTTAGGATAAAGGCTAAGTATTAGAGCCTAAATTTTGACATTTACGAGTTTACTAAAATGTAATGTAACATTTTATTTGTTGTTTTTTATATTAGTAAATTGCCCAATGTTTTCAAATTAGTCCAACTTCATACCTATGATCACTTCTATTAGTATGTAAAAGGTTAGTAAAGAAGATAATCTAGTTAACATATTAACAATGAATCTTTCATTGTTAACATAACACTTGACATTAGCCTCATGTTTAGAAAAGTATGCAACTTCTATTTTTTATTGTATTTATGCGGAACTATGAAGTTTTTATTATAATGTTTAAAGATGCTTGTGTTGATGAAGTCAAAGTAGATATTTGTAAGAGTGATTTTGTCAACTCGTTTTTAAAAGAGGCATGTCTAGTGTTGACAATGAAGGATAAAACCCTAGAATTTATATAGGAGAATAGAGGACTACATGTGCCTATATAAAAGAGGAGAAGAAGAGATAGAGATAATGAGCCATAATAGGTCAAAAGTTCAATGACGCTATCAAATACTCTCCTTCAAGCTGGAGCATATAAGTCAAATATATCCAACTTAGTACATATGATGTCATAAGAGATCTCAATCATACTTTTCGTGAATACATCTATGAGCTGATGAGATGAGGCCACATGAAGAGTAGAGATGAGACTAGACATAACCTTGTCTTGAATATAGTAACAGTCAATCTCAATATGTTTTGTATGCTCATAGAAGGTGTGATTGCTAGCAATGAAGATAGTAGCTTGATTGTCACAATATATGGACATTGAAGAAGGAGAAGATATGATGAGATATTCGAGAAGTGATCAAAGCCATACCATCTCTCATGTGGTCTCAATCATGTCTCAATACTCAGACTTCACATTGAAACAGGACACCACCTTCTATTTTCGAGATTATAAGGTGACAAGATTACCTCTGTCATATGTGTAGTAACCCATAGTAAATCTCTGGTTGTCCTTATCACCTATATACCTAATATCAAAGTAGGCTTTGACACGAAGATAGCTATGTCACCGATAGATGAGTCTTTTCCCTAGGGCTCACTTGATGTATGTTAGAACCCGTAGAGCTCTCTCCCAATGAATTATGACTCCTTGTATGAGCTGACTCAAAACACTAATCATAAACATGATGTCAAGGTGAGTGAGGGTGAGATATATCAACTTGTCCAACAATCGTCTATATCGATTAACGTCCTAAAAGAGTGGAGAGGAAATGTCCCAAAATTATAGACGGACTTCTATGGGTGAAGTTTTCTGATTTCACCTAAGGAGTTCAATCTCCTAAAGCATGTCAAGAGAATACTTCCATTAGGTTATGACAAGTTTCCCATCCTAATATATAAACTTGATCTCAAGAAAATATCTTAGAATCCCCAAGTAATGGATATTGGGGTACTACTGCAAATAAACTTTGGTTGAATAAATGTCAATCTCATCACTCTCAATTATAAGAATGTCATTAACATAGACTATAAGAATGACTAAGTTGCCCTCAGTCTTCTTTCTTAGCATAGTGAGATATGTAGGACATGATGAGATGCCAAATGTGATGAAAAAACCACTAAACTTAGCAAATTAAGCATGTAGACTATACTTGAGCCTATAAATTACCTTATGCAAGAAACACACCTTAGATGAATCCCCCTAAGCATCATATCTTAGAGGTTGCGCCATAAAAACTTGTTCTTTGAGATCATCATAAAGAAAGACATTAGAAACATCCAATTGGTGGAGAAACTATGTTTGATTTACGATGAGAGAAAAGAATAGTTAAACAAAAGTGAGTCAGATGATAGGAGAGAACGTCTCAATGTTATCGATATTATATGTTTGGGTGAAGTCATGAGCAACTAGACAAGCCTTCTGATGTGCAATAGTGCCATTTGGATGGTATTTGAGTGTGAACACTCATTTGCACGTGATGATGTTGACATCCATCAGACAGAGAACCAATGTCCAAGTCCCCTGAGATACCAGACATTTACTTTCAAGTCCATAGCCACCTTTCACTCAGATACTTATGCTACCTCAACATGCGAGCGGGGAATCGACTCGAAGGCCATAGAAAGGGCAAAGGTATGAAAGGAGGGAGAAAGATGATTGTAGGAAACAAAGTGAGAGATGGGTTGTTGGGTACAAGCATGAGTACCTTTGCACAGGGTGATGGGAAGATGAAGATCATCTTGAGGAGCATCGGGGACATCATCGGGAGGCACATGTGGTTTAGTGGAGGAGGGGGATGACAGATCTACAGCCAAAGTAGAGGAGGCCGACGGAGATGGAGAGTTAGGAGGAGGAGGTAATGGTAGAAAAGACGAACGAGAGAGAGTTGAAGGAGACAGATCTGCAAGGACCACAAAGGGAGGAGGCCAAGTGAATGAGAGGCAGTGGCTCGAGAAGGAGTAGGGAAGATAGAAGAGAAGAAGGGAGATTTCTCATGGAAGGTGATGTTAGGCGACATAACATAGCAATGGGTGTTAGGAAAATATACTTGATAGCCCTTTTGCGTCTTGAAGTAGTTGACAAAGATTCTTTTGAGAGCACAAGGGGCGAGTTTGGATAGATAAGGAGAGTGATCCTAGACAAAGGTAGTGTATCCAAAGACTTGAGGAAGAAGAGAAAAATATAAGTGAGATAGGTAAGAGGTGTTGAAGGAGAATGACCCCATCTAGAGGAGTAGAAGGAAGCCAATTCTAGAGGTAAGTGGCCATCATGAGGGTGTCAATCCATAAATAGTGTGAGACATTCATCTTAAGAAGTAAGGTATGAGTGATGTCAAGGAACTAATGATATTTGCACTCAATGACATCGTTCTGCTGCAAGGTATATGGGTAGGTGGTATGATGGATAATGCCACAATCAACGTAGATGGTTTGGAGAGAGATTTGGATAAATTCAAAGGCGTTGTTGGTGCAAAGTGGTGACCTCCGTGATAAAGTGGGTAACAGCAGTGACAACCTTAGAGTAGTCACATTGAAGGTATACTCAACTCACAAGAGTGTAGTTATCAATAAGAATGATGTAATATTGGTGGTTCAAGAGGAAAAGAGTACTATAAAGACCTCATACATCACAATGGATGAGATCAAAAGGAAAAGAATAAAGAATATCATTTCAACTTAGGAAGAATGATGGTATTTACCCAATTGACATGACTCGCACATAGATTTCTTAAGAAAAAAATTTGATAATTTTTTTGAAGTTTTTTAAAACAAGGATGACCAAATGCCAATGTCATAAGAGGGAAGATGTAGCGGTAGAGGCAACAAAAAAGGCCTGAAGGTTAGAAAAGGATTCAACCAAAAAAAAGGAGCTGATAAACATCTCGCCCATCCTCATGGCCCAAATCAATCTTTCATCCAGTGTACAGATTTTGAAAAGTAAAATGAAAAAAAAAAGGTAATAGTACAATCAGGGTATGAGTAATGATACTAATCGAGAGAAGGTTCACAGGAAAGTTGAGAATGTGGAGTACTTGTTGGAAGAGAAGGTTAGTAGTGACAAGGGTCGTGCCAAGACATTTGACCGAACAAGTATGGCTATGAATAATGGTGACAAGGGGGTGAAAAGGGGTAGATTGATATGAAGATAAAAAGGATGAAGTGCCGGTCATATGAGTGGAGGCCCTCAAGTTGTTAATCCATGATGATAAAGAGGAAGCAAAGAGAGCATGTGTACCTAACATGAAGAGAATTAGAAGGGAGGCAAAGTTGACAAAAGAAGAGGCACTGCTAGAACTTTAGAGATTGATGTAGTGACAAAACCCATTGTACTCTGTAAATATCAAATTGACATTGAAAGTCAAGACAAGGATGTTTGAAGAAGCGAGTGAGATGGGAGCTGAAGAAGCTATCATTGACTAAGTGGAAGCAAGTTTGTTGAATTACTTCTAGTATTTGTTGGCCTGGTGGTTTTGCTTGCCATAATGGGGACTAGGGGAAAGGAGTTGCGGCCCTTCCCATGAGGAGGATGACTACTCTCAAGGTGGGAAGATAGGCCATTATGTCAAGTCCAAAGAGTGGCAACGACTAATCGAGGGGGAAGTCATAGCATTTGTAAGGAAGGTGGAGAGGGCAAGGACATACTAGTCGTGACTTAAAGTTACTACATAGAAGATGGAGGCAAGGCTGGATACCCCATCACCAAAGAGAACATAATCATAGATCTGGGATGTGGTGGAAGGATAAAGTCCACTAAGGTACACACTAATATAGAATTCCTAGCGATAACGCTAGAGTGTTAGGAGGTCCAAGGTGAGAGGTTGATAAATGTACACCTCTTGAATGAGGGCCTACAGGTGACCGTAGTGTGCTAAGAGAAATATCGTCTTCCTTGCAGTTGAGGAGAGACTTGAAGATCTCCACCACTCAACTTATATTCATATAGTTGGCATACATCATCTCCAAATTGTCCCATAGAAGGCACATCAGCTTGATACGAGAGAGAGGCTCAATGATGCTCTATTCGATGCTATAGAGCATCTAATTGATAACGACTGAGTCGATTTGCAACTAGTAGGCAAAAGAAGGGTCGCAGAGAGTTAGAGATTCATCTTGAGATGATGAAAGAAGCAGTAGGACTACAGAAAGAGCTCAAAGTTGGACACCCATGATGTGTAATTATGACCATTGAATGTGTACGTGGGCCGAGTGAGTTGCCCCGTTATGGAGTGACATGCTGGGGGGGCACTAGAGGAGGTAGAATGTTGTCCGGTAGGAGCTTGAGGCAGATGGGGATGGGGACGATAGAGAAGCCGCAAAGGAGGCCATGAAGGAGCAGGTGTTGGCAGAGCATGGACGGCGCCGGAATGACGCAGGGAGCTTGCGGCCTGGAGGTGGGCACCAGCTGAGAGGGGCACGGCTGAAGGGAATGGGAGGGTGCCAGCCGAGGGCGTGCAGCCGATGATGGAGACCTCGGGGCGTGGCCGGAGGGAGGCCGCGGCAGTGGCGGAGACTGTGGTGGCGGTGGCGTCCGCGGCGGCAATGGGGGCCACAGCTGCGGCAAGGGCTGAGACAGCGGCAGAGGCAGCGACGGTGGAGGCTGCAGAGGGGCGTGCTAGGAGGGCATGGGAGGGCGCCAGCCGAGGGCGCGCAGCCGACGACGGAGACCTCGGGGTGTAGCTGGAGGAAGGCTGCGGCAGTGGCAGAGACCGTGGTGGTGGCAGGGGCCGTGGCGGCGGCAGGGACCACGGCGCCTAGGGCACGCTCGGCAGGGAGGCAGACGAAGCCTAGGGCACGTCACGGCGGGTTCACCTACGGCATGCCCGGCGGGGAGGCAGACACCGCCTAGGGCACGCCGGCGCGACAGCCTGGAGAGGGGCAGAAGCGGAGGCGCGGCAGCCTAGAGAGGGGCGGAAGCGGAGGCGGCGTCGGTGAGGGGTGGCAGTGGAGGAGGGCTGTCGCGAAGATCGGCAGCTGCCAAGGATGAGGGCGCCGACGAGAGGAACGGCGCCAGAAGGTGGGCGCTGCCAAGAGGAGAATGGCGCTGCCGATGGAGGGCACCGCCGGAGGAGGTCGGCGCGCTGAAGAGGGAGAAGGTAGCTGGAGAGAACCTAGGGCTCTGATACCATGTTGACAATGAAGGAGAAAACCCTAGAATTTATATAGGAGAATACAGGACTACAGTGTTTATATAGAAGAGCAGAAAAGATGAGATAGAGATAATGGGTCCTAATGAACTAGGAGTCCGATGACACTATCGAACATCTAGACATCATCTCCCTTTCTTTTTACCTTTATTATGGGGATTAGTTTTAGAGACAAAACCAGCCCAGCTCCTTTGTAATAAAAGTATTAAAAGGGAACATAGGGAGAGAAAAAAAAGAGAGACACAAATCAAGAGCAGATCTAGTGGCTGAAATCAGGACTCCGACTTCCATCTAGTGGCTGTAGTTAGAACTTTATGAACTCCATTTATCTTTATTTTATATTCCTCATTAACATTAGGTATTCTCCTTCTCCTTAACGTGGTTGTGAAATGTGTTTAACCTCTTTAGGTATTCCTCAGTGTCTTTATCTAATATATTCAATATTTTCTCTATCATTTATATCTTGTGGGCATTCTCTACTTTGTACTTTCCTCTTCCACTACAATATCAGACATGTTATAAGGCCCTTTAAGTCCTAAATCTTTTCTCTTTCCCTAACACAGAGTACATCTAATATAAGAGTAATCATTGATGAGCTTATTATGATTAATCAACTAGTGGCGATTAAGAGTTTATTAAGATGATTTTGGCTAGATTAAGACTAAGATATGAGTTTCTCTCAAGTATAACCACTCATCTAGAGTCAGTCACTCTAGGTCTTTGGAATCTCATTGTGTATAGATGGTCTAGCACAACAACGACGCTATAGAATGTTTTTCAGTCAACGTCGCCACTACACGCCATAATGGGAGCAGATGTCGTGGTATACAACGCACACCAAGTCGACAAATTTGTCATTAATTTGGACATTTTTGTCTTGAATGCGTGGACCACAGATTTACACAATGGTCCTTATGTGATCATTTATCATGGACGGGGTTTAATATCCTTTAGATCTTGCATTTATATGAAGGAACTCCCCCCCCCATCTTCTTAGATGGTCCGCTGCGGTCTCTCTTGAATGGCCCCCGAGTGCAGGATGAGGACCTCCATCTTCTTCTTCTCCTTTGTCTCCTCATTAATCTGGTCGTGCAGCCTCGTCCCAGGGGTCTACGGCGGGTGGTGGTGGCTGCTTTTCCCCGGCCACGGCGGCGGTGGCGGAGGTCCTGCTGTTGGGGAGGCGACTGAGATATGCGCGTCGACAGTGGCACCCAACGGCTACAAATGCCAGGAGTTCAACGTAGGTCCTTCTTGTTCATTCGCCTTCGTTGGAGTAGCTTTTCATCGGTTAAAATCATCGTCGATAGGTGAGGACGGAAGACGGATACATCCTCACCATGCACAGGATCCCAGAAGGCCGTAATGGCGATGGCGGCGCCGCCGCGGCGGGACCCCGGCAGCCGGTGCTCCTCCAACACGGGCTTCTCGTGGTGCACAAAGAATAAGCATTCGTCTGACAGAATAAAATCATATCATGCGAGATAAGTATGTGAATCCCAATCCTTCGGCCTGCACAGGACGGGACGACGTGGGTGCTGAACTCGCCGGAGGAGTCTCTGGCCTACGTCCTCGCCGACGCCGGCTACGACGTGTGGATCGCCAACACGAGAGGGACACGGTGGAGCCGCCGCCACTCCACCCTCGACCCGTCTTCTCCGGTCGGTGCTCGGCGGCGGAGCCGTCTTCCCTTTGCTTTTTCGGTGCTGTCGTCGTCGAGCTTCCGCTCTTGACTAATGCACCAAATGGCAGGCCTACTGGCGGTGGTCTTGGGACGAGCTGGCCATGTATGAGCTTCCGGCGACCGTTGGTTTCGTATACCAGAAGACGGGGAAGAAAGTGGACTATGTCGGCCACTCCATGGTGGGTCTGGTCAGAATTGTCCTCCATGGAGTGTAGTGTAGCGAGGGACTAACTCTCTCTCTCCCTCTCTCTCTCTCTCTCTGTTGGGGGTGTTGCAGGGGGCCTTGATGGCGTTGGCGTCCCTTTCGGAGGGCAAGTTGGTGGACAAGTTGAGGTCGGCCGCCTTGTTGAGCCCCATCGCCTACTTGAGCCAAATGAAAGCCCCCCTGTGGATAGTCGGCGCAAGAGCGTTTCTCGGAGAGGTGTGAGCAATGAGCATTCCCGGTTTAAGTTTATCAGTTGACATATACATCTCTCTCTCTCTCTCTCTCTCTCTCTCTCTCTCTCTCTCTCTCTCTCTCTCTCTCTCTCTCTCTCTCTCTCTCTCTCTCTCTCTCTCTCTCTCTCTCTCTCTCTCTCTCTCTCTCTCTCTCTCTCTCTCTCTCTCTCTCTCTCTCTCTCTCTCTCTCTCTCTCCCCCTCTCCTCTCTCTCCCTCTCTCTCTCTCTCTCCCTCTCTCTCTCTCTCTCTCTCTCTCTCTCTCTCTCTCCTCTCTCTCTCTCTCTCCCCTCTCCCTCTCTCTCTCTCTCTCTCTCCCCTCTCTCTCCCTCTCCTCTCTCTCTCTCTTCTCCCCTGTCTCTCCTCTCTCTCCTCTCTCCCTCTCTCTCTTTCTCCCTCTCTCCCTCTCTCTCCTCTCTCCCTCTCTCTCGCTCTCCTCCCTCTCCCCCTCTCTCCTCGCTCTCTCTCTCTCTCTCCCCCCTCTCTCTCTCCCTCTCCCCTCTCTCTCTCCCCCTCTCTCTCCCTCTCTCTCTCTCCCTCTCTCCCCCGCCCCTCTCTCTCTCTCCCCCCCCCTCTCTCTGTAGGTATCTATATCATCTATTCATGTCTTTTTATCTATGAATCCATCAGTTTTTATCCATCGCTATTTATCCATTGTTATGTGCGTGTGTGATATCTTCTTTCTCCATGTACATCTGTCTCTCTCTTCCTCTCTTTCTCTCTTTATCTTTCTCTCTCAAGTAAGTCTGCCTCTTGATCTGTCAAATCTCTGTGCGTCTCTCTCCCCCTCTCTTTCTATATATCCTTAGACGTCTCTTTATGTATTTATATGCACCTATCCATCTATTCATACACATCTTTATCCATCGATCCATCCAACTCTCTCTCTCATATACATATATATATATGAATGCACGTGTATGATACATGTGACAACATCTCTTTCTTCCTCTGCAACAGATGATAGCATCGCTGGGGATTTCAGAGTTCGACATCACTGGGTAAGCAAGCCTCCGTCCAGATTTCACCATACCTCACTCGACATTATCCGATATAAACTCACGAGGTCCCTCTCTCAACTGTGGTTTCTCTCTCCTCCCCATTCAGGCTGCCGGTGACGAACTTCCTGAAGCTACTTTGCCTTGATTCAAATATCGACTGCTATGACCTCATGGCCACATTAACAGGTAAATCAGTTCATTCTCTCTCTAGGTTTTCTTTGAGTCTATCCCGGCCCAAATACGACTCTTGAGCGTACGCTACACCGAATTCACTAATATTAACCGCATTAAAGATTATACAATGCATGGGTGAGCAAACGATAATTCTCGGTAGAAGCTGACCTTTTTGTCAAACGTGTAGAAATTATATTTACGGGTAATTAAATGCATTTAAATTTATTTTAATGGAAAAACATTTAGAAGATGCTGGTGTACGTCATCTTTGATATGTAGAATCTTCCGTCTCTCTCTATCTCTCTCTCGCTCTCTCCCTCGCTCTCTCTCCGTCTCCCACTCTCCTCTCATAGCTCTGACTAGGCCTATGTCTAGGCTTTTTAGAACGTCGGCCCGAAGTTTATCTTTCGGGCTTTTTTATTATGTGTATATTTTTATGCATATATGTCTTTATATATGTATGTGCCGCCATTGACTGTTTAAGTATTCTCCACTTGCAGGTAAGAACTGCTGCCTCAACGAGTCAACGGTGGAGCTCTTCCTAAACTACGAGCCGCAGCCGACGTCGACCAGGAACATGGTGCACTTCGCTCAGAGTGAGTTCCCCTGTACTCTCCCCCCAACTGAGAGAACGTCGAGAGAGAGAGAGAGAGAAAGAGAGTCATCGTCGTCTTCCTCGTCGGCGCCTGCAGCCTACCGGGACGGGGTACCGTCGAAGTTTGACTTCGGAAGGAGGGACGCGAACTTGCGGCAGTACGGGCAGGAGAGGCCCCCGGCGTACAACATGTCGGCAATATCCGGCGAGTTCCCGCTCTTCCTCAGCTACGGCGGCCGGGACTTTCTCTCCGACGTAGATGACGTCCGGCGCTTGCTGGTCGACCTCCGCTCGCACGACGCCGACAAGTTGACCATCCAGTTTGTCCCGGAGTTCGCCCACGTTGACTTCATCATTGGCGTCAGCGCCAAGACGGTCGTCTACGACCAGATCCTCGCCTTCTTCCGCCGCCTGGGCTGAGAAAACCCTCACCAAGGCGAGGTGTCGGGGGTCAAGGTCAAGGCTGACCTTCGTCGATTCTCCCCCGGATCGTGGAAGCGTGGATGGTCAACAGAAAGAACCGTCTTATTGATACAGGAAGAGACCCAACTCACAGTCGGAGCACCCCTGTTACTTGATGAAGGGGAACCCCTCTCGTCTCATAGGGGGGATCCCTCACATAGCCTTTGTATGACCGTTAGTATTTCTGAATACCTACCAGGGAGTGCGCATAGAGATAGAGGGGGGGTGGGGGTGTGCAACAGATAATATATCTTCTTGGGAGGCGGGGCGGGGCAGGGTAACAGCAGGATAAGGGCACCTCTGCAAACTTGACCACCGCCTCATAGTCTATCTTCCCATGTTTCGCAATCCCGGCAGCATGAATCTTGAGGATTTCCATTCTTGATTGCACGTTGGGCAGTGGGATCTAGATCCTCCTGTCCAGTCGAACAGGACGGAGGAAGGCTGGACAAGAATGTCCAACCTACTTGTGGTCATAGTGGAGGCGTCAATTCTGAGCTTGGAAAGTGCGGCCAAGTTGACCGATTCAGAGAAGAGCGCAAGCTCTGATGGGGAATCATTCTTCAATTGAAGGATCCAGCTCTAGATTTCAATTATGAACTGCAAATAAAGAACAAAGCCAGGTAACTGAGTTCAAAATCATAATAGTGCTCAAGTCCCACGGGATCATCAATAACTAGTATGAATCCCTGTGTCAAGCAGATAATACTGGAGCCTGTTCGTCATATAAGTCCTGTGATTGAGATCCTTGTGCCCTCAGAGATTATGTAAGGGATTAATGTCGGAGGCATGACGCTATGATGGAAAACCGCCATTCTCCTGACGATCAATTTATCGTGAGATCCATGTTTCACGTCAAATATCCGGGCAGGTAAATCAATTTATCACAGATTTCGACAGTAGTTTGATACCTTCCCCAACTGATCAAATGTCCTTTGAATCTCACGATGAGCACTTGTGCACCCCGTAAGCGGCGCCCATCAATGGCATCGATATCATCCATGAAAATAATGCACGGCTGTACCAGAATCTTATATTAAGACAGTTCCGAGAAGTAGATATTATGGGAACATGATAGCCAGTAAAATGATAGCATAAGATAACGAGAGCCAAAAGTCAAACCTGATGATCACGAGCTTGGCCAACCATCTCCCTAATTAATCGAGTGCTTTTCCAATATACTTATCTATTATTGCGCTTGAAACGACCTAACCGAGAATAGCAAGTGAGAAAATGCAGATGGTGATGAATGAAATTAAAATAGATTAAACTATTTCTAAATAAACGATCACATTGAGAAAATTCGCATCTGTTACTAGCTATTGCTCGTGCTAGCTGTATTTTTCCAGTTCCAGGAGAACCATAAAGAAGCGCACCCCGAAAGCATTACAACAAAAGGGTACATGATAAATCAAAACTTTAAAAGTCAATGAGATCGAGTCAGACCCTGCATAAAAACAAGAATAAGCTAGCTAGATGGGGACCTGGACTTGCTGAGGATTTGGAGGAAAGTGATATGGATACCTTGGGGGTTTGATTCATACTCTGATAAAGAGTTCAGGATTTATTAGTGGCAGTTCGATGGCCTCCCTGAGCTCTCATATCTGATCGAATAAACCACCCATTTCAGAGTAACTAAAATTACCTGGATCTTCATGAAGCATATTGTACACTACATGATCAACTTGGAAAAAATAAATAAGATAGAGATGCCAGCAAATGATGCACAACGTAGATTCTATAGTTTGATGAACTACATTAAAGTAAGAAGATTAACCACAATAGTCAGCAATCTATTTGTATGATTCTTAATGCAAGAAAATATATGTGGCCCAACATAGATAATAGACGCCCAAATATTGAAAATTTTAAATTATTTCTTAGATATGGTCCAAGAGATAGCACATGCCCAGATATTGGAAATCTTGGTCATATTTATTAGATGTGGTCCAATACAGATGGCATATGCCCAAGTTCGGGAATCTTGAATATATTGATTAGGTGTTGTGCAATACAGACGGCATATGGCCAGAGATTGGAAATCTTGAAAGCATTTATTGATCCCAACTGCAGGGTAAGAAATCAGCTCCCTCCAGCAAAGAATTAAACGTTGATGGATGACTAATACCTCTTGTGGAAGGGCACGCATTATTGCGAGAGTCGTCTTTTCAAGTACCAATCGAGTTCCAACTGTAAGCTTCTCTTTATCAACCTTACTGTAACAGCCGACAACATACCTTAGACCACTTCTTCCTTTTACTATCATTGGAAGTCATATGATTGATCAGGTGGGTAAAACCTCCCACCCCCCCACCCCCCTTCCACGAAAAAAATAAAAATAAAATTACATTTACGGAAGAAAAAATTGAATGAAGATAAAGTCATGCAGAAGATAGAAAATACTTGTTATCTACAATATGAAGGTGTAATGTTTACCCTGGTCAATTGATAGGCCTCCGACACTACTTATGTATGTTAGGAAGACGAAAGGGGCAATCCCATCATTATAAGAGGTGTATTGATAATATTCACATGGGTGATGAGAGAAAAGGGAGGGAGTAAAGGAAGAAAAGGTTTGATCGAAGCATTAAGGCTTGGTGGAGAGACAACCCTCTTGAAATGTTATTGTGATGCTTAAGGTTTCCGTCTAGAAACCTGATCATTACCTTCTTCCTTTCTATTCTCCTTCGTATTATTACTATTAGATTCTTCCTTCATGTTCTTTGTTTTTAACCGGTTCTATCAACTGGTATCAAAGTCCTGTTCCTGTGGAGATTAATGGTACCGAAAATCATACGAAAAGCTAAAAAAATATGGTAATAAAATGGCTTTTGAATATGGAAAGCCACTTGCATTACCTGCCGGACGTCGACAGCATGCTGAGAGACCACCAACAAAGGAGCAAAATCTAGATAGTCTAGCTTAGGGTGTAGCACATCTCCTATGGCAAAGAGACAAGCTGCCTTCGCAAGGTTAGACAGTAGGAACACGGAATATGAAGGAGAAAAGATTCATCGATGGAAGCAATCAAGAGTCAGGGGAACATAGAGAAAAACGCTGGGAGAGAACAAACAACAGTCAGCAGTGTCATTCTACAAAAAAGGTTAGTGGTAGGTGAAGATGGACTCTCCTGGATGACTCAAAGCTAGCAGAAGCATCCGAGGTGAAAAGATTGATGGGAGAAAGAGTCAATTTTAAAGACAAGGCACCAGTATGATTTGGATAAATCGATTCAAGAAGGCCTTTTGCAACTTAGAATGAATTCAAGAGCTAAGTACTCCACAGATTTAGGTCCTCTCAAGAGGGAAATCTCTGTAAGGGATTCCTAAGAATTAAGCAGCAAGGAACAGTCGCAAAATTCAGAAGAGAATTTGAATTTATTGTTTCAAGGTAGATGGATAATAAAATGAACCACATGGCCATAAAGCTTGTTGATCTGAGTAGTTTAAGGCCTGTCAGTCTTCATGCAATTATGAAAGCAACCCAACTAATCAAAGAAAAGCACCACGTGGTCACAATGATTCAAGAGGGAGATGCACCAAGATCAATTAGATCAAATACATATGAGAAGATTATTCATTGACGTAAATGCAAGAAGAGGCGTTGACTGAAACAAAACGGTGCGTCAACCTCTAACAATGCCACCCCCACAGTTAGTCTAGAGACATGACCAACGACCATAGCGTGAGGAAACCCCCAAAGTTAGTGAGAAGGGACAAGGCAGCGGCCAGATCTCACCAAGGTAGAGATCTGAGATTGACGATCGAGACGTATGTACTTTTCTTGAGAAGAGAAGTCCAGCCCTAGTCAAATATGCAAGAGAGAATTATGCTAGTATAGGAAGATGATCCAAAGGTAGGATAAAAGCAAAGTATCATAGAGCTGAAGAATCAGCATTGAATAGGATTTTGAGGGAGAGATAGAAGTGATCAGTAAAGTTTAATTGTCGTTGAATTCAATTATGGGCCCAATAGATCCCAGCACCATGAAGCTCAAGGGAATCACATAAAGTGATGGCCCTAGTTTCCAATGGGGCCACCCACAATTTTATCTCAACATACATAGTGGGACGACAAAAACTACATTTTTTGGTGACCATAAATCATGTGTTAGTCATAGGCATTAGGTTAGCAGTGAGGAAAGAAAATATGCAGGAAAGTAATTATTAAAGAATAAGTGCATGATAATATGATTGAACACCTCTTGTCCTTTCAACTAGGCAGCACTGATATATAATCCTTAGTATGTAGTGGCTACAGAAGTTGAGAACGCTGAAAGTGAATAGGGGCAACTAATCATGAGATTCATCTGGAGAAACTTAGTGAAGACCTTGAGAGGATACCCCAATTTGTGTAAATCTAGAATCTCATTGAACATAATGTCCCCAAAGCATACCAAGGTCAAGGAATGATGGTGCAGTTATATCACCTATTGATAGAAGTTGGTATCAATGAGGCATAGTTGGCATGATGGTAGGTCTCTAGGAGAAATTTCCAGCAGCATTAAGGGAGGCTATGGGCCTCCTTTTAGCCCATGATATGAGCACACCATATGTCTGGAAATGGGGATCAAGCTCATCAATGTTCAACCCTACTAGTCTCCTCACTATTGTGCATTCTTTATTCTTTAAGACCCATTTTTAACCAATGACTTTCTTTCCTTGAGCCTCCACTACCTCTTAAGTTTGATTTTTATGGAGTGATTAAATTTCTTCATCCATAACAATTAGCCACTTATTTGCATTCTCTCGAGGTCTAATATTTGAAAATTTTGAAGGTTCATTGGAGTCTAAAAGTCCTATCTACAATAGTCAATGCATAAAAAATCATGTCAGCATAGTCATACCTCAACGGTGGTCTAGTATCTCTACCTACCCAATCTCAAGTAAGAGAGTAATTTTGTGTTTGTGCAGAAGTCTCCACAAGATGTATGTCAAACACCATGACTTATTTTTGTGGGAAATATATCTTTTGCAAACCTAAAGTTTCTAACTCCATATGTTCTAAAACACTGCCATGGATAAATATATCTTACCTTGGTGCTAAAAATACAATATCATCAAGTATGATATTTTTCTCAATTAAAAACTTAAAAGATTTGAGCTCATGAAATCAAAAATTATGTCCCTTGACTTCAAAAGTGTAATTGAGGAATATAGTGATAAGTCTTCATTATCATGAGTTAATAATTAATAAATAATATAATTTTAATCTTAACTCATGATAAATAGACTTATATTTGTGTTAAATTATAAAAAAATATTTTAAATTGATTAATGTGAATTTTTGGGTAATTATGTGATTTTATATGAATTTATATAATTTTTCTAGTCTTATTTTTTAGATAAATGAAGAAAATTAAATTAAAATAAAAATATAGAAAAAGGGGGGAACCTATTGGCCAGCCAGGCCCACAAGTGAGTTGGAAGCATAGTCGAGGGGGGGGTATGAGCAGGGGCTCGAGCAGCTATGGACCGATGGGGGCACGTGTGCATCACTCCCCTTCCACATCATCGGTGGCTAGCCAACTGTGGGACAAGGAGTAGTCGTACATGCGAGAAAGGGACTCATTGCTTGTAAATGTGATATTACTATATATTCGTCCAAAATTTTGACATAAAACTGATGTGAGACTAAACCCATCTCATGCCTTTCTCGAAATGGTTTCATTTATTTTAATACCTAAAATATCTCTTAATTATAAGAGAGATATATTATGATGATGTCATCTTATAAAGATATTATAGTACTTATTCTAGTCTCTCTCATGCAGGCGGGCGACCAACGTGAGTTCAAATCTTACCAAAGCCAAAACTCATATTTTTATTTGATTAAAGTGTGACTTTTCTACAGATCACCGGTGAAGAATTAAGCTGTCAAAATCACTCGATCATTGACAAAAATTTCATTGACGGGATTCACTAAGTGTTGTAACTAAAATTATTAAATAATTCGTGATAAAAAGATCATAAATCCATCGAGTAAAGAATCTCTGATTGATCGATGAACAAGCCATCATCAAGAAGAAGACGATCTACTAGGAGACAAGTTTCCACCTCTTGATAGTGTACTAGATGCGATGAAAAGCCTCCTCTTACTATGGAGACCTGAGGATGAAGTTTCCTAACACGCACCCCACCTTTACCTACCTCCTCTCTATCGAGTAATAGTCATTGGAGATAATTTAACAACCTATTTTATCGATCTTTGAACTTCACAAAAAAATCTAAAGATTGCTCACATCGTCCTTGTCCAAAGAGAGCCTTTGAGGCCATAGACACTACGATAATTTTCCGAATGCTTAAGATTTTAGTACATTGTCGATATATTGTTGTCATAATGTCAGAACTCTATTTTCCTACTTTCAACTTAATTTTTACTTCAATTAGTGATAATTTATATGATTTAAATATGTCAAACTATTCTTCATTCAATAACGATTCTTCTAACTTTTACAGATCTTAATTTGATTAATTAAATCATCTGTAATTACTTATGTAAGAATCCTGAGATGGAACTCTATTTCTATCTGATTCGTGTTCGTCGAGTGCTGATGTCATCCTAATGTCTATACCTTTATTTCACTTTTTGTGAATTTTAAATTTATTTTATTTTATTTTATAATCTATAATTCATAAAAAGTCATATTTTCTGAGAAAAATTCTAAAAACTTACCTCATATTATATTACATCTCTATGATTGACTTGAAAAATTCATATTATTTTTAAAACTTTTATTGAATTATAATTGATTCTTTTTTCAGAAATAATTCTAAATATCTAAAAATTAATTTTTTTTAATTTTATAATTTTTAAATTTGTGTGATTTACTATACAACGACTAAGTCATGTCATATACCCTTCTTTACCCTCATCTCTAACTTTTCATGACTAACATAGACATAGGTCAAGCAATCAAAAGCTTAAATGTATATAATGTAAAAGATTAATTGATCAAATTTCTTCAACTTTTTTGAAGTAGATTATGGATATGGAGATCAATTCACAATATAACATATTGTGGACACTACTACTCAAAAGTCTTGACTAACGTGTCTTAAAAAACATAAAATGTACCTTTTCTAATTGAGTTATATTCATTCTTGTTATAATTATGTTTTTCTGCATAATACAACAAAGTTTCTTGTGCTTGACAATACCTAATATTTTGGTATAGATCATTTAATTTAGTAGAATAAAACTCTAAGCTATTATCAGTTACCAAACACTTAATTTTCTTCATTGTCTGATTTTCAAGTAAAATCTTTTATTACTTAAACTAGCTAAAATTTTCATTTGTATGCTTCAACTTGAAAAAAAATATCAATAAATGATAGAAAATAGTGTGCACCAAAGATCAAGTGGATATAATCAAAAAGTATCTTTTGTCTTGTGAATTTTTATTTGGAAGCTAACATTATTATATTTTCCTAAAATAAAAGATTCAAAATATTTTACTTTGTCAATACTTTACTAATAAAACAAACATCTCTTGCTCAATAGATACATTCATTTCTATCTCATAAGTCCCAACCTCATATGTCATAATTTGGTGATATCTTCTTCATTCATAGACTTAGATGTTTCTGTGGTTGAATTAGAAATCATGATAACTAATAGGGTGTAAAATGTATCACACATTTTTTTTCCTCATCAAAGCAAAGGTTAATTTACTGATTTTTAGGACTCTATCCTCGATTGATTACTTGCAGCCATTAACATCAATAGTGTCTAAACATATGAGATATTTCTATATCAAAAGCATGCCTAACATCAGATCATGTCATCAAATAATACTAATTATCATCAAATAGTTATTCTTGCAATGTCATCAAATATTTTGACATGAATTGAAGTAATACTAATTTTCTTACATATGATATCATTTTCTATTGAAATAACTCCACTATTGTGTGTTCATGAGGACAAGTATTGTGTATTTAGAGCGATATGGTATGAATAAACCATATCTAAGATTCAATCATCTTTAGATCTAATGGTTTGGATAGAGATAACAAATTTGACTCTCATCTTTAACAATCTTAGTTTGTGTCAAACTTTCAACACAAATTAGGCTCCTTTGAAAAATCACTTTGATGTCTACTTTTGAGTTTAAAGGAATCAACTTCAGCACATCCGTTCTTGCAACAATAGTTGTAGAACTTATTTTTGATTTTCTATTTGATTTTCTCCTTGGATCAACTTCTAATACGAAGCCCTTTTGATTGTTTTATTTATGAAATATAATTAGTCATATCTTTGTCAGACAACAAAGTTTCTCAAAAGTGTTTATATGATGATGGTAAACAAGTAAAAATATAGTTTTATCTTCTTCTTTTATCTTTTATCAAGATTTTAAATTTTAATAAAAATAAAATTGAAATATTTAAATAGATTTTTTTATAAAACAACTTCATAATGAGGGATCTAGTCATATACAATGACTCTAATTTTAACCATAATACATTCATTAATTTTTCATGAATGGCATCAGATAAAGGTTCATTTGACAAGCAAAGTTGAATGGTAGCTAAAGCTTTCTCATCTATTTCTTATTTTTCCTTCGTAGACATAATATTTGATATTTCCTCCTAAGTAATGTATTATGTGGCCCTTGGTGGGTCAAGAGAGCCTCCATTTTGACTTGTCATATTCAAAGTTAATATTTCAATCAAACTTCTCATTATCAAATTTAATAGACATCATATTTCTCCAAATGCTAAATATAAACCCTAATGATGGTCTTAAGATTCATAATATCCTGATCCTAATTTTCTAGGAAATGAGCCCTGATTTAAGACTTGAAAGGCTTTCTAAAATGCCTAATATCACAATAGAAGAAGAAAAAACAAGTAGAAAATGTCCACAAGATATAAATGATGGAGAGAATACTAAATGTACTAGAATAAAGATAACAAATTTATACAATGTGAAGTGGAAGAACAAATTTCATGAACACATTAAACAAAAGGATACTGATGTGATCTAATCATTGTATAATAAATTACATAAATTTAAATTTTATAAAACTATAAAATAATATTTTTTTATTTTTGGAATAAATGAATTAATTATAATTAGATTAAAAAAAATTAAAAATAGTGAGAAATTTCCAAGTCGATTAGAATAAGGTAATATAATATTTCATAATATTTTTTAAAAATCTCAAATAATATACTTTTTTATAATTTTTTGACTAAATGATAAATATAAAATATATTTAAAAAATTGTAAAAGAGAAAATTTAAGTGTGGATGTCAAGATGATGTTAGTGCCCCTAACAAATACAATTTGAGTGAAAATAATATTATGTCTGATGATTTTTATATTACAAATGATTTAATTAATCAAATCAAGATCTATAAAAGTCAAAATAATGTATTTTAATGAAAAAGATTTTTGAAACTTAAAATCAAATCAAAATCACTAAATTAAGTAAAAAGTATGTTGAAAATAGAAAAGACAAAGTTTTGGCTTCACAACAACAATCATCAAAATTGTGTATTCAAGAGGATTATTGTGTGATGTTTATAACTTTAAAAGCTTTACTGACATAGACAACATAAGTATCTTTAGATCTTTTTGTGAAGTCTAAAAATCAATAAGGTGGGTCAAAAAATTATTTTTAACAACTATCATCTAACGAAGTAAAAAAATAATGACTTTCAAATCTTTGGTAGCTGCCACTCAGTGGAGATGAATTAAATAGATGTGGTATGCATCTTAGGGAGCTTAATTCTCAAGTCTATTCAACAAGATGAAGTTCTTCATTGCATTTGGTATGCTCATAAAAAGTGGTTATTCATCTCTCAATAAATCATCTTCTTCCTAAGAATGATTGATTCGTCGATCAATTAGAGATGATTTACTTTATGAATTAATAATATTTTTATCTATAATCATTTAGTAGCTAGTAATAATACTCTATTAATTACATTGATGATATTTTTATTAATAATTGAATGATTCAAGTAACTTAATTATTGATTGATGCTCTATAAAAAAATCATAATTTAATCAAATAAAAATATGAGTTTTGACTCTAGTGAGATTTAAATCTTCATTGGTCATCTATGTGCTTAAAAAAGAAGCAATTAATTATAGTCATAACTTTACCCAATCACGTCATTGAGGTGCTTCCTTTTCATAGGCTATGAACATTATAGGTCTAAAAATATATAAAACTTATTTAGATGCGTTGATAGAGTTTAGTCCCATATCGACTTCTAACTTATGAGATAAATATATGGTAATAAATGATTGTTTCATCAGTATTGTACTCTCATGTGTGTATGACCACTCCTTGTCTCATGCCCAACTAGCCATCAATGATGTGGAAGATGAGTGATACACGCATGTCCTACCAATCATTCCTTAGCCACTTGAGCCCCATGCTCACAACTTCACTAGATTGTGCTTATGACTCACTTGTAGGCTTGACTAGTCGGCCAGAATTTTATCTGATAAGAGAAAAGACTATTTGTTTAAAGGAAGTTATAGAGTGAGCTCCCTCTCTTAGGGGAACCTTTAGCGAACGAGAGTGAGCTGATCATCCAATTTGATCTCATAGTTGGACGAGGGGTTAGCTCTCTCTAGTTCACCTCCCTAGGTATGGAGGTGAACTGTATAATTAAGAGATTGAAGTGAATGATCCGAAGGAGCAGTCACGGAAATCTTGGAATGTTGTTTCAGTTCTTACAGGTAATGACTTGAGTCATTACATGTTCTTACTTACAAGACTAGAGTTAAGGAGTTACGGAGTTATAGAGTGAGGCTTCGCCAATTGAGAACACCTATTACATACGGTATATTTATGTATATCTGAGGGATGCTCTCAAATAGGGCTATGGGATCCCACCCCCAAAAAGAGAGGGAGACCCATAGCTTTTTATATTTTAGTTAAATTTTATTTATTTCTTTTCATTTCTCTCAAAAATATGATTAGAAAAATTATATAAATTCAGATAAAATTAAATAATTAGCTAAAAAATATATTAACTAATTAAAAATCACTTTTCATAATTTAACATAAATAAAATTTTATTTATCATAATTTAAGGCTTAAATATATATTATTAATTAATTAATAACTCATAATAATGAAGACATTAGAAAATATTTAATATTAATGAGAAATTAAATACATAGATAAATGAAGTTAGTGAAACTCTAACTATAAGTACTAGATGGGAGGGTAGGAAGAGAAGTTGAAATCCCAATTTTAGCAACAAAAAAAATAGGGTTTCTCATGCCCTTGATTTGTATCTCTTTCTCTCTCTCCTTCTCTCTCTCTCTATCCCTCTCTCTCTCTCCTCTCTATCTTTCTCTTTCTCTCTCTCCCTCTCCTTCTCTCTATCTTTCTCTCACTTCAGAGATCTTGCTAATGAATGAGTGTGCACCTTATTCTCTGTCTATCTATCTCTGTCTTTCTCTCACTTCGGAGATCTTGCTAATGAATGAGTGTGCACCTTAATGTGATTTGGTGAAATGGTAGTGTTGGAGGAGCCTGTACTAGCTTAACCAAGGAGTCGTTCTTCAGCACCTTAAAAGAATACTCAAGTCGAGGCCGAGAAGGTGACAATTGGCTGCCTCTCTCTCTCTCTCTCTCTCTCTCTCTCTCTCTCTCTCTCCTTAAGTTATCTTTCAATACTTATATTATAAAGGGGCTAGACTAATTTCATATAGTCCCTAAAATAAGGGTAACAAGATGAGAGATGATGTCTAGAGGAACATTTCATAAGAGTGGTGTACATAAAATAGAATATGTTTGCTCTCAAAAATAGAAGGGGTACATGTCCTTATATAAAGAGGAAGAAGACAAAGAGCCAGGTGAGAAGATGAATACTAAGAGACATAGGAAGGCCAAGAAAAATAAGGGGTAAAGAAGATGAAGGGCCCAGAGATGCGAGAAGGCCAAGAGACCTATAGTGGGTCTTTGTACTCGCATTCTCCCTCGAGCTAGAGGGTTGATATAACTTAGTCATTCTATATTAAATCACACAAATCTAAAATTTATAAAACTAGAAAATATGAATTTTTAGATATTTAAATATATTTATAAAAAAAATATCAATTATAATTCAATAAAACTTTCAAAAATAACGGTAATTTTCTAGATCGATCACGAGGATGTAATATAATATATGGTAATTATTCAGAATTTTTCTCAATGAATATGATTTTATATAAATTTTATACTATGAAATAAAAAGAAAATATATTTAAAATTCACAAAAAAAAGGAAATAAGGGTGTAGACGTCAAGATGACGTCAACACCCGGCGAATACGAATCGAGCAAAAATAGAGTTCTGTCATGTGATTCTTACATAAGTAATTATAGATGATTTAATTAATCAAATTAAGATCTATAAAAGCCAGAAGAATCATAATTGAACAAAGTATATTTTGGTAACTTAAAAATACAAAAATTATCACTAAACAAAGCGTAAAGTAAATTGAAAGTAGTAAAATAGAGTTTCAACGTCATAACGACAATGCGTCATCAATGCACCGAAATCTTGAGTGTTCGAGAGGATCGTCATGCAATGTCCACAGCTTCGAAGGCTCTCCTTGGACAAAGACAACGTGGGCAATCTCTAGATCTCCTTGCGAAGTCTAGAGATTAATGAAATGGGTTGTCGAATCATCTCCGGCGGCTGTCACTTGGTGGAGCGAAAAAACGGTGACTTTGCGGCTCTCCGACGGTTGTCACCTAACGGAAAGAAGCTAGATGGAGGTGGAGCGCATGTCAAGAAGCTTCATCCTTAGGTCCACGCAATAAGAGGAGGCTCTTCATCGCATCTAGTACACTCTCAGGAGGTGGCGACTCGTCTCTCGGCAAATTGTCCTCTTCCTAATGATGGCTTGTTCGTTGATCAATCAGAGATGATTTACTCGATGGATTCACAATTCTTTTATCGCAAATCCTTTAATAATTTTAGTAGTAATGCTCTACGAATTGCATTGATGAGATTTTCACCGATGATTTAGTGATTCTCGTTGCTTAATCTTTCACCGGCGATCTACAAGAAAGTCACGATAATTAGATAAAAATATATGACTTTTGACTCTAGAAGGACTCGAACCCGCACTAGTCGCCCGCCTCTTCTGAGGAAGGTGTGATGCAGATTTAGTCCCACATTGATTTTGCACCAATTTTTTGGGTGAATATATAGTAATGTTAGCTTTCTAAGTAAAGTTTCTTCTCTCGTGTGTATGACCACTTTTTGCCCCATAGCTGGCTAGCCACCAGTGATGTGGAAGGGGAGTGGTGCACATATTCTCCTATCTATCGATCCAAGCTGCTCGAGCCCCTGCTCGTGACTACTTCTCGACTCGCAGGTCCCCCCATTTTGCAATATTTTTATTTTTATTTCTTCTTTTTTATTTATCTCAAAAGTAAGACTGTAAAAATCATATAAAATTATATAATTACCTAAAAATTCACATTAATCAATTGAAAACTATTTTTCATACTTTAACACAAGTATAAATTTATTTATCATGAGTTAAGGCTAAAACTATATTATTTACTAATTATTAACTCATGATAATGAAGACTTATCAAGAGTAGATGTCGACTAAGCCCAACTTATGTAAGAAGGTAGCATATGATGCAACTCGTAGACCTTTGGTGAAGATATCTGCAAGTTGCTCTAAAGATGTCACTTATAAAGTGCAAATAAGCCCATTCAAAAGTCAATAACGGATAAAGTGACATACAATCTTGATATGCATGGTGCGCAGATGAAAAGTCGAATCATTCATTATAAAGATTGCTACTTGATTATCACAATACATAAGCATAACACCTTGTACTAGATAACTCAACTCCTAAAGTAAGTTGCACACCCAAAACATGCACGACGATGTATCTATCATAGCTTGATATTCGACCTCAACACTAGAAGAACAAGAGACCCACTACTTGTGACTAGACCATGTCACAAGATTTTCTCTAACATAAATATAATAGCTCGTGATAGATTTATAATCTATACAATTATTGACTAGATTAGAGTTTGAGTAGTCAACCACGTGAAGATATTTGTGACAGTGGAAAACAATTCTTCATCCAAGAACATATTTAAGATAGGCGAGAAGTTTGAGGACAGCCTCTCAATAATTATATCAGGGTTCGTGCATAGCCTGACTAAGAAGATACGTCATATAGACGATGTTGGGTCATGTGACAGTGAGATAAATGAGTTTTCCAACCAGATGTCGATATGAGTGAGGATCAACAAGGAGAGGCGAGGTCGAGTTTCAAAAATTTAATTGACTTTCAATTAAAGGTGCATGGGGCTTGCATCCGAGTAGTCCCATCTATTGTAAAAAATCAAGTATATATTTACATTGGTTGAGGACAATCTCCCCCAAGCAGTAGGTAAACTCTATGCCTAAGAAATACTTGAGACTCCTCAAGTCCTGAATATCTAAATGTTCTCGATGAAATGCCTTAGTATACTGAATGTTGGCCACATCACTCTTTGTGATAATCATATCGTCCACTTAGATGGTGAGAATAATGCATCCATTCGTGATGGTCTTATAAAAAATTCTAGGTTCCACTTTGCATGCTAAAAAACTACACTGTTGAATGAGGGTATTGAATTTAGTGAACCAAGCTCGACTCTATTTGAGACCATAGATGGCTTTGCAAAGATGACACACTTTGATAAATTTTACCTTGATCATGTAGTTGAGAGATTTCTCCATATAAACTTCTTTATCGAGATTGTTATAGAGAAATGCATTGGAGACGTCTAGCTGATGTAGAGGCTAGTTGAGGTTGACTACCATAGAAACAATGATACATACCAAGCTTAGACAGATCACGGGATAAAAGGTCTCTTCATAGTCGATGCCATATTGCTGAGAAAATCCATGTGTCACTAATCAAGTTTTATAGCAATGAATAGTGTCATCTAGAAGATACTTAGGGGTGTAAACCCATTTACAAAAAATAACATTAGCGTCATGCAATCGAGGAACGACGTCCCAAGTTTTTCAACATATGAGAGCCACATATTCTTCATCCATGGCTGCCTTCCAATGAGGTACCGTCATAGTATCCACGTGAAACTTAGATATTAATTCAATAGCCAAGGATAAGGTAAAGACCCAATAAGATAGAGAGAGGTAATCATAGAAGATGAATAAGAAATGAAGTGAAAAGTATAAAAGCGTGTACCTTTTCAAAGAGTGAAGGCAGATGAAGATCATTCGGAGGTTCTGGATTTACAGACAATGTTCTGAATTGATTGAGTACTTGCGAAGAGACTAGTCCAAGAGTGGTTGCCAATGAATCTTCTGAAAGTGGTAGAATAAACTAAAGTGGGCTAGGATTGGGAGATGGTAATGGTAAGGAGATAATGACATTTGGTGAAGTGTTGGGACTGGACAATGATGAAGATGTCATGTCTTCTAGTAGGGGCATGAATAAAAGCGTTGAGGAAGGCACTCAAAAATACTTGAACTCTTCATGGAAGGTAGCATCCATTTGATATCAAATACTTCTACTCTCAAGGAAGGTAGACACGATACCTTTTTTATGTATGTAAGTAGCCAATGAAGATGACTTTTAGTGCACAAGAGGCAAGCTTAGAATTATTCGGGTGTGGTCATATACAAATGCCACACAACCAAAAACTTGTAGGGGTAGAGAAAAGAGGTCACCTTTGGGGTTGAGATGATGAAAGAGAATTTTGTCGCCTAAGGGAGATGATGGAAGGTGGTTAATGAGGTAAGTGGATGTGAAGATGACGTCAGCCCATAAGTAATCAAGAACCTTCATCTCAAACATGATGGTACAAGTCATGTCCAAGATATGTTAGTGTTTTAATTATGTCATTCTATTTTACTAAGATGTATGTGGACATGTTATCTGATGAATGATCTCAAGTAATTTACAGAGCTCTTAAAATGCAGATTGTGTAAACTTAAGAGTATTATCTGTTCGAAAGATTTTAGGCATGGTGTTCTACTAGGTCTATATTTTTTAAAAGAATTTTCAAAGATAGGGAAGGACTACAGTTTGATCCATTAAGAGGTTGACCCATGATGCCCGTGAGAAATCATCAATTAAGATTATGTAGTAGCGAAAACCAAAAACCAAAGCAATGCACGTGGGCCCCTAGATGTCACAAGAAATCAATTCAAATGACTAGTCGCATGATGGAAAATCACACTAATGATATGTCAAACAAAAATATTTTCTAAGTTTACAAGATTCACATTTAAAATCAAATAGAGAAAGTCTAGATAAACCTTGAATAATCTCAAAATATTTGGATGATCAAAATGATGATGCCACATAAGTGAAGAAGTTTTTGTAAATAGTAAGCATAAAAGATCAATAGATAGAGTGCCTGAAACAAGCTCGTAGAGGCCTCAACAGCCTCTCTACCCAAACTAATATGCATCCTAATCTGCAAATCTTGAAAACCATAATGATAAGAAAAAAGTTGAACAGAGTAATAAAGAGCTTTGGTAATGGCACTAATAGAGAGTAGATTGATGTTAAAGTTAGGAATATAGAGGATGTTAGATAAGGACATGGAAGAAATAAGTTTAGCATCTCCTTTCCCGGTGACAGAACAAGTGCAACCATTAGGCAATCATGATAGTTTCAAGATGAGTTAGATTATGACGACGAGAAAGGAGAGATGAGGTACTTGACATGTGAGTGGATGCCCCTAAATCAATAATTCAAGTCTCAGACTTAGATGCAGATATTAGAAAGATGATACGTGCATTAGAAGATGAAACATGATGCAATGAGTGGGAAGTCAAAGCCACCTCTTTGGAGTGCATCCACTAGTCATACTCCTTACAAGACATAGAGATCCCAATCACCTATGTAGGAGTTGGAGCTGGTCTCAAAGAGGATCCTTGTGAGCGTGAAAAAGTAGTAATTGGTAACAAGGAGGTAGTAGAGTGCATGTAGAACCCGCTTAGAGAAAGCAGACTTAGCTAGTTAGATGGATAGCCAAACTTTTTGTAGCACTTGGTTGCCTAGTGATTAGTCCTCTCATAATATTTGCATTAAAAAATGTGAGCCTAGTTGGAAGAAGCTCCATGACCACTCTTCCCTTTCCCACCACAAGGGGCAGGGCCCCCTTCTCGTCTTGCTTCTTGAGTAGTAATTGCAGTAGTCAAGGCTTCGAGAGCAGGTGATGATATCTTCAATGATGCTGAAGTCGATGTGGAGATGAGAAGAGTTACTTGTTTGACTATGTTGAAGATCTCCACTAATGTCGAAGGGGTCCCATCTTGTCATTTAATACAAAGCCTCATACTTGAGAGGCCAGAGTTAGATTAATTACATCAAGATATGTAGTTATCAAAAATTCATAATTGTAGTGTTGTTGAGTGAGTGTGTCTATCATAATAGGCTGTTACTGATCAAGCAAATTGCCCAGCTTCTACATAGAGAGAAATGTAGTGTGAAAAGGAGAGGTAGTGCTGCACATCTTTATGATGTTTTTGAAAACATCCATCGTAAAAGCAATGTTGCCCTTAGTGCCAAAAGTTCCGTCAAAAGTATCCCACATTTCTTTAACCATATCGAAAATTTGATATTAGTAGAGAGAGTAGGAGAAACAAGTTTGAGAAGCCACATTTGAAAGGTCTTATCTCTGATTGTCCATGCAGGGTGACAAGGATTATTGTCGAGAGGAGGAAGATCGATAATGTATTGTTGACACCCCTAAACACTGAGAAAATGGTGAAAATTATGTGCCTATTGAAGATAATATGTGCCTCCTTCGTCAAGCATTAAACACAGATTTTGGAGCTGAGTTAGAACTCTAGTAGGCAAGATGTAGGGAGCTGCAAATGAATTGACTGAGGTCATGCTAGCATCAATCTATGTGTTCAGTAGAGGCATGAGAGAGTCTAAGTCGGCCATGATGCTAGGCGATCGTGGTGTGAGGGAAGACGAGAAGTCAAGAGGTGAGAAGATGAATAGTCTCCTCCCATGGTGAGGAGAGCCGTCACCTAAAGATTGATGGCAAGCGGGACCCGTCTCCATCAGCTCAGGAGACACCGGAAGTCCGAGTTCAACCCGATCGATGCGCGAAGACAAAGGAGCCTGGCTTTCACTACACAGCCTAGCCCTTCAAGACGACGACATTCCACCCCCACGACGATGACGAGCTTGAGCTCACCCTTATCTTGTATTTTCACATTGACTTGTTGGGCCTCGCATTTATGTGTTAGCAGGCCCAATTCTATGTGTGTGTGTTGTTGTTTGTGTCTCCCTTTCTTTAGGGTTTTATTGGGTCTCTCTTTGAGGCCCAATTACAACCCTAGGGGGGGGGGACCTATGTGTCTTTCCTTTTGGGCCTCTTTTGGGGCTTATTTGGGCCTTCATTTGAGGCCCACTTAAGCACCATAATAGGGCCCTCCTCTTTCTCCTTTTAAGGGAGCTTATTGGGTCTCTTTGTAAGAGGCCCAATAAGCCCCTTTTGTACCCTTTGTGGCTTATGGGCTTGAGGGCCTCAAGTGGGCCCAGCTCCCCTTAGCCCACTTGTGGGCCCCCATATAAGGGGAGGTAGGACCCCCCCTCAAGAGAGCGCTGTATTTTTGAGAGAAATTATCATTGTGAGTCATCTTTCTCGTGACCTAGAATAGGGAGGGAAGAAGGGAGAGGAAGGCTGTTGATACCATGAGGACTTCGTTCACTGTGACGCTGCTGCCGGAGAAGTTCTGCCGCCGCCTGAGGCCACGGCCGCCGCCGGACATCTCCCTTGCCGCCCGTGAGATCGCCGCCGTCACCAGAAGAAATGGTCGCGGTTGCCGCTGCAACCGCCGCCGCCTCTGCTGGAACCCCGTCACGCCATCGTGACGAAAGGGGCTCGCTTCGCCTCCCTACGAGCCATCACCGAGCACTCCACCGGAGTCTCTCGACTACTGATTCGTCTGCCACCTCTTCCTCCGGAACTCCACCATAAACTTGCCAGAGCTGCTCTCCGCCACTCCGCCCAGTCGTTGGCCGTTCGCCGACGAACGCCTACCTGCCGCCGACGTTGAGAGAGACCCTGCAGCCGTGCCGACGAGCCAGAACCAGTCCCAGCTCCTCACAGGTTCCCGCCGGAGTTTTCCAACACTCCGCCGCTGTCACGCCATTTTCGGCGCCGTTTGGACTAGGAGAGCTCAACCCTCCCTGGTATCGTCGGCCGGATCGTCTCCTCTCTGCTCCGCTTCCCCGCGCCGCCAGAGAGGCCGATCCTTCTGGCGACGGTTGGGTTTCCGCCCCAACCGCCGATGCTTGGCCTTCCTGCTGAAGTGCCGCTGACGCTCGGCCTTCCCGCCGAAGCGCCGCTGACGCTCGGCATTCCTGCCGAAGCGCCGCAGATGCTCGGCCTTCCCGCCGAAGCGCTGCCACCGCACGCGCCCCGCACGCCGGCTCCTGTGTGCCCTAAGGCCGGCACGGGGCTTGCCTCCCGTACCCGCTAGCGTGCCCTTCGGCCCACCAGCGGGCCCATGCCCATGCCGATCGTGCCACGCCTTACGACGACGGCTACGACAACTCTCGACCAGGACTGACCATCGACGCTGAGCATCGCTCTTCACCGGACGTCCCTGCCTTCATCGGATCTCCGCTCCATCATGACCCGGGGCTACGCAGCCCCGAAGGTTAGCTCTGTACCCCTTCTTACTTAAGTTTAATTATCTTTCAAAAGGTTTTCTCGGCTCATTTCTACCGCCATCAGGAGCGTAGACAAGATAGGATAAGTTATCGGATCGTGACTTATGATGCTGCACCAGACTCGTCATAGTTCGTGAGCTGCAGCCCTAGGCTACTTCACGACGATAGTTCTGTCGTCTGTCCAGACGTGGACCGAGAGGGCCTCACAGTTACCATCGTCGAGTGTTTCCCTGTATTGTCTTAGGTTGAACATGTATATTGGTACGCCTATCTGTGCTTAGATTACGTGGTCAGACCTAGAGTCTAAAGTCCAAACATTCTTATCAGATCGGTCCGACTGCCCTCATCCTGGGTCTCAAGTTTCATTGATCACGTACAGGGGGTTCTCACCCCGTCCTGCATCAGAGATCCGTCAGTTGAAGATGGGAGATTCGTCGACTAGGAGATTTAGTTGGAGAAGGGAGATTCTACCACCAGTCAGCTTGGAGGAGAATTGTCGAGAGGAAGGGGAACAATTTCTTGAAGGGCCCGCCGACTAGCTAGAGGAGAACCGCCGAGAGAAAGAGGAACCATCGACTTGGAGGATCTGTCAATTGGAGTAATGTGGAGAAGATGATGGTGCAAGCCTGATCTTTAGGAAGAGGCAATGCAAAGAAATGTTGAGATGACATCATAGATGAGGTGGAGTGAAACCTGGCTCTGATACAATGTACACAATAAAATATATTTACTCCCAAAAATACAAGGAGTACATGTCTTTATATAGAGAGAAAGAAGAAGATGAAGAGCCAAGTGAGAAGACAAATACTAAGAGACATGAGAAGACTAAGAGACATAAGGGGGTGAAGAAGGCGAAGGGCTAAAAGATGTGGGAAGGCCAAGAGGCCTATAGTGCACTTTCGTACTCACAAGTGGATTGGATAAGTCACTAGTATATCATGAATGTATGATGTGTTGTTAAAGCATGATGAGTTTGATACTATGTAAGAGAACAAGATAGATGGAGAGAAGAGATGAACTCTTATATGTAAATGATGATATGTAAGAATCATGAAGGCCTCCTTTAATAGGATCTTAGAGGCCTTTGAAGTGAGAGAGAGAGTAAGAGAAAGGAGGAACATATGGCCTCAAAAGGACCATCTATTTTTGTGAGAAGTAGTCTAAAATAAATTTCTAGACATAGGGAGTTTAATATCCTTGTTTCTCATGTAGAAGAGAGAGCAAGAGAGAGAGAAGATGAGAATGATGCATAGTCATAGTGATGAGCTTTCTAAGGAAGATGATGACATGGACTTGGTTGTGCTCTGAAGTGTTCCATACAAAAGAGATGCCCATCAAGTTGGACTGATAGGATTGCATGTTGTCAATACACTTGCTCATCTCAATTTCCCCCTTCATGAGCACCCTCTATGTCTACCATTGAAATGCACAATAGTTTCTTAATAGACTCCCCATTTTGGCTAGTAATAAAGGTTACCATCAGCTGCATAAGTGCCCAGCAAAAAGGTAATCCCCCCACACATGTAAGGGCACTATATTCAAATGGAGAGGGCAATTCATGTGAGCTAGTCATGTCCAGCATGTCTAGGGACATGCAGGGAATCTAACTAGATATGTACACTGCCATCATGGTCTTCTCAACTTGATCAATTACATCTAGATGTGGATTGATGGCCATATTTTCTATATAAATAATTTTAGTTTCCCACAATAGTATATCTGATTAACTTCCCCATAGCTGCCATGTGACAATTTTTCTGCATGACACCAAGCATTTTTAGATGTGGAACCACCCTATATTTTTTTCCCTAATAAGTTAATTTTTTAAGAGCCAACCAACATCATCAATAATTAGCACTTTTCTCTCCACATGGCACTTTCCATGTGCAAGTCAAGCCCATTTTCCCACATTAAATCAATTTCAATGTATGCCATGATAAAAATACGAAAATTAATCTATTTCTCTAGATAAAATATTTTCTCAAAGACCACCAACCCATCTGCCTACACTTTAAGTTGGAGTTTCTCATCATTGATTGAAGCTAAATAGATTAAATTTTTATATATATTCATAAATACTAAAAATAATTATTCCCCTAATCAGAGGATTTCTCCATAAGCTAACAGCTTGGGCTGGCAAGTGATAATCTTTGATAAACTCAACATTATGGCTTAAGCCCTCTATAATTGGTTTTAATGGGCTTATTTGACGCCCTATTTTGGCCCAATAATAATAACAAAAAATTAAAGCATGGTTGTCTTCTTTCTAACTTGTTTTCTATGTTGGAAATTGCAAATCTAATCTCTCTCTCTCTCTCTCTCTCTCTCTCTCTCTCTCTCTCTCTCTCTCTCTCTCTCTCTCTCTCTCTCTCTCTCTTTCTCTCTCTCTCTCTCTCTCTCGTCTATATCTTCTCTCCATCAGTTTCCTCCATTTATTTAATAGTTTTTTCTCTACAGTTAGATAGGGGAAAGGCCCTATTAAAAAATAATTTGGCATTTAAATAATTATAACATTTATAGGGGTTCGAGACTAGTTTGCATAAGCTAATGTGAATGTATTAGAGAATTCGCATGAATATGAGGGACCTTTTAGTAACTCTAAAGGACGTCGCGTAAAAATATTTAAAAGAAGTAAATAATACTGGATTTACATTTGTAAAGTTGAATTATTTTTATTTCGTTCGGTATCCTCTTTCATAAACTGTTTACTGTAAAGATGTCCGGTAAATGCCAAGACGTTGGCATGTGGTGAGCAGACGGATTGCGGTGCCTTACAGACGGTGCCAGCATTCCGCCCACCTTCCCAACTCATCACGCCTTTCACGAGCTCATCGTACCCGAAGTCCCCCCCGCTGATCTCCTCCCTGCCGTCCCCGACTGGTGGTTCGCCACTATCTGCTCCTCAGACCGCTTCCGCCGTCCGATTTCTCGCCGCCCCGGCTATCCCATGGGAATCCCTGCACGCCGCCGCCGCCGCCGCCTCCTCCTCCGCCGGCGGTGAGTTCGCGTTTTCCTTACTGCTCCAACCCCATTATCATCCCCCCCGATCGGGAATGGCGGCGCCGGTCCTCCTCCACCACGTAGTGGGGGATCTGACGCTGGGGAAGCCGGATCTGGTGGAGTTCTACGACACGGAGACATTGGAGGCGGCGATCAAGGCCATCAGCGAGCAGAACGAAGGGGCCATCGCCGTCTGGAGGAATCGCGGGGCGCAGACCCCCTCGATTCCGGGGGAGGATCCCAAGGTGACCAGTTTTGTGGGGATGCTCAACTCGCTGGACGTGGTGGCCTTCATCGCGCGCGTCGGGAACCACGAGACGGCGCTCCGGTCCCCGGTCTCCGAGGTGGTCACCCCAAATTCCTCCCTCCTCAAGGAAGTAGATCCCGGGACCAGGTTTGTTGCCCTCAATTGGATGAACAACGCGGCTCGTCATGTCGATTTAGTCGAGCTTCGGTGCCTTCTCGAGCATTATCATCTATTTCTTCAATAATCGCAATAAAAAAAATATATCTGCTGCCATTACTTTATGCATGGAGAGATCCTCGAACTTTGGTTTCTGATTCCGAGATTACGGTTATGTAAATTGATCGGAGCATTATCATCTCAATTTCTGGATTTCGTCGCTCGAACCCTAAGCTGCCTCGATCGAGGTTGACGATTGGTATTGATCGTACTGATGAGAATCTCCGCCTGAAACGCTCTTCATGCGGATCAACTCTGATCTAATGCCATAATCCTGGCATTTAGATTAAGTATCCGCTGGTTTTCGTTTATCAGATGATGAAATTGACAACAGGCTTGAACAACATACTGGGGAATGTTCTTCTCTTCAAATTCTGGGTGAAAACATTTTCAATCGGGCTCCGATTTCTGAACTTTGCTGTCACTGGTTTCGATTCGATCTTTGATCCAAGCTTAAATCTTCTCTCACCCTTCTTTTCTGTCTATCGCCTCTTATTTCTCCCTGTTGATCTCGATCTTCTCGAATAAACTTATTCAGCCTCGAAAATCTTCCTGGGAATGAATCCAACCTCGTTTTTCTACAATGTGCATATGAGCAGGATATTTCCCCGTGTCGATCTGATTATCGATGGAGAAGAAGAAGATCTTGTTTCCGCGTTTATATCTTCGTATTATTTTCTTCAAGGATAATTTCTGTTCTCCGTCACCGATTATATTTCCTGCTTCACTCTTGCGTCGATTAATCGTAATCTTAATCTTATTCATCAACCATTCATAATTTCCTCGCTAGAACTTCCTCCGAGTCGTCAGCATTTATTTTTCTAGCTCTGATCCTTTAAATTTCTTAGAAACTACCCGCGAGAGAACTTATCACCATGTTGATATCAATTCACATAGTTCAAATCGAAGTATATGACTTATAAGACTTTATTTTCTTTCCCGATTAAAGCCCGGATCAGATCTCTTTTCCTCAATCTGGGTTCTTTTTTTTGTTTGGGTTTGACTGATGAAGGCTGCTCGACGCACTGGAGATGATGAAACAAGGAGTCAGGCGTCTCCTCGTCCGCAAGACCGTGGCGTGGAAGGGCATGAGCAAGCGTTTCTCCGTCGTCTTCAACGGCAGATGGATGAAGAGCTACGAGTCAACGGTCGTCGCCCCCGCCGGAACCAGCAGTAGGCCGACGTCGCCATCATCCTCCTCGTTCTGCTGTCTTTCCAGGGAGGACGTGGTCCGGTTCCTCATCAGCTGCCTCGGGGCCCTCGCGCCGCTGCCGTTGACCTCCATCACAGCCCTCGGCGCCGTCTCCCCCCACTACTGCCACGTGGAGGCCTCTTCGCCGGCGCTGGAGGTCGCCGGAAAGGTCCCCGAGGATCCCTGCGCCATCGCCGTGGTGGAGACCGCCGACGACGGCGCGCAGAAGATTATCGGGGAGATCTCCGCCTACAAGCTCTGGAAGTGCGACTACCCGGCCGCCTCGTGGGCCATGGCGAGCTTCTCGGCGGGCCAGTTCGTCACCGGCTTCGAGGAGGAGGGCGTGGCGACGCCACCGGGGATGGCCGGCTTCTCGGTCGCCGCGGCGGCGGAGGAGCGGATCCTGGGGGCCGCCGCCCCCCGGCCGAGGAAGTTCAGCAGCCGCAGCATCGGCTTCTTCAGCAATCAGTCGAGCCCGGGGGGGGGGCGAGGCCTGGGAATGTACAGGGGGAGGAGCAGCCCTCTGATGTGCCGGAGGACCAGCTCCCTGGCAGCGGTCATGGCGCAGATGCTGTCCCACCGCGCCACCCACGTCTGGGTCACTGAGCCCGCCGGTGGTGGAGGTGGGGGCGGAGGCGGGAGCGGCACCGCCGCCGACGACGTCCTCGTCGGCGTCGTCAGCTACACCGACATACTCCACGCGGTGACTAGGAACACCGCAGGCGGCGCCGCCGCTCCTCCTCTCTGCTTTGGTGTGTAAAAATCGAGTTTTTTTGGTCAGAGAAATGTTTCGACAGATGGTTCTTATCAGTCAGCGCCGGATTCCGAGTCGTGTGACTCGGACTGGGCCGAGTGAGGCCGAGTTGTGCCGCCCGGTGAAGGGGGCCAGCGGGTCACGTGCAACGCGTTTTGCTTGCATTTTCGAATGCCTTTATAAGTGGTATAGCGCCCTTGTTATATACTAAACGAGTTAATCACATGGATCGCTATTTTCTGAGGAACTTTGAGGCTACTCACCAAGGACTTTCTTGGTGCGAAGCAATCTCTCTCTCTCTCTCTCTCTCTCTCTCTCTCTCTCTCTCTCTGCTGGCACCCAAACTCTGGGAATCCAGGAGCCAACGAGCTGCCGCCGATCAGCGGCGGCTAATTGACCTGATTATGCTGGGTAAGGGTCCGTCCAGCACTGGTCCTCCTCCTCGGCGGCTCTCCATCTCTTCTTAAAGATCTCCAGTTCGGCGTAGGACCGCAGCCTGACCTGTTGAATCGAAGAAAATGTTTTGGCGGGTTAACCACAGTTCCATGCAGAAGAGTTTGGCTGGGCCTGTCAGCGGTTCTCTCTCTCTCTCTCTCTCTCTCTCTCTCTCGCTCGCTCGGATAGCTTACGGTTTACTCCGTTTAACCCTACTTGGTGATAGTTGAACGGAATAAACCGTACTTACGTTTAATCTATCGCGGTTGGGAGAAGATGGCTCAGACGCGCCCTGCAAGATGAGACAGAAACTTTGAGATCATGGAGATGATAGAGAAGGTCTTGGTGAGAGCATTAAACGTCAAACCTTGCCGGGATCAAGGCCCCCGAGAGTGGGGAGACCCTTGTGAACAACGTACTCCGCATCCACCACCCCAATCTTCCTGGTTCTATCTCCCTGTGGCAAGATAGAGAGTCAGTCTCCGGGCAACTTCAACATGGAATCTCTCTCTTTCTCTCTCTCAATAATCAGTTTCTGGGCGATTTCAAGATCAGATTTTTCTGAGCTTACAACAACTGGAGGGTTGGTTACCTGAGCGCAGTAGCCGAGTCTGTAGTCAAGGCCCCACGCATAAATCAGATCGTTCTGAATGGAAGAGAGGAAATCATTTAGAGAGCCTCCATATCCTGTTCAAAGCATAAACCCATGGGAGTGTCATCAGGCCCGGGAAGTCCGGAGCCGACCTTGAATATTCCCTGTGTCGGGCCTCGTAATCTAATAAAGGAAAAGGTACAGCCCGGTCAACGCCCTGCCTGGGTCGGTCTCGGGTGTTATAGAATTTGTTCTAGAAGCCCGGAGAGCTGGATCAGAATCAGTCGGCCTGGGCCGGGACTTCAGATGGGTTCAGCCCGATACCATTTTCCGGGCTTTTCGTCACGCCCGGGGCGGGAGCCGGGCCTGGAGAAAAGCCCGGAAAATAAGTCTGATCGATGTACGAATCGGGGTGGTAGAGAGAGATCGAATACCTGAATCATATGCCATGCGCAACGCCAGGCCGCACTCGTGAAAACAGGAGCCATCATTTCTACCCACCTGGAAGAAAAAAAATAAAAAATGGAAATTCCACAAAGAAAATATTAAGAAAAATATAATGGAGATTTATGCTCGTAATAAAATAAATCAAACCACGAAAAGCCAATTGGACCATGGTATTCCACATTGAGCATTTAATTCAGATACATTCCTTCCAACGGAAGGGGAAACATAATTGAGACTATGACGGGAAATCTTTGGTGATATATTATATAATAAATTTACATAATCCTAATTTCTTGGACCATTTCCACAAATAGACGAGGCCCCAAGTCAACGATCTTCCTGGTCAACTGGCCAAATTGGGTGCAAGAAAACAGAAGAAACCTTGTCTTACCCTGTGCAAGGAGGACCAGTGGAGTTCTCAAGACATCCCTTACCACCAGTTAGTTTATAGAATCTCCTGCCATGGAAAATGAGAAATTAATTTTTTAGGTCTATATTTTTTTGCCTCGTCTCCAATTAAAAAAATTAATTAATTAAAACCTGTGGACTTTATTTCTCCGCTGTCGGGCAGTGATAGAATGATGAACGCTAGACCCACGTCCGGTTTTCAAGGCTGGTTGAGATATCTCCAGTCCTTCCTCCCTGACGATCTCTAAATACCTGTTAACGATAACTCCACAATGAATAAAATATTTTATGAATGCCAAAATTGGTATGGCCCGATAAGTTGCCGGCCGCACCGTCCAGGGTGGAAATTTTCGACCCCGAGATCTTCATCCCACAGAAAAATATAACTATATTCGGAAACTATGTCTGGATGTAAGAATCGTTTGGCAAACCACCTGGGAAGAGAAAAATGGGGATTAATCGAGGAAAATAAAATTAAAAGATTCTTCGTGATTTGATGATACCATTTTGTCTGATTGACTGCATAGACATGAATAGCTTTGTCACACCAAGGAAAGCCTCTCCATTCGTCCACAGCACGGTCATAGTGGAAGAGCATCACATGAAAGTCGCTGGAAAAGAACTGCCCAAGTGATGAAAAATAAATTTAACTCTTTTTTTTTTCCTTTTGAAACCACAATAATTTATAAAAATTAGGTTAAAGAGTTTGTAATTTTTTATTTACCTTTGTAACGATTTGATCGACGATTTCCTTCTGCTTGATGCCCACAGCGATGGCCAGTAAGTTCTTCGAACTTATCTGATTTCGTAAAATATTAAATGATGAGACAAACAATCGTAAAGATCATGAGGTACCCATCGAAATTTCATCGTTCCTTATGTTCTTCATCGCCGTGATTAAAATCCAAATCGTAAGCTAAATCGTAAGACAAACAAACCTTTCTTCTCGGAGCCCCAAATAATGACCTCATTTCCAAGTCGGATGTTGCCTTAATTATTCCTCTGGGCAGTGTCTCGCTTCCTAGAGGCTTCTGTAACTATAAGAGCGTCAAAAAATAATTATTATAATAATCAGATACGCCAATTTTTCGCGGTATTAAATGAAATAAAGAAGGTGTTATGGAAATAAAATATTTTTAGCAGACCCATAAATAAATAAAAACCTTGCATATACTGGATTCGATTCTCTGCGTAGAATTAATTTCTTCGACTCTTGGGGTATATTGCGTATTATCCGTAGAACCCTATAATAACATGAATGCCTTATAAGAGTTTACACAGGTAAAGAGCAGAAAACTAAATTACATTAATGAATCGAAATATTAGAGAAGAAAAAACTAACAATCCATTAAAACCCACATTAAATTAAGAGAGGGGACTAACCACGTTTCGGTCGCCAGAGTTGAAGCTGCACCTGATAACGACAATAATGCAGGCCAGCATAATAAAAGAGTAAGCGCTTAAGAAGCATAACTTCCAGTTTATGGCGTGATTCCTGTGAATGGAAACCTGCAAGGGAGAAGGTTGCTCAAAGCCTTAAACTGGTTTCATATTTATCTCGTAGAACAACAGATAAGAGAAAAAATAATCGCCACAGATAATCCCAGCGAGAGCTGGGCTGTTCTTCATTAAATTCTGCGTTTTCTACGGTGGGTAAGCCGACCTTGGAGTGGTGGTGCTGGTGATCTATCTGATGAACCGTATTTCAAACAAAGAAATAGAAGAATAAGAAGAGGCAGAGAGAAAAATAGGGGACAAAAGTGTTTCTTCCCAACGAAATTCTTGCCATCGAAGATCTAGTGTAACAGATAAAATAGAAAATTAATCGACCACAAGCTCCCAAAATAGTGTTCTTCGTGGAATCCAGGAGCGAGGGGTGTCGCAGAAAGGTCAAGGTGTTCTTCGTAGGATACATTGTTTGTTCTCCGGTGGATCATATTCGGAGAGATGAATTCACCAGCAAAGATCCCATAGAACAGATAAGAAAAAAATAATTCAACCTGACCAACACCTCCCAAAAAAAAATCAGGGATAAGTTCATGGTGCTCTTCGCGAAATTCTCTATTTTTTCTCCGGTGAATTATATTTGGAGTAACGAATTCACCTGAAAATATGAACAAAGCGAGTGGAGTCCGTGTAGTGAATCATACTTGAGTGCAGAAACAGGATGAGATCTTGTTTACGAGGAAAAGCAAACCAAGTTTGGAAAGGAGACTCAGCCTAACGGGAAATCCCGCCGTGTGAGCAGCCGGCAGGTAGAAGAATCGCCCGTGGTCGACTGACATGATGGGCGAGAGCTAATGGTGAAGACACTGCTTGGGAAGAGAAATATGAGAAGTCCGGATTCGTGGAATCATAGAAAGATTACCTGCGAATAATCCGAGCGAGAAAACTCGGTAAGATGGGCCGGAAGGAAGTAAAAAGGTTTGAGATGGTGAAGGTCGAGCGGGGAAATCCAGCGGGAACCCGAGCAGTTCATTAGCAGAACAAGGATCGGATTCACAAAGAGGAGGGAAATTCGTGAACGTATGGATCGAAAATCAGGAGGAGGATGAGGAGACCGAGGATTACCATCGGTGAAGAAGCTTTGGAGGATACCCGCCCCCTCCCAGGAAAACGGCCCGTCACCCAATTCAAGGCGCATAAGGGGAAGAGAAGCGGATGGCAGAGAGAACGTAGGGGGAGATTGCTACAAATCCTAGGTATGTATTGGAATTCGGACGTGCCGGTTCGTCATTCGAGCGAGCTAGAGAGAGAGAGAGAGAGAGAGAGAGAGAGAGAATATGTTGGTTTTTGACTTCTGTTCTTCCCGCGGGAGGACAATCGCAGGTGACCATTTCGCTGGTTCCGAAATGGCGTCAATAGATTAAACAAATGTGAATATTCCGCAGGCGAGTAGGGACAAACACAGAAGAGGAGAGGGAGAGAGAGAGAGAGAGAGAGAGAGAGAGGGAGGGAGGGGAATTGTTCTCTTTGGCGGAGGCGTGTAGAAAGAGTAGTTGGGAGTGGACCGGCGGATGACCCGTGAAGCTCTTCCTTTACCGTGGCGGCGCCGCCACCCTCAGGAACAGCATCACCCCCCACGGCGCCACGGGCGCCGCCTATTTCCATACGATGAGCTGTATTCTATTACCGTTATTCTTTCTGTCCCTTCCGATTCTGCCCTTCTCACACTTCTCCAAGTTCAGCCGACACGACTCGGTCACACACTCGCTTCCAACTCAGTCGTCACTCGCTGCCAACTTATGAGGTAGAAAAAACACGCGTCCCCGGATATTTTAAAGAAAAAGCAATAAATATTAATATCCTCTGTTCGCTCTGAAAATGAAAACCCATTAAATATAAAATAATTTCGAAAAACCTTTAAAATAATGAAAACAGTACGCGGACTCCACGTCCACGTCATGAGGTGGTCCGTTGCTCTGGTGCCATCCGGGTTTTAATGGAGCGGGGTCGACTCGGATCACTCGGACGGGAAACTCGGTTGCCGGTGTAATTGCACTAAGGAGAGGGGCTTTTCTGAACATATTTCCGAAACCAGGGATACTAGACTGTGGAGGGGACCCTACGTGAAGGGTAAGAATGTAATAAAAAAAATAGTGACTAAAGCAACAGGAAGCAGGCCCCACGCCTGACGGCTAGAGAACGCAGACGAGTGACGTAATGATCGATCCCAACCCGTCGGCCATGAATACTACGGATGTCAACGTGCCTTGGAAGACCCATGCCCAGTCCCAGAGAGAGAAAGAGGAGGTGCGAGAAAGGAGGGAACAGAGGGTGTTGGGTCCCTCCCTCTCTCTCTCTCTCTCTCTCTCTCGGTTTATCTCTATATCTCTCTCTTTATCTATCATTGGTCATCTAACTCCTTTAAAGGCAGCTACCCTTCAACTCGTCTGTCGGCTAAGGCGGTGAATGACAGAGGAGGTTTTGTGCGTTTCAATGAAGATGTGAGAAAGAGAGAGGAGAGAGAGAGAGGGACCCAACGCCGCGCTCTCAGACGAGAGAAATGGCGTCCGTGAGGAGAGAGAGACTGAAGAGGGAGGGAAGAGAGAGAGAGAGAGACATTTTCTGAGCTCGACGACGGGAGAAGAACTCGATTATGGCTGCCATTCAATGTAGATGAGGGGAGAGAACGACCTTGCCGTCTCTTATTGCATGACGCACCGGTCTGAAATAGAAAGTCAATAAGAGAGAGAGTGAGAGAGAGAGTCTTCTATCTCTTTCTCTGTTCTCTGGGGTTGTCCGATTTGGGCAGCCATAGGGCCCACCGCCTGTCGTTTCAAACTGGGTCGTGGATAAGAGTAGAAGAGCAGATGAGGGGCTACCAGTCCCGTTCATAGTAGATGGCCCAGTGGGCCAGTCAACCCTTTTCCCTGCAAAGCATGGGCCCATTGGGTTGCCTGCTCTCCCCCTATATGGCCCGCCAGCCACTCTCTCGAACGCGCTTCTGCACGTGTATGGGAAGGAAGGGGGTATTTTCGTTGACATTTTGATCTTTAGAAAATATTATTTTTTCATTATTTTATCTGTTAATAAAATATATATTTATTTCTACGATATATGCGTGATTAAGAATAAGCTTTCTGTATTTTAAAAGGGAAATATCCTTGAATCCCATTTGCAACCGAACGGATCTGGGCTGGTTTTACTGGGCTTGGCATTAGAAAAACCCTGAAGTCATATTGGGCTGTAATTGGGTTGGTAAACAACATATGAGACCCAACAAGCCAAAACGAATCATCTGGCTTTCCCAATTTGAGGCGGACGGGCCAGGCCCGGGCCAGGCTTACTTTGTGCTAGGGGAACAGGCCTGAGCAGGTATGTGGTTCAAATAAATCGGGCCGGGCCTAAGAAAACAGGCCCGTTGAAATGGGATGAATTATTTGTAGCGATAAATGGGCATGATCTTTCTCGGGATTTCCGGAATAAGCCCGAAAGTTTTGGTCGTAAAGGGCCTTATTTCTTCTTTCGGGCCAATTTTGGGCCAAAATCCGAATACGTAGGGAGGCCCGGTGGATGTCTGGACTAATTGGGTCCAGTTAATGATCAAATAAAAATCTAGGAAGATTTAAATATTTCGGTAGTCTCATATGGTACGTAGCGATGTGTATTCTTTATGTAAATATAGGACAAATAATGACTTAAGAGTCCGATCGGGGTCCACATAAAGAGGACTATATATTATTGTTGCTCTAATTTCTTCTTCGCTGTGCTCGGCGGCGCTCGCCTTTGGTCGAACCCACAGCGAAGAGAAGGGGATTCTGGGGAATTGGGAATTGCCGGAGGACCTCCCGGGAGTCAGTGGTTGAAAGGAAGTTGATCCTAATCCTGCCGGGCCTCCCAAGGTACTTACGATTGACTCCGATTTTCTTTCGTCTCCTCGCGCACGCCTCCGGAATATGCCTTCGGTCGCCGTCTCCGGGGAGTTTTTCTTCTGTCGGATTTTTGGGGTTTTCGTTTTTACGATTTGAAATTGGAGAAAGTATTTGGTTGTTGGAGGTTTTTTGGCGATCCGCGTGCTAATCTTGTTGTAGTTTCAGCCATCACTTTATTTGATTATTTTGGTTTCTGACTTTAGGAATTCCTTTCTCCCCGTCGTAGACGTATATTGTTATAGCGGTTGCCCGACTAGGACGAAAAAAATTGTCAATTGTGGCAGGCTGCTTATTATTTATTTTTTCCTATTGAGTTGTTTTGATTTTACGTTTCTTGCCCTTGTTGTGTATTTGTGCCTAAATTTGATTATCTTGAAGCATTTTTGCGTGCGTCCAGTGTTTCGAGACCTTCAGAGCTAGCATGAGTGCGAGGGTATCATCCAAGCGACCTTCTCGGAGGTGCACGTCGGAATCTAACAGCAGCAATGGGAAGATAATGCTGAATGTGGATTTGAACATGAACTCGGACGCATCGTATGGCAGTATCCATGCGCATGCCCCTCCTCCAAGAATGGCTGCTCCAGTAATGCCACAGTCAAATCAGTCTGTCGGGCAACAGTCTACTACCCTGCAGTCAAATGCACCCATCGATGTTGAGGCAATCGATGATGATGTGGTGCTGCTGCCGTCGTCAAGAGATTTCCCTCAGGTTCGCTCAGCAAGAGTGTTCTTTTCCTTTTATCATTTCCTTCCTAGTATTTCTTTGAGATTATTCCAGAACCATTAAAAGCTGAACGAGTGAAAATGGTAAAATTGTGCTAACTTTTTTTTCTTTTTTATCTGTTCTACTGGAGTGTGCTGTACATTGACCACGGAAGCAGTTTTAGGTAGCACTGAAACCGTTTCATTTTTTAAAATTACGGGTCGCAGTACTGATACGATCAATTACTCCCCCAGCTGCTCATGGAGGATATGTCCTGTCAGAGCTCAGTTTTTTTTAATTAACTTGAATATCTAATTTAATATAAAGTCGGTAATTTTGTGATTATTTTTTTTATTGTCATCAATTTCTACCCGTTTGGGTTATTTTACGTACAAGTGATTAATATGGGTTAAGAATAAATGTGGATGCAAAAGATATATTGTAAAAAATCTCTTTTCATCTGCAAGAAGACGACTGAATACAAAAATGCTCCGCGATAATGAGCGTTGAAAACTTCTGGTTATCATTGTTCCTTATTTTATCGTTATTTATTGATTTTATTTTTAGATTAAATAAATTACTACTTTCCTCAAGATGCTCTGTATGAAAAATTACTGCATGGAGAAGTTGATTACATCCGTACAACAACGTGTTGATCAAACAATTTTATTTTCCCAAGCTGATTTGATTTTGTTTAGCTTGTTGCTTGTGCTCTTGTCAACTTTCTTATCCTTTTTAACTTCATGGATGAGGTTAACTTTGACCTTATCTGACTCATTTTTATATATGCATTTGGGCATGCTATGTGCAATGTGCATTATGTAAATTAAGCTTTCCTTCTTGTCACTCCTTCCAATGATTTCGTAACTTTTGTCATCAATGCGTTTGCTTTATGTTAGTAATGCTCAGTGTAATGAGATATAACCTTTAGTATTGAACTCTTGGGCAGCTATACTTACTATCAGAGAGTGGTGAATTGTTTCGTGCAATTTCAATATGTTGAATTTACATCTATGGTGTCGCAAATATTTACACAAATGATTTAAGAGATTTATTGTGGTTCAATCATCTTGACCTACCTTATTCTCTAATTAGTTGTTATTAAAGTTTCCACTTAATTGCATCATCATATTAGAAGTTGATTTAAATGTGCTAACTGAACCTTCACACAGAGTCAAACTTTCATTCATATCAGATTTACTTTAAAAAATGTGAATAAATGCAAAATGAACTTAGAAAGCCTGTGGCAAGGTTGGAGAAGATGAACACAACACTTTTAAGTGGTCATACAACCTTGAGTACTGAAGCTTTTTGGAGCGGATGCGATTTCTATATTCTTGGAAATTTAATCAAGGAGCTTTTAACAAAGAGTCACCAGTAATTTCTGTTCACACCTCTGTTCTGGCGTGTTATTTTCTTCATGGATTAGCCCCGAATTTTATTGGCGGCCATCTACTATTCCATCAGGTTCATTCAAAAGTCCTTTCATTTCGTCACCTAAAATCATGCATGATATTTACACATTAATAAAAGAATGGGGAGTTTTACCAGTAAATTCAAATTTTCAGTTTCAGCATATCTTATCAAATGATTTTGTTTCTGTTCAACCGTTCCAAATATCGCCAATTATTTCTCTTTGGCATGATCGTTTTTGGGTAACTACGTTTTTGTTAAAACAGAACTCAAATTAATGCGAGTGACTCTGCTAGCAATGCTGCTATTAGACTGCATTATCATTTCTTATCGTACAGGGTCGGAACAAGTCCAGGAGAACTCGCCCCATTACAGTAATCTTAGATGAAGATTTAGATGTCCAAGTGGGGCCTTCAGGTTAGTTTCTGTCTTTTTTATTATTATTATTATTTCGGTTGATGCTAGCAAGTATAGAATACAGATATTCTATATTTCGGCTTCATTCCTTTGTTCATATTTCTCTTGCGTGATCTCTAAAACACTCTCTAAAGAAGTAAAACCACTGAAAATCTGTGACGTAACCTTATGGCTTACCTGATGCGTTTTATAGAAAGATCATTTCATTTTAAATTTTCTTGCTGCTTACAGTGGCTCTCCACTTCTCTGCATGCGACCTGGATTTTCCTCCTAAACGACATTACTGACAGGATGTCATTCTACTGTTTTGCATCATGGAACCTTTTCATTTTAGTTTAATTCTCCATAAGGTTTTTGGTTTCCTCTAATTGATGTTTACTATTCCGTATCTCCATTACATTCCAAAATCTCAGGAGTGTTCCAAGTTCAGCGGAAAGTTTTGCATCTGAAAACTTTCGCCGATATTGATTTTTTATTTTAGTATTTTTGTGACTTATCATTTTCTTCGATTTTTAATATGAATGACACTTCTGCTGTCGATTTTCATAAACATTTCCCTGTTTATGAGAGAACAGGTACTATTTTTTTTGCCAAATTTTTTGATTGCTATTTTCAATGTATGTGTTATGTTTGTCACTCTACCAATGTTTTTGAGAAATAATGAATCTAGGACCAACAGAAAGGAAAATTAATGTAACCCTAGTTGTGGTTTTCATGCCATCAATGTTCCCATCAAGGTGGGACATCATTGAAATATCTTGGTTAAATCCCTTTTCTTAACTTTGGAAATAATGGATGATATCTATTCGCGTGTTATTTGTCAATGTTCTCACTCTCTTGCTCTCAGGGTTCATCAAATTCCTTCCTTCCCCCTTTTTTTTATTGTGCCAGAAACCTCTGGAAAGCGCTCGTCGGCTAGGCCGTCTGCCAACAATCACAGCAGACAGAAGGTGTCATCTAAGGGCACTGTAATCAACTGTGAAATCTATGAAAAATCGGAACTGGGTCATGAACCCAAGGTCAGTGGCCATTCTCTGCATCGACCATACAAGCATTAATGTACGTTCCTGCATCATATAATCACTTTAACTAGAGAGAGATAATAATCGATTTCCTGCCATAAGTTTTTCAATTCTCCTGCATATTCCATCACAGACTTATTTCCTTGAATCGTGGACATGGATTTTGTCTCAAGTTCATATATATGGGCCTCAGAGAGAGAGAAAGAGAGAAGAGAGGGAGAGAGAGGGAGAGAGAGGGAGGGAGAGAGATGGAGAGAGATGGACAGGGAACAGATCTAAGCTTCTTCAAATTCTTCCTGATGTATTGTTGTGAGATGAAATGATCATGTTTTGTAAAAGAAGGCCAATCGTGATTTTATTTGGTGCTCATCAGCCCCAGATCTGTGTTTAGTGCATTTTCTGATCCGGTTGGCATGTGGCAGAAAAGGTGTGTTTCGAAGAGCTCAGAACCCCAGAGGGAGGCCCCAAAGGAGCCCGCTTTCACCTGCTCCATCTGCTGGGGGCAGCTGGTCGAGGAGACATCGACCATCTGCGGCCACATCTTCTGCCAGGGCTGCATCAAGGCCGCCATCCACACCCAGAAGAAATGCCCCACCTGCAGGAGGCCTCTCACCATGAAGAACATCCATAGGGTTTACCTCTCTGTTACCAATTGAACTAAGGTGGCTCTCTCTCTCTCTCTCTCTCTCTCTCTCGCTCTACATATTTATATATATCTAAATGTGTGTGCATTCTTATCGTTTTCATTTGCAATGTGAAGCAGCAGGAGGCCTCCGCCATTTCTGCTATTTATGCTGGACGTGTGGGTCGGTGGGGTTTTGCGTGGCCAGGCGGTATCTGGGGCTCGCTGAGCATTTCATCAAACAGATGGCGTCCTCCACGAGGGCATCGTATGGAGGAGGTGCCTCCGCTCCATCTGATTGGCCGAGGGAGAGCGGGGGATGCCGCTGTGCCATGTAACTTCGTGATTTAGTAGTGGCACTCAATTGGATATTATTTTATTTTCATAGATATCCTTATCGTGCTGTGGGGCCCACTTAGGTGTCCACCGACTAAGGTCAAGTCCCCTTGAAAGAGGCTGTATAGGGGAGTCAGTCCAAAATTGTAGTCAAGGTCTGAATCAGCTAATTTGACTTTAAAGTGGTCAACCCTCCCGGTTTACGCGGACCATCCTGGCTAGTCAACGCTACAGTGTGTTCAAAATGACAGGGACATTTTGGTCTTTTAAAATAAAATAATCTGAGGTTGTGAAAAAGTATTATTGTTTTATTATCAGCTTTGAGCAATTTATTCAATTTACTAAATAATAATATTTGACTATTTATCAGCAAATGGATATATCCAATACTTTGCGGGTTTTTAGGGGATAAACTTATTTGCGACGCCTTCCCGGAGCCGTCATTCGTATGAGAAAAACACAGTTAGATGCTTCTTTTTTAGTTTCCTCATTGGGGACTTCCTTCAAAATTTCACGCCAGCCAACTGACGCCACGTTACGGTTTCTCCTGACGCCAATTAGTCCGGCGCTTGGATCGCATGAAAACCCGGGACTCCCCATTCGTAACCAACTACGACCCATTCGCCCTTTCGATCCGTTTCGCACGTGTGGAATATCTCACCAACAACTTGACACGTAAACACTCGCTGTCATACGATCTTCCACGTGGACTCTCTCTCTCTCTCTCTCTCTCTCTCTCTCTCCTTAGCGGCAAGAAGCAAAAGCGACCTGCGTGCACAGATTTATATCTCCTCTCTCTCTCGCTCTCTCTCTCTCTTCATTCGCAGAGAAGATCCAGTTGGTTGCTCCTCGTTAATGTTGAATGCACGGGACTGCATCGGTTGACAGGGGATTTTTTTCTTCCTCCCCTCCGAAGAAGTGGGCTCTGGATCTTTCTCTGAGTCTGGGCATCTCTCATTTGAGGACTCGCAGGGCAGTGAGGAGCGCAGACGATCAGAATTCTCTGTTCCGTGGCTTTCTTCGTCTGATTAGTCGTCGAGAGCACTGATCATCATCCCTCTGTTCCCTCTGAGCAGAGGAACAGTGGGATAGAAGCAGGTCCTGCAGGGAAATCACGGAACCTCGGGAAGTGATTTTGGCGTGATATGGCGGGGAATGAGTGGATCAATGGATACCTGGAGGCCATCCTGGACAGTGGCGCCGCTGCGATCTCCGGCGATGAGCATGGCCAACAGAGGGGGATGACGTCCCCGGCGTACTTGAAAGAGAGCCCTCGAGGAGGTGGCGCCACCGCTGCAGGCGCCGGAGCCGGGATCGACGAGCTCAACACAACGAGGTACTTCGTCGAGGAGGTGGTGACGGGAGTCGATGAGACCGACCTCCATCGGACGTGGATCAAGGTGGTCGCCACCCGCAACACACGTGAGCGGAGCTCCCGCCTCGAGAACATGTGCTGGCGTATCTGGAACCTCACCCGCAAGAAGAAGCAGGTCCCCCCTCCATCTTCCTCGGCCGAATTCATCGCCTTCTCCGTGTCTCTGCGCGCGCATTTTCTGAAGTTTATGCTTCTAATAATTGGGAGACGTAATTTTATATACATTGCACACTCATTGTTTTTTATTGTACTTTTGAATAGATGTTTGTTTCCTTTCATTGGAATTAATATAAATTATACGGCAGCCAGAGCTGGGACTAGGTTTTTACTGGGAAAACGCCTTGAAAATTTTTGTGAAGTCAAGAGAAATAGTCGCATAAATAGTATGAAATCGACTCAGAGAAATCGTCAGGACCTTCTTAGCAAGTAAGTTGCGTCCATTTTGGGGAAGCATCAATATTATGCATTCATTTCTTACTAGAGAAATGGAGATGTCTGGTCTTCTGGGGTGATCTGGTTCTTCGGTCAGGAGTTCCAACCTTGGAAATGCTGCATTCTTGTGATTCAAAATAATGCCGAATTATCTTGCCATGGGAAAATAGAGCACTCGTGAGTTTTGTTCTTCATTCCTTCTCATCATGCATTGTCGTTCATGATCTTTTTTGTTCCCATGAAAAGGGAGCTGTTCTTCAGTAAATGTTGGAATTCCGAGTTTTATATAGCAGCATAAGTATGTCAGGGGAAAATGAAGGTTTTATTTCTGTGTAATAGTGATGTTTCTTATTCATCAGATCTCTAAGATTTCTGGACTTAAGTTTTTATTTTTGATGAACATCAGAAGACAGGAGCTCGAGCTTTTTTCCACCTACAAGGATCCTTTCGCCTTCGTTTAATCTTATCATTCATTGAACATATTCAGACATAGGAGTAGTGTATATGTGGGAACAAAAATTGTGTAGTCATACTAAGCGAATGAATATGATTGGATAATTGATCTCTGAGAATCGTATGCATGTATATGAACAATGAACAGCTTGAGGCGGAAAATCTCCAACGAACGGCTTGTCGGAGGTTGGAGAGGGAACAGGGGCGGAAGGATGCTACTGAGGACATGTCAGAAGACATGTCGGAGGGGGAGAGGGGGGACACAGTTGTAGAGATTGTACAGGCTGAAACTCCAAGGAAAAAATTTCGAAGGAACTTTTCCGATCTCCAAGTCTGGTCCGACGATAACAAGGGGAAGAAGCTCTACATTGTGCTTATTAGGTACATATTCTCTTTTCTAAATTTACTCTCTTTCTCTCTCTTTTTGTTTGATCAGAGCCAACAAGTGTAAGAGCCTTCTGAAGGAGATTACATTCTTGCGGACAAATACTGTCTACTCACTAGGTTACAAATCTTCTGTGGTCTCCGTATAAATCTGATTTAAGCACTAATTCCTCCTGCGCATTCTCCAGCTTGCATGGCCTTGTGCGGGGGGAGAACATGGAGCTCGGCCGAGATTCAGACACAGGGGGGCAGGTAGCACTGATTCAGGCATTTACTTAAATGACGAGAAGAAAAGAACTAAGATCTGACTTTTCCTATTTCCCCATGAAAATTCAGGTCAAGTACGTGGTGGAGCTCGCCAGAGCGCTTGCAAGGATGCCTGGCGTATACAGGGTGGACCTCTTCACTCGTCAGATATCATCCCCTGAGGTGGACTGGAGCTACGGAGAGCCCACAGAGATGTTGACCGCAGGACCAGAGGATGCAGATGGGAATGAGGCTGGGGAGAGCGCTGGAGCCTACATAATCCGCATTCCATTCGGGCCAAGGGACAAGTACCTGCCCAAGGAGCTCCTCTGGCCTTATATTCAGGAGTTCGTCGATGGGGCTCTGGCCCACATCCTCAACATGTCCAAGGTTCTGGGGGAGCAGATTGGTGGGGGGCAGCCAGTCTGGCCTTATGTTATTCATGGGCACTATGCGGATGCAGGAGACAGCGCTGCCCTTCTCTCTGGCGCTCTTAATGTTCCCATGGTGCTTACGGGTCATTCACTTGGGAGGAACAAATTAGAGCAGCTTCTCAAGCAGGGGCGCCAGTCGATGGAGGACATCAACGCGACTTACAAGATCATGCGGCGGATAGAAGCCGAAGAGCTCTCCCTGGACGCCGCCGAGCTCGTGATCACGAGCACCAAGCAGGAGATTGAGCAGCAATGGGGTCTGTATGATGGGTTTGACGTGAAGCTCGAGAAGGTGCTGAGGGCCCGATCCAGAAGGGGAGTCAGCTGCCATGGTCGCTACATGCCGAGGATGGTGGTAAGTATGATCTCTCGAGCTTCATTATTGACTTCATGATTTGAAGCAGCACATGGGCACGTAGGTATGTGAAGAATGATGCACCAAAGAAATGGCTCAAATGTGTGCCGTCCTCCGGAATGCAGCCTCCATATGTTTCGGAAGCTCCTATACGAACAAATGCGCATCGTGTTTGACTTGAAGGAATTCCCTGAGAATTCCATCTATGGTTCAAACTTCAGCAAAAATCATGCATGTCACTCCCAAATTTAGTAAATACATCATGTTCAGGATCAAACTTGTGGTTGGAGACAGCATCCTCTAACCATTTCTCTCTTTTGTAAGGTAGAATAAATCAAACTTAGCGAACTGTCTGCAACTATACCGAAACAGCGAAGAGTGTACAGTCCTGATTGCGTTTGCAACAACTTGTGATTCATTTTTGTGATAAAATGGCAGTTTTAAATCTTCAAACTTGCTTCTTTCCTTAGGTTATCTGGCCTGGTATGGATTTCAGTAGCGTCACAGCTCAGGAAGACGCATCCGAACCAGATGGAGAAGCTGGAACAGCATCCGCTGTTAGCGAAGGAAGCTCTCCCAGGGCACTTCCGCCGATATGGTCCGAGGCAAGTAAACCCCATCAAGTGAAAGCCTGTTCTCTTTCCTCTATCTGAGGGGCATCTGATGAACCCGTCTCTTTTTTTCCTTTTTTGTGCCCTTTTTTTCTTTTTAAGGTAATACGCTTCCTCTCCAACCCTCACAAACCGATGATCCTGGCCCTGTCAAGACCCGACCCCAAGAAGAACATCACCACCCTCTTGAAGGCCTACGGGGAATGCCGCCCCCTGAGAGATCTAGCAAATCTGGTAAGAAATTCAAAATTTTACCCAGAAACCCATTTAAATCTTCGCCATTAACTCACGATTTTTCCTTCTTCAGACGCTGATAATGGGGAACAGGGACGACATCGACGAGATGTCCCCCGGCAACGCGACTGTCCTCACCACTGTTCTCAAGCTAATCGATAAGTACGACCTCTACGGGCTGGTCGCCTACCCGAAGCACCACAAGCAGTCTGACGTCCCCGATATTTACCGGCTTGCGGCAAATACAAAGGTTCGTATAAATGAAATGCATAATTTCCTCAAAGTGGAAGGCCTTTGGGTAACAGAATCTGAATTCTTGCTGGAAACGGAAACATTATTTCAGGGCGTCTTCATAAACCCAGCTCTGGTCGAGCCATTCGGCCTCACTTTGATCGAGGTCCGCGCTATTTTCTCACCGATTGGGGTTTTTCACCGCAAAATAAATAAATAAATCTAAAGTGGCTTCCTCGAAAATACACAGGCTGCTGCCCACGGGCTCCCAATGGTGGCCACCAAGAACGGAGGCCCGGTGGACATTCATCAGGTAAATATCTCTGCTCTCAAGGGCCCGCCGCTGAGCCCGCCCGGGGGGGGGGCATCTTTTCGCGCTTTCCACCGTGCCTCATTCTTCTCCGTGTACTTCCAGGCTCTGAACAACGGGCTACTGGTGGACCCACACGACCAGGCGGGAATCGCCGACGCGCTGCTGAACTTGCTGGTGGAGAGGGCCACGTGGCACGAGTGCCGCCGCAACGGGTGGAGGAATGCCCACCTCTTCTCCTGGCCTGAGCACTGCCGCACTTACCTTACCAGGGTGGCCGCTTGCCGCATGAGGCACCCGCAGTGGCAGCCGGACACCCCGCTGGACGATGTCGCCGCCGGCGAGTCCCTCGGGGACTCCCTCAAGGACGTCAACGAGTCCTTCCTCCGCCTCTCCGCCGACGGCGACAAGACCTCCCTCAACGGCACGCCGGAGCAAGACCCACAAGAACCGGGGACGGCGCCGCCGGAGCTGGATGACCAGGTGAATAAGATCCTCAGCCAGATCCGACGACCCTCTTTTGTTGTTGATTCGCAGCCCGTCCCCCCGCCGAATGCGGCGGCGCTGAGCAACTATCCGCTCCTCCGCCGGCGGCGGCGGCTCTTCGTGGTGGCGCTGGACTGTTACGACGACTGCGGGCGGCCGGAGAGGACAATGGTGCAGACGATCCAGGAGGTGTTCAGGGCCGTCAGGCTCGACTCCCAGCTGGCCAGAATCTCGGGCTTCGCCCTCTCCACCGCCATGCCCATCTCGGAGACGCTGGAGCTGCTAAGATCCGGGAGGATTCTGCCCACCGAGTTCGACGCCATCATCTGCGGCAGCGGAAGCGAGGTCTTCTACCCCGGTACCTACCGGTGCAACGAGGAAGACGGGAAGCTCTGCCCGGATTCCGACTACGCCTCGCACATTGAGTACCGGTGGGATTACGACGGCGTGAGGAGGACCTTGGCGAAGCTGATGAGAGCCAAGGAAGGGGAGAAAAACGGTGAAGAATCTCAGAGAAAAGTCAGCACAGATGAAGGCGTTCACGAAGATCTGAAATCATGCAGCCCCTACTGCGTCTCCTTCCTCATCAAAAACCCTTCTAGGGTAGGTTTACCCCCATAAAGGGTTTCTCTCCTTCTTTCTTTTCTTCTGACAAAAATCTTATTTTTTTAGCATAAATTTTTCCTTGAGTTTATGAAAAAAAACTTGTTCTTGCCGCTGATGGCAGGCGAGGAGAGTTGACTACTTGAGGAAGAAGCTCAGGATGCGGGGTCTCCGCTGCCACTTGATGTACTGCAGGAATTCCACCCGCCTGCAAGCTATCCCCCTTCTTGCTTCGCGGTCTCAGGCGCTCAGGTATTCCGATCACAGACTGCTTAATATTAATGCATCTGGAAAATTATGATATTTTTGTGATCCAGTTTTTACCCATTTTGACGCCTCTTTTTCGGAGAAATCGGACGATTTCGGGCATATGATTGAGAAATTAATGCAATATATTTGGTGGTTTTACCAACTTTGATGTATGTTCTTCGGATAAAATTGACCGTTTCGATCTATCTGCTTCATGCTCTTCAAGAAAAAGAAAAAAGAAGAAAAAAATAAATCATCCACCTTCGGCGGAGATTTTAGCTTGAATTGATCCTGCAGGTACCTGTTCGTGAGATGGGGCCTGAATGTTGCCAACATGTTCGTGATCCTCGGCGAGAAAGGCGACACGGATCACGAAGAAATGATAGCCGGATCCCACAAGACCATTGTCCTCCAGGGCATCGTCGAGAGGGGCTCGGAGGAGCTGCTGAGAACGGCGGGGAGCTACCAGAAGGACGACATCGTCCCCGGCGAGAGCCCGCTCACCATCCACACCAGCGGCGGCCTGAAGACGGAGCACATCTTGAGTGCTCTCAGGGAGGTATCCAAGGCTTCCAGCGGCAGATAGATCCTCTCTCTAACTTCCTCTTTAGTTAGGGTTTTCTGAGAACGATGACCGAACATGCCGTAGCCGATCGAGAAAAACAACCTGTAGCTTCGACGCTGCTATGGCTCGTTCTGGCGGCCATCGGATCGCGAATTCGCTCGATTGGGGGCGGCGATCCGATTGTGCTTCGCTTCCGTTTGATCGAAAAGTTTTCCAATTAGGACAGAAGCTTCCTTTCGAACCTTGCGACAATTTGAACAGCCGGCTTGATGTGGCATGGCTTCTTCCTCTCTCTCTCTCCCTCATCCTGCTGTTACTCCGTGTATTAAAAAATAATAAATATTTGCGGTTAAAAGTAGTGCCTGGGGGGGCCGCTTATTAAACGTGGAGGAATAAGGGGAAGCCATGTGGATTTTACTTTTTATGTATTGAAATATAATATATATGGGCCTAAAGGCCCAATAATATGTTGGATATTTTGAAGTGGCCCACTTTGGAACCGGCCCAAGTTGTGGCCTCTACCTACCACTGTGTTGCCCCTCTCCACCGGAAAGGACCCCCCCCACTTCGATCGATTCCCCTGTCGTTCCTCTGCTCCCTCGGCCTGAAACCCTAGGCTAGGGTTTTTAGGGGTGGTGTCCGCAGGTGGTGGTCGTCCCTGCGTCGATCCTCTCCTTCCCGTGCTCGTCGGCGCTGCGTCTGGGGGAATAGAAGGAGGGCTCGAGATTGGGGTGTGTGTGTGTGTGTGTGTGTAGGGGGGGGGGGGGCGGCGCGATGTATGCGGATCAGGTTGCAACCGGGAGGAAGCTGTCGGTCAAGGACCGTCTTCATGGCGCCGTGGCGACAGACCTAGGGAGCGGCAGGCAGACGGCGGGCGTTAAGAGGTTGGAGTCGTGCTGGCATCTCTCCCGCTTTTTTTTCGTCGTCTCGCGTTTGCTGCCGCTGGGTTCCCAAGATTGACGCGTTTCTTATCTTGTGTGTCGGATGGTGTCAATCTCCGAAGTCCGACTTTTGATTCATGTTCGTCTTGTAGAGGATGAGATCGCGGTCAACGCGTCAGTTCCCATCTCGTAAATATCATCGCTATGGTTTCAAAGTCAAGCTAGGCTATGTGACTGAGATACGTCGAAGAAGAACCTCTCACGGAAAACCTCAACACTACCTATTCTAAAGAGAAGCGATAGGAAGATTTTCTCGGCAGAAAATGAGGGAAACTATCAAAGAAACATCAAGCTTCTGACCAATCTCTTTCCTAAAGTGATCATTCATAAATTTTTAATTTATATATGTTTTATTATCGAAAATTATCCGTAAGGGCACAGATTTTGGAGTTTCGACCCCCATATTTTTTATTGGACAATTTTACGCACAGAACATTCAAATTCAGTGCAATCTGAAGCTTCATTTCTGACCAGGTTACCATTTGATAATTGTTTTCCGGTGCATTTAGTTGTATCCTTGTATGTCCCTCAATATTCATCTTTCATCCTTCTACAATTTCTGGAAGCTCTTATCCAACATAGCTATTGATCTAATGGGACAGTTTTCTTGATGGATAATGTGCTCTTAGTTCTCTTTATGGTAATTCATGGGAGTGTCGCTATCCTTTTATGCTCCTTTTGGTATGGGTTGATCTAATTCCGAGGGATCCAAAATGATGCTCTTGCCACCTACCACATGACTCGATCTCTGAATCTTAGTTTGCATTTTGGTCAATCTAAGTTGTTACTGATGTGTATCCATGACGGTTGATAAACAGATGAACCGCGTTTCATTTTTAATTCTCTGGTAATTCAAGGACGGTAGTGAAACCGCAAGATCTAAAGTTCGGATGATAGACATAATAACTAGATAAGGGTTCCTCCTCGCTTAATTATGTTTCATGACTTGTCTTCCACGTGGAAATACCCATTTTCTTCAATGTTAATCACATTAAATTATATGCTTTTTATAGCTTTAATCCATTAGTGTACTGCTTCCATTGCTGGTCGTTAAGGTAGATGGTTATGATGGTTTTCTCCATATCCTAGCAACCTCAGGAGGTTGAGTGCTGATTTCATTTATATGATCATGAGCCACACTTATCTTCACATTAACCCGTGGAGTGCATGATATTGAGGAAAGATTGTTATTTTTTTGTGGATATTAATTTTTAATAGAGGAGAAAATACGTGCACAACTTATGGAAGATGATATCATGCCATTACTTACTGAAACTATGTTGCCCTTTTCGATTCAGACGTCGACACACTTTTGGGCTCCGATGACTTTTCTTTCAGTTTATCTTCAGCTCTCTTGGGAATTAATGGAGGTTGCCTCTTTTAATACCATATATGTGGCCTTATTTGGAGTCAGTCGTCCAATCTAGGTCATGATCAGCTATGCCATATTTGGATGGGCCACTGCGGATTTAGAAAAAAATGCTGTGCGATAATTAATCCCTTTCCCATCCTTATTTACGATCTTATTCAGTTTTTTTTTGTTTTCCTCCTAAAATGTGTATTACTTTTAGTATGATATTCGGCTTAGAACTTGAGAGATTATCTAATGCAGGCAGCGCCCAGAGGATCTCAAATGGAAACACGACCTCTACACGGACACTGACGGGCCCCAATCTTCAAGTACTTACTTTCCCAGTGTATACACAAAATTTGCTCGAGTTTCTTAGTTCTCTTACTTCGCCGATGCTAAATTATCTTAATTTTTCTAATTACGGGATATGAAGGACCGAGATTTGGGGACAGAGATCTCCGCCTGAAGCTCCAGAGGAAGAGCTCAGGGCAGTTCCAGCAGGGAGGGAGGAACCCGGGCGTCAGGGATCTTCGTGAGAAGCTGTCTGGCACAATGCACTCCCAGCCGGGCAATGGCGATCCATCCAAGGCCAAGGCAGCAGCGGTAGTGCCAGAGGTCGCTAGAATAGCCAAGCAAAGTGTTCCATCAGCCGAAGAACCCCCCCTGGAGACCAAGAAGGTGACCAGTTCCGCTCCTGCTCCTGCTCCAGCTCCAGCTCCCTTGAAGAAGAAATCACAGCAGAAGGTCTTTACCCCTCTCTCTCTCTGTCATAGAATATTACATGATGTATATAAACTCATGGAGTGAACATATGCAGCCCGAGGCATCAATTGACGGCTTTCTGCGCTCTCTGGGGCTCGAAAAGTATCTGATAACCTTCCAAGCAGAGGAAGTATGTGGATTACAGGAGACCTTGTAAAGAAGAGACGCTTTTCACTCCATGGATGTTAAATTTATGAAGATCTGTGCCATCGGTGCAGGTGGACATGGCGGCCCTGGTTCATATGACTGATGACGATCTCAAAGCTCTCGGAATTCCCATGGTAGCTTCCACTAGATCATGAAATTAATTACCCACTTTTAAATGTTCGATGTTTGTTGTATAATCTTCTTACGCTGGGTGCTGATGTTTTCCTTCAGGGTCCAAGGAAGAAGATACGCTTGGCCTTGGACTCAAGAGCCTAGTGTTGCTGCTCTCAGCCAGCATTCCTACTGCATGCGGAGCTGCGTGCCGCCTGTATTTTTATGCTACTTCCACTTTCTCTCTCTCTCTCTCTCTCTCTCCCTCTCTCTCTCTTCCCCCTTCTCCGTCTCCGTCTCCGTCTCCGTCCCCGTCCCCCTTATCGGCTAGGTCGAAGCTCTTGCATGTGGAGCTGTGAGCCGCCTGTATTTTCATGCTAATTCAACTCTCTCTCTTTCTCTCTCTCCATCTCTCTATCTATATATCTGTCTATCTCGCTAGGGCAGGTGGACACTGAGTCATAACGGGCCTTCGTAGTTATACTTTTTGGGCTCCTCACTGGGACTATTGTGGCCCATTAGTTCTATAAATGTTCGTAAGTAATGCCAAGATTAGCTGTAAGACGTTAGTGAATTGGGTTTTGCCGTGGGACCCACTTTAGGCCAGTCAAGACCAACAGATGGATAAGGAAGAATCTACCACTGTAAAGGGTTAGGAACCTTTAGTGGCCCACTCGGGGGAAGTGGGCTGGCCCGTCCCGCCCCTCTCCACCGTCCAAAGAGGTCCACCAACTACGCCGGGCCCACCGTTGCCTCACGTGACGTGGCAAGTCGTCAAGCATACGGTACGTTGGGAACCGGACTCCACACTGCTATAAAAACCGGTTCATTTTCTTTTTTTTCCTTGGAACCTTTAAAATCCGCCGCGACGGACTCGTAGCTGCTCATTCTCCCGGCTGTTCTTCAGCGTGCTTCTCCCTCTCTCTCTCTCTCTCTCTCTCTCTCTCTCTCGCTCGCTCGCTCTAGCAGGTCGGGCTGCCGGAAATGTCTGGGAATCCGCCGCAGGAGGAGGACAAGAAGCCGGCGGAGCAGTCGGCGCACATCAACCTCAAGGTTAAGGGCCAGGTAGTTCGCGAGATCATCTGGACATGGTCTCTCCTGAAGCTTTCAGTTTAATCGCAAGCGTTGTCGTTTCTTTTGGGCCGGGTGAGGTTTCATTGGTGTGGAATGAAGGATTTCAGTTGTCGCATCTCCCCTGCCCCTTTCAGTTGGTCGCTCCGTTCTCTTCGCGCGGATCTTCAGAAGATTGTTATCACTAGCAATACTCTACTTCGTTCTCTAGGCTAACATGATCTCCAGTTGAGAACAAGCGAATCGGCATCTCGAGGCGATTTTCTGTTCTCCCTTCACTCCTCTTTGGTAGTTAGTCGAGCAGTCAGTAGAACATGGCTGATCATAATCGCATTAAATCTAGGAAGGCCATGGACGGGAGCTAGGTTTTCCGCATTTGAAATAAATGCTTTCAAATATATGTATCCCCAGCCGAGCGCTGAGGTCTTCACGTAGGAATCTCGTAACTTAAAATGCTACTTTTTTTGTTATTATTATTATTATTATTAGTATTATTATTATTATTATTACTATTATTATTATTATTATTATTATTATTATTATGTCTACTTATTTTAGAGCGAGATGGCTGCAGTTTTGAGCCTGTCTTCTTTGATTTGTGTTCGTCGTTGGGTAATAGGTCGATCATAAAGCGAGCGTGATTTTGGTATCTACGGGGAAGCTCGCGGGTATCTAGCATGGATTTATTCGCTTTTTTACATGGGTGTCTAGCAATATCTGCGATCATCTTGCTGATCCAGGATGAGCATCTGTGATGACCAATTGCTGTTTTTTTTTTCATCTCATCAGAGAGACCGATGAGGATATTAATTTCACGTTCTGTTCCCGTATTCCTGCTGCTTGAGCAGCTGCATCAGTCTCTGCTGTATGTAGATGAAAACCGAGTGGATTCTCTCGCTGGATTCTTGCCTACTGATGGACCTCCTCCCCCCAAATCATTCTGAACGAACCGATCGATCTCTCCGATGCCCATCTGCCACTGTGGGCCGGAGATTTTTTTTAAGGAACTGTTTTTGTCATGTGATTGAATGATTGATTGATTGATTAATTGGGGTTCTTGCCAGGACGGGAACGAGGTGTTCTTCAGGATCAAACGCGCCACCCAGCTGCGGAAGCTGATGAACGCGTACTGCGACCGACAGTCCGTGGACTTGCAGTCCATTGCGTTCCTCTTCGACGGCAGGAGGCTCCGAGGAGAGCAGACTCCCGACGAAGCAAGTCAACGCGTCCTTTATTTTTTTATTCGTCCTTTTTGCCGGTATTGCCCAGTTGGTGATATTCTCTCGTGTTCTTATTTTTTTGGTATCCAGCTGGAAATGGAGGATGGGGACGAGATCGACGCCATGCTCCACCAAACCGGCGGCGGTTTCTGAATCTTGCCGGAGACTATTGGCCATCCTTCTCTCTCCTTTGACTGTGGCGTCCTTCTCGGGCTTGTAAAGACGTAGAAGTCAACGGACTCTCCCCTGTTGAGCCATAGTTTGTCTCATTTTCCGTCCAGAATCTCGACGTATTTTGGGTCCAATGGTCTCGGATTAGTGGGGAGATGGCCGTGTACACTTAAAGTTCAGTCATTTGGGCTTTTATTTAAGGTTGGTCCGGGTTAACCTGGGCCCGGCCCGTTTATTTTTCAACGCTAAGGAAATTACGTTTTAATTTGATCGTCCTTCAAATTTAATTGATTCCTGTGCCCAAAGTGGGAACGGGCTTTTCGGGCCCATCATACTTCTGAGGTCCAGGCCCGAAAACTGGGCCAGGCTACTGAGCCTAGTCTGACCCCCCTCATTCATTTATGATATTATCTTTCGATGTGATTAAAAAAAATACAACCACACGTACCCTTCATATTTTCGCAAAATTTTCTCAGAAAAAAAAATGTTTTTAATCGAAAAACAGAGAAAATCCGTGATGATCAGAGCCGTTCATTTCTTCCAATTTCAGATCTTCTCCAATAAATGAACTTAGTTCTACATAATATATATATATACCTTCCAAATTACAGTCTGAATCACCGGTTCTATGCTGGCAACTGAAGCTTCACGTTGTTCTTCCAGCTGTAGATCGTCAAAATATAATTATAATTATAATTATAATTATAATAATTATAATAATTATAATAATTATTATTATGATAAGATAAAGAAAATATGTGAAGATAACGATTTACCTCTGGAAATAGTAGTAGAAGAAGTCGGCGTAGATTAACGTCTGCACGAGCCCGGCTATCCAGGCTGCACGTTTAAGGTGATTGGTAACGACAAATGCGCTGATATATTTGGGGGAAGAAAATAAAAAGGGGGAAGGCTTCCGTACTTATCCAGTGGACATAGTGAGGCTCGGTGAAGTACCGGTAGATCCAGTTGACGATGTACAGAGCTCGGTACGCACTGAGAAGAAAAGAATATAATAAGTCGAGGAGATCGAATCGAAGCATTCCTCCTCGGATGCAGGGCTCGAGTTATAAGAGGATGAGATATATATCTATCTATATATATATATATATATATATAGATAGAGAGAGATTGGATGGAAGCTTACCCAAGAAGGAAAACATATTGCCCGGTCAGATTATCAATGTTCTTCGTCCTCTGTAACAGCACCAGTTGAGGGAGTATAGCAACAGCCTCCAAATACAACGAGAAGGCCCACATTATCTGTTTCATGAAAGAAAGACCAGACCCTTCTCAGAAAGGACTCAATCCAGGGACTGAACGGAAACAAAAGCCCTAAAACCATCTCTTCAGAGGCGGAAAATACCAAAGAAGTGGATTAGTCGTAATTAGAGACAGAATGTAAGTGCTCTATTGAGAAGAGAAAAAAAAAAAAAAGAAAAAAGAATAGATGACCACGTTTCTTTTTTTCATGTGAAGAAATTCCTAATCCTCAATGAAATCAAAAATAGAACAGAGTAAGCAGAGTCTGCGAGCAAGATCAGCACTTTCACCTCCTTCAAAGTGAATTTCTCGTTAATAAGTAGACCCAGAAGCAAGCAGATTAGTACGAGGAAGTGATGGCGAAACGTGTCTTGCTCTTTATCGTAGGATCTTCGTACTATCCTGTGGCGCCTCATGTACCAGACAATGGAGAACGAGCTCCCCAAGAATATCAGCTTCATTATGGTGTTGTACAAGGAGATAAAACTAGTAAAGATGTCCAGGTACCGAGCAGCAAAAACAAGAGCATAAAGCTCTTGGGTCTTCAAAGAAATCCCTGCAATGAAAAAAAAAAAAAACAAAACCGTGATGAAATCGGTAGCGATGAAATGGCATATTTGACCAGCAAGAAAGTGCACAGGCAGGAGAGATTCAACTCTGAACACGCCATTGGCCAACAACACCCATAAATTCACCTACGAATAATACAAGAATGGAAAGTCTATAGAGCATACATACTAGAAAACATTTTTTATTAATAGTAAATTCTGTAGATTTATCATACAGCCAAAGAGTGAGGCGAGAACCAAAATTAAATCAAAATACAGCCTTTTGTATAAGTATCGTACACAAAGAATGCAAAATAATATAGAAAACTCATCCAAAGGATGCCCAGAGGAAGTTGCTCACACGACTTCTGTTCACTAGCTATCAGCATGTCAGATGATTTATGAGTGGTTATTCCATTGCATTTTGTAAAATGATCGTTTCATAGCTCAGAATCAAGACGATACTTTGGTTTACTTAACATTAACAATATTTCAATACATATCATATTTCGAGGAATTAATGGCAGCATGACAAAAGCTTATTGGTCCAATATTGAGGACTCTACACTGGATAAAAAATAAAAGTACATAAGGATGTGAGAAAGGTTGAAACACTGAAAAAAAATATCCTGAGGGCCCATGGTGCCAGACCATGCATGGCTGTAATACAGGGTTACTAAAAATACCACTCCATTAAGTATGGTCATGCTGCAGCTTCTGGGGGATTTAACTGGTAAGCTATACCAGGTCAGAAGGCCAAGGTAAATGGATGTCAATGCATTCAAAGGATACAGGAAATAATAAGCCTCCAGGTTACGGCTGACTAGGTCTGAGGCCATCAACGGCCCGCAAGTATTATATATGTAGAGAGAAAGACATCTCTGGATTATAACATACATAAAGTATAGCTCAAACTGACCAGATTTTGTTTCCGCAGCCAATTTTGTGGCTCCGACCTAACTTAAACAGGATCTAGCCTGCCATTGAAACCTTTAGCCTCGTGTTTCTCAGAAGGTGGAGCATCCAGACCAATTTGTGCCCATATGATCAGAAAAGCCAGAGAAGTCGCTCATCAAATTGATTCTCAATTTAAGAAAAAACAATAAAGACTAAGTGGTCAACAATGAAATATTATGGCTACCCAGAAAATCCTCAGCCATCTTGCCCAGTACACCAGGATTTCGACAGCTAGCCTTCACCTGGAGGTCCTATAGCTGGGAAATTGGAGAACATGCCTTCCCACAGAAGGGAGGTCCTTGTTGTGTAGTATCAGCACCCATGGAAGGTTGACCTCTTCCATTTCACTTCCCAATGCGTGAGAGGGTTACCCATGGTTCCAAAAGAAATAAAAGGGCACTACAGAAAGCCTTAATAGGCATGCAATGGACCTGCAATTTCTCGTACGATCTATTGTGAGCCAATACTCATGAGTATTGGTTTAGTACATGCATTCAGATGGATATCCCGTCAAGAAGAAAGAAATGACCCTTTTAGCTCTCGTACCAATTGCGGCCCCCCTCCTAGGATAGAGTAGAAGCACTGGTTTTTGTTTTGCTGACCACCACTAAACTTAGAACACTTTACACTCCTTGATGTTCACATCAAAAAACCTAACGGAAAATGCCCAGAGAAATACGATCATCTTCCATCTCTGACCGTCTAAAAAGAGTAAAACGGTTCTATCGATCCAAAACTGTCTGCACTCCACTCCACAGAAAAAAAAGGACATCTGCTAATACAAACTTTTCATGCTATGAAATCTTCATTCCAGAAAATCTTTTTCCACCTTCACTCCGGAACCCGCGGAAACGGTCCTACGTATTTAAGCCGGAGAATAGATGCGTGGAAATCGGGTAAAAGGAATGAGAAAAATCGAGGGACGTATGCATACCAGCACATGATTTGATAGTGTGGATCTTCAGGAGCAGGACAATGACGCTCATCAGATGCGTCATGTCCCCGGCTAATCTGAATATGTTCATATTTTGTGTCGTTGGCGAGATCTGGACGCTGAGCACCCAGATCTCCGGTGGCAACTAACAATGAGAACCCCAAAACACGACCTCTCCGCTCCTCCAGTGACACCAAGAACGTGGCAATGGTGCTTCGCTGTGGAAATGAGTAGGATCGAAGAAGGGGGGGGAAGACGGAGACTGTATGTGTGAGAGAGAGAGAGGTGTGGGAGAAGGCGGATGGGTCAGCTTAGCCTTGGAAGCATGGTTTTCCGAAAACGTTACGATACATCGCGTGACGTCTAATTAAACGTGTTCCGACTTTAGCCTCTGAAGAGAGATCATAACGGCTCCTCTCGAAAGTGTACACGAAACATTTTCATTTTTTTAACTAAATAAAATATTTTTTTAATAAAAAATACTATATTTTGACTTTTAAATGACCATTATTAGGGTTTCAAGAGAAACTGCTTCTTAACATCATATTTTTGGTGGTACTACTTTTAAAAGTATATTTTATATAATAAAAATATATATAAACTTAGTATGTAGGTAATTAAAAATGCATAATTTAATAATTCACACACTACCTTAATAAATTTAGAGTCAATAAATACACTTCCACCCCAAAGATTAAAATCAAGTGAAAAAAAAATGGTCTGTTATAATTATTAAATATTATAAGTATGTCTAATTAGTTTATCATAGCTAGATTCCCTTATCAACAACCATAGATTGCCATTAAGAAAAATCATATAAACATAAAAAACTAGTCACTATGAACCAATCTTAGAAATTCACATGTTCCCTTGCATTCACAAGGTATCTATTAAGGGGATGGAATCTAGAGAAATATAATATTTTTCCTTTTTCTTCTCCCATGTAACATGAAATTAGAGGGGGGGGGTTGGGTGGGTTTTTTGATGTTGTTCTCAATTTACTCTTCTTTACAAACCATCTTCAACTTCATTTCAAAATCTTTAACCCTTCAATCTTAAAAATAGTGAGCATATTATATGAAGACGATGAGAAATATGTCATCATCCTTAATCTAACTTTCTCTCAAACTAAGTACTCATTTGGTTTTGAGGATATTAGGTGTATTAAAGGCAGATTACAAGAAATTCTATCAAGGAACATTTTTATTTCTCTACATTTTATTTCACCATCTCTTTATAATTTTTTCAGAGGGTCTAGTGTTCCTCATCCATCAATGCTCAAGATTGTTGGCATAAGTGAAGACAATCATACAATAGTAGGTAAATCATAAAAAGGGGAGTGAGAGGTTGAAAAGAACCCATAACAAAAATGCACATAAGAGTAGATTGAGAGGTTAGGTTTCGATAAAAACCTTCACTCTAGTTCATGGTAAACTTTTGAGGGGATCAACTCTCTCCTTCACAAACACAATTTCCTTCATCGTGTCCCTACCCTAATAATCTCTTTTTTGTTACATAGAATTTACCTAAATACTCTTCCACTTTCCCTCTCATCTCTTTATAGAATAATTTCCATTTATTATGGGATCTAACATCACTCTCGTACTAAACTCTCAAGTGACTTCAAGGGTTTATAAGTTATCTTATTAGATTATGATGAATATTTAGGGATTGAGACGAGACAAAAAGAGAATTTCTCTTATTGAAATAATAAGATGAAAAATACTTTCAAACAATCAGACTGTCTTATAGAGACTAGTTCATTAAATGAGACAAATATTGACTTCAAGACTACTAAGAGGGAAAGATAATCAAGGGACTTGATTCACAAGTGACATCCCTCAAGAAATGTAGGGGAAATGGGGGTGGCAGCCATTTTGAGAAGGTCAGTCACTGGGACTCTCTAAATATTCTTATCTTTCTCCTTAGGTCTAGAGCTATTTAATATAAGTATTTGTATGGGAGAGGTCAATCATTTCTTGGTCTTAGCATTGGAGTTGTCCTACCATTTGCTCTCACTGTGCCCTAGGCTCTAGTCTCCAATGGCTCACTGCCCCCTATCATGTCTCAATGGTGGGCCCTTCACAAGTGTTGTCTTGACTATTTTGCCCAAATGATTTGAGAATTTTCTTTCCACATGTATGCCCTTGGGTTGCAAGGGTTTCAATAATACTTCCACCTAGAAAATGCACTTTGTCCAAGATAGATTTAGGGAATTACTAATAGATGGCACACGTGAAATTTCACATGACTTTCGATCAGGGCAGACCGGCCCATTTGATGAGTACCTCTAAGTCTTGTTGGCCATGATGCATTGTGCAGACCTTTGCTAACTCAACAATTCATGTGAGATCCTTGACAACATTGAGGGGATTGAGGAGCTCTATTACACGTCTAGTCTCACTTTTTTGATCTATGAGATGTGAAAAATAAGATGTTTTCCTAGAGAGGTTGACAAGTCAAACTTATATACCATGGTTTTGATTCACTCCAAGATTGGATACAGCTCTAAGAGGTGTAGAGCAAGCTTCTTGTAAGGTTAGTGGCCCAACAACTATTGTTGATATAGTCGAAGCTTGAGGTGGATGATGTCCCTTAGTTGGAACTCAAGGTCATGTTGTCGCAATCCGTGTGTACCTTCATCCTAGCTTGAGTGTGTTAGAGGTGGAGCTTGAGTTGCACAAAGGTTTGGTGCCTCTCTCACATGAGTTGATCAACATCAATCGTCTTGATAGTACGTGCTTCATGCCTCAATAGATTGGAGTTATAATTACTATTAAACTAAAACTCACCCAATATAACTAATCAATTCTACTATTGTGAATAATCTCTTATCACGTTCTTCTTGGGTATAGGATTCTTTAATAAGAGTATTTTCACAAGAAAGGTTAACTATTTGTTGATCTTAACATTAGAGTTACCCTATCCTCTGCTCCCACTATACCCCAGGCTCTAGCCTCCAACAATTTGTTCTCCCTTATCACGTCTTAGGGGTCTAGGCCTTTTAGGAAGGTTGTCCTATTTTACCAAACAAATTAAGAACTTTTTCCATGTGGATTCCATCAAGTCTGAGGGTCTCAACAGATTGACACCTACAAATCTTTAGCACAGTTAGATTCTTCATTATTTTATCATCTAAATTAAGTATGGTCCTTTAATCATCTACATGTATCATGAAAATTTACTACTCTCATTTACAAATTCATCACAAGAAATACTTTTCATCATAAGAGAAACAAAATCATTGTCTATCCTTATTTTTAATCTACTTCAATTATCATCTCTTTACTCTGTCATGATTATTGAGTCAACTTTTTTTAGAATAAATGATTGTAAGCCTTCTTTTTTATATTATTAAATATTTAATATTATATAATTGTTGGGTCTAAGTGATTTCAAGATATCTAGATCTTAAACATACCTTCTTATTATGTTATTTTCTTCCTAATTGACAATCTTATGATTATCTCATTCTAATTAGTTTATTGAGTTTGACTTCTATCTAAATCTTTGAATTTAATCTTTTGATGTACTTCCCAACACTTCTATAGACACCATGATATTTCAAAATCATGTCTAAGTTTTATCACAGACCCATGTCTTTTTATATCTAAGAATTGGTCACAAAAGCACACATGGTTTGTGAACTGTCAAATAGTTTTAGTAATTATTTTTTAGGTATTTTTAGTTTTAAAAATAATTCTCAACATATGTTCAATGAAATCATTCCAATATTTCATCTTCTAAATTGATTTTTATTGTCATCAATTTAGTTTTTTTAGACAACTAATTATCATAAAATATAATTCTACTTTAAAGATCTCTATCTAAATTTTTCTTGCTAAATATAGAATCTAAAGTCATCTTTCATTTCTTTAAGCTTCTAATCCTCCAAATCATATATAGTCTATTTTTACTCTATGTCTTAGAGGTTCTTCTATTCTTAAAATGTTAATTTGTAAACTAAATATGTCTTTTAAAGATAATTTTTCACTTACCTATGTGTTCATCCCTTCTTCCTTTGTGTATTTTTCATTTTAACGTTTTGTTATTTTTTGTCTATGCTATTGAATGTCACAACTCTTTCATTATCAAAAGCTTTTATATTTTGTGTTGTAACTTCCTAGCTGTTCCTAATCCCACTTAATTTTTGGTTATTACTTTTTTATTTTTGATACCTGCTTAACTCTTTCCTAATATCTTTATTTTTCTTCTTGAGGGTTTGTACCTTCTAGTCATTGAGACTCTATCAAACATACTCTTATATTAACTTATAGAAACTCAAAATAGGAATGTACATAATAGAAGAGAATGAAAACAAAAATGCCAAAAATATTATGATTGAGTTTTGGTAGAAACTCTAACTCAAATTCATTTTGACATTCTAACAAAACCACATCTCTCATCTACTAATTATAATCTATCTAAAATCTTATCCTACCTTTCTCCCATCTTATTCTTGCTCTAATAACCCTATTTTTCTCTTCCTAAACATTTATAAAAATACCTTAATTTAACACTGATGTGACCCTCACACACTCTCCCTCCTAAAGTAATTAAGCCCTATTAGGGGCCTCACATTACTCCCATTACAAACTCTTAAGAGACTTCTTGCACCAATAGCAAATCCTTTGTTCTTATCATATATGTTTATTTTTATTTTTGTCTTTATTTTAATCAAACTTATTTGTCATACATATGTTTCTATACTTTAAACTCATTGATATGAATAAAATATTCACCTTTGACTTATTCTATATAATTACTTTAAGTTAAAATCTTTCAAATATTTATTTATAATTATTTTTGTACCTACTCTTTGCTCTATGCTAATGATGAATTATTAAATAAATCAACATTTGTTGAAGCTCATATATACGAACTTTTATTCCATACATATGCTTAAATACTTCAAAGAAATTAGAGACAATTAAATATTTGCCTCCAACTTATTTTAGATAGCCTCTTTCTAAATAGAAAATCTTTCAAATTATCTATTCATAATGATTATATACCCACTCTTTTGTTTATGTTAGTGATAAAGCACCATACCTAATTAGTAAAAATTAATGCTCATATATCCCAATCCCTTCACAATTAGATAATGTTTTGTATTTGTGTGTTGTTTCTTTATCCAGATTTATATGTTTCATATGATCAAACAAATTCTCCAACAAATTATTGAGATTGGAAGGTCCTCAAAAAAATTTAAAACTGGTCTTCCTACTCTAATGAAAAGAATAAAGAGTGGAGACCTTTTTTGACCAATAATGTTTAGTAGATAATGAAGTAGATTGGTTGGTGCATATCAAGGAAATATTTTCAAATTCTATTATTAGAGACTTTAGTAGAATGAGATTAATGGGTCTTCATAAATCTATTGAGTAGATAATTTCAAAGTAAGATTGTAATAAAGTAGTCCAATGTCCTTCCACTATACTTATTACCATCATTTTCTCCTAAATAGTATTATTTATTCATGGTAAAATGAAAATTGATCTTGAAACTTGCACAAAAAAGATATTTCTCGTGTGTTTAGTGTCTTCAATCATTTTTCTTTTGCACACCCATTTTCCTCATCAAACAAAATTAAGAGATGTCTTGGAAGATGATTTTGAGGAACATTGAGGCCATTTTAGGCTTTTAAGGTCAATACTACTATGGAGACTAGTACCTCTATCACTTAATAGTATGTTTCTCATGTTTCATTAGAATTTTATATTATTACTTATTTCAAATAATATAATAGATAATAATATATTACCATAATTTATACTCCCATAACTACACAACTTGATTCTAAGAGGATATGAAGAGAACCTATAGATAACATTTATGTTTCCTTCCATCATTATGTTTGTTTCACCATCCATAATGATTAATTTCTCATAATTTTGGTTGTTTCTATTAGTTGAGTTGGGTATTGTAGCTCCATTATCTACATCATTTGTGTCATTCCTTATTGCAAAACTTATAAATCCATCTCTTTTTCTATAGTAGTTGTGGCAAGATTTTCCTCATATATTTGGTTTCCTTCTCTACCATTTCTAGCCTCTCACATCATTGACTTTTGGCACCATCAAAGTAGATCAGATACCAACAAATAAGAACACAAGACATGGATTCACATAATAGTAGCAACTGAGAACAAAGATTGAAAAATATAAGAGGGATTAGGTTCTGATAAAAACCTCAACTCCAACTTATGTTGACTTTTTAAGAGGCCACTTATCTCCTCCATAAGTTGCAGCCTACCCAAAATCATTTTAGATTTCCTCCATTTGTCCATGTCTTACTAGTCATCCTTATAGGCACAAGTTTATTTTCTTCATATTCAAGCTCAACTACTACTTAATAATATTCCATCTATAAATAAAGTTATATATCTTCGTTCTCAAGAAAAACATTAAAGATAGATCACTCAACTATCTCTTAACATCACTACATTCAACAATATTATATTTATTATATGCACAACAATAATTTTTAATGTAATCAAGAAGTACAAATACAATATCATCTACATTGTAGTCATTGCAATTTAAATGAAAATAATGTTAAAAAATATTATAAGGTTTCTAATCATTCACAAGTTTAAAAATGAAGTAATAATTTATATAATATTTGTTGATCAAGCATCTTCTAAAATTAGATTTATAGAAATGGGTGAACAACCTTCAAATCATATTGAAATTTTTTAGGAGGTCAATATAAGTCAATATCATCAACTAATGACAATATTTTCAACACTTTTGACTTCATCTATAATTAATGAAATATAAGACTTGTCATCATCTTCTTAAACCCAACATTTACTTATTTCGTAGTCTCTTTAAATCATATTCTTTCATTTTAAAATGTTTAGATAGTTGAGTGAGGTACATTGATATATATTTGGATATCAATACATTTATTTATATATAACTGATGTGGAATGTAACCATTATCATACCCAACAACACATATTCTAGTTATTCTAATAAATGATGTGAGGTTTAATCATTAACTAATTCTTAGAGATATCTTAGTTTTTTCTCAATTCAAATTTAATTTATTATCCATGAATGACATGATATTTGACTCACATCTTGAGCTTCATTTTTGTATGATTTTCTGACTTAGGATCTATATCACAACAAATGATTAATAAAGGCAATAGAGTGAAAGATAAACATCAAATTTTATTGAATGTTACTAGGGTTTTCCTTTTTTTGAATCACACATTCGACTATAGTATTGGATGGATTATGTATTTACAATCATGCTTGTGATCATAAGATTGTCATCTCTTCTTCTCAATGATACAATTCTCATAAACTATTATGTTAGAATTATATTGATTATTGAAATATTAGTGTATTTAATTATTTTTCTTTTGTCTCCACTCTAGTTCTAAATCAATTTAAATTTAATACCCATGCTAGACTTTGTATTTTCATTTGATATCCTCCATAGATTTAAAAGGCTACAAACTTAATGATATTTATGTTAAAAATATTTTTGATACACAAGATATCATTTATCACAAAGATTTGTTCCTTTTTCATTTACAAAGACTTATTCTTCAGACACTCCTTCATTTAAAATTCTTTCCACTTAATCACTTCCACTATTATTTTTATTGATGAGTTCATTTATGTATTAGTTAGCCATCATCTTATCTTAAAGATTTTCATTATAATATCTTAACACATAAAACTTGATAGAAAAAAGCATGCATATCATTTATCTAATCCTATATTCTACACCTCACTATCATATCCCACTATTTTTTTTTTCATGAGTGTTTCTTATAATGATGAGCCTCAATTTTTTCATTAGATAGTTATCTTTCCTCACTAGTGAGAGAATGAACATTAAGTTACATGTTCTTGAGTCTAATAAATTTAGTTAACCATATATTTACCAATGGAAAAACATTCTATTAGATGTCAATAGATTTATGAGATCAAATCATTTTGACAGCTCTATTGAATCTTATAGATTTCAATTAATTGTCAAGAGATATAAATAAAGAGTAGATTTTTAAAAAAATATTTGCTCTAGTTTCAAAATCTATAACTATGAAACTCATGTTAGCTCTTGCACCTAAAAAAATTAGCAAATATGAATTGAGATAAAGTTACTTTTGGTATATTGCAATAAATGAGAGCTCCTTTGTCATGATAATTTTTTTCTAAAATTACATGTCTATTCATAGATTTCAACATGTATACACATCTATTTCACTCTTAACTTTAGATTCACTTAGTGTAAATTTGATTATTTATTAATCACAAAGGTCCTTGGATCTTCACTTATGGTTCTATCGATGGCATTATGCTAGTTGAACTTCCACCTCCAATTATCAATATTTTAAAATATTTCTTACATATTCAATTTAAACATTAAAATCTACTTTGAAATATTTTCATAATTAAAAGTTACACATTCTTCAACATATATCACTATTTCCTAACGTCATTATACCTTAAAGTTACTTGAAGACACTAGTTTTCTTGGGTTTTAAGCCTACAATTATTGTTATATACCCTTGACTACAACTTGTTGCCATGTCTAGAGGACTACTAGAAAATGTCTCATGATATCATAAATTGATTGAAAAGCTATCATATTTAACTGTATAACATCACAATATCATTTTTATAATATAGATGTTAAGAAAATTTATGACTCAACCTCATCATCTACATTTAATAGCTATGTGTCATTTACTTTGTTATATCAAGTGAACTTTTAGTCAAAGACTAATGTTCTCTACTTCATCCTCTTGGTAATTTTGGTACTGTCAAATTGGACTATTTTTTTCTAATTCTCATAAATCCTGCACTAAGCTCAACATTGTTTTTGCTAACTCATTGATCTCATTTAAGGTAAAGAAATAATAAGCATGCACTAAGTAATTTCCTTATGTTGAATCATGGACACTATTTCTACTCTAATAAAATTATTTAGTTACAAGAATTATTGTAAGTCTCTTACATTAAGATGTATCTCCCAACTCTTTTATTGTGAAAACTAAAACACCATCCATATTGCTTCCAATCCAAACTTTCATTAGAGTACCAAATATATTGAGATTGTATGTCCTTTTATTCAAGGTAAATTTGTTAAAGAATTTGTAAAACTTCTTCTCATCTGATCTCTACACCCACTGTTTAATATCTTCACCAAACCTCTCCTTACTAGATGGAACCCAGAAAAATAAAAACGTGATTTTTCACTTTTTCCCCTTCCTCATAACATCCTAGATTGTGTCTATATTTTTAGCCATGTTGTTATCAACAAATCACATTGGTCCATGCTGATTCACATGCGATTCCACGTGCCCCATGCTACTCGGGTCAGGACGTAAGCTAGTGATACTTTCGATTATTGTTGGACTTTCACCATTGCTATTATTGATCCCAAAAAATAAACGGTAGATACGGTTAGTCCAATCCTCTCCACAGGTCAGAAGTGGGTAGAGTGGCCCATACTTGGTTTCACGGTGACCCGAATGGCTTGTAAAATTACTATTTTAAAAAATATCATTTTTTATCTTAAAATCTCATTCTATTTCGCACATTTTTCATGAATATTTTTTTTTTCTAGGATATCGAGGAAGGGGGTCACCGGAATCAGAAGAAAAACACCGGACCCACCACCCCCAATAATACACAGGAGTGCGGCGCACGTTAAGAACGTAGGTAGGCATAGAGCCGGCCACCGGCCTCTAGCTTTTGTCGTTTCACGTGTACGGTCAGATGCGCGCGTCCCATCTCTTTCCCGATATCCACCTGGATGAAGCATAATACTTCCCACGAAACAGGCCAGGCAAGGCAGCTGAGCTTTAGCCGTGGCGAAACGTGTCAAATGCCCCCCGCCGCCTCCGCACGTGTGATACATCTCAGGAGGGAGAAGGGAGGAGGGAGGAGGGAGGAGGAAGAAGGAAGGTGGCGGTCGGAGGAAGGAAGGAAAGGATTACTGGTCAGAAGATATCGAGGATCTCGAGGATGAAGCCGTTGCAGAGGGGGCAGTTGCCGCGGCTGACCCAGAGCTCGCGGGAGCAGAGGCGGCAGAAGGTGTGTCCGCAAGGTATGAACGCGGCGCCCTTGTGCCTCACCATGCAGACACAGCACTTCACGTAGATCTTCCCGCCGCCATCGTCGCCACTGCCGGAATCCTCTTTTGCTTCTTCCGCTTCTTCCGCTTCTTCTGTATCTTCTTCTTCCTCGTCTTCGTCTGCCTCCAGCAACGCCGAGACTGCGACACCTGGTCCGTCCCCATGGCTGTCTGTCTGCTCGAGCAGCGCCATCAGGGACATCCTGATCGGCGGCGGCGAGGGGCCTCCGTTAGGGACCTCGGTGGCCGTCTCTGGCTCCTCGGAGGAAGGGAGGGAGGCCTCCGGCGGGTGGTTTCCCGATGGAGACTCCGCCGGTGAGATGTCGTCGGGATGGTTGTCGACGCCACGGCCGCCGCTGCCGGTCGACTGCCATATGTTGCTGGCTCGGCGGATCCTGAGGCGATCCTTGAAGGCTCTCCAATTGACCCTGTGGACGCTGTTACTGCTGCCAATGATGTAGTCTCTTGCGCCGCTGGATTCCTGCTCATCGCGGATAATGTCCAGCAGCGTCCTGCTGCCGGTGGGGATGTTGGCAGCGGAGGACGTTGCTCGCGTGATGCCGGCGGGCGAGGACTTGACCTTCTCGAAGGTCAGAACAGTCCCCAGTGAGACGCTGGAGCTCCGGTAGGTACAGAGCGGCTGAAGGTCTTCTTCCTGACGGACGGTGAGGAGGTCCCGGAGATTGGAGGCAGCGACCGAAGAAGTGGGCGAGGAAACCTCGCAGGCGGCGGTGGAGGAGGACAACTGGTTCGAGAGCACTGTCTTCTGGCGCCTCTGCGGCTCTTCCATTCTCTGTGCCTCCCACTCACCGATGCCACTCCGGTGATAAATTAAACAAGATGTAGAACAAGAGGCAGCAAATCTTCGAGATCAATCACCAGAAGCGAGAAGACGCTCCCTCTTGAAGATGGACGAATAGTCAAAAGCACTAGGGAACACGTTCCCTCTGCTTTGCGCTCTTCCTTCAATTCGTCCACTGAGATCGACAGAGGACGACGAAATTGGAAAACGAGCCAGGAACAGACCGGAGCCCCGGATCTAGCAGTCGCAGGGAATCGCCGCCTGGTTAAAAAGTAAGAGAGAACAGCGATGGCGCAGACTCCGACGAGCAAGGCGGAGCGGCATCGGACGCAACCTCGCGGAGGCGACGGAGCGGCCTCCTCGCGGAGACCAGAAACCCTCTCAGGACGAAATCCAAGAGTCGGGAGCTCCCTCCATAAAGCCGAAAAGTCTGGCCGAGGAGAGAACAGCGAAGAGCTTCTCACCAGATCCGCGATTCCTCCTCCTCTCTCTCTTCTCCCCTCAACGGAGGGCGGGAGGTTACTCCGGCCACTCGGAGGCCGTTGGCGGTGTACGTCCCCTCCGCATTTCCTTCTTCGACGGCGACGTCGGAGGAACCGGGCGGAGCGAGAGGAGGAGGAGGAGGCGCCGCCGTATTCTTCCCCGGCCACCGGCCAAAAGCGTGGTTTCTAAAACAGGCGCTGCACCGGTGGGGCCCTTACGACACCACCAGCCTAGAATTTACTGTTCCCACTCCATGCGCCAAGACCGGCTCTCTCGGTCCGAGCCTCGTAAGGAGTGAATGACACCAAAACGTGACCGGCGGTCTCCGGTCGATCCATTAAATGCGCGGGAAGCGTTCTATATGCTGTGCACGAGGGGGAACCGGATGTTGACGTGGATTCACTGACTGGTAGATGTGACATTTATATCACGGACTGGACATTGGGCCATACCTTTTACGTGGCATTCAAGACCCGACCTGCCAGGGTAGACGCTGATGTCACGATCCTCCGTGGCGGATGAGATCCAATCAGTGCCGCCAGACGGACTAGTCTCGTCCTAAAATAATACCGCTTTCTCTTTCGAACTCTCCAAAAGCCCCCGTATTTCTCAATATTACTCAAATGTCCTTCCACAGCACCGCACGACGAAAAGAGGAAGGTGGAAAACATATACAAAAAAATCCGCTAATTCAGGAATTTCGCTTGAATGAAATCCAAAAAAATTCAAAAAGAAAAAAAGAAGAACACGACGTTCCAAATTCATCAGAGGTTCACCGTGCAGCTCAAGAAATACGGCACCGAGAAAGGGGAAGAAAAAATGGGATAATTAATAAAATCAATAAACTAAAAAAAAAAAAACAAAACAAAACTTTAGGAGTGGAACTTACGATCATCCCCCCTCCCTCCCTCCATCTTCACTCCTCCCTCGAGCAATATACTCACATCATAGGAGCAACCTCTGCCTGGCTGGGTAACAACAACAACTCCTTCCCCCTGAGCCAACGCTTGAAGCCATGGCCTGCTTCGTTGCCGGACGAGCTCCTCCTCGCAGGCTCCTCAGAGCCTCTCATAGAAGAGGATGTAGGCTTCGCTCTGGAGAACCTCAGGTAGGGAGACTTCTCTCACTAGCCCGTCACTGGCGTAGAACCATGCGGGGCCGTGCTCGGGGGCCCTCTCCCCCTTCACGTAGGCCACATAGTGCCCCCCCCGCATGCTCCCCTCGTGCTCCACAACCCCCACGAGGCGGTAGGAGCAGCCCTGTACATCCCTGGACCTGCAAGCCCCAGTGGGGAGGAATCGGAGAGGTCATCTTGTGAAGAGATATGAAAAAGGGAGAGGAGGGTGGGGTGGGGGTGAATGGCTTCAATCTCCAGACGCTTTTGGCTTGTGGAAGAATCCCCCAAAACAACGGTCAGGATTGTCTGATTTACTGTTATTCGTCATTTAATATGCCGAATTATACCATTATTTATTTACTTATTTGTGATTTATCATGCACATATGATCCTTTAAAATCAAATTGACGCTATAATCCTTTGAGAAAGTGTTGACCAGGTTTGGAGCCGATCAAGTACGGGCTGTTTAAAGTGACTAAACAATGAGTGTTAGCCCACAGTTCCTGGAGACTTGAAGATTATGAAAGAAACGTTGCTCAAAGATACAGCCTTCTTAGCTAATTTCCTAATTACCTTCATTTTTTTTAATAATAATCAATCAGGCGGCAAATATCTGATTCAAATTCCTAAAGACTAATAAAAAAGTAGACAAAGAGACAGATTTTCTAATTTATCTATTTATTAAATATTTTTTATTGAATAACAATCAAGTATATGGCAAGCTACCCAGTCAATACCCAAGCCAAAAGAATAATAAAGTGATAGGAATTCAAAAAAACTCCATTTTGCAAGGAGCATGGAAGCGCTGAAATAGAAAAGAATTAAAAAAAACCAGAAACAAGAGGGAATATGGAAAAAATAGGGCTCACCTGGAATTCATGTATGGCCTGAGATCAAGCGTCTCCTGGAAGCTGACGTGCCCGTTCAATTTGCTCAGCCGGCCGCGGGCATCCTGACTGAAACGCTTCAGATGGATCGTTAAAACATGAGGGGTCTTTTCAATAAGAATTCTCTTAGTTGCATCCCTCTTAATCTTCGTGTGCCCACCATTTCCTGTTCTTTCCTCTGCTCCATCGTCCCCTCCCTGCAACCTACTCGATGCACTCAGACCCTCCACGAGCTCATCTTCATCATAGGAGCCAGCTTCGCCCGTACTAAAGTAATTCTCTTCATTGCTCGATCCTGCCTGGGGGATTCGTCTCCTGGGGGATGAACCGCATGATGAACAGCTATAGGCGGGTTCAGATTCTCCGCAATATTCATCAGCCACACCCTGAACTCCATTATCGACACTGCCCAGAGAATCTCTCCCACCAAATCCTGATCCCTTCGATCCTCCTCTCCTTCTCTCCTTGCCCTGGCGTTGAAAGATCTTCGAGCAGTTCTCGCATCCCCAGGCTTGCTCGTCAGAGAGCAGCTCTGGAGTAGTAAAACAGGCCAAGCAGCGGTCAACCGAGACTGGGGCATTGGAATCGTCGATCTCATCGTGGTTAGATTCACTGCTGTTTCCTCCCAACCAGGATGTGCCGAAATCTTCACAGTTGCTTGTTTCCTCTTTGGCATCCGGAGCAGATTCTTCTTGTTCATTGAAAAGATCACCGAAGCCATCAAAATCCGCTTCAGAAGACAATATCCCATCATTTGGGCCACCAGCGGCAGTCTGGCCGAGACCCATGTTGGCTAGATCCTGGGACTCCCTGGTAGATCCCAACGGCTCATAAGGTAGCAATATAACGCCAGGGTGCTGAGCCGGTGGGAATTCCAGGGACCCCGTTGGCTCCCTAGAACAGGCATCGCTCTGAAACTTTGAACCAGAATCTGTGATTTCTTCTTCGTTTTGAGGGCCATAAACAAAAGAACTAAAGCTTGTTTTGGAAACTGGTTCCAGATAATCTGATATCTCCATTGGTTCGATGTAGTCCATCCACCACGAATCAAGATCAGGACCAATATCCTGTCCTTGTTCTGGCCCTGATTCTGGCGTTTGTTCTGGTTTCACACTGCACAAAGGAACATTGAACTCTGATACGGAGTTTGCACTCTCTACCACTGGTTCAACGTAGTCCGTCCACAGAGAATCATCCCACAGATCAGGAGCAACAACCTGTCCTGGTTCTGACCGTGATTCTTGCTCTGGTTCTGGTTTCACACTGCACGAAGGAACACTGGACTCCGATACAGAACTAGCACTCTCTACCATTTCCAACTTCGGCATTCCCATGGCGGGCTTCTTTTCGCGAATCCTCCGACCACTGCCTCTGGGCTCCTCTCTCGAAGACAGATTTCCCCGCTTGGGCAGTGCAACTGGGGCAAGTCTAGGTGGTGGCTTCTTCACGGGAATGGGCAGAGACAGGTCCAAGAAAGGCTCAAAGACAACAGATGAATGTCCACACACGGTGCAACAGACGGTGCTAGATAGCTGGCCACCAAAGATGGCATCCACAAAGGTAGTAGACGGGCCCGAGATCGCTTGATCTTCTTCAGACTCGCTCCCTGTCTCATCACTCTTAGATTTCGCAGCTGATTTCCTGGCGTTTGAGTGTTCAGTGCAGAGGCCATCAAGCAGGTACCGGAGCAATTCATGGCTGTCCTGTTGCTGGTAGCCCTTGAACTGAGGAGCCTTGGAGCACACGGACCCAAAGAGGTTATTGGGGGTTATGCGACTCTTATGGCTCGCATCAGAGCCGTTGGAGGTTTCCACGAAGAGCTTCTTCAAGGCCATTGTGAGAGGACCCATGTCCTGGTCCAAGTTGAGGAAGTAGCTCCTCAACCTTTCCATGGCAAGGAGATTCTGAGTAACCGAATTGAAGAAGCAAGTGTTTCCGAGGTTGGTCAGGCCTCTCACAGAGTACCCTCCCTTGCGCTCAGAAGGTAGAGACGAGCCCCCATTCTCCATCCTCCTCTTCTCCACATCTTTGCCGAACCAGACCACATCAATGTCCGCCACCCGATTAGGCTCCCCGTTCTGCAAGGGGGTAATCTCAATTGGGATCGAAGAGTTGCAAGCGAAGCACCAACCAATGGAGGCATTGTCGAGCCGCACGGCGACAGAATGCCTGTCCTGCTTTGAATGCCGGCGGGCATGGCCGTACGGCTCTGATTCGCCGGCGACTCCTCCCCCACAACCCAGATGATTACAGTCCAGGCATACCCATACGGTACCTGTCTCCGCCTTCACCTCCGATTTAGATGCCCCTCTTCTCCTCTCCATATTTTTCCCCCTCGCCCTAACGACCTTCTTGCCTCCAGGTTCCTCTCTGCAATCCTCACATTTATCATCGGCTCCCGAAGAAGAATGGATTCTCAACAGATTGCTCTTCACCGCTTCATCTTCCCTCTTGAAATGCTTGCAGGGTCCGGTCTCTTCCCCCTCTACTACGGAATCCACCTGCTTGGCCATGGTGGACCTCGACGAGATGACCGGAACTCGGGGATTCGCTCGGCGCGTGCTCCGCCCCTTGGCCTTGGCCTTCTTGCCCATGGTTCCTACCTACAGACGCTGCAAATCGGAGGCCGCAGTCAACAAAATCTCCCCATTAAGACCTCCGAATCCAACAACAAAAGAAAGCGAGAACTTCATTCGGAACCTGATCAAATACAACTCGGATGAAAAAGCAATGGAATGTGATCAGCATCTCGCAGAGAACACCAATCAATCGGAGCGGGGGAAAGAAGAGAACTACAATGGCTCAGGGCATCATATACCTAAAACAAAAACCTTATATCAAATTGATAGTGTTTACGGCTTGGGAACGAAGGTGCCGGAGAAGGGATGCCGAATCCGAGTCCGATCGATCTGGAGAGGGCAGACGAAGAGGGCTCGCGGGAGGGAGGGGACCTTCTCGAGTTTATCCCCCCTCCCCCTCTGTGTTCTTCGGGGAAAGGAAAGGAAGGTGGGGGGGAAATAAAACCAGGTTTTTCCCCCGCCTCGTGTTGGCGTTCTCAACGGGCCGCGCCGATCCCGGCCAAGCCCGAATCCATTCCAAGCCCGGGAGAAAATTCTGACTCCTATGAAAAAGAAAATAAAACCAAGCGGGCCTGAGGCAGCCAGTAATATTAATAAATATACTTGATTAATATTATGATTTCATGAAATTAAGGTAAAAGACGGCCCATCTAAAAGTAGGCCAGTTAACAAGAATGGGCCCAGTGATGTGTAACGCCATTGCTTCGTTCTGTCATGGTCTGCTGTACATCCGGGCCCATAATCGAATAAACGGGTCAAGCCGAAACTTTACTAATGTCTGATCCGAACAATCACAGACCCGATTGCATTCCCTTCTCTGAGTCCCTCTCTAATCTCGCCCTCTCTGTCTCTTTAGCTTGTTGACTTCTCTCCATTCCCGAGATTGACGCCCACTACCAAGGGATTGCGTGGAGGCTCGCTAGTGGGTGATCTGTGGGCATCGTGACGGCGCAGACGAGGATCCACGTCATCCGGTAGGTTCTATTTTTTTATGCTATTATTTAATTTTCGAAAATAATTCTGCCCATTATTTTTCTCTCATGCTTTATCTTATCCAATAATAAAAAATACTGATTTAATCGATAATCAATCCGTATATCAAAGCATGGATTATATTTTGACCAGGTTTTGATGTGAAGCGGCGGGGTGATCAGAGCAGCGGACCCCATACACCATAAATCCGAGTCGCTGCGTATGTGGACCATCAGTGGATAATCTCGGCCGTCAGCTCCGAGTTTTTCTATAAAGGGTGGACTTCTCACCCGTCGATTATCGATTATTCCTCTCGTAAACGGGGAAAGAAGCTTCGGAGGAGGGGGGATTTTGCGGCAGTTTGAAATCAGCGGTGGAAGAGGACATGGCGGAGTTGGAAGCGGGATTGAAGGCGGCAGACGAGGAGGCTTGCGGAGGAGCGGCCCTGGCGGAATCAGAGGCCAGCGAAGGGGAAGGCTCGGAGGAGTATCTGACGCCGCCGATGAACTTTGCAATGGTGGAGCGAGGAATCTACAGGTCGGGATTCCCGGAGACTCGTAACTTCAGCTTCCTCGATTCGCTCGGCCTCAGATCCGTCCTGTGAGCGCTCCGATCTGCAGCTACCGTGATTTTCTCGCGTTCATGAATCTCGGTTTTGTGAGGAATTTCGGTTTTGGGAATTTCTTACAATGAAATGGCTGGAGTTTTCTCAGGTACTTGAGCGGGGAGCCCTACCCCGAGACGAGTGCCGAATTCATCCGATCGCGCGGGATCCGCCTCTTCCAGTGGAGCATTGGTGGCAGCAAGGTAGAATTTCGTTTCTAGGCCGGCTTGATGATCCCCTCTTTCTCCAGTATATATTACCATTTTTCGCGTCGAAATTGAGAAGTCCGATTATAATCCATGATCATATCTCAATCATAACAAGCTTTTTGTGGATAATCAACCAAGAATATATATATATATATATATATATCTTGGCAAAACTAAATCCACCATTTCCAGTTGATTCGGCTCGAGCGGTTACGACGATACCTCTCTCTCTCTCTCTCTCTCTCTCTCTCTCTCTCTCTCTCTCTCTCTCTCTCTCCAGAGTATATTCCAGTATACCTGATCCCTTCCTGATCGGCTACGATGAATCCTAGTATTTCCTCGCCCTTTGTCTCAATCATGGTAAAAGTTTCTGAGGCCGATGAACCGAGAAAATCTCTATATTTATCTGGAAAGGTTAAATCCATTTTCCTAGAGTCATATCCAAGAGTTCTTCAGGGACACTCTTCGATCCAGCGGAACACCATCTCTCACGCAACAATATCGAATGGCAGTCTCAAACATTTATCTTTATTTCTTAATGAAAAACAATTTAATATTATTTGCGGAACTTGTGCAGAGATCTCCCCCAAACAACTCCGAGGACACCATCACGGATGCTCTGAGAGTCCTAATCGGTAGTCCTTCCTCCTTACCAGACCTTCTCCATCGATCAAAAACGTTCTCTCTGATTCCCTCGGCTCTCCACTGTTTCAGATTCGAGAAACCATCCGGTTCTGATCCTGTGCAAACGAGGGAAAGTACGATGAGCACCTCGATCTAACGTTGACTTTGCTCTCCGTTTTTACGGTACCAAACGTTGACCTCTCTCTCTCTCTCTCTCTCTCTCTCTCTACACGGGAGTGCATGCAGCACCGGGCAGGATGCATCGTGGTGGGCTGCTTCAGGAAGCTGCAGAGCTGGAGCATGGCCGCCGTCTTCGAGGAATACCGGAGATTCGCCGTCAAGACAAGAATCTCCGATCTGCGGTTCATCGAGGAATTGGACGTGTCGGGGGTGGGCCAGTGCCCCCGCGCCGCCGCCCACCGCTTTTCCGGCTGCGGGTCGCAGGCCAGGCGCCGCCTCGTCCACCAGGAGATCTCCGATCCCCCCGCCGAGTCCACGCCGTCCATCTAATGTCCTTCCTCATTCACCAGAGAAAACAAAATAATTTGAATCTTCAGCAGAAGCTGAAGTCTTCGGATCCGATCAATCTTCTTCTTTCCCTCTCTGGGTTTTTTTTTCCCTCCATGGTTACCCGCCGGCGACTACTCCGCCGCCGATCTAATCAAGACCATTTTTTAGAAGTAAAGTTACGTACTTTATATCGTAAAGACAACTATTAATAGGGAAACATGACGATGCGACGATCACATGATTGCATTGGAGCGTTGACTCTTCAGATTGCTGGAATATTTCCTTTCTCGACGAACGCTCGACGAACGCTCGAGACCAACAGATGGAGACTAAGACATAGAATTTATTCGGTGGTGGCGGCGGTAGGGAGGGAGTGGATCAGGGGCACTTGGGCTTGCCTTCTTGGGTCGTCCAATTGTTGTAGCAGGGGCACTCCTCCTTGTTGCCATAGGTCCCCGAGGGCACGCAGAGGCACTTCTGGCAGCACTTGTTGCAGAAGAAGAGGCACGGCTTCTGGTGCGACGTCTTCGAGCACCTCACCGCGCACCTCGGTGCACACTCTGCCACACACACCGTTCTCATCGTCAAATCTCTCTCTACCCTCTCTCTCTCTCTCTCTCTCTCTCTCTCTCTCTCTCTCTCTCTCTCTCTCTCTCTCTCTCTCTCTCTCTCTCTCGTCTTTCTCTCTCTATTTATCTATCTTTCCCAGGGTCTGGGAAGAAGCGGAGGAGACTGGGTGAGGGTAAGGGTGTACCTGATGCATTCAGAGAGCCCTCTCCGCCCGTCGGTTGATAAGTTGGAGACCCGTTAACGTCGGCCTGCATGCAGGAAAAAGCAAAAGGAATAAGTATTCAGTAGAGTGTAGAGAGAGAGAGAGAACACAGGCGCAAGGCGTTGCGAAAAACCTATATCTGGGGAGATAATAATCATCGTCATCAGCAGAGTTGTGTACACTCCAAATATCGAGCCATAGATACAGATAGATACAAAGATAGATAATAGAGAGAGAGAGCGAGAGAGAGAGAGAGAGACCTTGCAGGAGCTCAAAAGAAGCGCGATGGCAAGGAGGAAGAGGACCGAGGGGAGGCACCAGGAAGACGTCGCCATCTTTCTCGCTCTACAGTTCTCTTCTTGCCTTCTGCTGCGACTCGCGAGGACCCCATTTTATAGATGGAGTCGAGATTTGGTGATATCCGACTTAGACTGGTCTCCAATCAATGCCGGGATTTCTTTCCAAATTAGGAAAAGCATCAGCCCTCGAATCTCATCCAGGAAGAAGGAGCTGGGAACCCTGCATTAACAGCCCGACCTCGTTTGGTCCGGCTACTGAGAAGCGATTCCACGGAATGTCCCAAGTCATCCAACCGTTCGAACCGGTCGACGGTCGATCGAAGCCTTCGAATTCTCTCTCATCGACCGTTTCTGATCGTTGGATCGAACCGAATTGTGGGCTGGTAGGACCTTCTCAAAGGGTTAGATTGGAATTTAGAATATATAGAAATATGAATGTAATTATATTAAAGATATGCATTATCCAATATCTGGTAAAAGTATTCATAACTAATTTAATGAAGTGAAAACCTTAAATAAGCATTGACTTCGGTTCTTAGCTTCTACAGGTTTAGGAAATATTGATTAAATATATATAGATGATTTATTGATGGATTTAACCCATAATCGGTTTGTGTTCCTATATTTTCTTTATTTAGGAATCTCTGATTCTATAAACCTCATCTCTCTCTCTCTCCTAAAAAGGTGTGGGCCCGCGTTTAAGATAGCCTGGGCCGGGTCTTCTAATGGGCTTTTTATAGGCCTTCTAAGATGTTCTTTGTTAATAGTTGACATAAGTGGGCCCATTATATGGCCCAAATACTTCTTTCGTTGAGGAACAAACACCATATGAATGGTCGGGATTAGTCCATTTAGAAAGCTAATTGGACCGGGCTGACCTCTCCACTTTCCAGCCCATTTCACACGCTCGCCGTAGAAGACACGACTCATTAAGCCCAGCCCCCGGCCCATTAACACGTACGCATCACGTGCACCTCATACTAAATAAATGTCCAGTCCACGTGACCCTTGGTGGCCCGTGGCGTGTTGCGACTTCTCGGGCATATTCCAGCCCATCTTGTTCTGTATGATCTTTCTGACGCAAATATCCCACTTCCTTGCCGTGGACGTAACTCCAATGTATTTATAATTTTATTTATTTATTCACTTTCCCTACCTGCTCGCACTCTAGAGAGAGAGAGAGAGAGAGAGAGAGAGAGAGAGAGAGAGAGAGCGAGGGCATCTAAACCATCTCTATCGTCGCCAAATCGAAGGACGACGAGACCCTCTCTGTTGGTAATGGGCCAACTGGGCTCAAAGGTAGTTGAAGCCCAATATTTTATTTTTCAACATGGAAGGTTGACCTTTTTATCACCGACCAATTGGTCAACAGAGGCAGAACTCCATCGCATCGACAGCTGTGCTCGGGAGGCCATATTTAAGTATTTATTTATTTTATGGTAAAAAAAACCTTCAGGCCGAGTGCGATGCTATTTTTAGCGTACCCATAAGGAGGCGTATAAGTGTAATTAGTACGTAGATAGGGTTACGTAGCAAGGAACCAGAGTTTTAATTTTTCTATTATCGGAGAGAATGCGCACACGTGGGTAAGATTCCCCGCTGACTGCTAACTCGCAAGTTGAAACCCTCATTTTTTTTAATATTTTTTGTTAATACCTTCGAATTTACTTTATTGCCAAAGGGGGGTTATAAAATGAGGATGCAGATAAGGTTTGGGTATGAGAAAGAGGGTTAAATTATGTCAATTAATTTTTTTAAAAGGGAATTTATGCAAAAAAAAAGGCCTCAAAACTCACCGTCGCTTCTCCCCCCATTGAAGAAGCACGAGAGAAATATACAACTCCGCGCCTCTCCTTCGCCGCCGGAGGGACGACGGCGAACAGATACTAGCCGAACCCATCGTTCAGGCTACCCGCGACGGCGGCGCCTCGGCCTGCGCCGCCATGGTCAGCTCGAATTGCTGGACGGAGAGGGCGGAGAGCGGCTGAATCCCGCCGGCGAACGTCTCCCAGCCCATGGCGCCGCCGCCGGGGCCGATGTGGGCCACATGCTTCACGTCGGTGGGGAAGCCGATCTCCATCTCCTTGCCCTCCTCGTCTTCCTCCTCCCTGAACGAATCGAACAGTTGAGGAAAGGCCTTGATGAGCTTCATCAGCCGCTGGATCCCCGCAGAGAAGGTGAAGGGGGCCCTTGGCTTCCCTCCGGCGAGTCTCTCTCCTCCTTCTCCCTCGTCTTCGCCTTCGCCATGGAAAGGAGGCCGGAATTAGAGAAGCATAATTCTCAGTCAACGACTGCCGTGAGAGGAGGAGGGAGGCGATACCTCTGCATGCGCTCTTCTTCGCCTGCCTGCTGCTGCCCACGTCAACGCTGGTTCGGGAGACGCAGCCGATGGAGAAGGGAAGGATCACCAGCCTCTCCATGCGTTCTCCCATCTTTCATGAATCCAAGCAGGAAACAGAACTGCTCAGAGAGAGAGAGAGTTGGATGGAGTGGTGCGAGGATGGAGTTCTTGAAGGCGGAGTGGATTTGTTGTGTTGGTGGCCCCGTTAGCGGACCCTCAGACGACTCACTGTCGCCTTGGGCTGTGGGGGGAGAGAGAGAATTGGATGGAGTGGGTTGGGTTTGGTTGGTTGGGTGGCACCTACTTCATGGTGATCGCAGATAGGAGGGCGTGAACCCCACCAGCTTCTATCTGTCCTCATGTGCTCTCTCTCTCTCCCTCACTATCTCTCTCTCGCTGTATTTCGAAGAAGGGGAGGACGAAGGAAGGAAGAAATAACGTAGCTTGAGCTCTGAAAGGAGATATAAGATGGCCGACAATGAATAAAAGATCGTTATTAATTAATTTACATTGCGATGAAAGGGGGTGTGCCCGACAGAAAAAGCTCGGAAAATACTTCTGAACCTTCTCCGTATCCACTCTTAATTATTAAAATTGGGCCTAGTCCCTTCCGAGCCCATTAGTCTTAGTTGATGGCCCAATATCTGAGTTAATAGGTCCTCAAAGACTTAAACTTAATAGTTTAAATATTTTCATATGCAATATGGTAGAAGAAAATGGGTCGTTTATTTTCTTCTTCTTCTTCCTATTTATTTTTTTCAATTTATATATTTTATTTCTTTCCATTGCTTATCTAGCCTTATAAGGCTTAAGAATCATATCACTGGTATCAAAGCTAGAAAAGTTAGGGACTGATGATGAGAGATAAAACTCAAAATTATGAAAAGATTACTATATAACCTAGATATATATTTGGAGGAAGTTGGAGAGTGATTGTGAGGCCTTATAGAGTTGGAAGATCATCTATTATGAGAAAATACATAGTGGTTCACAGTGTTGGAACAATACATGATTACCATGTCCCAAAGCATGAATATGCTAGAACTAAGAGATTTGATTAAAAGTGAGTAAATTAGAAAAAAAAATGTTATGTGCCATTATTCAAGGATTGAAGATGGAGAGATTATTTGATTTCTTGAACCCCCAAAATGTCAATTTCATATCAATTAGAAATCCCATCGAGTTATTCATTCAATTAAAAAAAATCATTTCATTGACCTTGTGGGTCATTCTATACTATCTTTTGATAGAAACTCCATAGGATTATTTTTTTTGGGTTACTTGTAGGTTAAATCATTGATTATGAATGTTGTAAGTATAGACTTTTTATAAAATATAAATTTCATGCACCAACACTTTGATGGTGGATCATTGCAAGAACACTCAGAGATTTTTGACTGTTTGGATCGTCAAGAATGCCACGAAGATCATCCATCTTTTGACTGACGCCATCTAGTGTCAAGGGGGAGAGCCTTTTCAAATCATCAAGACCATTGTTGATTTTAGGGACGTAGACCATCCCTATGTCAAGTAATCCCATTGTGTGTGTAAAGAGAGAGAGAGAGAGGGAGAGAGAGAGAGAGAGAGAGAGAGCCTTTCTTTTGTTATAAGTGAATTGACACTGACATTCTTACCAACGAGGCCAGAACACATGCCCATTAGAGCTTCCGCATCAAACTGGGTCACTAATGGATCTCTCTCTCTCTCTCTCTCTCACTCTCTGTGTGACCTGTGCGTCAAGCCATTGTGCCAGGGGATCTCGGTCGGCTTCCCCCTGAACCCTCGCTCCCGCTGGGAATATTAAATGCGTCAACTCCCCCGCCGCCCCTCTTCCTCCTCCTTGATAAATGGAGCGAAGGGAGACGTAGAACTGAGCCGGAGCTCCTCCTCATCTTCTTCTTCTTCCTCCCGGGGACAGAGAATTTCGGGAATGTCTCCCCAAGTTGGAGTTATCCCTCACTTCCTCCTCTTCCTCCTCTTCGTCTCCTCCTCCTGCGGGGATTCCTCTGACCAGGTGAGAATTTCTCCCTCCCTTCCGCTCTCTCTCTCTCTCTCTCTCTCTCTCTCTCTGCTAGGGTTTATGGCTTCCATATCATTGTTCTTCTGATGAGATGGGGGTCCCCATCTGCAGCGGCGGTCGTCGGTCGCGGCGGCGGCGGAGATGCGGCCGGTGGCGGGGCCGGGGATGGAGTCACTGGTGCTGAACGAGACCCGCCGGCGGCTCCGGAGCTTCCAGATATGCGCGGTGTGCACCTGCTGCGGGGGGGATCGGGGCCTTTGTCTTCCCTCTCCCTGTTGCTACGCCATCAACTGCAACATCCCCAACAGACCCTTCGGCTTCTGCTCCTTCACCCCCAAATCCTGTAACTGCTTCGGCTGCTACCTCTGAGTCTGATTCGCCTCCCCGGGTTCCAGGCCAGAAAACCCTCATCTAATGCAACCACTCCTCTTCCATCCTCATTCTCTCTCTCGTTCCTCTGCTCATCCCATGCCGATTGTTCTTCATTGCCCCGGAGTTTGCTGAGGAATTGAACTCATATCACGGGATTTGTCTCTCGATCTGAAGAGAGGGGAACGAATGCCACAGACCCACCCCTTCGGCGATCCATAGCCACCGCTCTTCGGGGTGGCGAAGGATTCCGACGAGTCTGCAGAAGACCCACCGCTCTTCGGACTGGGTAGCTGATCTTCTTTGAATGCCCCTTAATGGTGCCTCTCTCGGCTAAGAGATCAAGCTGTTCTCTCTCTCTCTCTCTTCTCTCTCTCTTTCTCTCTCGCCATCAAGTATAAACGATGCCTAGCTGCACGTGATTCCGGATTAGTGGGAAACAATGAACCCGTTTTTCTGCTTCCATAGAAGTTAATATAAAAATAAAAAATAAGATATTATATGGACGATCAAATAACCTCGCAATCTACGAAATGTGACAGAATCTCATTGGGAAATCATGGTAGAGCTAAAGTGTTAATGGGCCCGGGCTTTGAGCCGGATTTGGCCCGTAAGCCCGAAACTTTGCCCTCTCGTTCCTTCCAAGCTCGGCCCGTTTGGCTTACATTTTTAGGAAGGCAAAACTATAATTCTATACGTTTGGGGGTATAATATTAACAATTATTTTATTTTGGGTTTGAAAGTAATGATGACGTGACGGAGACGACATGCGCCAAGCGGAAGCTTCGGTGGGTGGATTCCCTCGTCCCCTTGTCATCTGTCTATTCATCTTCGTCTGTGGAATTCTCTCTCGTGCTTTCCTGGCCCTGGGTTCCTTCGCCGGGAAGCATCGTCTCATCCCTCTCGTATTCCTCTCTTCGTTTACCTTGGTTGACGTTGTCGCGCCGTCGTGTGTCTCTGCGAAATCCGTGTCGCTGCTCCGATCGCCTTCCGCGCTTTTTGCGGATTACGGAGATTTGTTCAATTGTAGACCTGTTTCTCGTCAAATTAAGGTATCGTACGTTCATCGTGTAGTGTCTCTCCCTTTTTTGGCATCCGATTTTTGCGTATTGTTGCATCTTTCCTGATATTTCAATAGGTGCCGAGTTATTATCATCGAGAGAAACTGCTTAGGGTTTCTTTGATTGATGATATTTTCTGAGAGATAATTAAACTTAGATTTTAGTTTTAGTCCCTACTGGGGGAGATCAAGGCTGCTGGTCGGCTGATAGAAAATGTTCCTCCCTCGGGATGGCAGTATATGTGTGCTATTTTCTTTCGTCCGGCCCGCTCTAGCGCATGAATAATGTGTATTAGAATCCTAAGATGGTGAAGCATAAATTGTGATATCCATTTACTAGGTAATTTCAAAGACTCTATGTGGTGGCAAGTAATGAATCGAAATAATTACGTGTATTATTGAATAGATAGGGATGCTGTCTTCCCTTTTCTTTCTCAATCCAGTTAGAAATGATATTTTAGCGGTAGTTGGAAGCTGTTTAATCAGGCATGTGTTGATGTTATAGTATTTGGCGTTTGGGTCCAATGATTTGTTGTATGAGCCCTTGACTGAATATTGACTATCACGTGTAGCTAAATTCAACATTTTCCTTTTACGTGTGGAGTACCTGATTTAAATTTTTGAGTGTAATTTGGAATCACCTTGCTCGGAACTAATGTATCTCTCTGTTTTATAGTCTTGACATCGTTTAAGAGCCTGGATTCTGCTTTTCGATACTGGGGTATCGGTATCCTTTTGAAAGAAGGATTTTTTTCAACTGTGTTTAGGAAATTTCAGTATTTATACCATTTAAAAAGTTATTGATCAAGCAAGACAGATAACAATTTAAAAAGTTATTAATGCGTGAGGTTCCTTGTCAGAAACCCTTTCCCTGTGGAACTTTCCCTTACAAGCCCCGTTCCACCTTTTGTTTATAATTTACCTTTCAGAAGTAAGTTGGATGATTGATTCCATTTGGGAAATGATTTTTCCGAATTGTTTCTACATTAAGACTCATTTGCTCTTGAGAGTATACTAGAGTGGGTGTGATTAGGTTCAAAAGAAAAAAAACCTTGGAAATGATAATCTAACAGCCACAAACTAAAGTTTGTTGCTTCTAAATGAGTCTTGCCAACGCTGTGTGTCAGAAAGTATGATGCCAATGCTCTGTTTCATCGTTAAATCGTGACAGTTATCTGTTTTCAAACAAATACAATGATTTTCTCCCCATCTATTTTTAATTATCTTATCTCTCTTGACATGTTTTCAGTGATGGCAAACTCTTTGGATTCTTGGATGAGGGAGTACAACGAAGCCTCTAAGCTTGCAGATGACGTTAACAATGTGATTTCTGGGAAGGAGTCCTTGCCAACATCAAGTCCCGAGTCAAAAACCTTTATATCTGCAATACGAAGGAAGATAACAATTCTTGGCACTAGATTAGATAGCTTGGAGTCCCTTTTGTCAACGCTTCCTAGCCAACAACAAATGTACGTGTTTTATGTGATTTATCAGCTGTATTACTGCGAACTTTGTTTTACAATTAATCTGTGATCATTGTTCTATGCTTAGTTTTATAGATTTTAGCGCAGCTCATCCCTCTCAATCTCCTTGGATTCTCTCGATTATATAATGTGCTTTTAATATAATGTTATTTTTGTGCGTAGCCTTACTGTGATTTTCGGACTTTTTTCCCCTGTAATTGCTCCCCGTAATTTTCTAATTATTCTGACGTTATTTTTGCATGAGTTATGGAAACTTGTATGCACTAAATTATTGCTCGTGTCAATTTACTTGCGGCTAACTTTTACAGTTGCTATATTTTTTGTGCCAACATAAATTGATCTTCTTCTCTGTTATAATTTATTCTTTCGATTCATTAATGCGATTTGATCTGGAACGGTCTTTGGGTTAAAATGTTGTTGTTGTAGCCATAATGAATTGCATTAAACTGGCAAGTGGTTGGAAGGCATTGCCAAGGTTTGCTATACATATGTGGGTTAAAGTGATAAGGAGTAATGCCTTGTTCTCCTAGAAGGATACCTCATTGCATGTGGTCTCCTTACATTCAAACTTGCAGGAACGTGTGGCTATACACTGATGGTATTATTGGAATGATTGTCAATAAGTTTCATAGGATCCTATGATATTCTTTGCAGTCTGTCATTGGCCTATTTTTGGTGGCTGATTTTATTTTCTTTTCTTATCTGGGGTGGGGGTGATGCCATTAACTGTTGCATATTTTCAGTTACTATTTTGTTGCATTTCCATTGTCTACAAGAAGCCTCTTGATCGCAGGTAATGGAAAAGTTGTTTTCATCCGTTCATAGTTTTCTCATATCTTGTCTTGCATGTTAAGAATTATTATTGGATAATCTTTACTGCACACGACTCCTTAGGTTAAGGTAATGCAGGAGAGTGTGTCAGACAGTTTCGGTGTAATAGGTGGCTGAAAACTAGTGTTAGGAAACTGTCACTGGGTTTTGGGTACTTTGCTGTTCTAGGGTCATGTTGCATTTTGCTTAGAGGATTCGTCTGATGAAATCAACAAAAAACTAATGTGTTCGGATTCCATCCGGTAAGACACTATTCTTTTGTAGGTGAGCATGCATGACTTCGAAAATGAGGTAAAGATGTTTCTTTGGGTAGTAAATCAAGCGGTCAAACATTTGATGTGAAAAATGTCTATACTTGAAATGCGAATTCAATTGTAACTTTTTAACATTCAATTGAGTAGAAAAGTTGGTATTCATATTTGTTGAGAATATTGTGCCTGAAATCATATTTGAGCGGAATCTAAAATAACGGAATTTAATGCTTCTACCTAAGCACCGAAAACATTTTGAAAATGTGAAATTTCTTGAAATAGTTCAAAATTCATATTGCATCTCCCAGTTCTTCATCATCAAATGGTTCCATTTTTTCGCTTGCGGGGACGCTTGTTGTTGCTAACATATCCCCGTTCCAGTTACTAGGGATGGAAGAGAACACTTGTGCTCATTTTTCTCGATGTCTTAATCATTGCAAGAGTTTCACCCAACATCCAGAGTTGCAAGAAGAATGTCTTTCAAGACATTTATCTTTTACATTTGCAATTTTATTCTAAATATACTTTCGAAATTTTTATTAGATGGGACGGACTGAAGTTTGGGTCTTCATCATATCTTGCTTCTGGCACGAGTTGGCTGATTCAGAATAGGGAAATTGTACTTCTAAGGGAACTTTTCTCAATTTCTGATGTGGTGCTTGAGTAAGGCATCTTTCATTAGTGGAATCTATTGTTTGAATTATTTTATCTCCTAAAAAAGAGAAAATCCTTCCCAGTCATGCACTGTGCCTCAACCAATATGTTGCCGAGCTCTAGAAGTGTTTTTCATCTTTCGGAACATATTCGTGTCGTGTGTAAGGATAATGGTATTGTTCTATATGTGGCCTTGTCTATGCTTTGCACAAAGAATATTACCTTCTTTTTTGCCTGACTTGCACATGTTTTCTCATATGCAGAACTGCAAAAGAGCTGCATAAGCGTCAAGACATGCTTGCAAGTTTGAGATCTAAAGCGAAGCAGTTGGGTTCTACTTTAAATACGTCAAAATTTGCCAGCAGGTGAGAACCTTTGTAAGCTTCCTCTGTCTCAGTGTTTTGATTGTTTTGTCTGGAGAACATTTCCCTTTAAACTGTGGATTTGCCACTTGGGGAATTATGCTTTTAATCAAGCGGATGACCTTTCCATTGATCTAACCTTATCAAAAAAAAATTGTAAACTTCTGAGAAATGGGCATTAAGATTGGATTCATGTTGCAGAGAGGATCTTCTTGGACCCTCTGGGAAACCTTCCGATGGCATAGAGAGGATTGCTGGACTAGACAACTATGGTGTTGTTGGACTGCAACGTCAGATAATGAAAGGCATGGCCTCTTCCTTCCTTTGGAGTGCTCACCATTAATTAACTTCTTGCCTGGAAAATCTCCTCTCAGGCATTTTTTCCGCTCTCATTTTTCTTTTTTCCTTTACTTTTTTAGAGCAAGATGAGAATCTTGAAAAGCTGGAAGTGTCAGTTGTAAGCACAAAACACATTGCATTGGCAGTCAATGAAGAGCTGGATCTTCACACGAGGCTCATTGTACTTTTCTTCATTATCTCTTTCAAGATTCTCTAAAATACATACATGGTACTCTTGATATACATACATTCTCTAAAATTCCTCTTCTTTCTGACAGGATTCCTTGGATCAGCATGTTGACTCGACCGGCTCACGTCTTCAGGTATCTCTGTCCTTTTTAGCATAATAGGCCACATTGAAGATCATATATCACATTGGAGAAGATGAACCGCCAATGATACAAAGAAAAGAAAAAGTGCGCGTGTAGGTCATGAACTGCCGTGTTGACCAACTCCAGTATAATGAGAGGGATTGAGAGGGTCAACTTAGTAGCCTCTTCTTAGTTCGGGTTCACGCTAGCCGTGTATGCCTTTGGATTCCCTGGACTGGCTAGCTTTGATTAGAAGGGAGAGAAGTGAGAGAGATGGGTAAATCTCTCTGCATGCATATAGAATAGGCCTTACTCATAAAAAAATAAAATGCCTAGCCATAATTTTTCTTTATGCCACACTGATTAATTGTTTTATAATTCACCCATTCCCTTGAATGTATTTCAAAATTGCATGCTTTGTTTCAAAAGAAGGTAGAAAATCATGCGGTTTTCATAGATTCCTATATTCATCACGTGGAGCCTGCCCACAGAATTGAAAGAACAATATATTGAGGTTGGCGTTTCCATTGAGGGCTTTTTCGTCATCTTGCCCACAAATATCTATTTGCATCTATATCAGAACTATATTCATCTATCTTATTTAGGACTCCCTGTATAAAATTTTATTTACATGTGAGTGATCCGGTTTTTAGTCGCCCTTAGACTTCCAGTTTGTAGTTACGGAGACCATACTGAACTTAATATTTTAAAGGTTGCCATCCATACCATCTCCACGATGTGATCTTGATACCATGAGAATATCTTCCCGCATGATTCCTTTATTGATCTCTTTTTACACCCGGCTGTCTTCCAATTCTAGCAAAATTTCTCCCTCTCCCTGGATTTTCTCGGTAGGTATCATTATCTTACCCGCGACTGTAATTTTTATATGGTGGTTTCATATGAATCGGTGAAAATAATTCTGCTAAGGACAATAAAAAAAGAAAGAGAGGATGATCTATGATTTTTTTTTTCACAAAAATGTTTATTTCTCTCTCTTTATATCAGGCAGCCTTGTAACTTCAGCACCCCTCTCTCTCTCTCTCTCTCTCTCTCTCTCTCTCTGGTTTTACAAGCGGGTGGTGTCTTACGCAGTAAAAGCTTGTAATTCTTTCTCAGGCGATTTCCCATGAATGAAGTGAAAAAATTATGCTAGGAAATAATTATATATTTTATTTGAAAATTTTATTCATAAAAAATGTATTATTCTCTCTTTTAGGTCAGGTCACCTTCTGCTTCTTTACGTTTTTCTTTTCTCCCTCTCCAAGAATTTTCCGAGTGCATGGGGATTTCACTTGAATATGTGAAATACCGTGTAGGAATGCAGCCAAGCACCATATCACAGTCGATAAATCTTTGAATGTTCTTTTTATCGAGAAAAAAAAAAAAAAGGGCCTATAAAATCTCCAGCGAGGGTTGACTTTATGTGGTGGGGCCGACTTGCAGAGGGTGCAGAAGAGGCTGGCGATCCTCAACAAACGCACGAGAGGAGGCTGCAGCTGCACTTCCCTCTTGCTGGCGGTCATCGCCATCGTAATCCTGGCCGTCACCGCCTGGTTGCTCATCAAGTACTTGTGAGTCCCTCGCATTCTGAGAATGCATTCCGATCCACTCAGGGGAGGGAAGAAGAAGCCCATCCATCCATCCATCCATCCATCCCATTCCTTGTACAGCGCTCCACTCCCCTTCTCACGGAAGTCTCTAAGTCAACGCTCCGCTTCCTCTCCGAATAGAATCTTCCCTCGCAGTCCCTCTCGGTCATCCCGGATGAGGCGGGGATTTACTTGGAAGGAATGGCACTTGCGGCTGCCGGGGCTTGTTTATTTCTCCAAGGAAAAAAAAAAAGGTTAATAAAAGAGAAATGTGTGCTGTTTGTGGATGTGGATTATGTGATTAATCGATCTTTTATGTTTGGTTCATCACCGGGGGCCCTTATTACACATCGAGCCCAGAAAACAAGAATCGGTCCCCGGTGCTACTGTTGGCTGAAAGTCAACGACCAATTTGACTATTATCTCTCTCTCTTCTACTTCCAAACGTGCGTCTCACATGAGAGTTCATTTTCAGATATTTTTTAGGGTTTACATCATCTCTGACGCTCATAGGTATGTCACATACATAACAATCTATATATATATATATATATATATATTACTATCTTTAGAATGGGTCAATAATTTTTTGGGTGTTTGGAGGCATTTATATCAATGGACAAATGAAGAAAATATGCTCAAATATTTCGACCATCTCAATCAACATAGAATTAATCTAGCAACAGCAACAATACATACATATCTGTATATTCTATGCCCTCTTCTCACTTAAACACCCTAAAAAATGGGGATAAAATAGCTCCACCCATCGATTTCCCTGGATTTCCACGCGATTCGAAGAAAGAAATCCCCAGCAATGCCATAATCTATATGCTCTCTCTCTCTCTCTCTCTCTCTCTCTCTCTCTCTCTTGGAACACAACTCACCTGCACGACGGCCAAAACTCCGTAACACATGGGGGGATTCACTTGAGAGTGGGACTGCCTGTACCTTCAGGGCTCCTCCTTGTTTAGTTCTCCCAGCGTCCTCTGCGCGTAGAGTTTCTGCTCCCTGGCGCGCTTGGCGGCGAGAGCTTCCTCGTCGAGCACCTTGATCGGCGACCACTCGGGCAATCGCCAACTTGAGATGGAGATATCTTTCACGAAGGGGTACAGCTGAAGGGCGGCGAAGTCAAGTGCCGTCCCAGAGACAGCGAAGATGACGGAGTAGCGAAGCGCGCCGCGCTGACCGCCTGCAGATAGAAACCACACGAGGGAAGAAAGATTCTTCCTGTTCCCCCCAAAAAAAAAAAAAAAAGACAAAAAGAAAACCTAGAAAAAGGACCCAACTGAGGGGTTAAAATTAATTATTTCTCTCTCTCGTTGATTAAATTAATTTTCTGACATTCTCTGACAGATACATCTTGGAGTTACGAAAATAAAATAAAATTAACGGATAAATAAGAAAGAAAGCAATCCAATATTGACCCCAAATTTCCAGTTCAAACTTTTTTTTTTTCTTTTCTCCAAAACATATGGGATCCGGAGGATCGAAGCAGTCTAACCTTGGAGTCTCCCGAGAAGAGCTCCAGTGGCGAATCCCCCAATCGCAGAATTAGCCAGGTCGTCTGGTTCCGAAGCTCGAGTGTTCCTCACAAATTCACGTGCACCTGCAGAGCTCATCAAGATCTTCTGTTATTAGTCAAGAAGCATAGTAAGATAAACGCACGACAACATCTAATCGAAAGGTTGACCTCATGAAAATGCTGTAGAATGCCAGGTGATGGTAGCATAACAGGCTAAGGGAGTGCCATTGGCACTCATTGTCCACTTTTTATTTATTTATTTATTTATTTATTTATTATTATTATTAGAAGCCATTATCAGTGATTCAAGACAATTAGTTTGAGACACGTCATTTATAAGGAAAAGTGAATGCAACTAGTTTGACCTAAAAAAGCCATGGAAGTGCCTCAAGAGGGTGCACAGAGAACGTTCCCCCCTGAAAAAAGTGCCTGAAACAGAGAATAAAAGGCCCACTGAAATAAATAACAAGAGAAGAGACTGAGGCAAAGAGTATCTACATCCCTGGGTCTTCTTTGGACTCCTAACTCCTCTCCCAGCTCAGATATATCACCAGGTGTGCAGCACCTTTTCCATATCACAATTGCATATTCTGAAATTATCCGTCAGATCTGCCCCGTGAAAGGGCATAAACAAGGTTTCTAGCACCTCATCTTTATGGTTTCAAGATAACAGATGGTAGTATGTCTGGTATGAAGCTTGGAGTCAACTCTCCCAAGTGAAACCATTCAGCTTTAGTAACATCAATGAAGGCCAAACTGGCCAAGTGGAAACTGCAGGTGCAGGATCAGTATAAAATAAGCATATTGGGAATCCACGCCAAAAGACTTCCCTTTTGACCTTACCTTTACTTCACGGCTATCCTTCCCTTCCTGTGATGGGATCGTATAGCTTCGGCACTGTTCTCTGGAATTCATCAGCTGCTCCAATCCTCTATTAGAGATTGCTCATCCAATCCCCGTCACAAACAATAGATGCTATGAAGGTCGAACGCGACTGTATATTCGTATGCTACTGTAGCCATAAGTTGATTCCGAAAAGCAATCCTTATGGCTGGTTATGGGGCAACTTTTGGGATAATATCCACATTGGCAGCCTCACTGGACATAGAACTATGGCCTCAAGATGACAATCGGAAGGCAGCCAAGCAGTGCACTCTTAATTCTTTGATTGTTGCAACAAACTCATGTGTTGTGCATAATTTTACTTGTGAACTGGAAAATAAAAACATAGACTCTATTTGTGCATTCGAAATATGCTAGCATACTAGGGAAACAACTATCAATGAGAAATCCCGTATCTGACAAAAGCACTGTGAACTATCCGATTAAAAAAACGATAGTTGATCAGACAACTCTACTAATGGGACATTAAGTACAGTAAATATGAAGGATGAGTCTAAGAAAGAAGAGGAATAAGTCTGATCCTTCTGGACTAACTGGAAAAGAGCAACCTTCACATATCAGAGAGTGATGGTTGCGTGTCAAATCAAAGCGAAACCAATGAGTGTACCTTCTATGTGCAGTCATATTCATGATTCCCTTAGGACAAGCGCATGTGGGGACAGCGTGATATTTGGCATATTCAGGTATTCAGATACGATCATTACATCTTTCCCAGGACAAAGGCCACATATTTAGCAATACAGTACCGTGTGACCTAAACTTAGACTTCTGAAACAGTCTGAAGGCAGGATTCCAAAAGGAAAACAATAAATATGTCCAGGTTCTCATAACAAGCGAAAAGCTACCAAACAGCTCGACCAATCCGCCTTATTGTTAAACATAATTTCCTCATTTTTGTAGTCTAAGCTTGATCATCATCCTCTAAAAAAGTATCTTGTCACAAAGATTTTTTGTGTGCTTCAAACTTAGTCATTTTATGTAGTACCTCAACACTACGTGGAAAAAAAAATCGTCAAACTTTCACTAAAGCTCTGTCTATTGCTTATCATTAGTATTAAAGTTCTCTTAAAGGAGCTGATAAGACCATTTGTCCGAGATGATACAAGTGCCTGGCCAAGGATTTCGTAAACTGTGAGGATATCCTAGAGTCAAGAATCCTAAAGCCCGCCATTGAAATGCAGCATTGGGGGCAATAGGTGCATGTTGGCAGAATATTGGCCTTGTTTCATACCTTGAACCCTTCGTAAGAGGTGGAGCATAAAGAAGGGCTTATTCTTCATCTTTTGAATGATTGATCTTATAGCAAATGAAAAGGAGGGGGTCATTCGTTATTCTATCATGCAACCGCGATTCATCTAACATGAATCTAAATATTACTTTCCAATCCGAAAGAAATAGCATAAATGATTGAGGCAATGATTTCAGAACCATATTTTGGTGCAGCTTTTCATGCAAATAAAGCGTGAAAATCTAAGGATCATACAAGTTTTCAGAACAGATCCTATCTGTGAAATCGGAAGAAGTACATAGCATTTCTAAACTGAGAATCCAAGTTCCAGAATCCAGAATTGCAGTGGCCCATGTGATTCAATTATTTCATGTTATTACGGCCCCCCACGTAGTGAGGAAGAGCAACAGGCAGGAAAAACTCGATAAAACTAAGCATAATACATGCCATTATGGAAACAGAGCATCTCCTCCTTCCATCGGTAGGGCATAACTGTTAATCAAGATGAAAATAGAGTATCCCCCCGATAGCCAACTCAATCAAATCCGACTTACAAACATCAACACCTGATGATCTAGAGAAGAGTGCCTGGATCCGTTATGCAGCTCAACAAGATCCAGTCTCTAAATGCTAGCGACATGACCATAATTATTACCGCAATAGCATCCGGCAACTATGGCCGTGTTAACGGCGTACGTCGCGCATACGTTGGCCACCCCCCGGACCTTCCGATGCTTCGACAACAAGCCGCCGCTTGCTCCAACTAGACCTGCATATCGGATAACAAACAGATGGGCGATGACCTCAGCAACAAGAGAAACAAATTCCTCTAGACGATCATAAGAAACGAGGAATGATAGGCTGAGAACCTCCAAGAATGGTAGGTACAAGTATCCTTTCCCTCCAACTCACATCATCGCCCTCCGACGCCGAAGGCCGCGTTCCAGAAGCCGGCGGCGGCGGCGGCAGTGGAGTCGCCGCCGAGGCCGTCGCTCTTCCCTCCGACGCCATCATTCCCGCCGAGATGCGAGGGAGTGGTGGAATTAACCCGAGAGCGATCCACTCACTCTCCTTTACTATGACCCCTTGGCGATTACCCCCCCCGGAGATGGTCAACAACTCAGTCCCGGAGATAGGTAAGCTTACTCTAATCAGCCATGTACCGACTCGGACGGGTGAATAACCGATTTTGCTTCCTCAAATCAACATGAGAGAATATTACAACAAATGCATCGTTCCATTTATTATCACAAAATAATCATATTTATGCATTTCATAATAATTAAAAATTTTAAATTTTTCTCCTTCAGAGGGTATTTTAATATTTTCTAACAATAAAATTATGATTTTCCGGAATAGAAAAAAGTAAAATAGATATGCAAAATATATTTCTAATAAGGTTATAATGTCATTTATTGTTAAATGGAGGTATATATGAAATTTTGTTTAACAGACAGAAGATTTAAGTATATATAAACCCGTTCCGGAAGAACAGCTTTCTAGGGTTTCTACGCTTCCAGAAACAACGGAGAGATTGTACCCGACCGACACCCGCGGTGGCAGCAGCATCACACGATGATCTACGACGTCAACTCTCCGCTCTTCAAGTCCTTTCTAAGCCAGAAGGGTGGCCCATCTGACAAGAGGTGAGCATGGGGCGAAGCTCGATCATCTATTCTATAATCCTCTTCCACACTTTCCCCTTTTGAACCCTTGATATGGAGTTTTCTTTCTCGATAATTCGACCCCGGATTTTTCTCTCGTCATTCTTTTTTTTCTTGTGCCTTCGATTTCTGGTAAAATATCCATGAGTTCGGATTTGACGAAGTTTAGGTATACGGGATCACTTTCCAAAATCGTCTCCGGGAAATAGCCCTCCTATGTCCCCATCATCGTTAACGTAAGCGAGACGCGCTGGTTAATGAGGCTTCTCTGGCCGAAACCGGCGTCCCCAAGATGGAAGATATCGTGAAACCCGTGGGCTGAGGTAGCTTACTGAGTTAAACCTAGGTGCTTCTTCGTTCTATGGCCCTGCTTTAATTATTACTTTCAAGACTTTAATCATATTAGCTAGTTCACTAGATGGATCAGATTACAGCAGCTAATTATACTGGTCTATTTGCTTCTTCATTTTCGGTGTTTGTTCATATCAGATTACTCTTCGATTTAACCAGTACTATCCGTTTTAAAATGCTTGTTAGTTGATATTGCCTCCCAATACATGATGTAGGATGTGTGCTTCACTATGAACCTGATGAAAAAGGTTGATAATCTCAGTAAAAACCAGTTTCCACCTTCAAATAAATCATTTTATTACTGATTACTCCATAAGTTTTAGAAATAATTTAGGATAGATAATCTCCCAACAACATGGGTCATTGCCCACTTGACCAGTAATTATCCATCATGGATCCGGATGGTGTTGATACTAGTAGATGATCGTGCGAATAAATTGGGTACAGACATTTATGAGGGAGATTTAGTCCTGAATTATTTCCACCAACTAAATCATTTTCTAATTGATTATTTCAAAATTTTCAGAAATATTTTAGGGCAGACAATTTCCCAACATCGATCAATGCCCACTTGAACCATTAATTGTCCATCATGGAGCAGGATGGTGTTGATACTAGTGGATGATCATGCAAACAAAGTGGGTAGACAGACATTAATGTTAGATATTTATTCCTGAGCAGATCGGTTGTTCCTGTTTGTAAGAAATAATACATAAATTAGCAAGATTGGGGACTTGGGAATTGATTTTTTGATGAATCTATCTTAGTAGCAGGTTTCTGTCTGATTTGGCATCCGAGAAACAAGAAAGATGAAATCATGAGTTTGATGGAGGATGCGCATTTTTGATGGCCTTGCTACGTCCAGTAGTTGTTTATCGGACTTGAGAATCATTTTCAGGCCAGAAACGTACGAGACCTATCTATTAATAGGTATAAAGTAAATTTGGCTATATCCAAATAACCTAGAAAATAAATAGCAAAAGGAAAAATAAAAAGGGAGTTTCCATGCCATCTCATTTCTCTGACTTTTCGGTGGTGGGCGATTTGGGTCTTACCTCCACGGTGATTAACTCCGTGAAATGTTTACGAAGTTTATTGTTAATAATTCCATGGGGAATATAATTGGATCAATTAATTTCTTGAGCAGTATTTTTCCTTTTCTGAGATTATTTTGTTTTTGTTTCCCAGAAGATCTGGTATCTCCTCAGACTAGTCAGCTGGTTAAAGATCTCTCGTGGTTCTCTTCTTCCTAACGTTGACATCCCCTTTGACTTTCAAGTTTTCCGCTGTTTTCTCTCTGCCTCACGAGCTGGTAGGACATCAGTTCTCTATTGGGGGAGATGTTTTCCAAATTTTCTTAAGAAAAAAAATGATCTGGGCGTCATCTGTAGCCAAGAAAAGAATAAACTTTGAGCACTGGGAGACTTCAAAGCTGGTCTCACATCTTCATGCTCCCCTTCCTCAGGAAAACCGAGGAGCAGAAGCCCAAGGAGCAGAGGCCGAAGGCGAACGAGAACAAGCCCGTGATGACGGAATGATGATGATATGAAAGATAAAAGCTATGGCTCTCCTCATTTCCTAATATAGCCGTTATGAGACTCGCCTGGTCTTCACCATCCTCCTAGTCAACGCAATTGTGTCCCTTTTTTAACGGACAGAGACCTTATATTCTTATTCTCTCAAGCATGTGAGTGGATTATTCTCTGTTTCTTCTTCTTAACGCATTTGCGATACGACTCCGTGTGTACGCTTTTGCTACGCAGCGAGATGGACTCAGAGCTATCCTAGTCAAGGGCCCACCCTGATTTTTACAATAAATCGTGCCGGTATTACTGTTAATTTGTGTATATATAATATTATAATAAATTGATACCGGTAATGGGAAACTTATTGTTTAATATGTATAATAATGTATTTTTTACTATAAGCTGTTGGGATGTGCGGCGTCTGCGCCGTTATTACGATTCTGCCCGTCGCTATCAGATTGAAACCACCGACGGTTCCATCGGGATCGGCCTCTCTCCAACCCAACTTCCAGCCGTGGCGCACTTTAGAAAGACCAGCAGAGAGATCACTCGATCATACGCCATTCTCCCTCCTGTCTCCTTAGCCTTAGCTAAGAATAGCTAAAAGGATTTCATTATATGAATATTATATTATTATATTTAGTCTTTCGTTCATACAATTATGGGGCATAATTTAAAATAAAAAAAGTCCAAAAATGAGTAAATTTCCAGCTGTGGCGCACTTTAGAACCAGCGACAGAGAAACCACTTTATCTTGCACCCCTCTCTCTCTTTCTCCTACTCTCTCCCTTAACTAGGTTCAGATCACTAGCTTGATTCCGCCGACTGCAATTCGCTCTTTTTCTCATCTACCTCCCTCCTCCCACCCCCCCCTCTCTCCCTCTCTCTCTCTCTCTCTCTCTGGACAACAGGAGAGCGGAGGAAGCGAAGATGGCGACTGCCTCTCGCCGGTGGCGGCGATCGGATGCCGGTTGCGGAAGGATCAGTGCCGTCGTCATCCGCCCCCTCGTCGTCTCCGCCATCGTCATGCTCTCTCTATTCTGCTTTGCTTCTGTCCCAATTCCTCGATCTACTTCGACGATGTCGCCTTCGATTCCCTCGTCGTCGGTGGTTTCTTCATCTTCACTGCGGGGGATTGTCCGCGCAGTCGGATCCGTTGTCCCTCGTGTCCTCCGCATCACCGGCCCCCGCCGCTCCATCCTTGCGGCGGGCGGCGGGGACTCTCTGAAGCCTCGCCTGGACCAGATCCGCAAGCAGGCCCACGACCATGCCGCCATCGCCAACGCGTATGCCTCCTACGCCAGGAAGATGAAGCTCGAGAGCTCGAAGCAGGTCCGCCTCTTCACAGAACTCGCCCGCAACTTCTCCCTACTCCTCGCTGAATACCGGCCCTTGCTATCCGACGCCCCCGATGGCGACCGCCGCATTGATGAGCCGTCTATCCGCCGGTTCGAGCGTGATGTCAAGGAGCGGATCCGTTCCGCTCGCCAGCTGATTGCCGACGCCAAGGAGTCTTTCGACAACCAGCTCAAGATCCAGAAGCTTAAGGACACTATCTTTGCCATCAACGAACGGCTGGCGAACGCCAAGAAGCAGGGAGCCTTCTCCAGCCTCATCGCCGCCAAATCTATCCCCAAGCCCCTCCATTGCCTCGCAATGCGACTCATGACGGAGAGGATCTTACATCCCGAGAAGTACGACGACAGTGACTCCCACCGTCCGGAGCTTGAAGACCCCAACCTCTACCACTATGCAATCTTCTCTGACAATGTGCTTGCCGCATCCGTAGTGGTCAATTCTGCGGTCCGTAATTCCAAGGAGCCCTGGAAGCATGTCTTCCATGTCGTCACAGATAAGATGAACCTTGGGGCAATGCAGGTCATGTTCAAACTCAAGGACTATAATGGGGCTCATGTGGAGGTCCGTGCCATAGAGGACTACAAATTTCTCAACTCTTCGTATGTGCCAGTGCTCCGGCAGCTTGAATCTGCGAACCTGCAGAGATTCTATTTCGAAAATAAGCTCGAGAATGCGACCAAGGACACAAACAATATGAAATTCAGGAATCCCAAGTACCTGTCCATGCTGAACCATCTCCGTTTCTACCTGCCAGAGATGTACCCGAAGCTCCACCGTATCTTGTTCCTGGATGATGATATTGTGGTACAACGGGATCTAACCGGGCTCTGGAAAATTGACATGGATGGGAAGGTGAATGGGGCGGTGGAAACCTGCTTTGGTTCATTTCACCGGTATGCCCAATACATGAATTTTTCACACCCACTTATCCGGGAGCGATTCAACCCCAATGCGTGTGGATGGGCATACGGAATGAACTTCTTCGACCTTGATGCCTGGCGAAAAGAGAAATGCACCGAGCAGTATCATTATTGGCAGAATCTGGTAAGTGACTGTTGATTTTCTGTTTAGTAGCCTCTCGTCTTTTAATTAATATTTAATCTTTGATCGAATCCTCTTTCTGAATTGAAGATCATTTGATTACCTAATGTTTCATTGCGATAATCTATTCTAATTATTTTTCAATCATATGACTATCTTGGAGATCTTTTTCAATCATGGTTTATCAAGATCTTTTTCCGATGTAGACAGAGGCTTCATTTGAGGGGTTCCTCTACAATCTTCCTCCAATGTTGTTCAACCCAGATAAATCGACTTTATTTTTTATGCTATTCATTTCATAATGATATAGATAAAATTGCACTTGTGAATAATACTACTGTCGAAGTTTGTTTTACATAATGTCATCTTGAGCGTACGTGTTCCATTAGGTTACACAGACACGCTCACACATTCATCTTCCATAAGTAAGAGAGAGAGAGAGAGAGAGAGAGAGAGAGAGAGAGAGAGCTGACCAGATTGTCTATCTTCCATTGATATCCTTATTTTGTGTGTTCTTCACCTGATATCCTACGATAATGTTGATACAAATTCCCTTGTTCTTCATAAAACTTCATCCCCTGGGATTTCATCCCGTGTTATTACCTCCCCACCGGATCTGTCGACATAATCCTCGTCTTTCTTCTCCGTGGCGAATTGCAGAATGAGAACAGAACCCTGTGGAAGCTGGGAACGCTTCCCCCGGGCTTGATCACCTTCTACTCCACCACCAAGCCCTTGGAGAAGTCCTGGCACGTACTTGGGCTCGGGTACAACCCCGGCATCAGCAGGGAGGAGATTCAGAACGCAGCCGTCGTCCACTTCAACGGGAACATGAAACCCTGGCTCGACATCGCCATGTACCAGTTCCGCCCCCTCTGGACCAAGTACGTTGACTACGATATGGAAGCCATACGCCTTTGCAACGTCGCCCCTTGAAGAGCGCGCGCCATTAATGGGTAATTTTTCTTCCCTACGGACTATGCCATGCCCTCTGATTCTCATAAAGTTTTCTGTAATTATACACCCTCATATTTGTCCATAAGCTAAGCTTCTCTTCCCCTGAGGATTTGTCTCCATCAGGGTAGGGTTATTATCTGTAATGTCGATTCTTTTGAGGGCTACTGATGGTAAACTCTTTGACCTCCTTGGAACTGGGTGAGAGTCAATCTTCCTCGTGATGCTGTTCCATGATTATTTCCAAAATAGCAAACTCTTCTTGCAGATTACATAGGTCCCAATGCACATATATCTATATATACATTGATTTATGCATGGGTTTGAGTCGTCACTCAAGTGCTAAGATCCTGCCTTATTAAGACAATAGACGATATATATTTGGTAAATGTTTGACTGTCAGTGTTCTTGAAGATTCTGCGGGATTAATTTGCTTAATTTCTCCATTTTTTATTTTTTCTAGTAGTAGCCTTGTCTTCCATTGCGGTCAAAAGAAAAAGAGGAAGGCGGTAATGCTGGTACAAGAAAATATCTAGAATGTCAAAAAAAAAAAATTAAAATCTGATGGGGGGGTAGTCACGAGGAGAAGACGGTGATCTGCCTCAGAGGGTTGCTCAGATCGCTCCCGCCGGCGTGCCTCACGAATCCCGCCGGCGAGAAGGAGCTCCCATGGCAGACGCAGACGATGGAGACCTCCGCTTCTCTGTACCTCAACACCAGCAGCCCCGTTATCGTCTTCCCGTCGGGGCCGTCCCCCGTGGCGGCAACGATGGGGGGGACCTGCGGTAGCGGCGGCGGAGGAGCGTATCGCACTGGTTCGCCGGTGCCGGAGACGACCAGGTCCCCCCGGCGATCCGGAACTCGGGCCGCCGCCGGCGCTGTGGCGGCGGAGGACCAGAAGCGCGTCCTATGGGGAACCATCCCGAAGCCATCGGCGACCAGGATGAACTGCGAGAGAGAGGAGAGAAAGCCAGAGCAAGAAATCGAGTCGGAATTTGGGTTAGCGACGGGGAGAAGGTAGTGCTTCTTCCTCCTCCTAACTAATCCTCACCTTCTGGTGCTCCGCCGCCGCCGTCGCCGGCGGAGAGGTCCTCACCGGCGGCGGACTCTCCTCCTCCGGCCCCTCCATCCCCTTCCACCGGCAGAACTCGGCGCTGCCTAGCCACCGCCGTCCCCTCCGGCGGCGCCTCCCGCCGATGGCCAGCGCCAAGGTGAGGTCCACCTCGTCGTCCCCGGCCGCCTCTGGCGAGTAGGTCGCCACCGCGATCTGCTCCATCGCCGTGGAAGAAGAGCTCCGAGATCACCTCCGAGATGGTCGGAGCAGGAGGTCTTAACAGAGGAGGGAGGTAGAAAGACTCCGCCGGACCGTTCAACTCTGCAAAAACGGCGGGATCCCACGTGGCGCCCCCTCCCCTTCCGGAGAATACTCCCCGCCTAGCACGTGCCGTACATCCCATAGAATGGGACGTGGCGTTTGAAAGAGAGTACACGCGGCATCCGTGACCAGCTGCCATCAGTTAAAAATAGATTCCACGAGGGTCACAAGCTTTGTATTTTAATTAATATAAAATATTATTTTAAATAGCACGAAGCCAAGTGCCGGTGATAATTACCAGTAGAAACCTAATCCTTTTCTCTGTCCTCACTAGTCTTGGAAAAAATCAGCTCGACCCAAATTTCAATAGGGTTTTGCTCATCAGCCTAAGTGCAGCTGGTAATTGCTAATATACTCTCCCTCTCTCCCTCCCTCTCTAAATGTCTAATAATTGCTTATCAAAGCTCTCCTACATGGATGATAACTTAGTAAAATGTGATAATATTACGTATTAATTTAAAATATGAATAAATAAAAAATATCAGGCATAACAAGGGTGTCATTTGATTATGTTGCCTAAGCCCAAGATCCAATCTCTCTCTCTCTCTCTCTCTTGTTACGTTTACTGAAACAATTATTTAACACTAATAATGCCGACTCTGTAAAGGGTTTAAAGTTTTATGAACAGACTTCCAGCGCTTCACAGATTCTGGACGAATGAGGTTTAAAAAATAATTGATTCAGAGCACTAGAAGAAATCGAAATTATCCTCGAATCTACTACAATCAGGGGATTATATATTTATCAATAGTTTTTTATTTTTCGGGACTGAGTTTTTTTTTTAATTATTCCACAAAATGGGACGAACGCGAAAGGCATCCACCCGAAGTCGACTTCGCTGATAAAAGGGAGCGTTTTTAGAGTATAAATTATTATGGTCGAAAAAAATCTTCAACTTGTGTGTGTCGCTTCTATTTTTTCTATTTATATAACATAAAATTTCAGCAGAGGACACCAGGAAATAGATAGAGGAAAGCGACTAGTTCTTATCTTCTCTTCCTCTCTCTCTCTCTCTCTCTCTCTCTCTCTTTCTTTCATTCCATGGAACGAATGACCTTCAAGTTGTGAGCGAGAAGAGAGAGAGAGAGAGAGATGAACGTTGCCGTGATATCAGGCAGCGGGGGAGGGCGAAAAGAAGGCCTCCTCAACCTACCCACGGCGAGGAGGGCCGGGGGCGGCGGAGGACGAGGCTCCGTCGTCGACGTCCGGATCGGCGGCGCAGGACCTCACCGGAGAAGGTGGGGGGGCCTCCGGCTCTCTTCCCACCGCCACTGCTCCTCCGACGCCACCGGCGGCTGCTCCTCCTTCCGGGCTCGCGCCGCCGTAGACGACGGAGTAGCGGCGGCGGGAGAGGTCAGCGAGCGGCGGAGGAGTTTCTACGATCTGCTGGGTATCCCCGAGGACGGCGGCGCCGCCGAGATAAAGAGGGCTTACAAAGAGCTGGCCCGGCGGTACCACCCGGACGTCTGCCCCTCTGCCGATCGCACGGCGGAGTACACGCGGCGGTTCATCGAGGTGCAGGAAGCCTACGAAACCCTCTCCGATCCCTCTCGCCGAGCTCTCTACGACCGCCACCTCGCCGGAGGGCTCCACCTCGCCTTCTCCGCCCGGCGGGGCCGCCACCCCGAAGAGGTAACCAGACACGGCAATACCTAAACTCTGTCTCCTCTTCATTCATCGTCGAATCTGCCTGATCTGTGTTTCGTGCTTCTCCTCGCCAAATCTCAGTTCTTCCTCCTCGTTGCCGGATTCTTTTCCTCGTTCATTCAAATCCCACGACCTTTCAGCTCCTTCCCAAGAAAATCTGATATGGGTATTAGACAAAAACATTTCTTTGAATCATTTGACCCACCCGCAAGAGGTGATGATAAATGCTCTCGAGAAGGAGATCACGTGGTAATATGCTGGTCATTGGTCTTCGGGTTCTCCGTTCTTCTCGGGTTGCTCCCCTCCGCTGACTTACCCTGTGAAAGGGGCGACCAGGCCATAAATGCCAAAGGGAAGGGGGAATGAAGCACAGCCGTCTGTGCCCAGCCATCGACTTTTCCAGCGGCTTCCCATCGCCACACATCTGGTTGCTGAAGAGCAAACAGGCGGGGCCCACCGGGGTCAAAGCTACCATCTGGGCTCGGCCCAAATCCTATTTCTGGGCTTTTCTTCGGCCCATTGACTAAAAAAACAGAATTCGCCAATCTGTTATATTTTTTTTTCCATATTATAACCATGAGATCATCAAGAATGTGAAGAAATTTCTCATAACGGCTGCTTTCTTCAAAAGCAGGAAATGAAGGATAAGACCCAGTGGAGGAACCGCTGGCAGGATCAAGTCTCGGAGCTGAAGAGGAGGAGCATGAACAGGGAAAATGGGAACAATCTATCCTGGGGAGCTCGGATGCGCCAAAAGAAAGGAGATGAGTCGTAGAAGAAGGACGAGCCTTGGACTATATGAATATATATCCCCTCAACCATATTAGATTTGAGGGCACACCTCATGAAAATTTCCAATAGAGGGATCTAGTCACTGCTGTTCATGTGTGATCGTGGGCCAAAAGGGACAGCTTGTACATATATGAAACATGATGTGCTCAAAACGGGTATGCTAAAAGATACCCACTGTTAATATATATAGATATTTCTCTCTGTTTCGCTACTATCCATTCCATTATTTTTCTTCTAGTCTCTCTGCGTTTGCGGCCTGGTCTGGAAGGTCAACCAGGCCTGCCCCAGCCCGGTGCTCATTTGAGCCCTTGAGCTATGGACACTGAAAGTTGAGTGGTGGGTTTGTGATGATTAATCTAACCATTAAGTAAATGGGGAAGAATCTCATTATTCTGTAGACTAGCCTCCGTTGGCAACGTTGACCTCCACAAGAAATCAGCTCAGAAGTTGAATCACACAAATCACAACTATAATGAGGAAAACATGGGCTTTAGCTAAGCAGTCATGAAATCCATCTGAATGCATTGGTTCTACCCCAAAATTATCCCAGTCAACTGGTACAGCTCTCGCCTTTCCTCTTTCAGAATGTTTAACTTTGTTGATCTCAGTGGAGAGCATCTAATTATGCGTGATCAAGAGATATGACAAGAGAAGATTCAACTAAGAAATATCACAAGAATCATGGAATAATGTGCTACAATGCATATATGAACCATGAGCAAGGGGACCAGAGGATGGGATGTCAACGAGTATAAACAGAAAATGTATCTTCCCCCTACCAAAACAAACTAGAGTGATATATCGTGCTAAGCAGCCAAGTCAGATCTCTCTCTTTCTCTCTCTCTCTCTCTCTCCTTCTCTCTCTTGACGAGGACAAGGAAGAGAAACGGTATCTCACCTTTCATGTCAAAGCATCTTGGGAACAGGGCAAGAGCACGAACCAATCTGAGCCACATTTCCAAGCTTGCTCTATCAGGTGCTTCCTTTATTCTGCTTCTTTTTCTGCCTTCTCTCTGTTCATGAGATGAGCGGATGATGCTTTCAGTGATCTCAGGGAATAGAAAGGTTGAATGTATGATTATTGTCGTATTATTTACAGAAAAATTAAAAAAAACAGGGGGAAGAGATGACGTCTACCTAGCTGCCTTTTAGCCTCTGATTTTGCGAAGAACTCCGCCCATTCATCAGTCAAGACATAGATATCTTCTCCTTTTTCTTCCTCGTTTTCTTCCCCTCCAAGCTCATCTCCCAGCTGCCCCGTCCACGTTTGCTCTGAACCAACGGACGCACAACCGGGGACTCTGTCATACACCAAGAACAGGAGAGTGAATCACATAAGCATTGGTCTCGTCCCTGGAGACAATCGAGATATATCGGACTGAAGGTTCCCAGATGGAATGATAACACAAAATCGAATTCTCACATCTCAGGAAAAAAAACACTGGTTATTTTTTTTCCCAAAAATCAAATCACGATCAATAAGGAATTCGAAATCAGCCACTCCTAAAAACATTCCAGAAAGTCCAAGAATCGATGAAGTAATAGATCACGGAAAAAATGGTCCAAATCGTAAGCGGAAATAACTCGAAACCTGGAAGAACAGCTGCGAACCTTTTCGACAAGGAATCCTCACAAATCAGAGTCGACTTCACAAATTCGCCTCCGTCTACGGCGCGAACAGCGGATTGTCTCCTCGGATAAGAAACATCGGCAGGAGGCGGAACACTAGACGGGGCAATACGATGTTGGTCCCAATGTGGAAGCATCAATGGGGGGAAAGGGTGACTGTGTAAGGCATGGTGATGATGGTGGAGGAAGATCCGGCGGACGCAGAAGCAGCGGCACGGTCCGAAAGGGATGGCAGAGAAGAGAGGCGGGTAGAGGCTGAGATTTCTGTGGCTTTGATGGCCGTGGGTCGCAGAGATGAGAGGTGGGTAGAGGCTGAGCTCGCCGCGGCGGTCATGGTGGTGGAGTGGCGGTGACGACGCCATGGTCACCAGCGAGGGTTTACGTAAAACGCCGTCTGGTGCGATATGAGAGAGAGAGAGAGAGAGAGAGGCATTATTCATATAGTTTAATATGTAAATTAATTTTCACCCTATTTTTATTTTAAAAATAATTAAATATTTTTATTCACTATAAATACGAAAAAACTTGTTTGATATATTTGCATTTCAATTGTGCATTTTGCGTCCAATATTTAAATTAAATTATTTTCTTAATGGGCCTGGTTCGTCTTCAATGTCGACGTATGCGCTTTTGGGTTGTTAATGGGCAGAACGTGGGATTGGGCTTCTCCTTATTGGATCCTACCTCGAATCAATTCGAGCAGGGCCCACACAGACTGACTGGGCCCCACCGGCTTCGGGCGGCCGTATCCAAAATGGGCTCTCTCTCTCTCTCTCTCTCTCTCTCGATGGTCCTTCCTCCAACACCAGATATTACCTAAAATGACGTCATATTTTAATTCATGAGCTAATTATGATATATATATTATCGAACCATTCCCATATTATTTTTTGTCGGTGGCAGTTTTTCAGTGACTTGATGAAAGGTGATAAATACAATTTATAAACAAACTCGGGGAATTCAAGATTTTTTTTTATGTGGGTTTGATCAATTAAAGTCACACGTGCGGCTTGTGACAAAAATATTTAATAATATTTATATGGGCCGGGATAATCTGCGGTCGTTCGTCGAGGCCACTGACGTCGTGATCGGAAAAAGCTTCAACTGAGAGGGAGGGGAGATGTGTAAGAATGAGTCTATGGAATCGAAGGCTGACCGCGGTGAGTGCAGAGGGAGCGCCTCGTTCCATCCCAGCCAGTCGTTCACGGGGATTTTGGTGCTGTGATAATCCAGAGTGAATGGACTGAGGCTGAGAACACCTTTTGACAGATAGATCGCCTCGCGCTTCGGATTTTTGAAACGGAGGGGGAGGACAAGATCTGATTGATTTCTCTCGCTGTCGCCGTCTGGATATGTGATGGTGTCGTTAGTATCTCTGATTTTTAGGTTTACGCCTCCGATCCTCCGTAGGGTTTTCAGTTTTTAACGTCGTGTTTTGTCATCTTGCAGGTTCTTCGTAGGGAACGTCCTCCGCCGCCGCCCACCGAGCCTCCAGGCCCCAGAGTTTCCCAGATTCCTCCTTTTCTGCTGCGCTTTTTTGACCCGAGGAAGGTGAGATTTGTCCTTTCTCTTCCATCTACCCTTGCCCCTAGAGGTCCCAGAGGGGGAGAGAGAGAGAGAGAGAGGGGGGGGTGGGTGGGGAAGATCAGGCTCTCCTTTCGTACCACCATAGCCAATTGCCAGGAAAAAGCTCCCCTCTCATTCAGGGGACTGGTCCACCGGCCACCTTCTTACGCTATTCTTTCACCACAAGGCCTGGGGGGCGCTGGGCCGCAAAAATTCCTCACGTAGCGACAGATTCAGACTGTGGATCAAGGCAGAAGCCCCCATTAATCTGAGAGAAGAGGTCGTGTAACTCCTGGAAGCGATGGAATAGTAGGGCTCGCGGATCGAGAGTTGATCGCCCATCCCTTTCCTCGTAGACGGCCTCTCCTCCGCCACCCGTCCTCCCCGTCGCCAATTTCCTCCTCCGGCGGGAGTCTTGGGCTTTTCGAGGGCGAGGAATGGGGGCGCTGGGGGAGTGTTGCCTCGGTGGGAAGCCGGGGTGCCATGGGATGGAGCAGATGCTGCTTGTGGGTGGAGAAGAAGAGGAGATTAGACTTGGACCGGAGTTGGAATGCGGCGGCGGCATCGAGGACGCCGTGAAGGTCCTGCTGGAGGGCCTGGGGGAGGATCCTGACAGAGACGGGCTCAAGAAGACTCCGCTCCGTGTGGCCAAGGCGCTCCGGGATGGAACCAGAGGTACGTTCTTTTCTTCTCTCTTTCAATTTCTCTTCTTCCTCTTCCACCCCCCCTTTTTCTTCCTCTTCTTCCACTCCTCCTTGTACTTCTTTGTTAGGGATATAGGTATTATATGCAATTTAGAGGACCCAGTTCGAATTCATATGGTGTTTGGTGGGTGACGGTGATGCTGGATTAGCAGATGCTGACGGCTAGTTTCTGTTCCATGATTCATATATACATCGCAGCTCTAGAAATCTGATCTCAAGGCTATTTTCTGTATCGATATGTCGCATATCCGATTCTATTTTGTGCTATGGAGTTCGAACCTCAAATTCCTGGCCTCTCTTACTATGAATTGCAGGATGGCACTGACACGCTTAGTAGTCACTAATTTCTCCCTTTTGTGCACAGAAGAATCATCCACGTCGATGCGCATTTGATCAGTTCAAAAGTTGATGAACTAAATAGGTTTGGTAAATTTTTCTTAAAAGCTAAGCAAAAATAAAGATAGATATTAGACGGCCAACTTGACATTTCAGAATCAATTTTCACTTGAAACCTTTTTTTACCTTTTCTGGTTTTGAATTTCATCTGTGGATTTAAACAATAATCCGAAGTTTCCGTCTATATGGTGAAGTCAAACGTTCCATATGAAATGGAGTTATAAGAAAAGACTTGTAGGAACCGAAGGGTTCTCTACAAATCACCTATGATTGCTAAATATAGTAATGAACAGCGAAAGTCGATGCCGCCTACCTTTCTGTGTACCTAATCCTTGATCTACAATTCCCATGAATATCCACAAACCGATGAAAATAGAAGTTCATTAGCGTTTGATTCTTTTACCTGGGGAGATCATGCCTCTGAACAATTTATGTGCTCATTTATTGCGGGGCACAATGGTTTCTTGATTTATATGCTTTTGAAATCTACCTTCTTGCCAAAAAAGATGATAATAATAATTCCGAAAATCAATATAGGCTTAAATTTTATTTTTCTGTAGCAGATCATCATTTAGAAGCTACTTCATTCCTCATCTTCGACCTCCAATTAGAAACGGCGTTCATAGCAGAAATTATTTTCTTGCAGGATACAAGCAAAGTGTTCATGATATCGTTGAAGGAGCTCTGTTTTTAGAAGCTGGTATGAGTAATAGAGTGGACCGTGCCAGAGGAGGAGGTGGGCTTGTAGTTGTTCGGGACATTGGTCTCTTCTCATACTGTGAGTCTTGCTTGCTTCCATTCAGGGTCCAGTGCCACGTCGGCTATATACCTTCTGGGCAACACGTGGTTGGGCTTAGCAAGCTCGCTCGAGTAGCCGATGTCTTCGCCAAGAGACTGCAGGATCCCCAGAGACTGGCCGACGATATCTGCTCGGCTTTGCAGAGCAGCATCAAACCCTTGGGAGTCGCAGTTTCTCTTCAGTGCTGGCACATCCACCTTCCAGAATTAGGCAGGAAGAATCCCTGCCAGAGGCACACCTCCTCTCGATCGAATATGCAGGGCTGGCACGAGCTCGACGTCTGCTCCTATTCGGGCATCTTCGAAGACGAGGGCGGCGACCCATGGATCGAGTTTGCCGCTGTTTTGAAGTTTGGGGGAGTAAATGTGGGGAGGGTGGAGGAGGAGAAGGAGAAGGAGAAGCCTTCCCCTCTCCAGAACTGGTGCCCATTAAAGTCCCCCGAGATGGTCCAGTGCATCGGCAAGGCCTCTTCGAAGCTGGTGGGAACTCTGCCAGATGCCATGGTGGCTGCTGTGACCTCCATCCTCACCTCGTTGGGTGAGGACCCGCTCAGGGAGGAGCTGGTGGGCACTCCCCAGCGCTTCGTCCGGTGGCTGATGACCTTCAGGAGGGCCAGCTTCGAGTTGAAGCTGAACAGCAACTTCCATCTTGGGCAATTGGGTCTGTATTCTGCCAAAAACAGTGGAGGAGACATCATCGGCAGCCGCAGTAAAGGTGAGATAGTCCACTCCGAGCTGAGCCTACCCTTCTGCTCTCAGTGCGAGCATCACCTCTTGCCCTTCTATGGAGTCGCCCACATTGGCTACTTGGCGCCACCAGAGTCGAAGATTATCGACCGATCCTTACTGCATTCAGTGGTTCTCTTCTACGGCTGTAAGCTCCAGGTGCAGGAGCGTCTTACCAGGCAGATCACAGAGACGGTCTTCTCCATCTTCTGTGGCGGGGTGATGGTGGTTGTGGAGGCTGATCACGTCTGCATGGTTTCCAGAGGGATAGAGAAGATGGGCAGCAGCACCGCCACCACCGCCGCCATGGGGCAGTTCGCCGCCAACCTCGAAGCGAAGACTATGTTCCTTCAGACCATAGCGTGCAGCAGAGCAGCTGGAGGGTGAGCTTGTGCTTGGTCGGCTGTATTTCTTCTAGCTTCCATTCCTGAAGCCAGATCGAAAAGAGACTGGATAAATGAGGGTCTCAGAAGGTGGAGCCTCCTTACCCCAGGTGGCGATGAGCAGCGGCGGCGGTGGCACCGATCGACGAGTCAACTGTTGGTTTCTTGCCCAGTTCATGGCACAATTGTCTCTCCTTTTATTGGTATAAAAAAGGTATGATTTTGACTTGGAAAATGACGGCCGAGGGATCTGATGGGGCACTAATTAGTGTTGTCCGAGATCCACGGGGCCAGTCTCAGGTGCTGATATTTATCCGCCCTCATTACCATTTATATTATTCATATAGGCTTCGTGTGCCGGAAATTTTCGTATATGGCCTGTTTTGGTATGCTGGGGTGTACTCAAAGTCAACGCCCCAGTGTTCCTTTCTCATTTTTTCCCCCTCGTAGAAGCCTCATTAGTTGACCCAGGACGCCAAAAAAGATTCTCAGCTGCATTCCGGCCATTTCCTCTCTCTCTCTCTCTCTCTCCCCCTCTCTGTATATATATCTCATCTATAAACTTCATTTTCGCGGAATCTACGTAATCACAGTCTATATTATAAGGAGAGCAAATGAGTCAACTCGCGGGGGATGAGGATCTTATTGGGTCCGGGCCGAGGGGAGGCTATCGGGCCGACCCGGACAGACAACTCCTCAGGCTCTCTACACGTGGCACTTTCATCAGAATATCTCGACAACGATCTTCCCCGTGGCGTGGCCCTCGATGCTCTTGTCGAAGCCCTCCGCCGCCCTCTTCAGAGGGAACTTGGAGTCAACGACCGTCCTCAGCTTCCCTTCCATCATCTGGCCCACCAAAAACTCCAGCCCAGGCCCATCCGGAGTCGATATTAACGGGAACCGCCGCTTATTGCAGAAGCACACCTTCTGCAGCGCCGCCCTCAGCATGTCGCCAGCGGTGGCGGCGACGTCGGCGACCTTCCCGCCGGCGGCCAAGTTGGCCTTGAGCGTTGACCAAGGGATGCCGGCGACGCAGTTCACCACGGCGTCGTACTTCCTCCCGGTGGGACTCTCCAAGGCGGCGCCGCCGGGAGACTTGTAGTCCAGCACCTCGTCGGCCCCCAGATTCTTCACCAGCTCCAGGTTTCTCTCCCCGCAGGTGGCAGTGACGTGGACGTCGCCCGCGAGCTTGAGGAGCTGGACGGCGTAGTGGCCGATGCCGCCGGAGGCGGCGGTGACCAGGACGTTGATGGGCTTGTCAACACCGTCGAGGTTGATCCCGAGGCTGCGGAGGCTGTGGAGGGCGGTGAGGCCGGCGATGGGGATGCCGGAGCCTTCCGCCGCCGAGATTCCGGCGGGTCTGTGGACGGTGAGCTTCTCCTCCGCCGCCGCGTACTCGGCGAGGCCGCCAGCCACCTGTTCATAGATCGTTCGGTTTACAAAAGCCAGTGAATTTTGAAGGGGATCTTGAGGATTCTTGAAGGAAGGGAGTTTTGTATGCAAACAAAATCGATCAATCTCTTTTATCTTTCTTCTCTTCTTTTCTTTTTCTTTTAAAAAAAATGAGTTTTTACTTGCAGGATATGAATTTCGGAAGATCTTACATGGGATCTTCCCCTCTCGGAAGAAATAGACCAGAAATGAAGATCTTTGAAGCCACTGCATGGGAATTATGATGCCTTTAAAAATAAATAAAAAACCACGCATGCGGAATGCAAAGGAGAGAGGATAGATGAGACATTTTAGGGTAAATAATTTTCAGGGATAAAACACCCAAAATTAGAAATAATATCAATCTCTTTCATTATTTTTCCCCGCTTTTATTTAAAGCATGTACTGGAAGCAATGGATTAAAAAAGATGGAGGTATTTAGCTGAAAAAAAAAAACCCAGATATGATCAATAATGCATTTCAATTTTTGTTTACAATATATGTATGCATATATCTGTTCTTTTCTGTTCATTCTTTCAGAGAAAATTGCTAAAAAAAGGGAAGGGGGGGGGGGGGTGGAGGTGGGAGCAGGATGATAATGAGCTTACCGTAAAATGAAGCAAGGTTATGACCTTGTCTCCTGCTTTGAAAGCGGTCACTCCTTGGCCAACTTCCACGACCTCTCCTGCCACACAGGTCCCTATTTCACAGGAAAATAGCAAAAATCAAATCCCTTTTCGTCAAGGGTTTCATTTAAGATGAATGAAGATGGGATGTAATGAAACCCGTGTTGAGTTGTATAATTTTCAGTGGGTAATGCTCAAATTTAGCAACCTGTCTAGATTTTGAGTGAGCGTGATGAAGATTTAAGGGCAAGAAAACCCATTTGAGCTTTTAAATTTTTCATTGGAAAATTCGCAGGTTTCAGAAATTCTGTCCAGGTTTTCGGTGATGATAATGACAATAGGAGAAGAGTAAAACCCAGCTAGAAATGGCCATATTCGACCAATTTTGGAAAAAAATGGTAAAATAAAAGGAAATCATGTTCTTCGTGGGGGAGCAACAGGTGGGGGATGCAGGAGATAGGAGGAGACCCGTGTGGCATGGAGCTTAGAACAAGAGTGAACAAATTTTGGCATGGATTTTTCAATGACAATGAAAATCAGAGGAAACAAAAAAAAAAAAAAGCACACGTCAAGCTTCTGATTTGAGATCAAAATGGGCGATAATTCACGAAAGAGCTCTTGGATTCTGAGAAACACCGAAAATAATGATAATAATAATCGGAGGAATGATCACCTGGGGTGAAGGGAAATTTTGGTGGAAGAAAGGGGCGCAGCATCCCCTTCTGAATCTTCCAGTCGGCCGGATTCAGACTAGTCGCTTCCACTTTCAGCAGGAGTTGACCTTTCTTCGGCGAAGGAATTGATACCTCAACGAGCTGCCGCGTAAAACCAAAGATAGGAACCAGTCAAATTAACTGAAGCAGGGATGGTTCCAAAGTTTCCATTTAATTGATGCAGTGCCGGCGGTTTTAACAAAAACTCGAGGCTTCATCGTCGTCCCTCCAGCGGGGCCGACAGAGAGAACGAAGAAAAGCTGGTCAGGAGCAAGCCTGGAACCGGTTTACCTTGAGCGCCGCTCCTCCGCCGCCGTAACGGTCATACTGAACCGCGCGCATGAGTTTAGCTGCCATGGATGGGATCCCCTGGGCTCTTGGGCAGCTACCTGGTCACCAGGAGAGGGGAACCTTCGCTTGCTTCAATATATCCCCAGGAGCCGCCTGGAATTGCAGGAGTTGACCTTTCTTCGAGCCGCCACAGATAGCGACGCAATCGACATCCTTCGTTAAATAAAGTCGTCGCCGTGGAGAACAATTTTTGAAGAAGATACTTCTTAGGTCCCTGGTTTATTTATTTAACCTTCCCAGATTCGTAAGAAGAGGCGACTTTCAGACGGAACAAATAGACCCTCTAGGGCTGGCCCATCTTTTCGGGGCTTATCTCCGTTCACAGAGAAGTTCAAAAGTTAACGCCAACGCCAACGCCGACGGAGAGCTTACAGGATAATCAACGACAGATAGCCGTCGTATAGTGAGTTCCTTTTGCTTCAGTAGTTTGACTCGACCTGTCAGGGCCCCATCTCCACAACAATCTTCCCCGTGGCGTGCCCGTCGATGCTCTTGGCCCAGGCCGCCTCTGCCTGGCTCAGAGGATGCCTCGAGTCAACGACCGTCTTCAGCTTCCCTTCCTTCACCAGACCCACCAAAAGCTCCAGCTCCTCCTTGTTGGCGGACATGATGAGCGGCACCAGTTGCTTCTTGGAGAAGGTGATCTTCTTGATGGCGGCGGTGAGGATGGCGGCGGGTTCAAGGGTGATGTCGATGACCTTGCCCTTCTCCGATAGGGTGGGCTCGAATGTTGACCAGGGGATACGGGTGGCGCAGTGGATGACGGCATCGTACTTCTTCCCGGAGGGGCTCTCCAAGGTGGCGCCGCCAGGGGTTTTGTAGTCCAGCACCTCATCAGCACCCAGATTCTTCACCAGCTCCAAGTTCCTCGCTCCGCAGGTGGCAGTGACGTGGCAATTGCCCAGCTTTGCCAGCTGGACCGCGTACAAGCCCACTCCGCCGGACGCGGCGGTGACTAGGATGTTGGCGCCGTTCTCGCTGCCAACCTTGAACCTGATTCCGGCCGATTTCAGGCTCTGGAGGGCAGTGAGGCCCGCTATTGGCAACCCTGCTCCCTCGGCGGCGGATACCTCTGCAGGCCTCTTCACTGTCATGCTAGCCGATGCCACCACATATTCAGCCAGCCCTCCCCCTCGCTGACAGAAAAATAAAAATAAATTATTAATTAAGTTAATTATTTATCTGCGAGAAAAATTATGAATAATTGATTTACACGTATGCTCATAGATTGACTAAAAATAAGAGGCAATATAATGCAGCGTGAGAGCTCACCCGGAGGTAGAGCATCGACACCACTTTGTCGCCGGCTTTGAGAGAGTCAACGTTGGACCCCACTTCAACCACCTCACCTGCCACGTCGGTGACTGCAACATGGCAACCGGGTCATCAGGGCCCAACCCCGTAGAATGATCTACTATGAAATTAATTGGAAAACTGGGGTAAAATTATTATGCGGTAGTAGTAGTAGTCTGAGATATGAATCACTGAAAATAATATGTAAATGTTCATTTGAAATAAAATAAAAGCACAAAAATAAATAAATAAAGAGATAAATCTGCCGCTCAAAACATTATTATAAATATAATAACAGTTTATTTGGTAATATTAATGGCTACGAATTCCCTCGGGTGCCATTACATCAATGATGAAACTACCGGTTTATGCATGTGTATAAATAAGGTTTATAATGTTACCAAGTGCCTTAGTAAGATTCTTGAAAGGATCCACAATGCAGCATAGAAGACAGAAACAAGCAAGAGTGAATAGAATGCTCACAAGCCAGTTACTGAAAAAATTATCCCCTGTTGTTTATATTTTTGTGGGGAGAAAAGAGATCAAACTCATAAGAATATATTCTAATAGGGAAGCCAATATGAGTTTCCATGCAAGTTCATCCACATTATCACCATCGTCAACATGAATGAAGCTTTGCGCTCTATATTATCTTCTCCTTTTGTTATTCCCCTTTTTTCTTGGGCCGGGGAGGCAACAGAACACGGGCTCTTCTTCTATGTTACTTCAAGAAAATGAAATCAATATTGAAAGAGCATTTTCAAGATTATTTAGATGGTGAAATTTTTGGGCGTCTAATCTCAAACTGTGGCTTTCAAAAGTTGTTTCAGATTGCTGACAGCTTGAGATCTCATCTGGGCATTTATATATCCCCTTCACCTGAATGATTTTTCGTCATCAATTTGGCCCCAAGTAACTCATGAATCATGCAATAATCCACAGATGGCTTGAACTCATGAGCATTATAATTCGTAGACAAAATACATGAATATATGCACTTAATCTTGTGCAAATGTATACATACATGATAACACAGAAATAAAATTTCTATTTTGTAAATAAAAAAGCTGGAAAGATTAGCACACTCTTGACCAAAATCCGACAATATATTGCCCATGAGAAGATTAAAGATCAGCCATAAACTGACGGGAAGTAATGATCGGAAGTCATTGACACCAAACATTGCCCAGTAGAAGGCTCGTACCACTTGAGTGAAATACCTGGCACGTATGGAAATTTTCGTGGAAGAAATGGGCGTATCATGCCCTTCTGAATCTTCCAATCAACGGGGTTTATACTAGAAGCCTCCAACTTCAACAAGACCTCATGTTTCTTTGGTGAAGGAATGGAAACTTCAACATGCTACATTAAGAAGATGTCAGGAAATGATTATTCAAGGAAGCTAAAGAGTGAAAAATAATTATTAAATAACGCCCAAAAATTGAAAAGAAACAGAAGAAAAAATTACTTATATTTTCCTGAAACATTTCGAAAACAGGAACATATCACAAAAAATGGTTCTGCATATAGGTTTTTTTCAATGAATCTATGCACACATGTATTGAGAATCAGAGATGTATGCGTGTCATAAATCATTCCTAAAATTGAATTAAATTATAAATTGACCTCGTGCAATATAGAGCCGAAACTGATTAGCGGGTACCTAACATTCAATTTGAAATAGTGGGAAGTTAAACTCCGAGAGACAGACAAATAAGCATAATCATGAAAATAGAACATGTAGTCGATCAAGCGCCACGAACTCGCAACATTGAACTCCAAACTTTCTATAAACTTGGCCTCTTCAATGAAACGCACGACTTACTTTGAGGGCGGCGGCACCGCCGCCGTAGGACTCGTACTGCACGGCGTGCGTGAGCTTTCCCGCTTGAGAGACCATGGCGGAAAAGTCAGAGGATGGCTCTCCGATGGGGAGCATGGCGAGCTTCCTGCGGATCAAGTAGAGTGAGGAGAAGAAGCGAGAACGCATAAGGTGGTCGTCTTCCCCTTCCGATGCCGAGAGGTGGCGGAAGCGTGAGGAATATGGGGCCTCTTATGGATCCCGTCACCGCCCCATCTGTCACCGTCAACCCCTCCCCTTCATCAATGCCATGTCGCTGCCGAACGCCGCCCAAGGCACATTACGTTTTAGAAAAATCGTCCCCGGAGATCGCCCTTGCTTTCTGGGCCCACTGAAATGGGCCCAGTTACACGAGATGAGCTCCCCTTATTGGCCCCGCCTTTCCCCCGGTGACATTAGACTTTTACAATTAAGTCCCTACTAATCATTTAATTACTAAGTAGTTATTCTATTCCAGCGAGAAAGGGGACCCTGTTCCACAAGAACAAGGCCAGGGCCGAGAAGAGTGCATTATGAGATTTATAAAAATAATTTGGGTTTTTATGTAAAACGCTACTTCTCTGTTCACGTCGCTTCCGCCTCGCTGTCCGCGCCAGCAGTACTCCATGACCGGATCTGGTGAACCGTTTGTGGCCAGATGCGGTCAACCTCAATTCAATGTGGTCAAGGCGGTCGGATGCGGTCAACCTCAATTCAATGTGGTCAAGGCGGTATGATTTATCATCCTAGTTTTTTTTCTAAATAAATGAAGATATTTTTTATTCCACATTTTGCGAATTAATAATCATAGATCGCACATTACATTTTCCTCGACAACTTATCTCTCTCAGCTCCAGTTAAATAATATCAATACGATAAAATAAGTTATATGAAAATAAATAATACCAATGTTTTGATTCAAACTATATAATAAATAAATAAATAAATGGATCTGTTTCTTTGGAACTCAGATTTAATTAAAATATAAATCAGGAACTATATCTTCTCCTCCCTTGCGAGTGCTTGGCAAGGCCACCAGACACTTGTTCATAGATCATTTGTTACAAAGGCTATGAATTTTGAAGGGGAACTTGAGGATTCTTGAAGGTTTTTGTTCTTCCCTTTTTTTTGTCTTTTTTTTATTTAAAAAAAGAGTTTTTTTACTTGCAGGATATGAATTTGGAAGTTCTTGAGTGGGATCTTCCCCTCTAGGAAGAAAAGGACGAGGAATGAAGATCTATGAAGCCGTATGGTTAACTCGCTGAATAGGAATTATGATGCTCTTTTTAAAAAGAATATCACGCATACTAAGCAGTCCAGAAAATAAGGGAATGAAAAAGAAAGAGGATAGATGAGATATTTAGGTTAAATAATTTGCAGGAATCAAGCACCCAAAATAAAAAATAATATCAATTTTTATCATTATTTTTCCCAGGTTTTATTTACAGCATGTACTAGAAGTAATGGATTAAAAAAAAATGGAGGTATTTAGCTAGGAAAAAAAAAACCCACGAGAAATTATGCGCATTTCAAATTTTTTTCAATTTATGTATGCCTATATCTATTATTTGGTGTTCATATTTTCAGAGATAATTGCTAAAAAAAGGGGGGGGAGCTGGGTGACAATGAGCTTATCATAAAATAAAGCAAGGTTGACCTTGTCTCCTACTACAAAAGCGATCACTCATGGGTCAACGCCTATTACCTCTCCTGCCACGCGTCCCTATTTCATGGAAAAGTAACAAAAATCAAACCACTTTCCATCGAGGGTTTGATTGGAGATGAATGAAGACGAGATAAAATGAAACCCATGTTGATGCACAATCCTTGTTTAGCGCTTAGCATACTCCTCCTCAACCAACCAATCATGACAAAGAGGTTAACAGTGGCAAAAGGGGTAAATCTGGTAACTCCGAAGTTGACCGATACAAAGGGTCTGGGTCCCACTATATAGACGAGGCTCTTACGATAGTTAATCCTGAAATAATTTTTTCAGTAGAAAATGCTCAAATTTAGCATATTTTGTCTACATTTTAAGTGAGCGTGATGAAGATTAGAGGGTAAGAAAACTCATTTGAGCTTCTAATTTTTTATTGAGAAATTTCCAAGTTTAAAAATATTTTGCCCAGATTGTCGATGATGATAATAACAACAATTGGACAAGAATAAAACCCACCGAGGGGGTTATTAATATCATCGAGAGATTTCCATATTCGACCAGTTTTGGGAAAAATGATAAAATAAAACGAAATCATGATCTTCCTGGGTAAGCGACAATAAACAAGAGACAAGTGAGGATACAGGAGACGAGGAGACCCGTGTGGCGTAGAGCTTATCACCAGAGTAAACCAATTTAGGCATGGATTTCAACGATTAAACACCAAAACAAGCACACATCAAGGTTCTGATTTGAGACAAATATGGGCAATAATTCACGAAAGAGCTCTTGGATTCTGAGAAACACCGAAAATAATGATAATGATAATAATAATAATAATAATAATAATAATAATAATAATAATAATCGGAGGAATGATCACCTGGGGTGCAGGGAAATTTCGGTAGAAGAAAGGGGCGCAGCGTCCCCTTCGGAATCCTCCAGTCGGCCGGATTCAGACCCGTCGCTTCCACTTTCAGCAGGAGTTGACCGTTCTTTGGCGAAGGAATTGGTACCTCCCCGAGCTGCCGCGTGATCCCAAAGACAGGAACCGGTCAAATTAATTGAAGCAGTTCCAGTGGATTTAAAGAAAATTCGAGGGCTCAACGTCATCCCTCCAGACGGGGATGACAGAGAGAGCAAAGAAAAGCTAGCCAGGGCAAGCCAGCCTGAAACTAGTTTACCTTGAGCGCTGCTCCTCCGCCGTAACGTTCATACTGAACCGCGCGTATGAGTTTGGCGGCCATTGGGAGGGATCCCCCTGGGCTGTGACGAAGAGAGGGGAAGGTTAGCTCGCTTCAATGTATCCCCAGGAGCCGCCTGGAGTTGCAGGAGTTGACCTTTCTTCGGGCCGCCACGGGATAGCGGCGCCGTCGGTATCGTCCGTTATATATAGTCGCCGCCGGGGTAACTGACGACGGCGACCGTGGGGAAGGAGGAGCGATGACCAGGGGGGAGCAGTTTAGAACAATGCCTCTAGAAGATGCTTCTCAGGTCCCTGGGTTTGCTCATTTAACCTTCCCATATTGGTAAGAAGAGACGACTTTCAGACGAAACGAAACAAACAGGACCCTCTTGGGCTGGCCCATCTTATTGTTCACAGAAATTCTAAAGTCAACGCCAACGCCAACGCCGACGCCGACGGAGAGCTTACAGGATAATCAACGACAGATAGCCGTCGGATAGTGAGTTCCTTACCGTTTACATACAGTGCTTGCTTCAGTAGTTTGACTCGACCGCTCAGGGCCCCACATCCACAATGATCTTCCCCGTGGCGTGGCCGTCGATGCTCTTGGCCCAAGCCGCCTCTGCCTGGCTCAGAGGATGCCTCGAGTCAACGACCGTCTTCAGCTTCCCTTCCTTCACCAGACCCACCAAAAGCTCCAGCTCCTCCTTGTTGGCGGACTGGAGGAGCGGCACCAGCTGCTTCTTGGAGAAGGTGATCTTCTTGATGGCGGCGGTGAGGAAGGCGGTGGCATTGGGGGTGATGTCGATCACCTTCCCACTTTCTGCCAGGTTGCGCTCGAACGTTGACCAGGGGATACGGGTGGCGCAGTGGATGACGGCATCGTACTTCTTCCCGGAGGGACTCTCCAAGGCGGCGCCGCCAGGGGTTTTGTAGTCCAGCACCTCATCAGCACCCAGATTCTTCACCAGCTCCAAGTTCCTCGCTCCGCAGGTGGCAGAGACGTGGCAATTGCCCAGCTTTGCCAGCTGGACCGCGTACAAGCCCACTCCGCCGGACGCGGCGGTGACTAGGATGTTGGCGCCGTTCTCGCTGCCAACCTTGAACCTTATTCCGGCCGATTTCAGGCTCTGGAGGGCAGTGAGGCCCGCTATTGGCAACCCTGCTCCCTCGGCGGCGGATACCTCTGCAGGCCTCTTCACTGTCATGCTAGCCGATGCCACCGCATATTCAGCCAGCCCTCCCCCTCGCTGACAGAAAAATAAAAATAAATTATTAATTAAGTTAATTATTTATCTGCGAGAAAAATTATGAATAATTGATTTACACGTATGCTCATAGATTGACTAAAAATAAGAGGCAATATAATGCAGCGTGAGAGCTCACCCGGAGGTAGAGCATCGACACCACTTTGTCGCCGGCTTTGAGAGAGTCAACGTTGGATCCCACTTCAACCACCTCACCTGCCACGTCAGGGACTGCAACATGGCAATCGGGGTCATCAGGACCCAACCAAGTAGAATGATCTACTATGAAATTATTTTGAAAAGTGGAGTAAAAATTTTATGCTGTAATGATAGTGGTAGACTAAGGTATGAATCATTGAAAATAATCTGTACATAATCCATTGAAAAAAAATAAAAATAAAAAATAGATAAATCTGCCGCTCTACACAATATCATAAATATAATAATAGATTTATTTGGTAATATTAATGGCTACGGATTCCCTTGGGTACCATCATCATAAATGATGAAACTACAGGTTCATGTATGTGTATAAATTAAGGTTTATATTGTTATTAAGCGCCATAATAAGATTCTTGAAAGGACCCATGGTGCAGCATAGGAGACAGAAACATGCAAATATATATAATTAATCTTGTGCAAATATAAACATGATAATAACGCAGAAATAAAATTTTGAATTTTTTAAATTAAAAATGGAAAAGATTAGCGCACTCTTGACCAAGATCTGACAACATGGTGGCCATGAGAAGATAAAAGATTAGCCATAAACTAATGGGAAGTAATGATCCGGAAGTCACTGACACCAAGTTTAGCTAATCCGAACAGCATAAATAACAGAAGGCTTGAACCACTTGAGTAGAACACCTGGCACGTATGGAAATGTACGTGGAAGAAATGGGCGTAGCAAGCCCTTCTGAATCTTCCAGTCAATGGGGTTTATACTAGAAGCCTCCAACTTCAACGTGACCTCATCTTTCTTTGGCGAAGGAATGGGAACTTCAACATGCTACATCAAGAAGACGTCAAGAAATGATTGTTCAAGAAAGCTAAAGTGAGAAAAATAATTATTCAATAATTTCATAAAACTTGAAAAAAAAAATCAGAAGAAAAAATTAGACATGTTTTTCTTGAAATATTTCGAAAACAAGAATAGATCACAACAAATCACTCCACATAAGAATTTTTTTTCCTATGGGTCTAGGCACACATATACTGAGAATCAAAGCTGCTAGGGACCACAATATGCATATCATAAATCATTGTTAAAGCTAAATAAATTATAAATTAATATCGTGCAATTTAGAGCAGAAATTGATTAGTGGGTACGTAAGATTCAATTTGAAATAGTGCACCGATAGTAGAAATTATGAGCCCATTCCCAGTAAAACCTGACAGATTCTGCCCATCATCTAAAACTTTCGCCGCACAAATCAACCCCTACCTTGGTAAAGCGTACTCCCTTCTGACTCGGTGATCAATTATCCCACATCGGCCCAAATATCATCCGAATAAGACGTATGTTCTCCGATTATTTATCAGTCAAGAAAAATAAAATCGACAGAGAACCAAAGTTTTATAGTAACTACACTAAGATGCTTTGACGAGTAAACTCCGAGAAACAGACAAATAAGCATATTCATGAAAATAGAGCTTGTAGTTGATCATGCGGCAAGAACTCGCAACATTGAGCTCCAAACTTTCTATGAACTTGGCCCTCTTCAAACCCATCTTCAATTCATCGGATCTTCCTGCTCATTCTTTAATGATTCAGCCCTTGAACACATATTTCAATCCATCGTACAACATCAAAAAGAGCACGCCAAAGCACGTCGGACCATAAATCCACAGGCCTCCAACCGCGATTTCTCTCGTCTAAAGGAAGGACTTACTTTGAGGGCGGCGGCACCGCCGCCGTAGGACTCGTACTGGACGGCGTGCATGAGCTTCCCCGCCGGAGCGGCCATGATGGAAAAGGCGGAGGCTGGCTCTCTGATAGGAGCACCGGGAGCTTCCTGCGAATCAAGTTGAGTGAGGAGGAGAAGAAACGAGAGCGCTTCCCCGACGCAGAGAGGTGGCGGAAGCGGGAGGAAGATGGGGCCCATTATGGATCCTGCCAAACCCCTCCCCTTCATCAGTGCCGTGTCTCAGCCGAACGCAGCCCAAGGCACGGTACGTGAAATGCACGATTGGTTTTTGGGTCCCACTGGAATTGGCCCGGTTATAGAAAATGAGCTCCTCCTATTGGCCCACCTTTTTTTCCCACGGTGAAATTAGACTTTGACATTTAAGTCCCTCTAAAACATTTAATTACTAAGTTGTGTATTCTATTCCAAGCGAGAAAGTATAGCCGGTTCCGAAATAACAGGCCGGGGCCCAGCAGAGGACATTCTGGCATTTTAAAAAGTAATTTGGGTTTTTATGTAAAATTCTAGTGGACCGTTTCTGGCCGTGCTAATGGTCGGATGCGGTCAACCTCAATTCAGTGTGCTCCACGTGATACAATTTATCATCATAGTTTTTTTTATAAATAAATAACGATCTTTTTTATTCAGCATTTTTGAAGATACATAATCATAGATATATTTTTCCTTGGCAACTTATCTCTCACACCTCCAGTTTAATAATCTAAATTTGATATAATAATTTATATAAAATACAAATAACAATGATTTTATTCAAATTATATAAAAAACAAATCAATGGATTTCTTTCTTTGGAACTCAAATTTAATCAAAAACTAAATCATAAACTCTAACATTATACAATATCCATATGTCAAATATTGCATTTTTATCAAGGGACATTTGTGCACCTCCCAATCAAAAAGTAGTAGTAGTTGAATGGAATTGATCAAGTTGACTCGGTGATGCAAATGATAATGAGGACATAACATAGCTAACATAAATGATATATAAATCACAAACACTATAAGAAACTAAATAGGGACAAATTCAAATCATACTCAAAATCATCTACAAACAGCAAAGTGGGACTCAGATTAGACAATTTAGGTAAACCATTAGACGTAGGATGCTCGTGATCAATAATGTAAATCTTGTTTATAACACGATATGATCACTCAATCTGAAGAAAAACTGGATATTCTATAAGATCACTCTTCATGACCACAATCTCAAAGAAAATATATTAGATGAGCATTGATTACTAGGCGTAATATGCAAGATAATTAGTTGTGGAAATAAGTCACTAGAGAGAGCTGGATTAGAGGGATTGATCAGTGACTGTTGACCCGATGGATGATGCTGTTGACCAATGGCCCGTGATGAGACCAATGACCCACCCTCGTCCTGCGTCACTCGGCCTCACGGGACCCTATCTCCACCACGACCTTCCCCGTGGCGTGCCCGTCGATGCTCTTGGCCCAAGCCGCCTCTGCCTGGCTCAGAGGATGCCTCGAGTCAACGACCGTCTTCAACTTCCCTTCCTTCACCAGACCCACCAAAAACTCCACATCCTCCCGCTTGGGGATCACGAGGAGGGGCACCAGCTGCTTCTTGGAGAAGGTGATCTTCTTGATGGCGGCTGTGAGGAAGGCGGTGACGTTGGGGGTGATGTCGATCACCTTCCCACTTTCTGCCAGGTTGGGCTCAAACGTTGACCAGGGGATGCCGGTGGTGCAGTGGATCACGGCGTCGTACTTCTTCCCGGAGGGACTCTCCAAGGCGGCGCCGCCAGGGGTCTTGTAGTCCAGCACCTCGTCGGCACCCACATTCTTCACCAGCTCCAAGTTCCTCGCTCCGCAGGTGGCAGTAACGTGGCAGTTGCCCAGCTTTGCCAGCTGGACCGCATACAGGCCCACCCCGCCAGAGGCGGCGGTGACTAGGATGTTCGCGGCTTTCTCACTGCCGCCGCTGCCAAAGCTGATCCCGGCAGATTTCAGGGTCTGGAGGGCGGTGACCCCCGCTACCGGTAAGCCCGCTGCCTCGACAGCGGATACCTCCGCCGGCCTCTTCGCTGTTTTACTAGCCGATGCCACGGCATACTCTGCAAACCCTCCTCCCTGCCCATGTCCAACCACAGATCAAAAAACTCTCTCTCTCTCTCTCTCTCTCTAGATATATATATATATATATATATATATATATATAAATACATATGTGTGTATCTGTGCTAAATTTCTATGAAATTCTGGGAAGAGCACCGAAAAAGGTAATGAATTACGTATTCTGGTAGATCGATGATCATATAATAAAAAGGCCACTCGAGGTGGGAACATACCGAACCGGAAAGGAACGACACCACTTTGTCGCCGGGTTTGAAGTCCACACCGGAGCCAACTTCGACCACCTCGCCCGCCACATCGGTGACTGCATCATGAGAACCGAGAGCCTTTGAACACAATATTCATAGATTCTTTGTACAGCAACAGGCATGGCGTATGAGTTCTCTTTGGTTTCATGGCCCCGATAATGAAACTGCTTCCACATTCTTTGCTAAAACTGAGGACAGAAAGCGAGTCTTCCAAAAAAATAATTTCATGGAAACTTTGATTAATGTTTTCCATAATAATAGAGGGTAAGAACATATAAATCGATTGAAGTAAGCAATCTATCAGATAAACTTTCGTCTGATTTATTTTTTTGGAGTCGGCTTCTGAAACATAAATGATTTTTCAGTCAGGAGATCGGAAAATTAATCTCAGTCCCCTCAGTTTATAAGATTATGTCAAAAGAAAGTGATTCATCTGTTAGAACATGCCTTCTAGAAATCCAAGTACTTTCAATTATCAGAAACTAACAAACCTAGCTCACAACTGATAGTAAATATGCGTATACAGCTGCTTTCAAGAGGGATTTTTCTCTATAAAGCAACCATATTTATCTCTTCCTCGTAACATCTAGCAGATCAAGACCCATGATTTAACTGAATGCAGGGAATCGAATCGCTGCGCGCGCACACTGTGACAGATACTAGATCTTATCAACGTAGAGTATCAAGATAGACCAGCCCTAAACAGATACATCAGAGCAAGAACACAGAAGATCCCCAATCAAGTCATATATCAGACCTTCTCTCTTCTTTTCTTTTTTTTAGAATAAATAAAATGTCGTGCCCCTGATGGTATCACTTCCATGATCTTAATCAGAAAAAATGTTAACATAATGACGATGTTACTGGATTATGATTTCTCTAAAAGGATCACACCAAAACTGTTAATTGTCAAATCCATAAAACGAAATAAACAGGTTTTAGTAACTGACTTGCTGACAATAATGATCACCAGTTATTACCACTAAACAGAATAAACCCGACCAATTTTTATGATGTCAAACTTTTTTTTCATTGTTGCAACTTACCCGGCCTGAATGGAAATTTTCGAGGCAGAAACGGCCATATTACGCCTTTCTGGATCTTCCAATCAATCGGGTTGATGCTTGCCGCTTCCAGCTTCACTAAAAGCTCACCCTTCTTTGGTATTGGAATTGGAACGTCAACGTGCTGCGTCAAGAGGATACCAATCAATAGCCATTTTAGGAAAGGCTAAGCATACAGAACATCATTTGATAAACTGGATAAAAAGCAAAAACACGTCGACAATCAGAGGATATCGCACTTGAACATTGTTCCTTCATCATTTTGTTCCCCTTTTCTCTAGTATGCTAAATCCAGGAAAAGTCGCCAAAATTGTCCAGTATATGAAACCTAGCTAGGGTTGTCATGCACATCGTAGATGATATTCACAATGAAGAAATCATCCATTATCGTCGCGAGGACCCTCCCTTTGAAAAATTAGCTTCTCGTCGTGAAGGACGACAAGACCAGATCAGGCAACCATTTTTCAATCGTTAATGCTGGAAAATAGTTCCAATCACGCTCATCTATGGCGGTTCGAGATTCCGTGATCTGCGAGCCCTTTAAAATCAGAAGACCCATACTCTTCGGTCATCCACACTCAGTGGAGGAACAGTGCGCCCGATTATTTGTCAGCTCTTCCCACCTTTTAATTCTTCAACAGGCAGTCATCACGAACGTATTAAGTACACAGTCGAATCAGATGAACAATGACTGAATTCCGAAATATTTTTCACACGACAGAAGAAAAAAAACAGGTAAATCCCCATTTCTTCAAGAAGAAGAAAACTCTACCTTCAGTGCGGCGGCTCCACCGCCGTAGGCCTCGTACTGGACGGCGTGCATGAGCTTCCCGCCGGTGGCAGCCATGGCAGAGACGCCGGAGATCTTTTCGGGTTCCCTCAAATGCCCAATTCGTGCGGGACTGGACGATCCTGCTATCTCTCTCTCATTCTAGCTCATATTGACATTCCGCTTCTTTATTCATTTTTTCTTAATCCCCTTGAATAGAAAAAAATCGCCGCGATACTTTTTTAAACTTTATACCCTCGTGAAAATTAACTAATTGACGTCAATATCTCCACTCATTTTTTTATATGATTAAATTAATTTAGACTATGTAAACAGTTAATAAAAATAATGTATTTTCTGTCGGAACTCATCAGGAAAACATTTTTATGCCGATGACTAATGGAAAATTAAACAAATCAAAAAATGCTCTAAAAGATATATATATATATATATATATATATTCATTTTTATGATTGTTATTAAATAAAGTATGGTTTTGAACTGCGAGATTAAAAGCTTAGAAGAACGAAATATTTGAAGACATTTAAATCTCAACAAAAAAAGCACTTTTAAAAAAATGATTTAAGTGCTAGTTAATTTCTCGAAAATGTTGATATTTCCCAGTGTCAGCGCTGACGGACGGTGGCAGAAAATGTTGTCTAGATTCAGTGGACAAACGTTGGGTAGGCCACTAGGCCATTATGGCTACACGTCTGAACAGATGGAGGTCACGTGGCCATTTGCTGTCTACACGAAATAAATCATCACATTATTTTTATTTAAATATTTTTTTCTGGGCAATAATTAGAAAGTGTTTATATATAATTGGGCCTGAGGCGGACCCTGCTCATGCTAAGCGTGGCCCGATTCCTTGTAGCCCTGTCAGGGCTTGGATCCCGAGATGGCCCAGAGAAAAGTCTGGAAAATGGGCTCTAGACTAGACCCCCCCCCCACGAGATTGGGCCCATTAACACCTACCCCCACGATAATGGGCTCTTACGATCATCTTGGCAAGGGGACAAAAAAAATTCTCAAATGGGCCCCTTGCGAATCGGCCCATAATTTAGCTGCCCAATTATTCTGTACATAATTAATTGTTCCAAAATGGACAAAGCGATCTCCGGGTGAAAGAGAGCCCAAAAAATGGTCTCCCAATGAGACCCACCATTTGTCTAGGTCCTAGGTGTAGACAACCACCTAGACAAACCTAGTTGGTCAATTCTATAGTGTGGTCATTGACTCAACTCTTCAAATGTGACGCATTCAACTTGAATCAAGAAGCAAAACAGCCTTTCAATTATTTGTCTTATTTTTGAACTTGAAACATATACTTTAGGTAGGGTAGGAGAGTCGGGGCAATGTTGATTCAAAACATGCAATCCATCGTATTTTTTAGGTAGCCTTTTGGCTCTAGTAGAAAAATACATAACTATTTGCAAGTGAGAGTTGATGTGAATTGTTCTTGCCACACTCAAATGAAAGCACTACATACTCTATAGAAAATTTATAATTTGTATAGATCAACATAATTTGAAATTTATTCAAGAGTAGTAACATGTGATTCATGATTATCATAAATAACTTTCTAAGATCATACACTTTGAATTTAAGATTAAATATCAATTTGGATTGAAAAACAAGACAATTGATGTCTCATCTTGATGACCCAAGCACCCATCTCTACAACATAGTTATATCGGCCCAAGTTATTAGACTTTGCACAGATTATGCGCGAAAATCAGACAAATCCTCAGTTGTCTAACATTTTGGAGGAACTCGTTACTCATCTTGAGAAATGACGTCTATATAGTCTATGACATGGAACTTTACTTCACTAGGGCCAAATTCTTCTCTCAAAAAGTTTGGTCATTATTCCATTCATTTTATTGAAATTTTATGTTGTACTCATCTTGTTTTTTTTGTACCTACAAATGCAGCTCACAAAATATGCGATGGAATAGGATGACAAATTGTATCAAGTGATACATTACAACATGTTTGACTTATCAGAAAAACAAGTATGAATACTTGTCTCTAGCAGGTCTCTTTTAGTCTCTTCCCATTCTTGATAGGATTTAGGAAGATATCTCAATGAATTTCGTTGAAGAGCTGCCCAAATCAAAAGGCTTCAGTTTAATTTTGGTCGTGGTTGATCAACCCAACAGATATGTTCATTTTTTTCAGTCTAAAACATCCATTTATTGCTTAACAAGTGGCCTATATTTTTCATCTGTGATATGATGTGTTTATATAGTATTTCAGCATCAATCATTAATGATCGTGATCGTATTTTCATGAGAGTCTTCTAAAGTGAACTCTTATGTTCTCAAGACACATTCCTCCAGAGGACCAATTCTTATCATCTGTAATCAGATGGTCAAACGAAAGTTGTTAACCGCGGCCTTGAGATGTGCTTAAGATGCTTCGTTAGAGACACCAACCACATCAATAGTTCACGTGGCTTCATTGGGCAGAGTATGGGATCAACACAAATTTCAACTGTTCAACAACCACCAACCACCCCTCGTCAAAATTATTTGCATTTGGGAGCCCTCCAGCTCTTCTTCGATCCGACAGTCAACCGATCAAAAAGGACAAGGTGGGTCATCAATTATAAGAGCGATTTCTCACCTTAACTTAAGCTTCATTTGTCCCGAGCTTAGGCTTGAATGAAGCATTATGCGAATAAAAAGCGGCGGGATATTGAATTTACTCGCCACATGCCTCATGGTATTGAGGTCTTCGTCCAATGGCTCCATTTGCCGAATTCCACAGCCACTTGGGAATCTGCTAAAGATCCTCTTAGTCATTCTTCCTTGTACTCTTCTATCGTTCTTATCACGTACCTTTGTCATCTCTAAAAGTCAACGTGCTACTTGGAAATTCAGTTCAGTACAAGTTACCAATTGGGCCACCAGCACATATGTCCTGTCACCACCCTTGTTTTTTTGTAGGCCCCACTTGAAAGCAAAACTATGACTTATCTCTCTCTGCTCGAGATAGAATTTTTTTAATAGAAAAAATCGTAACTTAGTTCATACCAATTGAAGTGCAAGGAATTGGGATGTGAAATACGCCGCTTCAAGTAAGTAAATAAATAAATAAAATCCGATTTAGAATAAACATTTGGTAATAATCCAATGTGGGACTCTCATCAACTAGGACCCTCGTAAGAATTTAAATCAGGGAATTATGACATCATATAGTGTTTATACACCAAATATTACATCTATCAGGGTAACAACAATAATAATAATAATAATAATAATAATAATGATAATAATAATAATAATGATAATAATAATAATAATGATAATAATAATAATAATGATAATAATAATGATTCTTCCCACTCAAAAGCAGTTGCTGCAGCAGCTCAATGGGAGTGAGCAGGAGGTTGACTGGGCCTCTCAGAGCCCCATCTCCACGACGATCTTCCCCGTGGCGTGGCCGTCAACGCTCTTGGCCCAAGCCGCCTCCGCCTGGCTCAGAGGATGCCTCGAGTCAACGACCGACTTCAGCTTCCCTTCCTTCATCAAGCCCAACAAGAACTCCAGCTCCTCCGCTCTGCGGCTGAAGAAGAAGGGCACCAGCTGCTTCTTGGAGAAGGTGATCTTCTTGATGGCGGCGGTGAGTAAGGCGGCGCCGCTGGGGGTGATGTCGATAACCTTCCCCTTCTCCGACAAGGTCGGCTCGAACTTTGACCAGGGGATGCCGGTGGCGCAGTGGATGACGGCGTCGTACTTCTTCCCGGAGGGACTCTCCAAGGCGGCGCCGCCGGGAGACTTATAGTCCAGCACCTCGTCAGCGCCTAGACTATTCACCAGCTCCAGGTTCCTCGCTCCGCAGGTGGCGGTGACGTGACATTTGCCCAGTTTTGCCAGCTGGACCGCGTACACGCCCACCCCGCCGGAGGCGGCGGTGACCAGGATGTTGGCGGCGTTCTCGCCGCCGCCGCCGCCGCCGTCGAACCTGATTCCGGCGGACTTCAGGGTCTGGAGGGCGGTGAGCCCCGCCATCGGCAAGCCCGCGCCGTCGGCGGCGGACACCTCCGCTGGCCTTTTCACCGTCTTGCTAGCCGATGCCACCGCATACTCTGCGAACCCTCCTCCTTTCTGTCCATGTCCAACCACAGATCAAAACTCTCTCTCCCTCTCTCTCCCTCTCTCTCTCTCTCTCTCTAAAATATAAAATATAAAATATAAAAATATACAGGTGTGTGTATTTCTATATGTTGAATTTCGATGAAATTTTGGGAAGAGCACCAAAAAGAGTTGTTAATTCTGTATTTTGGTAGATCCATGATCATAAAAAAGGTAAACATGCGAGGTGAGAACCTACCGAATAGGGAAGGATCGACACCACTTTGTCGCCGGGTTTCAGAGAGTCCACGCCGGAGCCAGCTTCGACCACCTCGCCCGCGACATCGGTGACTGCAACATGGGAATCGAGAGCCTTTGAACACAATATTAATGGGTTCTTTATACAGCAACAGGCACGGCGTTTGGGTTTTCTTCGGTTTCATGGCACCAATAATGAAACTGTCTCCACATTCTCTGCTAAAACTGAAAGCAATCTCTCCAGAAAAAACCTCACGGAAATATTGATTAATTTTTTTCCAGAACAATTGAGGGCAAAAACATGCAAATCGATTGAATTAAGAAATCTAGAACATATTAAACAACATTTTTTATGAGATTTTGTGAAAAAAAAAAGTGATTGATCTATTATAGCATCCCTTCTAGAGAGCCGAGTACTTTCAATCATCAGAAATTAACCAAGGCAGCTCACAATCGATAATAAATATGCTTATACAGCTGCCTTCAAGAGATAAATATCCGTATGAGTTCCTTGATCTTGATCAGAAAAAATGGCAACAAAACGAGGACGTTACTGGTTTCAATTTCGAGTTGTACAACGCAGTAAATGAAGGACTATAACTTCTCTGAAAGCATCACACAAAGACGAAATAAACAGATTTTAGTAACTGACTTGCGGGTAATAATGATCACCAGTTATTACCACTAAACAGATTAAACCCGACCAATATTTATGATGTCAAATCCTTTTTCATACCTGGCCTGAATGGAAATTTTCGAGGCAGAAACGGCCGTAATAACCCTTTCTGGATCTTCCAATCAGCCGGGTTGATACTTGCCGCTTCCAGCTTCAATAAGAGCTCATCCTTCTTTGGTGAAGGAATCGGAATGTCAACGTGCTGCGCCAAGAGGATACCAGCCAACAATTATTTCAGGGAAGTTGAAGCATACAAAACATTATTTGATAACCTGGATAAAAAAACGAAAACATGTCGAGAATCGGAGCATATCTCGCGCTTGATCATTTTTTCTTCATAATTTTATCCCGCTTTTCTAGTCTTTCAAACCAAGCTAGAGTCGTAGATAAATCTTCACAATGAAGAAATCATTAACTATCCTCGTGAGAATGATTGCAGACAGTGATTGCTCTGTTCTACAAGTTTTTTTTTTCCTCCTAATCAGTAGCTTTCAAATAAAAATGGCACCCTCCCCCTAGAAAAAAATAGCTTCTCGTCATGAAGGACGGAGAGACAAGATCAGGCGATCATTTTTCTGTTTTTATCGCTGGAAAATAGTTCCTATCCCGCTCATATATCGCGGTTTGGGATTCCGTGATCTGTTCGTCCTCTAAAATCAGAAGAACCATACTCTTCGATTATTCACACTCAGTGGAGGAACAGTGCGCCCGATTATTTGTCAGTTCTTCCTGCCTTTTAATCCTTCAACAGACAGTCATCACCAACTATTCAAGTACGCAGTCGAATCAGACGAGCAACGACGAGAAAAAAACAGGCAAATCCTCATTTCTTCAAGAAGAAGAAAATCCTACCTTCAGTGCGGCGGCCCCACCGCCGCAGGCCTCGTACTGGACGGCGTGCATGAGCTTCCCGCCGGTGGCAGCCATGGCGGAGACGCCGGAGATGCTCTCTGGTCCCCCCCCAAATACCCAATTCGCGCGGGACTGGACGATCCCGCCACCTCTCTCTGGTTCCAGCACAGATCACCATTTCGCGCCTTTATTTATTTTCCCTCATTCCCCGTGAATAAAAAATCTTCACGAGCCTTTTTTCTAAATTTTATGCCGTGGATGACTACCTAATTGACCGTTGAAATAATCAATAATTCCACTCGATTTATATTTTTAAATTTTATGATTATTTTAATGTATATAAAGTAATTAATAAAAATAATATATTTTATATCGGAACTCATCAGGAAACTTTTTTTAAGTAGATGACCGATGGAAAATTAAAAAAATAAAAATTCCTCTACAATATGTATATATTTCATTCTTATGAAGAATATTAAATAAACCATGGTTTCTTATTGACAAAGAAAAAGGTTGACTAGAACGAGATATTTTAAGATATTTTAAATCTTAAAAACAAGCATTTTTTAGCGTAAAAAATTGGGATTTAAGTGCTAATTAATTTTCCGAAGATGCAGGATATTTCCACGTCAGCAGTGACGGACGGTGACAGCAAATGGTGGCTTTGAATATTAGGAAGGTCGTGACAGACATTAGGAAGTTCGTGAGGCTATTACGTGCGAACGTCTGATGGACGACCTTATGGACGCACGTGGGATTTTACGTGTACACGTAATAAATCATTAAATTAATTTTATCTAAATAAAATTTATGGTTAATAATTAGAAAGTGTTTATATATAATTGGGCCTGGGCCGGGCGCTGCTCATGCTAAGCGTGGCCCGATTCCTTGTAGCCCTGTCAGGGCTTGGATCCCGAGATGGCCCAGAGAAAAGTCTGGAAAATGGGCTCTAGACTAGACCCCCCCCCCCCACGAGATTGGGCCCATTAACACCTACCCCCACGATAATGGGCTCTTACGATCATCTTGGCAAGGGGACAAAAAAAATTCTCAAATGGGCCCCTTGCGAATCGGCCCATAATTTAGCTGCCCAATTATTCTGTACATAATTAATTGTTCCAAAATGGACAAAACGATCTCCGGGTGAAAGAGAGCCCAAAAAATGGTCTCCCAATGAGACCCACCATTGTCTGGAAAGTTGTCAAGTACTCATAACCTATTAAAAATTAGGATTATAACCCTATGGAGCACATTCACCATTATTGCTCTACCCACATGAAATAGCATAAGCTGAATCGATTGATCTCACCAAATCCGACAGCTGGATGAAGGTAATGAAAAGACGGCGGAAAACATGACCGTTGGAGGAGGGAGGGAGAGAGAGAGAGAGAGAGAGAGAAGGTGGGGTCGGCTAGTCCTTGTACTTCATCTCGGACACGAGGAAGCCGGGCATGTCGTAGGAGGCGGAGAACTTCTCGACGGCCGCCTTGAGGGCCTCGATCTCCTTGTTGTTAGGCAGGCCCTTGTTGAAGTCCTTGAGGAGCTTCCCGTGCTCCTTCTGGATGTTCAGGGTGACGGTCACCGCCTGGTGGAGGAACTCGGCGATCTGCTCGAAGTCCTTCTCGAGCAGGCCCCTCGACGTCATCGCGGGAGCACCTGCAGACGGAATCGTAGATAGAATCAGAAAATGGTTCCAAGAATAGAAACACCAGAGAGAGTGGAGAGCAGCTGAGAGGGGGAGCGAGCTTGGAGCTTGAGGGGGGGAGGGGATCCGATCCATAGAATGGGGGAATTAGAGGAGCTCAGTTTCTGGAAGATCGGATCCACAAAATGTGGGGGAATCTGGTCTTTGGACCGACTGAAATTATTTATATTTATTGGGTTTAGTTTTTCAAATTCTTTCATTATTCGTTTGATAACTAGAACTATTTTCTTAGCCAATCTTGTTTTTTCTTTTGAAATATTTAAAAGAGACTTTAAGGGCAGTCCGATTAGATAATGCAGAGAGGAAGGCGAGGAAAAAGAAAAGTGCTTTTACCAATTCTGACGCCACCAGGGGCCAGGGCACTGCTGTCCCCAAAGACGGCGTTCTTGTTGAGCGTGATATTGCAGAGATCACAAACCTTCTCGACCTTGTTGCCTGTGAACATGCCGATAAGTAAATCAAGCTTCCCTAAAATGTATACAGTTAAGGCGGGAATGGGTCCCAGGGAGAGGAATGAGCTAGTTCTTACCGGTCAAACCGAGGGGCCTGAGATCCCAGAGCACAAGGTGGTTCTCAGTTCCGCCAGTAACAAGCTTGTATCCCTTGCTAACAAGGTACTGGCCAAGTGCGGCAGCGTTGGCCTTGACCTGCTTGGCGTAGGCCTTGAAGCCCGGTGTGTTGGCCTGTTTCAGGGCAACAGCAAGTGCCGCGATGGTATTGTTGTGGGGGCCTCCTTGGAGAGATGGGAACACAGCGAAGTTGATTTTATCCTCGAAATCATAAACTGCACCCTCGGGCTGGCCCTTCTTTGGTGGCTTTGGTCCCTTCCTGTAGAAAATCATGCCGGATCTTGGGCCCCTGAGGCTCTTGTGGGTGGTGGTCGTTACTACATCACAATATTCAAATGGATTTGCAGCTTCCTGAAGAAGAAAAGATTGACGGTCCAGAGTTAATGCTTGACATTCATAAAGATCATTAAGGTCAGATCTCTAGGTGCCACCCAACGATCTTTTGCCCCAGAATTAACATCATTCGACTTCGCATGTAGCATAAATGTACATGAGAAACAAAACATGATTTTGAATTTATTTTAAGAAGTCCTAGACTACAGCAATACGTCTATGAATAGCAATTAGAACACTCTGAAATAAATGAATCACAGAAGAAAAGAAGGGGTATCGATGCGAAAAAGTAGATTTAAATCGGGATCTGACTCCGAACCGAAATTGATTGCCCCTTCTCGTCATATTCGGCACGTGTTCCAGGGAACACTAGATCAAGGTACATCAAATCACTTGAGATCTACTCACGTACAGATCTAAACGGCCAAGCACTTCACGAGCACCCGTAAATCGTGAGAAATGCTACGTCTTTCTCCACTTCCCACACACTAATCTGAGTCAAATCTCAGATCTGATGGACAGAACTATAATCTTCGCAATGGAGAAAGCAGGCAAAAAATGATAGAAAACCAGGGTGAAGTTGGATGGGGAGGAGAAGAGGATCGCACCTGAGCAGCGACGAGACCGCTGATGTGAGCCATATCGCACAGGAGCAAGGCGCCGCACTTGTCAGCAATGGCCCTGAACCGCGCGTAGTCCCAGTCCCTGGGGTAGGCGCTGCCTCCACAGATGATCAACTTGGGGCGGAAGTCGAGAGCCTTCTCCTCGAGCCTGTCGTAATCGATGTACCCACTCTCGGGGTTCACCTTATACGGCAAGCTCTCAAAGTAGATGGAGGTGGCAGAGATCTTCTTGCCGCCGGAAGTGTAGTAGCCGTGGGTCAGGTGGCCGCCGGAAGGGAGATCTAGCCCCATGATGCGGTCGTGGGGGTTGAGGAGCGCGGTGTAAGCAGCGAAGTTCGCCGGACTACCGGAGTAGGGCTGGACATTGACTCCCCAGGCAGCGGGATCCAGGTGGAAAGCCTTGAGGGCGCGGTCGCGGCACAGGTTCTCGATCTGGTCGATGAATTCGTTTCCACCGTAGTAGCGGTTCCCAGGCATGCCCTCGGAGTACTTGTTGGTGAGGGCGCTGCCGAGGGCCTCGATCACCGCGAAAGATGTGAAGTTCTCGGAGGCGATTAGCTCGATCCCCCGGCATTGCCGCCTCTTCTCCTTCTCGATCAGATCGAAGATCTCCTCGTCGACGGAGACCAGGGACTCATTGCCCCACGACGCGACAGAATCCATCGACCACCGGGGATGGAGATCTAGAATAGGGCGGCGGAGGACGCAGAGTAAAAAGGGCGGTGGCGGAGGAAAGAAGGGGGATGAGGTTGTATATTTATAGTACAGGTGGGGATCCCGTGGTGGGTGGCTACTATGTGAAAATACTACTTTACCCTTGTACAATTAGACTGTTGGTGTGGCTTAGAGCGCAGCGCGGATCTGAGACGGTTGATGGTGGGCCCGGACAAGTCTCCTCTGGAGGCAACGTACGTGTCCTTATACAGACATCAAATTTTAGAAAATGGCTGCGTGATTTCCTCTCGGTAATATTCTTTGGGTTGGGAAATAAGTGTTGCAGAGTGAGACCACTGATGAGCCGCATTTTACACTATATTTTAATGGGATCAGAATCATCTTCCTCAGATTCCACCGACTATGAATCGGACACCTCACCCACGGAGAGCTCGAACGGACGGCGATCTCAGTTAGATCGTGCGGCTACAAACCCCCCCCCCCCCCAGTTTTTTTTCATAATTAAAAAAATCAAGCTAAAATTGAAAGGAAAAAATTAATATTCCAGATATATATAATATTTCATCGAATATATCTAAACTGCGTGAATTAAAAGCCTATAAGAAAATCCCAAACAGAGTAATCCTATTATTATTATTATTATTATTAATGTATATTCCGGGGATATCTAACCTGGGGTCGGTCGCGGGGACACGTCTTAATCGCAGTTGGTCGGATGCGGTAGTTGGGTGGGTTGGCCAGTGGGACCCACATAAAACTGGAGCCCCACACCAACGTGCTCAACATATCAACCGTAGAGGAGTTGCCAACGGCCGACGGTGCCGTTAAGCCCACGTGGAATTTCGATGCCCTTTGCTTTCGCTTCGTCCTAACGTGCCACTGGACCGACAACCCCCCTAATCTCTCTCTCTCTCTCTCTCTCTCTCTCTCTCTTAGACGGAATCTGGTGACCGTTAAGTAAAGGCAGGTGGGAGTCCGATGACTCGACTCTTTACCCCTCTGACCTCACCAACCCACCGCGACTCTTTCACCAAAACATTGGGGCTCGTGGAACTCCAGGAAGAAGAGTCGTGGCGCATTACCTACTATCCACTTGTTCACCGGCGACTTCCCTTTCCAGGCTGTGAGTCAACACACTCCACCACATGGTGACGACACGGGTCGGCACAATGGCCCCGCTTCAGAGACGCCGGATCCGACTCGCGCACGGCAGATGTTCTCCATCACCCGTCTCTTTGAGCTAGTAGATCATCACATGATTATGCCAACTTAGCCCATAGTCCCCTATTATTTTTATACTAGGACGAAGCTCGAAGCTGTTCCTGTCCTTGCTACACGCTCATCTTAGAGAGAGAGAGAGAGAGAGAATGGCACTCTTCTTATGTATTGTTTAATATTGCTATTGGGACTCAATTTTGGAAATAAAATAATCCACCTTGGTAATAATGATAAATTATTTTAGAATATATTTACTTTATGGAACCGAATTTTACCTATTTGGGTTTACACTTTAGTTGGTTTAGTCACCATGGACACTCATATATAACGATTTTTCTGTCAAAAAATGCATATTTTTGGTGGAATCATGGTATTAGTGAGTAATTTTTCAAACAGGTCCTCGATGGGTGGAAGTATAATATTACAAGACCAAGGTCAGCACAAAGAACATTAATGATTAGGCTACGGCGTGACATCTCCCTCTCTCTCGTTTCACGATTCAGTTAATCTCAATGGGTTTAAGTATAATTTACAAGCACATCAAGGTTAGGAGAAAAAGATTAATGACAATGCTACGTCGTCATTGTATTCCATTCATCTCTCTCTCTCTCTCTCATTGGAGGGTTCCGGGGGGCAGTTTCTTAGCACATTAAATCCTTGACAATTGTTCCTATAATAATACAAGCCCATCAAGACGGGGACAAAAAAATTAATGATGATGCTACACTCTGATTATCTCCCTCTCCTTTTCTCTCTCTCTCTCTCGTTGAAAGGTTCGGGCGGTAATTTCACGTTTAGCAAGGGTTATTTGTAACCATTTTTAAAAATAGTTTAAAAGTTGAAGTAGAGATCGACCGTGGATTTATTACTATCTTGCGGATCAAGCCGGGTCGAATCCGACCCATCGGATATCTTGGTCACGAATCGGGTCCAAATGGAGATCTGAATCTAGATCGGCGATGTCCTGGTGGCACAAATTTAGTTCTTATACGTGTTCTCTAGAAATTTTTAAGCTTATGAGGGGGAGGGATAAATGAAATTATTCTCAGAGTACGGCACGTGAGGTTCACTCCGCAAATCGGGAGCTTAAATCTCGGCGAGTCCTTTGACCGATTCATGGTCCACGTGTGGTTAATGACTGACTCCCTCTCGTGACATCGGCGTTTAAGTTCACCACCTTCATCGTTACCGTCTCAGGAGGGGGAGAGTACTGTGCCCTCCTACCAGAGTGGATGAAATACCATATCCACCGTCAGATGGAGGGTTGGTGGTCGTCCGGATAGAGATCTCCGCCGTCCATTTCTGGATCCAAGTCTATAAATCGGTCTCCACCTCGCTCTATCATACTCGCTCGCCCTCGATCTTCTTGCATCGTCGGCTGTGTCGCTGCCGCCGGTGGGGAGATCAGATTTCTCAGATCCGCCGTCGCCGGAGAAGGAGGAGAGGAAATGGCGCTGCTGGTGGAGAAGACGTCGTCCGGGAGGGAGTATAAGGTGAAGGATATGTCGCAGGCGGACTTCGGCCGCCTCGAGATCGAGCTCGCGGAGGTCGAGATGCCCGGTCTCATGGCCTGCCGCACCGAGTTCGGTCCCTCCCAGCCCTTCAAGGGAGCTCGGATAACGGGATCCCTGCACATGACGATCCAGACGGCCGTCCTCATCGAGACCCTCACGGCTCTCGGTGCTGAGGTTCGCTGGTGCTCGTGCAACATCTTCTCCACGCAGGACCACGCCGCCGCGGCGATAGCCCGCGACAGCGCTGCGGTCTTCGCCTGGAAGGGGGAGACCCTGCAGGAGTACTGGTGGTGCACGGAGCGCGCACTCGACTGGGGTGCCGATGGCGGCCCCGATCTGATCGTGGACGATGGCGGTGACGCCACGCTGTTGATCCACGAGGGGGTAAAGGCCGAGGAGGAGTTTGAGAAGACCGGGAAATTGCCCGATCCCAACTCCACCGACAACACCGAATTCCAGCTCGTGCTCGGCCTTATCAGGGATGGGCTCAAGGTGGATCCCCGCAGGTACCGCAAGATGAAGGAGAGGCTAGTTGGTGTGTCCGAGGAGACCACCACAGGAGTCAAGAGGCTGTACCAGATGCAAGCCAGTGGCACGCTCCTGTTCCCCGCCATCAACGTCAACGATGCTGTCACCAAGAGCAAGGTATTGTCTTCAGATCTGATGTTGGACCGTCCGCTCCAATTCATTCCTGGTCTTCCTATTACCCCTTGCCTTCTGCCGTGGAGTCGATTTCCATGCTTATCAAATGGTTGGGTTATCTTCTCTTCACCTCGAGGAGATATCTTATCCGCTAGGGGTTTTTTTTCTACTTCTTGTTCTTCCTCAATTTACCGGATCTCTGTTTTCAGTTAACTTAGATTTATTTACCTGTGTTCTCATTAGTTTCTGGTGGATCTATGTTTCGGTTAGTGGAGATTTAATTGTGCTCTCACTTAGGTCAACGAGATCTCAATCTCAGCTGTCTCAGATTCACTTACTTATTTCTCTCTATTAGATCGGCTAGATCTCTATTTCAGTAAGGTGGGACTTATGCTCTCGCTCAATTCGACCAAATCTCTGGTTTATGAGCTTCTGTTTCTTCCGTCGGCAATGTATTTCTCTACTCGATTCTGGATCTGGCCGAGGAATGCAAATATCTTTCTTGGCCCATTGCTGATATAAAATCTGCAGTGGTGGATCATGCAGATCTAGATCTGTCACATTCAAAGCTGGGGGGGGGGGCGAATCTTAATTTAATTTTCTAGTTATTCCCCAAATCTTTTTTTCTTTCCGGCATGTGGCGAGATTTATTTGAGCCAACATTTTCATGAATTTTTTATCAACGTTTTGAAAAAATCATATTTGCAGTTTGACAACCTGTACGGATGCCGTCACTCCCTCCCCGACGGCCTGATGAGGGCGACGGATGTGATGATCGCCGGGAAGGTCGGCGTCGTCTGCGGCTATGGAGACGTCGGCAAGGGCTGTGCCGCCGCGCTGAAGCAGGCAGGATGCCGGGTGATCGTCACGGAGATCGACCCCATCTGCGCCCTGCAGGCCCTCATGGAGGGAATCCCGGTACTCACCCTGGAGGACGTCCTCTCCGAGGCGGACATCTTCGTGACCACCACCGGGAACAAGGACATCATCATGGTGGACCACATGAGGAAGATGAAGAACAACGCCATCGTCTGCAACATCGGCCACTTCGACAACGAGATCGACATGCTCGGGCTGGAGACCTTCCCCGGGGTCAAGCGCATCACCATCAAGCCCCAGACCGATCGCTGGGTCTTCCCCGACACCAAGACCGGCATCATTATCCTCGCCGAGGGCCGCCTCATGAACCTCGGCTGCGCCACCGGCCACCCCAGCTTCGTCATGTCCTGCTCCTTCACCAACCAGGTCGGTCCTCCTTCAAAACCCTTCCCCTCCTTCCTCCTCCCTCCTTCCTCCTCCTCCCGTTGACCTCCTCCACTCCTCTCCGGCACAGGTGATCGCCCAGCTAGAGCTGTGGAATGAGAGGAGCACCGGCAAGTACGAGAAGAAGGTGTACGTCCTTCCCAAGCACCTGGACGAGAAGGTGGCGGCGCTGCACCTGGACAAGCTGGGGGCGAAGCTGACCAAGCTGTCCCCCTCGCAGGCGGAGTACATCAGCGTGCCCGTCGAAGGCCCCTACAAGCCCGCCCACTACAGGTACTGATCGTCGCCGGAGGAAGAAGCCGACGGGCGAGCCGAGAAGAAGGCAACTGCTACCCTTTTCCTTCCTTTTCCGTGTCCTTGATTTTTGCTTTGCCTTCTCTCTCTACCCTATCAGTTAAGTTTTAAGCAGTCGTAGTGGTTCCCCGGGCGTCGCAGTGGGCTAGAGAGAGAGAGAGAGAGAGAGAGAGAGAGAGAGAGAGAGAGCTCTGTTGGTCGGAGCAGGGCCAATAACTTGTGCGAGATGATCTGAGAGAGCAGCCTCTTCCATTTGTCGCCGGAGAGTATGGTTTGTACGGTCGTGCACTTCAGCTTGCCCCCGTCAAAATGCATTCATATTAATGGAAGAATCCCCCGGAAGAGGTTCTCCACTGGCCTCGGGCAGATCCCCTCCCTCTCTCTCTTTGCTCCCCTATTCTTCATGTCTTCTAAACCTTAGAGAGAGAGAGAGAGAGAAGTTCCGCTATATCGCAGCTTCGTATGATTCTCGAGACACGAATCGAACGGCCGGCCGAGCCGGATCATGCTATCATGATCAATTTCACGGAGACCTAATTATTTTCGTGCCTCTCAGGGGAAAATAAAATAAAATAAACCAAGAGTTATTAAATCTGCATTCCCAACTTACCTAATTATTATTATTATCTCTCTTTCTTTCGGTCGAGAAAAATAAATAAATGTGCATTCCTAAATGACCTAATTATGATTATCTTTCTTTTTTCTTTCGGTCGAGAAAAAAGGGAAAAATTAATTGTGCACTCCCACTTGACCTAATTATTATTATTATCTTTCTTTCTTTCTTTTGGTCGAAAAAAAATAAAAAAATTGAATGTGCATTCCCACTTGATCTAATTAGTAATATATTTATTTATTTCTTTCGGTCAAGAAAAAGAGGAGAAAAAAATTAAATGTGCATTCCCAACTGACCTAATTATGATTACATATCTTTCTTTTTCGGCTTGGGAAAAAAGAGGAAAAATAAATAAATATGCATTCCCGCTTGATCTAATTATCATTATCTCTCTCTCTCTCTCTTTCGGTTGGGGAAAAAAAGGAGGAAAACAGCTAAATGTGCATTCCACTTGACCTAATTATCATTATCTTTCTTTCCTTAGGTTGAGAAAAAGAGGAGAAAAAAATTAAATGTTCATTCCTAGTTGACCTGATTATTATTATCTTCCTTTCTTTCTTTCGGTCGAGAAAAAAGGAGGGAAAAAAATAAATGCGCATTCCCCACTTGACCTAATTATTATTATCTTCTTTCTTTCGGCCGAGAAAAAAGAGGGAAGAGAATTAAAGGTGCATTCCCACTTGACCTAATTAGAATTATCTTTCTTTCTTTCGGTCGAGAAAAAGAGGCAAAAAAAGAAAGAAAAGAAAAGGTGCATTCCCAACCGACCCAGAGAGAGCAACAGGGGGATCGATTAACAACTAACTAAACAAGAAGCCTCCCCGGAAATGCAGTCGCTTTTTTTTTCTTTACTTTCTATCTAACTTGGGATGAACCGATCCGAAAATCTCGTCATGTAAACACATCACGGCACCTATGATTTCATATTTTCTCGAATCACCGGTTAACTATGCGATGTTGTCGTGCCTTGAACGTGCTTCCACTTACCATATTGGGGGTGGGGGGTATCCTGATTATTAGAAAGAAAGAGGGAGGGAGGGGGTTGAAGCTCACAACTCTTCCATGGGAAGACTCGCGGCGCGGGGCTGAAGAGTTTGTGAAGTAGAACCGTCAAACCAGGAGCAATGAGAAGAGAAGCTACTTTGGATAGCGAAGTAAGTTGCTCGACTTCTAGACTTGGACCCTGTAAACTGCAAGAAGCGTGCCGAGTCTTAGGATCTAGCCGCTTGGTTGACTTTCCAGACTCTGCGGAGAGTTTGAAGAATGTCGAGTTCCTACTTAGGGGAATGCCATTTGTGGCTGGCTGAATAGGAAGACAGAGGCAGGAGAGAGAAGCCCCTTGGCTGCCAGTTCCTCTAGAGCGAGAGAGAGAGAGAGAGAGAGAGAGAGACGGAGAGTTGTGAGAGAGAGTGAATGAGAGAGACAGAGGGAGGGAGAGAGAGGGAGACGGAGAGTGTCTGAGAGAGTGAACGAGAGAGAGAGAGAGAGAGGAAGACGGAGAGAGAGTGGGTGAGAGAGTCAGTGTGTGTGTGCATGAGAGAGAGCATAGGTGGAATGGAATGAGTGCGATACTGAAGACTTTTGCGTAGAATGGGTACATCGGTCTTTTCGGTATAGGATTAACAGTTGACCCGGCTCAAGCGAGGTCAACTCTGGCATCCCCCATAGAAAGTGACTCAAGGACTAAATACTGCGCATCGGTGAAGTTCCCGGAGATCTGGGAGCCTCCCTAGTAAATAAATCAATCAATAAAGTACAAAAAAGAAAGAAAAAAAAAAGGAGCTGCTTGCAGTAACGAATTCACAGGAATCTGTGAGGAGCCGAAGCCAGTCAACCCTAAAAAAATGGCAACAACTCGGGGCATGGATCTGATCATTAATTATATGCACTTGCAGAAGCTCCCCACATTTTTTCTCTCTAGATTATTATCTCTTCTTACCATTCAAGGAAAGAATAAGCCCCAGAGAGAGAGGCCACTCCCAGATGTTGGGAATGAGCGCATCACTGTGACGAAGACAGCACAATTATTCATCAGACCAGCAATTTACAGCATGCATAGAACTAGAAGAAGGATGGGGACGGCGATCCAAGAATATACGGTTAGTTCATGGAGACTTACGGATCAGCTCCTGGAGCCAGGGAGGAAAATTGGGCCGGCTCGGCCACCAGAAGCAGCTCAGAGAGAGAGCTGATCGATGTCTTTTCTGCTCCTCCAAATCTTGTCGCCATCACGGTCCTCTTCTTGCTGCTGTTCAGCGGGAGAGGTGGCCCTCAAGGCAGAGTTTGCCTCCTCGGTGTCTGAGGAGCCCGGTCTTTCAGTCAGAAACTGTTCCCAGAACTTGTCGTTGGGTTTTCCGGGGGCGGCAGCAGCAGCAGCTGAGGACGATTGGTTGGCGGAAGGATTAACATCGCCAACGGCTGAGGCACTGTGGATCTTCGCAGTGGCCGCTCTGTCAAGCTCGTCAGCCACGGAGGTATTGCCCATTTCCTGGGTTCTGGAGCTTGGGATCCTACCAGAGCTGAGAGAGTCGCCCAGTTGCAGAGGAGAAGAGGCGAGGGTGAGGTTCAGATGACAGGAAATATGCCTGTTCCCTTCGTCTGCATCCCCTGCTTGCCATGGCAGTGAGACAATCTTGGTCCTTGGGCAACTGGAGGTGGTGGAATCTGAGAGCTCCATCGTCTCCGGCAGAATTGAGAGGCACTCTGGCTTGGAGTGGCCTCCACCCCCTATCAGCCTCCTCGGAGGGCTGAACCCGTCCTCATCAGAGCTCTGGGTTCTGGGTGAGAGCACATTACTGTCGGAGATCGCAGAGGACAGGCCCAGCTTCAGCTTGCTGGAGAAGTCCTGCTGGAACAAGCGGCAGGCATCTGGCTTCAAGATGGTGGTGGTGGTCGTGGTGCTGCTGCCAGGGACCTGTTGCTGCCCACCTTCAACGTCACCCGGGAGCCTCCTCTTCTTGTGGGCCTCGGATAAGTCAACCGGCACAGCCCCTGCCATTTGGACAAGGTGATCCACGAAAACAGGATTCTGAACTGCTCTAGAGACGAAGGAGAGCATCTTCCGCTGCCGCTGCTCCATGTCCTGCAGTCGCCGATCCAGATCATTGAGCTGGAACTTGGTCCCGGACTGCTGATCCTTGAACCGGGACAGTTTCGCCTCGAGTTCAGCCTTCTCCCTGGTCAACCGATCGATCTCCTCCTCCATGGAGGCCCTCTCGGCGTCTCCGCCCCCAGGCGGGTGGCTGTGGCTGTAGACGGGTTTCCTGCGGTGGATGTTCTTCAGGAGATGTTTCTTGCCCTGCACGAAATCCTCGTTCGCGAATTCCCATCTCTCCGGATCGATCTTCCTGAATCCCTGCTCAAACCATTAGAAAACCCTCAGAGATCGTCCTCCCCGCATCAGATCGACTCCTAGGAGAAAGAAATCTCCAGAAGATTGAAAATCTCTCTTCACGCCAGCAATTAACACGAGGAGAAAAAAGGAAAAAAAAAAGTTGAGCCCCCTCCCAGCGCGGAAACCACGATCGATTCTGAATAAGAAACCGGGAACGCGAGCAGCAATGCGATCTGCGGGGGGAGCGTACGTAGGTGTTGAGCTGGCGTATGAAGCTGGAGAAGTTATTGTGCTTGAAGAAGGTGGGGAGCAGGATGCTGGCGAATTGGGGGGGATTCCAGACGATGAAGCTCTTCTTCCCGTCGCTCCACGACACGATCTCGTCGGTGGAGGGGTCCTCCACCATATCGTACGTCTTCAGCAGGAACGGCGCCGGCCCCCCTCCTCCACCCCCGCCGTCCAACGCCATCTTCCCCTACCCTCTCTCTCTCTCCCTCCGGCAACTGCCGCCGCTGCCAAACGCCGCCGGAGAAGGAACGGAGCTCCGCTGCCGGAATTGCACAGCCTCCCGCCGGCCGTCGCCGATCGATCTTTCTCCTCCTCAGATCTTTCCCTCCGAGTCGTCGACGGTGGAAGGTGGGGCGATCGGCAGCTGGGAGACGACGACTCCATCTCCCTGTATTTGTTTATTATTCTCAGCCCTACGCCAAGGAGATCTTCGACAGATTTTTATTTAAAAAATGACTACATTCAACGAAATTTTATTGGCGTTTTATTTGTGAATCCTATAAATGTTCGCGCATGACAAAAAAAGCTCGATTCTTATCTTTTTTCGAAACCCACCCCCCTGGTTAGTAAAAAGATCCAACGGTCAGGATTATCCGAATCTAGTGATGACACAGACTAATGGGCCAAAGCATAAGGCGAGTTCGAGATGGGACGAAGGGCCATTAGTGGGCCTAATATGTATGAACATCGATCGGCCCACAGCACATGAACACAGCACCCGTACGAAGAGGGGTTCACAGAGACGACGACGTACGCTCAGCCCTTGGGCGGCGCCGATCGTCCGCTTCCTGGGTGAGGAGAGAGGCGAGAGGAGCAAAACTCCGCCGTCTGGTTCGTCCGTCAGAAGCCGGTGCGATGCTCTTTCTCGTTCTAGAGGAAGACAGAGGCCAGAGTGATCGCCAGAGTGATGGAGAAGACCAGGGCCTGTAAACCCAGCAGAGTTTTAGAGAGAGAGAGAGAGAGAGAGAGAGAGAGAGAGAGAGAGAGAGAGAGAGAGAGAATCTGACCGCAATTGCAGAGGCAGCAAGACCACTTCTTTCTCTGGGGTCTCTCCGGTAGTAATTGGAGAAGTAAAGGATGGTCGCGTAGTACCACATCAAAGGGATGGCGAATCCCAGCAGGAAACTGTGCGGATACAGAACCCATTAATACGATTACGAAATTTTTTGAGAGAGAGAGTATAGAGAGAGAGGGCTTAGAAGCTTACGAGAACCATCCAATGCCGCAGCCAAAGCACGGGAGCGGCTTGTCGAACATGGCAAGGCGCAGGTCTTCCTCATCTTTTAAGGGGACGTATTTTCCCCCGGATTTCTCGTCGACTTCGTGAACTCCGTTTACTGAAAAAAGACCGCGTCAAGAGCTCGACCATAAACACGCACAAACTTGGTACAAACCAAAATCAAACACTATTACTAATCTCCTCTTGAAGGTCACACGCATCGCAGAGCATAGTGGGGAAGTGGAGAGAGAGAGAGAGAGAGAGAGAACCTCGGGCCATTGAGCAATATGACGTTTGAATCTCCCACGTCCGTCAACGCTCCCTTACTCTGCATAGTTCGAAGAAGAAATGACAACTTCAGTCAACGATGATCAAGGGATGCTAATTAATTGAAGAAAACATCCAAATTCAACAGTTGTTCTCAGACAATGCTCGCAACAGCAAGAAAGGGTTTTCTTAGTCAACAAGGCAAGTCAGAGGTTCCGTGCAAGAGGAGACTTCCTCACGGAGGACTATGGGTGGTCACTGATTTCTCGGTATCCTTCAGATCGGAGTCAACTCGATCCTCCAGCCCATTCAACTCGTCTGGTTCCATTCAGATCGAAAAAAAGTGAGGACAAGCAGGAAGAACGCATCAAACTCCAGGCTTCTAGGCTCACAAACCCCATTTAAATAATCTTCCAATATGGAAATGAAAAGGGCAGATTTAGAAAACGCAGATTTTTTAGAATTACTCCGCATTATTTCGATGGAAGCCGTGGAACTATAAACAGTTAAGAAATGACTTATCGCTGATTCCAAGCAAAGATACAGGGATTCATAAAAATAAATAAATAAATAAATCAAATAAAATAAAAACGAATTGCACGGCACACAGTATGATCAACGTGAGTGAGTGAGTGAGAGAGAGAGAGAGAGAGGTCCTAAAGATGCAGTCATTGACTTATGATTAGTCCATTAGATTAATTTTACGGTCGGATGTTAGTCAAACTCTGAGCAACACACGCTGGGAATAAATTGCTTATAATCCCAAAAGAAAGAAGATGGAATTTTTTTTGAGACTTAGAGCTGCAGGTAGAGAGAAACCCAATGTGTTGACCGGATTAGAACTCAATATAATGCAAGGAGTGATCAGACGATTAGACTTTTGGTGTCGCTAAGATGAACCAAGAGTCGCATGTATGGAGCACCAGGATCGAAGGAAGCTGTGTTCCAACCAGTGGAGGGGGCGGATGCATGATTCCACAGCTATTTATGAACAAAATCTAGTGGACTGACCGCAGAGATGGCTGCTAGGGAGAAACCCTAAGAGTGAAGATCCGATCGGAAGAGGAATAGTTCGAGCAAAACGCAGGTTCGTTCCACGTTTTCCGCAGAAAAAAATATGCATAAACCTGCTAATTGGCACTAATTGGATCATAAAAAATAAAGATAAAAATACAAATCAAGCAAATACCGAGGGATTAGCCAGAGAGGAACAGCTATTCACTCTGCCTGGATCAGGACGGGGCGGCGACCGCCGGAAATTGCGAGAGCTGGCGATGGCGAGAGCTGGCGTCCGGGCCCTCGATTCTGTCGACGAGAACCCCCAAAGAGCTCGATAAAGACAGACCAACAAGAGTAATTTTCTAAGATCGAGTCGAAACGGATAGAGAGCGGAGGCCGAAACGGAGTCAAAAACCTAATGCTCCGTATAATGCACATTCGTGGGAAGAAGCGGCGGAAATCCAAGGAGAAGATACCTGCGAGACACCGACGGAGGCAGGGGAGGCGAAGCTGTTGCCGCGATGCACCTCCCCGATCGACCGACTTTAGGGCTCGCCGTGTTTCACCATGGGGAAGAAGAGATGTAGAGCAAGAGAGAGAGAGAGAGAGAGAGAAGGGGGGGCGTTCACAGGCGAGAAGCGTCTTGTTAGGCTTGTCCACTTCAGGCCAGTTCAGTTTTTTTCTATTCGGGGAATCAGGCGATGGAGCTATCCAAGGCGACAGGAAGGGAGAGGTGAGCCGCGGAGTCACCGGACGGGCGGTGTCTGTATCCGGCACCGCCGTCTCCCACCTGCGGGCCGTTTGTTTTCCCTAGCGAAAAACCGCGGCCCCACCGAGGGTTGTTGGTCTGTCGGTCGGCCTCTCTCCTCCCTGTCATCGAACATATAGACTTCCCCTTCTTCATTTTTCTAATCTAATCAAATATAGTTAGATTTTCTTTTTGTCGCTCAATACAGAAGGCGGGCCCCTTTTATTAATTTTTATTCTGCTCAGAAGTAGAAACGATCGGTAACATGATGGTTAGATTTTTATTTTATATTATTTCTTATCCGTTAGGGGATCCCGGCGGAGGCTTGGAAGAAGCCGTCGATTGCCTTCAGCAGCCTTTCAGACGCCGCGTGGCCGGTGGCGAGTTGTCCACTGGAAGACAGCATCAGCCGGATAAGAAGGGTGCAGCAGGGCTTACCTGCTTCGCCGGCCCCGGCGACGAGCACGGGCTCCTCCGGTCGCCGCTCCATGCCGGAGCCTCCGTACATCTGATTCCTGCACGCCTGTAGAAATATTTCAAGAGAGAGAGAGAGAAATGGGGAGTGCTAAAGCTGTAAAAAAAAAAAGAAGAAACCTGAAAGACCTGCCGCAGACCGGCGGCCTGTTCCTCGTCGAGAAATCCTCCGGCGGCGAGCTCGCGGAAGAGCTCCACCATCTCCGCCGTCACGTTGCTGGGTGAGAGGCTTCTGATTATGCCGGAGACGCAGGGAGGGTTGAACAGGGACGCCATCCACTCGGGGGCTCGATCTGATAATCCAAGGAGGGCATTGGCAATATGAGCCGCTGACTTGTGCTGAGCTTTGAAGGATCGGGATGCTAGGCCGGGGGCGACCAAGAGCAAGGCCAACTCGTCCATGATCAGCCTGCACCACTTAAAGTCTTGCGCCGGGTTCTTTTTCTTCTCCCATTGCAAGATGATGGAGGAGCAGAGCCCGCAGTTCATGGCCACCGTGGGGTCCGCGTAGAAGACCAGGCCCTCGGTGACGGCCGCCATGGATCTGAGGTGCTCGCTGGAGAAGAGGCTTTGGGGAGTGATCCTGGTGAGAAGCTCCAAGAGGCACTGGGAGGCGACCAGCTTGATCAGGTAGGAACCGTAGTGCAGTAATCTGCAGAGATCGCCGCAGGAAATGTTGATCACATGTGGAGGACTCTGGGTTGACTCCCCGGGGGGGCCCTGGATGAAGTCTTGCCAGTTGACCGCCTCCCCCAGCTGAACTTGAAGGCTGAGGATGGAGTGTTAACCAGGTTTTTGCTGGTAGCCGATGACGTAAGGACGGAGTAGGATAGATAGATGCTTCACCTCTTCAAAGAGAAGAAATATAATAGGAGAACGAGCAGCAGGGATTCTCCGAAGCTTGTTTGCTCGTCGTGGTTGACTAAAGCTGGGCCCTTGGCGCAGGCGGCTTGGATCTTCTGGTCAACGGCCGAGATGAGTGCGGTGTTGAGCAGTATCGCCTTGGAGGCTTCTCCGAGGGCTTGGGCTTGGTTGGTGGAGTGACGCAGCACCAGGCACAGGATGCCGATTATCAAGTGGGCCTCTGGGCTGCATGCGTCGTCATCTAGCAGAGGGTTGACCACAGTTTCGAGAAGCTAGAAATCAACGAGATGATGACGGCGAAATTAACTTGGTTGGTGGAAACCTCTGAAAGTCAAATGGATTCAAGGAGGGGGGGTTACCTTACCTTCACGGTGATTGGAAGCCAGGCTCCGTCCTCGGAGAGCACTTCTGGGTGAGCTGAACTCAGAACGTTGAAGACCAAGAGCGAGGTGGTGGTAAATACTTCAGAAAAGGGAGAGTGAGAATAATACAGAGTACGAAACGCATTGCTGATGTTGTTCAAGCAGAATTGATTGGACGCCTCGGGAAAAATGTTCAAGATCGATAGCATGGAGTTCATCACGAGGTTGAGATCATCTTCTTGGCATTCTCCTTCCAGTTGTTGAAGTAAAAGCACCAGGATCGATGCTAGATAGCTGTCTTCTGAGATGCTCAAATCTGAGAGCATCTGGATGTCCACCACCCAGATGATTTTCCCATGCTTATTTAGTTGGCTCTCGTTCGTGTTGTATGATCTGCAGAAGTTGAGGATCTGGCCAGACAGCGGTACTCCGATGCTATCCTGCTGAAAAAGCCACTTCAAGGCCGTTGGATGGATGCCCATGGAGAGCAAATCCCAGTCATGCTCAGAAATCATACAGAAAAGAGTTTTCTCCGCTTCACGACTGTAGGGGGCTCCGTTGGCTGATAGAACTCCTCGAGTGAAGCTGTAGAGATGGATCAACTGAGCCAGCATTGTAGACCCAGCGATACCCACCGAGAAGTTACTACCATTCACCAGAATGTACTGTTCGAGAGAGGCCAAAACCTGGTCCTCATCAGCAATTCTGGAAAAAAAATGAGTAGTCAGAACATTATTCGAATCCGTATCCTGCTTATTATTGATGGATAAATGGTTAAGTACAACTGTTTCTGTATTTATTCATACCTTTCTTCGAAAAGAGTGCTGATATATAGTAGTGAAATGACTGCAGATTGACAAGATAGCAAGTTATAGTCGCAGTTGCTCCTTTGCCCGAGAAGAAACATCAACTCCATAGGATCGGATGGGAGACACATGTAGGCGTTTCTGATTGGATCTCCAAACTCCTGGCCGAAAATGCAGTCCACGACTGAACTGAGCAGCAAATATAACCTACATTTCATTTTATTTGATGGAAGCAAGCCCAAGTACCCGAAAGACCAACTTATCCAACTTGAAGAGGCCAGAGACTCGGCAAAGTTCGTTTTTTTAACATCAGATTCCTGAAGCAGGATCAGGTGGAAGATTTCCAGAATTTCCATCACCGTATCCTCATCTTCCCCTTCGTCAAGGATCGTTCCTAGCCAAGGCAGAAGACGCACTTCACATATTTCTACTATGCAGTTCATAATTTCTTTGGTGCCAGAGCATGTAAGGAACCTTTCCTCTTGAGAATACAGGATTGCTTCTTTCATAAGGTATAGAGAATATAAAAGAAGTTGATTGGTTGTTTTGTGAGCCGACAGAGATGATAATAATGCATTATTCAACGATTCTTTCACTAATGTCTCTAGTCCCCTGATCTGATGCGAAGAAGGCGACTTCAATATTTCCGCAAATGTTAGACAGCCTAAAACAAAAGTCTCAGAGAGCATACCGAGTTCCCCACTTTTGTATCGACCAAACATTCCTGTTAGTATAATAGCTAGCTCTTCAACCTGGGATGTTGAAATGACTCCAGGACAGTTTGACATACAGTTCCAGACTAGTTTCATTGCTTGACATTGGACTGGATGAAGAGGTATGTCAGCCACATAATGCAACACAGAAAGTAGGGTAGGAAAACCTACTGCCAGCCTTTGCCTGAGGATATCCTCAGCTGCTGTTAGCAGATCCAACACCCGAAGGCAAGGTATGATCAACGGATCCTTATTTCCTGCATTTTTTTATAATTAGAACTCGATGAGATCCCACTATTTTTCTAGTGAAATGACTAAATGGATTTTCAGGTCACTAAGAAATAGCCCCCTTTTACCTGACAGTCTGAGTATTTCAAAAACATAGTCTGCAATATTTTCCTCAATGAGGATTCCAATCTCTGCAGGCCCATACAATTCCATTGATACGGAATGAAAGACCAAGTCCAGGGTCCCAATCTGGACTCTGGTATCAGAGGAAAGCAGCGGAGCTTTGATGGCATCCGCAAACAAATTTACCAGAGCTGTATCTGAAACCAGTTCGGACTGCTCAAGTTTATCTCTTCTTCCAAAAGTAATTCCTCCTGAACCGTCTTTGAAGTAACCCCTTCGAATCAATACTGTTAGCAATGCTGAAGCAAACATTGATAAAAAGTGTTAGGAATATATCTTATGTCTACCAACTATGTAACAGGTATCTCAAATTTAGAACCAAGAGAGCCAATTCTACGGGTCCAGTAATAATCACTTTTGGGATCTCAATTTAAGGGAGGTGGTCATGGTTCTGCACATGACACAGAAAAAGAATTTTCTTAATAGCTCGACATCCAATTCATTCGTTGGAGGTCAAAGATAGAGAAGAAGGATTGTACCTAGAGCTAAACAATTCATTTCTTGTATTAGAGCTGCACTGTTATCGTCAATAAGAGAATAGGAAGACGATTACACCGAACAGACCTATGCAATTTGTGCGAACATCATCACTCTGGGTCTTCAGCAGGACTTCTAATGATAACCTTAGCAATCTGAACCCCATAAGGGAGTCTTCGTCTTCGTCATCAATATTATCACACTGAGGATCACGCAGTGCAAACAGTTTATAAAGGACAAATAGGATCTCCCCACGAATCTCTTCACTGCAACAAAAAGATACAAAAGCAGGAAGAACCTAAAAGTATTATGAGATCGCCAGTAGCTTTTGCTCTTGTAGATAAGTAGACTGCTCTGTAACGTCACAATGGGAAAGAGCATACTCCACACGAAGTCTACAGTCACCTCGGCAGCTGAAGACCATTAGCAAGGTTCAACACAAGATCAGCTTTATTTCTGATATAAGCGGAGGGATTCCAAGCTTGTTCGGAGTCGAGTAGAACACCTAAGCAATGTAACTGAAACAAAAGAGTTTTGATGGCAAACATCATCAATTTCGAGTCGACAGAGCACACATATCACGATCTATGAGACCAGTGCAAAAACCTAGTCTATTTGCAACAATGCTGGACCGGCTGGGAGTCTCTAGTATGGTGGTGCTGTGCGCCTCGTTTTCTACGGATAAAGAGTCAAATTATTCTCAAGGTAGAAGGTCGAACCCTGTCGTTGATTTACGAAGACAGCTGAATACAGGCCATGAATGAGCACCAGCAGAGAGTTTCGCTTATTTACTTGTACCAGTGAAACTCGGGAGGTGATTCATTCTGCATTCTCGAGTTTAGATGATTGTTGTAGTTTTCGAACTTTTAGGCGCGAGCAGGGTGATCCAACCAAACAGCAGAAGTTATCCTCTGAGAGAAGTGGTTAGAATGGAGAGCAGATGCCAGCGCTGGAAGGGGAGAGAGAGAGAGAGAGAGAGAGAGAGAGAGAGAGAGAGAGAGATCCAAGATTAGAAAGGAGTGTCGTACCGTGTAGACCTGACGACGGCTCCATGCCAGGGTCCCGGACGAGAGCCGATCCGCGATCCGAGCAATGAAGTCCCGAGCCAGGGATTCGCAGGGGTTGACGGAGGAGTCAGCGCATTCAGATCCCCCCGAGCACAGGTCGGACACGAGATCGATGGCCTGGCAGGCAAGAGGTTCGTCGTCGAAGGAGGAGAGCACCTGCACGAGCGGCAGCACGAGGAGGTGGCCGTGGAAGGCGCGAAGCTCCCGGAGAAACGAGCCTCCTCCGCCACAGATGGCGCGGGAGAGCTGCGAGAGCGCGTAGGACACGTGGTGGGACGGGGCACCAGGATCGGCGACGAGGTTGGAGAAACAGACGAGGCAGATGCTCCCGCCCTCCGCCGTCTCCATCACAACCGCCGCCCGGTGGCCCTTCCCGCACCGCCGTGGCTCCCCATCCCACTCCCCATCTCCTCCACACTCCACAACGCTCGCTGCAGCCTCCCTCCTCCCCGCCATTATCCCCTTCCCTCTTTCGGTGCGTCCCCATCATCTTCCCGCCCTCGACCCCTATTTAAATCTCCCGTGCATAACTGAATCGGTTAAATGTTTCCTTTCCTCCTAAGTTGTCAGAATTATTCGTAATAAAACTTGCTACAAATTAAAAAGGCCTTATTAATAAATTTACATAGCTAGGCATATCTAGCAACATCCGTTTCTAAAATTCTCCGGCACGAAATACCATAAAAAGAGAATAAACCTTTCGCAGGGAGAGAAGAAATAGTGTGAAAGGATTGGACTTTACCCAAATTTTGTAGCATCTCCGTGAAAAAAGCCATACAGAAAGGATGGGTAAAAGCTGAATTATGGACTCCACGATACCTTTTTTGTCATTATTATGGCCTTCCCCCTTCCTGGAGGTGGGGACGATTACGACGAGAGATGACGTGGCGTGTCGACCTATGAATGTAGATGGGAAGAAATCGGACAGCTAGTTCGGATTTCGTCGGATTCGGGCGGTAGGTGAAAACAGATATCCGATACAGCAGACTCTTCTGAAGCACAGACTCCGAGGGGGGGAGGGGAGGAGATGTCATTTTTTTTCTACATAATCAGGTACTAACTAAGAGACGAAATCATCATCCTCCACGTCGGACAGACAAATAGGACGACGCCAGATCATTATGCCGCGCTGTCGACGCTCATGGCTTCCGAAGATTTCTGGAAATCCACATCACAAGATAAACATATATTAATAATAAGATCTCGCACCGCAGATAAAATTCGCGACTATTTCTTTTTGGGGGGTGCGGGAAAACTTACGCTGGCTTCGAGGCGCTCCAACTTGCTCATCTTGGCGAACATGTTGCCGTAGAACTTGGCCTGTTTCTTGTTGTATTCCTTCATCTTCTCCTTGAGCGTCTTGTACTCCAGTTTGACGTCCCTGAGAGGATCAGCCAAGATCAACTTAGTCGACAGTAGAGAGAGAGAGAGAGAGAGAGAGAGAGAGGAACCTATTGTCAGGGTCGATCTCGAGGGCCTTCTTGATGTCGATCTCAGCCAGATCGAGATCGGCGAGATGGATGTACGCCTGGGCCCGCCGGTAAAGGGCTTTGACGTTCTGGCTCTCAATCTCCAGAACCTGAGAGATTTTAAGCAAGTCAAAACGCCCCTGCCGTTGACGAGAGGAGGAAATGTGGTAGCATCGTATCGTTACCTTGGTGCAGAGCTTCTCCGCCTGCTTGTAGTCTCTCAGCTTGAGCTTGCAAGCAGCGTTGTTCAGGTTGCAGGAGACCTTCAGCACCTTGGACTGCTTCTTCTCCTCCTCGCTGAACGAGGTGTCGTACTCGATGAACTTGGCCGCCTGGAAGAGACGTGGATCCGGTTAAGAGGGGAAGGGAAGAGCCTCGGTTTCCACCTTCTCGTATCAGACAAGGCCCTCCTCTCTTACCTTCTCGTATCTCTTGGAAGCCTTGGCGTACTTCCCCTGTTTGAACAGCACATTTCCTTCTTCCTTCTTCTTACCGGCCGCCTCTATCTTCTCGGGGGTGTTCAAGTCCCACGACTCTTTCTCCTGGAGGACCCAAGCGGAGAGAGAATCAGATATATACGAAAACAAACATCTCGATCAGGTGGTGTTCTCACTGCCGACTAAGCTGACCTTCACGAAGGAAACCATCTCGACTTCATAATACACAGTCGAGTTGGGTGGGACGACGGCTAGGTCCTGCGTTGACTCGGCGGAGGAGAAGGCGTACTCGGGTGAAATTGTCACCTGGGCTATCTCTCCCTTCTTCATAGTCAGCACGGCCTTGTCTAATCCCTCTATCACTTGCTCTGCATGGCAGATTCCAAAAGGGTATTTTAGCAAGCTAATCCTGACTTTTAAAAGAAAGGAATTTTATCCTGCTTTATGAGATCGACGCTACCTTCGTCGGTCTTGAATTCGAAGGGTTCCTCGTCACCGGAACCCTTCCTGGTGAAGACTGTCCCATCTTGCAGCTTCCCCGTCAATTTAACTGAGAATGAGCCAGTTTAACGATTAGAACTAAAAGGAAAAAGAGAGAGAGAGAGAGAGAGAGAGAGAGAGAGAGAGACAAACAGACAGACAGAAGAAAGCCCTCCTTACCCTTGACCACTGCGCCGTCATTGGGCTTCTCGTAGCCCTCGCCTTCCTTGAGGATTTTCTTGAGGACCTTCTGGTCGTCGGTGATCTCAGTCACGGTCTTCCACGAGATCAGCTGGAGCTCCACAGAGAGGATGGCGTTGGGGGGAACTGCACCCTCGTCCCCAGAGGCTGGTCTGCCTTTCTCCCCAAATCCATCTGTCAACAGAAGCAAAGTCTCAATACAATGCGAAGGGATGAATGAAGAAGATTAAGATTACTAAGAATGGAAGTGTGAGCATACATTGCGGCTTCACGGTGAGGAGCACCTTCTCCCCCTTCTTCATTGTTTTCACTGCCTTGGAGAGGGCGGGGCAGAAGAGTCCTGGAGGAAACGAGGCTTTTTTAGTACTGGCGACGAGTCAATGTAGAACCGTTTGAGTAAAAAATCACCAAATAACGACCATCTCTGACGGTGAACTCCACTCCGTCCTCAGACTTGGAAATAATCGTTCCATCTTCAAGCCGGGCCTCATATTTCACTGTGAAAGGATGAAAGAGGTTAAGATAACCAGATAATATCGACACCGATGATAGAAAGTGAAAGTTAAATACGTACCAAGGACTTCGTCCGGGTCCTTTGGATTCTCCCACTTCTCTCCCTCGGACAAGATTTTCTTGAAAATGCCTCCATCTTTGCATATATCTTTCACGCTCGCCCAGGAAAGCAGCTCAACGTCGAATTGCAGGGTTGCATTGGGAGGGATCGTAGGAGGGGAGCCCGACGCCCCGTACGCGAGATCTGGAGGAATGGTAAAGACAGCATTCTCTCCTTTCTTCATGGTCTTTATACCTTCGTCCCATCCCTTGATCACTTGACCTGCCACAAGTAACCAGTTACGTCACCACGATTATCCACAAGGGTGCCCCGCACGACAGAAAATAATTTGTTCGTGGCAAAAAAATTACTTCGATTAGAAAAAGAGTAATCATCCAAGGTGACAGATGCATCACACGAATAAGAATTCCAGTCGTCAAGCATCAAAATATTCACTCAATTCGGTCTGATCAGCGAGCACAGGGTGAGTTCCAAGCTGCATCAAAATTCGATCACATCACAGGGGTATCCATATAGATCAGCAAACTCTCAGTTGAATCACTGTACCATTAGTTAAGAATGACTACCGAAGTGAACGCAAAAGAGGAAGAAAACTTAGATATCAATAGCAGTATTAACCTCCTTAACAAATACGGAATTAATTGAAAGCATTATGTATATGCATCTCCCCGATATGTACACCCTTGCTGTAGGAACTCCAACGTCCGTTGCTAATCATCATAACTTATTCATTAGACAACACTGCCCAGACTGAGTTACTGGCGGCAGAAAGGCTACGATCCTATTTACCAAATGTGAGTATAGCAACGAAAAACCATGGCATAACAAACTCTGCACTCCTCACGTATCAACGATGTGTGAAAAGTGTAGGTAAAGCTATCCAATATGACAACAAAATCACTCAGCAGATGAGTACTTAAAGAGAGCCCAAAGAGTATCAAATGAGAACTAATCGTTCCGCAGTGACGGCAAGGTTCATCATGATCTTAGACGGTCTCAACTAATGACTTACGTCATACAGCGCGAACTCTAAATAGGAAGACTCAAAGAGTCCGATTTTTTTCTCGCTAAGAAAACTAATTTCGAAGATCTAGCGAGACTCGATGCATTTCTGCCTAGGCAAAAGAAGAGAAAACCTCGATTGCGATTCGCCATAATATCGCATGTAGCCAATTTACTAAAACCAACTTATTCAAAAGAAGCGTTCTTCAATGTATTTCATTTTCATTGCGACAGGAGAAGAGAACGTACAAAACAGCATGAGAAAACATATAACTAAATAAGACAACTGACAACAACATTCATACGCAAAACTAGCATACTATTTGTGTCCGACGCATTGGTACAAATGTTGTCCCTAGGACGTTTGCCGTATAATCGATCAGTTTTGACCTCGCTCAATCGACGTGACGAACCCATCATTCATCCCACATGCAGTATCTGCGACATGTATTGTGCACGAAGGTGGATACTCCAAGGAGAAGAACATGCATCATACAATAACACACAGGAGGCTAACGGATTCACTTCTCTCTCCCTGTCCTATGTGTAATACTATATTCATACGCAAATAACCCCGCGAAGCGTATGAAGCCCAGTCAACCACAGATCACCCATCACAGCCGGATCTAGAGTGTGGCCATAATCTCGACATTGCGTGATCACGATAATAAAAAATGGTAGCGGCGACTTAAATCAATGAGAACAGACTGACCGATGAAACACATTCAACAGCAAAACGGTGAGGACCTCAAGAGAGGACAAATGCACGGAAGGACAAGAATATACCTTGCCCCAGCTTAAACTTGAACGGAGCCTCACGGTCGCGGCTCGAATCGAACTTGGTTCCATCCAGCAGCGTCCCGGTATAATGCACTGCAGACACATTCGTGATCAGAATGAGCGGAATACTCGAGAGATCCGGCAAAATACCATCCAATATTCCAGACAAAAATGATCAAAGGAGGAATCGTGAGCGGCACCTTCAACCTCGTCGCCAACCTCAGGGGTATCCCAACCCTCGCCCTCCTTGACGAGTTTCTTCTTGAGACCCTGCTTGCCGATCTCCTTCTCCTCCCCCACCTTGATGACGGGGTCGTCATCGGGGAAATCCTCCATCATCTCCTCGTTCATCCCCCCCGCCGGCATGTCGATGTCGTCCTCCATAGCGAGCAGGCTAGTTAGAGAGAGAGAGAGAGAGAAAGGGCGGAGCTTTATCGATACCAATGCTTTGCAGAAGTGTCGACGAAGTGTAGCACAGAAGGGGTGAGGCGGGTATTTTATAGTGGGGGCGGCGGGTGAGGGTTCTAGAGACTTCCGGGAGAGCAGAACAAGAAAGGTCAGGATGCTTCCAGAGAGATGCTCCCTTCTCTCCCACAACCACGATGACCTAATTAATATTTTTCGTTTTTCATCAAACGGGTTTTCTTACCATGGAATACCCAATAAAGCTAGGTTATTGCGCCAGTATTATTCAGGTATTTTTCTAATAGAAACCTCAAAATCCCTCTACAACTGTCACTATGGTACGAGGATAAATATTATCTTATTGAGGGCTTTAAAAAATTGAACTAATATCAGCGGAAATCATTATTGAGTACCTAGGCACGAATATGGTCGATTTTTTCAATAAAACCTTAGTAAGAATATTTTTAGGAGAATAGTCCTTTATTGTGGCTCCATTGATCTTGACATATGATAATTATTCTCTTCAGAATATTTAATTTTCTTCCTTTGATAAAATGAAATCCTTATTATTCAGATGTATTTTTTTAAAGAAATTATAACTCCCAGTGGGACCCTGGCCCTTCAGGCCCCACCACCCCCCTCTCCAAAGCTGAACTATAAGGCCCTCAGAACGGGGAAAATAACATGTATACCCTTATCCAGTCTCTAACGGCTAGTTCTTTTTTGAAAGCTGCAGGCCTGTAGAAACAAATCTCTCTCTCTCTCTCTCTCTCTCTCTCTCTACCACCCTTCGGACACGAGACCTTCCATTAAAGGAAAGGAAATGGCCAAAGAGGCCACTCCTCACTGTACAAAAAAGGAAGAATCCTCCTTCGTGAAGGATTCATCCACACAGAATGAATTTAACAGCAACCCAGCAGCTGTTGTTCGAGGAACTCGTGTGAATAGAGACAAGAATGGGGGACGAGCAGCCCCTTCAGATGTTGCACTGGTCGTACCCGGAGAACCAGGAAGCTTCTTCAGCTCCCTTTGAGAACTCGCTGGGATCGTACAAGGGTTCAAACTCTTCCCTCCATTGCTGGCTAGAGACACTCCCACCACTACCACCACCGCCACCGCCACCGCCATGATCGCCGGCAGGTCTCAAAGCTTCTGCGGCCAACCGAGACTCGGCAAGAATTTGCTTCAGTGCGTCGATCTCCTTGTCATGTTCCTTCTTCAGATTGTCCATCTCTTGGCGAGCCCTCTCAGCCTCTTTCTCAGCTGTTACCGTCCGCCTCTGCAAGAATCAGAGCCAAAGGATCTGATTATAATGCCCCCAAAATGTTATGAATAGATTTCAAGATTTTTCATCGTTCATTTGGGTGACGTCAACAACTTCTTATGATCCCCATGACGACTTTTGATTGATCATCCAGAGATTTCGATGTCTTGTGGATGATAACTACTGATTATAACATCCAAACATGTCTGCATTGACGTCATTAGTGTCCCTTTTTTCCCATTTCCGTGATAATAATGAACTGGAGCAGTGAACTTAATCACCAATCGCAAATCGCTGGGAAATTATCACAATTTCTTTAGTTAGAAGAAATGAGTAGACTTTAATCTATTTCTGGCAATACGAATCTGTACTCAATCTGGATCATAAGAAGAAAATATTCTACCTGAACTCCAGAAAATCACCAAAAAAAAAAATTACAGGTGAAAGATTTTCAATGGAAGCATGTTTACTTTTTGGGTTTTAGGTCAATTAAAGTCACGACTCACAATTAAATCCTAAACGTCGTCGCAATGACAACCATGCTTACTATTGAAAGGAATGGAAAACGCATCCAGCTAACCTGAGCAATCGCTGAAGCTTCTTCTGCGTCCTTGAGCCGCACTAATAGCTCCCCTGCAGCCTGCACAGCCTCGGCCATATCCTTCAGTTGAGCTTGCAGTCCTTTATTTTCGTCTTTCCAATATCGTCTCTCTTTCTCTCTCTCTGCCCTCAGTGCAGATACTTGAGCGGCGAGGGAGTTGACGAACTTTGATTCTGCTCCCTTGACACCAGCTTTAGCTGCTGCTTGTTTAATATCCTCAATCCCTTCTCTGATCTGCTGGTGCCTGGCGAGTAAACCCATGTGCTTCTCCTGAAGATCTGCATACTGGTCAAGAATCCGAGTGTGACCCTGCATCGCTGCCTGTAGGGCCTCTTTCAGCTCCACTGAGCATTTCTTCTCAGAATCGAGCTCCATCTTCAAATTTTCGGCAAGTGAACGGCTTGCTTCCAACTCAAGTCGCAATTCTTCAGAAAGAGATACCCACTCGCTCTCTGTTTCAGTCCAGCGGCGCCTCTCTTCTTCAAATCTCTCAGCAACAGATTCTCTTTCTGGTCCTGTAGTTCTTACAACAGGAGCCTGAATGGGTTCAGAGAGACGGGCCAATCCGAGCAAAGTGGTCTTACGAGGTGGTATGGGAGAATTATCCACGTAATACTGCAAATGACTCTTTAAATCTTGTATCTCGTCCATCAGAACCTCCCTCTCACCCAAGTCAAAGAAGTTTCTGTACCTTTCCAACTCATCTTGAGCACTTACTAACTCCGTGTTTATCCTTAGAACTTCGGGGTGATTATCATATTTCTCTTTCAACAGCTGGGTGAAGAATATGTGGAGTGGAGCATCAATAATGCAATCCAAGAAAAATAACACAAAGTTGATGAACAGAATACGCTAAATAGCAAATGAGAAATGTCAAACCTTGTGTTCGTTCAAAAGGGAGGCAAATTCTTCTTCGATGAACTCTTCAGCGGGTAAAATACCATCCATAAGACTCTCAAGCCGACTGATTTTTTCTTCACGTAATTGATCAATTAATACATTGCACTCACGCTCTTGCTTGTATTGTTGAATCTGCAAGCACCAAAAAGTTGTGAGGAGATGTAGATGTACCACCAGTATCGGGTTTCCATTTTCAAGGAGAACGGACCAAACGTTTAAGCTGAATTATTTCAGAATTTTGTTTGACACAATGATCCTCCAGTGCCATTTCCCTCCTGATAGCCCCAGCCAGAACCTTCTCCACAGCCTAAACGAGAGGAAGATATGCATCTCAAGAGTCATCGTCAAATAGGAATTAAGATGCCAAAAATGAATCACATGGTACTGACGGTAAGGAACATACCTTTGGAAGTTGTTTCTTGCTTTTCTGCACAGACTGTAATCCATCTGAAGGAACTATGGGCAGTTCGTCACAGTCAGTTGGATGTCTATGTTCAAGTAAAGGTGCCTCATTCTGGCAATTGCTGCAAACGAACGCAGGTTCATTGTCTGCTACTTCCAATTCAGAGGATATTGTTTGTATGCCAACGTCGTTTGTGACAACCGTCGACAGTGGCTTAATATCCACTGGTCTGAATGAAAACCTGACTGAAGAACGTCCAACAGGTGATTTCTGCATGTGACTATCAAGAATTTGTAGGCCATGATGCAGACTAGCTGCCAAATGCTCTCTTGGCACCAGAGCTGTCAAACTTTTGCTGCATTTTAGCTGAGCAAAGGAGAGGTTTGTACCTTCAGGGCCAGGTTTTTGGCTCTCCAACAGACCATCGTGAGGTGTTGACAATAATGAGGATATCTTGAGACCTTCTTTTGTATTATTGTCAACTGCCTGCGAGATTCTCAAATTTGGAGAATGAAGATCTAGAGATGAGTCGTGTGCTACAACACTAAGATCACATGGAGCAGAATCAGGGGATGCAGATGTAGAATTATGATGAGAATCTAAACCCGAGACATTGATTTCTTTCTTATCAGCACTACTGTTGAAGCATGCAGATGTTTCTGCGCACGAACTCTTATTGTTCAGTGATGTGCAATCTTGTAAAGCTACTGCCGTTTCTGGAGTAGAATCTTCTCTAAAGCTACTACTAAATGGCACAGACATTTCCGGGTCACCAGATTCACAGCATTCCAAACCAGCAGCTTTCTTAGGGATCTGGCAACAGCGAGAAGATCTTACAGTTGTCGCTAGCTTCGGAATGGTCTCTTCATCGGTTGCCTTATCGCCGTCACTATCTGGTGAAGATTCCTCTGGATTCACCTTCTGTAGAGATCCTCTGCGCACATCCTTGTCATTTTCTTCTTTTGTTCTTGACTGTGGATATAAATGTGTACATGGCTTCTCCACATCTTCCTCATCAATTTCCATTTCTTCATCATTCTCATCATCAATTACGGGTAATTTTGTAGGACGACACAGACTCATCTTCAATAGATTGAGACTTCTCCTTGCATTCCATCCTGTTGAATAACTTCCATTACTTTCAGCAGAAACACCAGACCTCATCCTCAGAAGTTCTTCCTGTAGATGTACAAGTCAGGAAACAAGTCATTGAGACAGTTATCAGGATATTCAGCAGTTGATGTGGGAGTCCACTTTTAGAGAAAAATACCCTTCCATTAAAAAAGAGATAAAGCTAACATAGGGCAGTTATCTAATCGGCGAGAAAATGGAAGCAGAGAAAATTAAATAACTATTCACCTATAAAAATCACAAATCAGAATGTTACCTTCAGCTGACGTATCTGGTCTCGCAAGACATTGACATCGTCTTGTTTAATTTCGTTTACAACTGCCTTATTTTGTATGGCTTTGGCTCTCTGTGCAAATCTTAACGTACTAAATGTTTCACTCTTGCAGCTGCATCAATGAGTTCCACCATTTAAACAGGGATCTCTATGATAAAGAGAGAACTCAATATTTGTGGGGAAAATGTAGAGTCTAACTACCTCTGTGACGGTGAGATAGCACATATCATTGCTAGCTTTGCATTACCACCTAAAGATTCCTGCAGTAAAAATGTCAACTTCGAATCCCTGTATGGAATATGCCTCTGCTTTCCTGACTGAGAAACCTCTGCAAGGATATTGATCACGTTCCTGAAGTTTCAAAAACAACAAACCCAGAATCAGTGACAATACGAGATGCCAATGACATAGATAAAAGAGAGCATCACCTGTCCAATGACTGCTTATCATAAAAAATAGTGAAAAGCTACAACCAGAACTTTTCTTAACAAGTCGTGAAAGACGTACATTCTGTGTTCACTACATTAGTTAACATCAAACGGTGAAAACATCAACATGCAATGAACAAGAAAATGAAAGTATCTGTTTGGGAATATATATATATATATATATATATATATAATAAAAATTGGTAAAAACCTTTCGTCTAATTGACATACCAAACACTCAAAATTGGCATACGATAATGGCCAGAAAAACGGTCTTACATAAGAACCTCAAGTTTTATGACTGATTTTATGAGTTGAAAAACGAATCTTCAAAAAATGGCATTTAATATTCCCATGCGAAAATCTCCATAATCAGAAGACGACTGTCTCATTTCTTTGGGGTCAAAATGATACCCGAGCTGGGAAAGGGATCGGTTGATGTTCCCTGCCTCCTTTAAGCGTTCCCCTGCTGCACAAGTTAGTTTCTGCCGTTCTGATCCGGCTAAATCAACAAGGTTGATTCTACTTATCTTCAGGCTGTTTATACCATCGGCAATAGACTACAACATATGAAATGAGCGGGAGGGTTAGGATGCAATTCAATACATGTAGCCGTAGAAGAGTAAAAAGCAGCTACAGACTATCATTATCCTTCAATAAACAACACAAGATACATAGAAGTTTTCACCACTTAAGTTCACTAAATTCAGAAATAGTAGAAACCAAACTTGAGCGTAAATCCCAATCAATTAAAATTCCGAAATATTACCTTCGAACGAGACTCGACAACACAGGTAAAAACACAATGTGAGCGCGAACTTTCTGCATTCATACTTGTTGCACTGATCCTCCTATTCGCCAAACCCTGTTTCAACATGGAAACACCATCAGACGAACTGGTTGCCTGAACAGCAAAAAATGTATCTTATATCTTGAAAATGTAACTTTTCGCCAAGAAAGTGACTACATCTTTTAAGAGAAGAAAAATCTCCCAAAAAAGTAATTTAGATTTAGGCAGATGGAAGAAATATAGATCGACAAGTTTTTCATATCTGCTGTCAAATTTTCATGTGAATTTGGTATGGATCGATAAAGTGCAGGCGGATAATTCCCTTAATGTTGAGTTTCTTTTGAATTAAAAGAAGTCAACCGAATGTAACACAATTAGAGATTAATCTGGCACAAAGCCTGAATCTTTGTGTTAAGAACTAATAAGAGATCCATAATAACGTACTCATTTAAGCTTGTGAGTCAATAAAAAGCTGGAAATCACATAACCTTTGATAACAGTTGAGCAACATCCTTAATGTTGCACACATACTCCTCTGAGAGACAATCAACATAAACACCAATCCGCACATCTTCCCTTATCTGAAGATATTCACGCACATCCCAGTGAACACCCATCAAATATATGAATTGGAGTAGAATAATAATTCAATGAGGCTTAAACAGGAACCTGAAGGTTTCTCTGACTTGGGTTCAGCAAATCCGTAATTTGCTCATTATAAATCTGTAAGGGAGTAAAAAAAAACCGAATATTCAAGTTGAATGTGGAAGACCGCCAAAAAATTATTCATCGAGGAGTAAAAAGTAGATCACCTCCAGAAATGAGCAGTGACACTGAAAATTCAGTTGCCTGTCAGAATGCTTCAGCTCCTCCTGGAGAGAGAACAAATTCTTTTAGGTTCAACTATAGAAAGCACAGACACATAGAGTGATGTGATTTTTATATCGACCTGACTTATTCGTGCGAAGAGCTGATCAAAGACACGGGGCATCAGTCCTCGTTCATCAGTCAATGAGCCATTTTCCAACAAGGCACTTGTGGGGCCCCACATAGTATGAGTCTTTCCACTGCCAGTCTGCATAGATCCAATCGTTATTGAAACAAAAGGAGCCGTGGGGGGGTGGGGAGGTTGTATCTCTATACATATATGTACATATATGTATGTATGTATGTATGTATGTATGTATCCAGAGAGAGAGAGAGAGAGAGAGAGAGAGAGAGAGAGAGAGAGAGAGAGAGAGAGAGAGAGAGAGAGAGAGAGGAACCACGTCTGTAAGTGAAAAGGTACCTGTCCGTACGCAAAAATGGAGCTATTGAATCCAGCCAAACAATTTTCCACTAGTGGGAGCCCCACGAGTTGGAATATATCCCCCTGATGGTGAATTCAAAGTCATAAGTCATAGAGCATTTTAAAACGTTTCGGGTGTAAAATTCATAGCCTCCTGGGAGTACCACCTGCGTGGATCTGGCATCAGCCACAGCATCGAAAGTGAAGGTATGATCGATTATAGAAATGGAATTAGCGGACATCTTTTGCACAATCTGGTTCCCTTCCTCCTCCTCCTTCGGCGGCCGCATTCGCACAATTATCTTCATAATAAAAAAGATGAGTCCACTGCATTCATCCCTCGAGGATTTAAAACTACAAGGCGCCACTCTTCTTTTCCATTCCAGAAGATGAGAATACCTGCACTCCAGAATCCAAGACGGTGGCAGCCGGCGCCCCATTCCCAGGCGTGTTCTCTAAGTTCAGCTTCTTCTTCTTGAAAGGCGTCTCGCTGGGATTAGGTGGGGGCCTGGGAGGCAGGGGGCTACGGCCTGCAGGAGCCGGTGGAGCTCTGCCTGGCACTGATGGCGCCCGTAATGAACAATTCTCCGACAACGGCCAACAGGGGAGAGGATCAACATTCTCCTTCTGCCCGCGGGACGACGGTCTTTTCTTCTTGTGAGAATTTGGCGTCAGAGAAACCGCCTGCGTCACCTTCCCCCCCTTCCCACGGAAGAAGGCCTTCATCGCAGGTGCTAGACCAGACGACAGTGAATCACAGCCTAGAAGAGCCCCAAAACCCTAGAAAATGGGCCTCCCGTGAGAGAGACGAGGGAAGAAGGGAGGGGGGAGGGGGGGTGTCGAAGAGAGGGTAAAGGGAAAGGTAGCCGTTAGAATCTGGGGGGTGAAGCGGGGACTTTTCTCCTGTTCTGCCATTTGAATTTTCGTGTACGTTTCCCCGCGGGACAGGATACTCCGCGGGTTATATGCCTCGTGCCTCGCAGATGAGACAAATCAATGCGCCGACAGCCATCACCATCAGCCATCAGCTGGACCATTCTCCAAGGATCGCGGGCCACTGGAAATATTAAAAAAATCTTTTTACTGAGAATATTTGTCTGGGCAGCCCCCCCTGCCGATTTGCACCGGCCCGTTCGTTCCTTCGACTCGCCCGAGTCACGGGCGACTCATCGAAACTCGCCGCGTGTTAAGAATTTATTCATTTATTTATTATGACTCGTTATGCCCATACACCTTCGTCTTCGAATTGATTGCTAAAAATGACGCGGCGGCGATTCTCCTCGGCTCTCCCGCAAAACCAGGCCTCGAGCTACGAAATTTAGACTCTGCTCCGGCCGAAGGGGGAGGAGAGGGGGCGGGGTCGCCGTCCCTCCTCGGTTGCGAAGTGGAGAGCAGTGCGGTGGCGGATCGAGCTCCATTTCGGCCTCTCACGGGTCTGCCGCCGCAGATCCCGCCGGCAGGCACATGTCTTCTCGGTCCCCCAATTACGAGTTTCAGGAATGGTGGAACCGCCAGAGGGAGCGCAACCTCCACAGCGCATTTCAGCTGGACCAGGCGGCGAGCCAGGAAGGCGGGTGGAGTGCCGTGGAGATCGGCGGCAGGTCGCGGCCGCCGTCCCCGCCGTCGACGTCCTCGCCGGCGGCGGCGGCGGCGGGATCCGGCAAGGGACGGGGACGCAGCGCGCGGCAGTTGTCGTGGCTGTGTCGGATACGTTTTAACCAATCGGCGGCGGTCCTTGTCGGCCTCCCCTTTTGGCTCCTGGGGCTCCTTGTCACTGCCAACCGCCGGATCTCGTCGTCCCCGTCGGATGGATCCTCCCGGCTCTATCGCGTTATCCGGTTCTTCCTTGTTCTTGCGGTGGTTCTCCTTGTTCTGGAGGTGGCCGCCTACTTTAAAGGGTGGCACTTCATGCCGCCGACGCACGCCGAAGCTGTAGAGGCGCTGGAGATGCTGTACGCTCACTGGCTTTACGTGCGGGCCAATTATCTCGCCCCGCCTGTGCAGGTCCTCGCGAACGTGTGTATTGTTATGTTCATGGTGCAATCCGTCGACCGGCTGGTGCTGGTCCTCGGGTGCTTCTGGATCAAGTTCCGGCGCCTGCGTCCGGTGGCAGCAGTGGGATTCGGTGGGGAGGCCGACGCGGAAAATGGCGGCGTGGATGAATACCCGATGGTGCTGCTGCAGATCCCAATGTGCAATGAGAGGGAGGTAAGAAGAAGACGTAGGCCTTTCTTTGGATCCTATTTCTCGACACAATTGTGGCTTCTCTCCTTTCCTTTTCTTTTCTACTTGAACTTTCTTATCCGACATATGTTTTTGCCTTTTCTCTCGGATATTGTTTACACTGAAGTTATGGTTTCTATTTGGGGACGTTGCACCAAAGAGACAGAGACAAGTGTCTTCATGCGGATTTTTTCTTTTATGTAACACAAACTGCGGAGACTTGCATAATTATCTTTAATGAGGGATGAACATTGTTTCCAAAAACAGAATGCATAAGAAATGCAAGGGTGATGACGGGCAGGCTCTCTGGATCAAATTAATATTTGAGAATATGCGCTGTAATATGCTTTCAGTAGAATGAGATATAGTTCTACAGAACTGCTGGACGTTGTTAGAGGAAGAATGGTACTGTGATTCATATATAATTATTGATTTATGATGTTTACGCCTTGATCGGGTATGCTGACCATTAGACAGAGAGTGTGATTCCGTCACCCTTCATAATAGGAAGCTTTGACGGGGGGAGAGGGTTATGCCTTGGTAGGCTGTAGGCCTTGAGGATCTTCTAGGGCCATGAAAATGTCGTTGAAACCCTCACAGATCTTGGAGGAGACTTTTATTTTGAGAATTTAGCCTCCATTGGCTGCTGGCCAAGGATTCTGAGGCTCAATGTTTCGAAAAACAGTTTGAAATGCTTGTTTTGATCCTTTTCAATTGCTTCCTTGTTGGCTTAGTGTTTGACCTCAGCCGAGGGGAGTTGCCCGTCAAAAGTCTGTGCTTTGGCTTTGGCCTTTAGAAACAAGTGCTTCACCTAACACTCAAACCAATTCAATGGGATTGTTTGCTTTAGGAATCAAGTTCAGCCATTCTTCTCTAAGGAAATGTGGCTATGGTCATTGAATTGTTAGAATTTCCAGACTCAGAAAAATTTAGACTCATGGACTATAGTTCTGGGGCTTTTCAAGCACAATGTTGGAGCCCTATAAATAGGGAAATTCAGAGATCGAAGATGGTGGTTTAGAGGGCCGACGAAGAAGATGGTGATAGAAGAATGCACAAAGTAGCCATAAGTTTTTAGAGCTTTGAAGGATAGTACACCCACGAGTCAGGGGAAATATGATTACAGAAAAAAAAGATGCCAAATAGAGAGGCTTAATGTTTTTTCATTCATGATTCATCATATCTTCTATCAAATTTGTGCTCCTAACCTGATGTCCATTTGGCCTAATTTTTTTAATTAAAAAGCTCCATTAATCTCCATAATCAAGCACATTTTCACTGATTTTAAGCAGTCCTCTTCGTTCTCGAAAGATTCTTCAGATTCTCCGTGGGCATTAATTTTGGGATCTGCAGGTCTATCGGCAATCTATAGCAGCAATCTGCGTCCAGGATTGGCCAAGGGAGAGGATGCTTGTCCAGGTCCTAGATGACTCTGACGACATGGATGTACAGAACCTTGTAAAGGCTGAAGTACAGAAGTGGCAACAGAAAGGTGTGAGGATCTTGTACAGGCATCGGCTCATCCGAACGGGCTACAAGGCAGGGAACTTGAAATCTGCCATGAGTTGCGACTACATCAAGGACTACGAGTTTGTTGCCATCTTTGATGCAGATTTTCAGCCTGCACCCGATTTTCTCAAGAAAACAGTCCCCCATTTCATGGTATTCTTCTATCCAACTGAAGAGGAAGTAGCTCATTTTTTCCTTTTGTGATGATGAAATGCACAGATTAGGAGGATGAACACAAGTAGTTTCGGATTCATGAATAAATATTTCAACTAAATCTGGGACTTTTAATCTGTGTATTTCATTAGCCAAAATATTATTGTTCGTCTCCCCCCCAAAAAAAATCATTACCATCATTAAAGAAGTAACTATACTTTCTTTTGTCATAATAGGAAAAAAAGTCCCACATTCTTTTCAAATATGTATTCTTGAGAACCAAAATACTTAATTACCGCATTCTTCTATCCTCTTAAAGAAGAGGCAACTCATATTTCTCTTTTGCAATAATCGAGAGAGAAGTGTCAGATGTAATTTGAAAATTTTCTATGCAATCCTCCAACGAAAGTAATTACGGACATCAGTGTTCATCCAGTCAGTCTGTGCGATTTACCCTATATTTTTCTACATCCTTGGTCGGCAAGGTTGTTTATTTTGGCTTGCAGAACCCCCAATCATCCAAGTGTTAGCATTACTACTCCTCACATCAAGCTCCCTGGTATGCAGGGCAACGACGATCTGGGACTGGTCCAGGCTCGGTGGGCTTTCGTGAACAAGGACGAGAATCTGCTCACAAGATTGCAGAACATAAACTTATCTTTCCATTTCGAGGTCGAGCAGCAGGTGAACGGCATCTTCATCAACTTCTTCGGCTTCAACGGGACGGCAGGCGTGTGGCGGATCAAGGCTCTCGAGCAGTCAGGGGGCTGGTTGGAGAGAACCACCGTGGAGGACATGGATATCGCCGTCCGGGCCCACCTCGCCGGATGGAAGTTCATCTACCTGAACGACGTGAAGGTTTGACCGGCCAGCCTCCACCGTCCTCTACCTTAAACGGTACTCGACGATGACCCACAAACTCCTGTCGATTGTTCTTGATCTGCAGTGCCTCTGCGAGCTCCCCGAGTCCTACGAAGCCTACAAGAAGCAGCAGCACCGCTGGCACTCCGGCCCCATGCAGCTATTCCGCCTCTGCTTCGTCGACATCCTCCGCTCCAAGGTGCATAAATATACCTATTTATGTATATATATCGCCATGGTTTTTTATTATAGTTGGCTGATAATGATGATTCTCTATAGTGCTAATTTTATTTTATTTTATTTCTCTCTCGACGCATCTCCCCCGGACCTGTCCTGCAGGTGAGCTTCTTGAAGAAGATGAACCTGATATTCCTCTTCTTCCTGCTGCGGAAGCTGGTGCTCCCTTTCTACTCCTTCACCCTCTTCTGCATCATCCTCCCGACAACCATGTTCCTCCCCGAAGCCCACCTCCCCGCCTGGGTCGTCTGCTACGTGCCCGGCATCATGTCCTTGGTCAGCGTCCTCCCCTCCCCGCAGTCCTTCCCCTTCATCGTCCCCTACCTGCTCTTCGAGAACACCATGTCCGTCACCAAGTTCAACGCCATGGTCTCCGGTCTCTTCAAGCTCGGCAGCTCCTACGAGTGGATCGTCACCAAAAAGCTGGGCAGATCCTCGGAGCCCGATCTGGTCGCCTTCGTGGAGAAGGAGCAGCAGCAGCAGGCTCTGCACAGGGCCGCCTCTGAGTCGGAGCTGAAGGGGCTGGAGATGATGATGGGGAAGAAGAAGGAGAAGAAGAGGAGGAACCGGATGTACAGGAAGGAGATGGCGCTGTCGTTGCTGCTGCTCACGGCGGCGGCGAGGAGCTTGCTGGCGGCGCAGGGAATCCACTTTTATTTTCTGCTCTTCCAGGGGGTCGCCTTCCTCGCAGTCGGACTGGACCTCATCGGAGAGCAGGTGAGCTGACCGACGAGCGGAAATAACCAGCGCCCTTAAGGGCCCTCCCTTTGAAAGCTCATTCTGCAGGAGCAAGCAAGAGAGGGCTTTCCAGAGAGATAGAGAGACGACCCCCGTGGAGGCTCCATTGAAGGTGGGGCACCGTTTATTTTTTGGAATCTCTCTCTCTCTCTCTCTCTCTCTCTCTCTCTCTCTCTCTACTGTATTAATTAATTTGATATGCTAGAGCGGCGATTCTTTCAGGTGCTTCCTGCGTTCTCTCATTCACGGAGTCATTGCCTCACGATTAGAGAGAGAGAGAGAGAGATGTCGCGTAGTTATCCTAGAACTCTCTTCACATTTGGAATGGACATGAGGTCATAAACAATAAAAGATAGTTTTCTTCGTACTTTTTACGTCAATTATTGATTTACCCGCTAAAATCATTTTTTTAAGTTAACTAATTAATTTGACGATTTTATTTATTTTCTACGAAAACCCACTTTTCAAAGCGTACTGGGAAATTTTCACGTGAAGAAAATGTATTTTAAAAATACTAAAATTCCGAGTTTTCTGATGGCGAGTCCGAGTGAACGATTCCGGATCAGGCTTAGCCGATCCGACCCGTTTCTTAGGTGCATTCCTTTTCAGAAAAGCGCGAGTATAACCAGGCGTTTCCTGGTATTCCTCGTGCACAAGTTTCCGATTGATCGTGAAGCGGGGAGAGTTGGGCCGGCTGGAGGGTTCACCATAGCTTGAGGCGCGGGGCTTACCGCCCGAGCCACTGTCGGCAGTACCTTCGGCCTTGACTGCAACGTTGATTGTCCTGTAATGGCGCCGAGGGTGTTGATGGTGAGAACTCGGCCGCTTCTTCCTTTCGGTCTCTGCTGTCGCCTTCTCATCCTTTGCCTTTTTTTCTTGTCTTTTGTCGCAGGTCGCGGAGAAGCCCAGCATCGCGCTTTCTGTGGCCACTGTCCTCTCCGGCGGTCGTGTATGCTTCTGTCACTGTCGTCGTGTTGTCTAGTTGTGGTTGATACAACCTTAGTTCATTTTACGCTGGATGCATATAAGAGAAAATGGTTCACCGGTGCTGAAATCCGATATGAATTCCCGACGGATACAGAGAAGAACGACAGGTGACAACTACTAGTGAAAGCTTGGTTGCACCCGACGCTCATATGATAAGACCCGTAGGAGAACGGTATCAATGGGGTGATTCACCAGGAGGATGTTGGTAGCAAGATACTTTTATTATCATGAACTCAGGACCTCTGAGGAGATGTGTTCTAGTTATATTCTATCTACTGCTCAGGCCCAGATGGTTGAAATCGTTTTAAGAGCCTCTCTAATTTGGTGAATGAGTGTTATTGAGTTGAAAGGGTTTCCTGAAAGATTAGACAGCAAACGCTGGTGTCAGTGGTGTTAATTGGTACTGTAATCAATTAAGATGGTAACTAGGGAGTACAACGCCTTATGAAATGTTTCTAAAAATGTTTTTTCTGGTAATTTTTACTTGATTGATAGTGTTTTAATCATGTAAACTCATGGCTTGGTTTTAGAAGCACAATTTGACGGAGTGCCCAATATTTCGGTCTAGTTTATTCAGACCCAACTGGCAGGAAATCCTCAAATATCACCTCAGACAGTATTTGTATGGATAAAGCGTTGGGAAAACAAAGTTTTCTCAGAAATGTGAACTTTCTGTGCAGTGGACAATAAAATTGTTGACTAATGATAAAACGGAATGAAAACTTTTGATCCTGTTATTTTTGTCTGTATTTAATTCTAAAGTATACTGTATTTTATGACACAGGCCTCGTCACTAATTGGTTTCTCATATTTCTAACCGCACTAGATATATTCTTTGGGACAAATGTTTACAATCATTAAATAAATTATTCTGAAAAAAGGACCTTGGTTACAGTCTACATAAATGAGAATTCTAAAATCTCACAGATGTCCACGAGGAGAGGGAGTACTGACGTCCACGAGTTTGATGGGGTGTTCCTGGGACATTGTGCACAGTATAAGGTGACATCCGTCATTGGGCACGTTTTCAGGTATTTTGTTTTATGACACTAGACAGTTTCACTTTTTGCGGTGTTCTTTCTTATGGCTTACTTGTTTAATGTGAGCTTATCTTCCATCATTATGAAGCTTCGTTCCATAGATGTTGGGGTGGTTTATGACTCGGAAGACATGAACAAGAAGAAACCTAGTTTCAACACATTTTTTTCTTGCTATAAACCTGTTGTCGATCCCTCATTTGGTGGACAGGTCTGGACAGGACATTGAGTTCGTATAGCTGTTGTAATATCCATCGGCTTTAAGTATTTAATCTAAAGAAGATGTGAAAACCATTAAAGCACAGTTTGAATGAAGACTTAGATATATCTAGGGTAATGATGGCCAAAATGGGTGTAAAGGAGAGGATATAGGAGATCCAATTGCGAATATTTCCTTTTTCTCACAAAATATGTTATCGTTGTGAATAACCATTGTGAAGATGCAGAGTTAACAATGAAGATTGGGGTATTGCTTAAGAAGCTCTCTATACTTTGTTTTTTTCTTTTTAGTGTTGTTTCAGATAACCATGTGATGCCCAAATTTAGCAATTCCTATGGATCAGGGAGCCTTCTTGAAGAAAATTTGATTTCATAATTCAAAGGAGGTCTGTAAAACTTTTATTAGGCGTTCCAGAGTTCCAAGTGCTTGTCTGGACGATTTCAGGTGGAGATGATGACAATTTGCGATTTGTCCATACAGTTCGCCTCTTGCAAATGTTTAAAGGCAACTATATCATTTGTGGTTCTACATATCACATAAGCATGACAACATCATTAGTAATGCTGCTTTTATGCAAGGCAGATGGGACTGCAGAGGTGGTAAATTCCTATCCATGAGTCCCTCATGCTGCATTGTCATTTTTGGAAGACTTACAGAAAGCTTCGTTCCATTGCAAATTTCAGATGTAGCATAGACAACAGAATAACATGGTGCTGTACTTTGATCCGAATATCACTCTGAATCGATGTGATGCATCAATTCTTGTTTGGGTATCAATACCGATGAAAACAGACTGGATGTGCAGCAGTTTTACTGAGGTCAGATGGATTTATTAATGATAATGAGGCAACCATGGACAGCTGTCTTGAAGGGGGGATCACTATATTGTTTCTATGGACGAGATAAATATATTTACCAGATATGACCAGTTATGGGGATGATGGATAACAGCTGTAATTTGAACTTCAGAAATTGAAATTTCTTAGATTGTCAGTCTACCTTAGTTTCTGCCGAAAAATAACAGTGAAAGATATCAGGATGATTGAAGAATATGGAGATAAAACTGAAAAGGGTATGTCGTGGTCAATTATTTTTTTATAATCTACCAAGCAGTTTGATGCAGAGTTTACTGTTAGAACTTCGTTAGGGTAATCAAAACTTCTAGTGGAATGATGTCTAATGAAGTCTTATATCATAATTAGTTGCATATTCTATGTTCTGCAAAGGAAGATCACATGCTATCTTTCCTCTTCTGGAATGTTTATTATGTGGCGTGGAATGTTTTACTTCCCAGATTTCAGGTTTGGATCGGCAGATGGATTGTTTATTATCTTTCACAGAGATAGAACTATCTCTGTCCCTCTCCCTCTTCAACTGACTGACAGTCGATCTTATTATTGACAACGATGTATGTCATTTTGTGTGAGAGGGACAACACAAGAAATCAATGGAATTTTGGAGATTTAACCTACACTGGGGATAGTAGTTGAATGGTTTCAATGATTAAGACCGAAATAAAAAGAAAGTGTTGTTTAGCTCGACTCTTACTACAAATATATGACATGTTGGTTGGGCTTCCTTTTCTGTCTATTAAAGGTGAATCCTTCCTTTATAAAGACGACAATGGGATCTTTATGGAAAAAAGGCCCAAATTCTCATCTTACGAATGTAGCTACAAAAGCCCGATGACCATGTCCTCTTTACATATCTGACAAAAAGAGGACAATTGTGCAGGGTGTTTATGTACGTGGTGCCAAATCCCTCCTAAAAGAATTCAATCTATAGAAGAAATTCCCTATTTATATGTTATTAATAAAACTTACGGACATATGGGCTATATGTTCTCCACAAGCAGCCAATGCAAATCTTTTGCCTTCAGAACTTGGATGGTGTTTGTGGTAAATTGCCCTTGCTTTGAGGATTTAAGGAGAAAAACTGTCAAGATAAGTTCTCCGAAATATCACGGACGATCTGCTACCGGATTTTGATGATGAAAATGGAGCGATTTTGTGGATGATTAAGTTCTGTGTGTGATTCGGACATGTGTTATGCCTGTTTTTTTTTATGCTTATATACTTTACAAACAAACACCGTCTTCAACTCGGATGCTCCTGTGGATTTTCTTATTTTTCCGTTATATGCTCATCTGCAGTGTAGACTTTCCTCCTAAATATCAAAACTGGGATGTGACAGATCCTATAGATCTTTTTGAGGCCCCAGTTCTGAAATCGGAAGCGAATCCCAAGGTGCCGTTTCTTATCCTGTACAAGCTTTGACTTCCTGCTCATTTCTCTTGCTTTTTTTTTCTTATTTTTACCAGCATATCAAATTTTGTTTACCTATTGTGAATTGAAATAATTATTCATCGCTAATGCATATGGCTTTTTTAGAAAATTTGGTCCTTGCTACTCGTTTTTCTACATTTTATTCTTCGACTATTAGTTGACGTGAATTAAATAAAATATCAATTGCGTTGATTGCATGCTAGAGTTCTACTGGCAAGGCATCACCATTTCTTTTCTTCACACATGATAGGTGTTCTGCTCGAAATACGCCAGCTATGATTCAAATTTACTTAACTACAATGGATCACAGAGTCACCAATGCTTGGCAAAGTGTTTATCCATTTCCTAGGTTTTATTTTGCTGTCATTAACAGCTGCGTTTTGGTTACATTCAAAGTCATTGATAAGAAACTAGTAGTTATCTTTTGGTTTATGACCATGACTCCTTCAAAGACATTTACAATGTGGTTGCGGTTGTGTGCTTCCTTCGGAATGATAGCTACCCTCCTATATGTTATATCGTGGATATCCTTTCATTTAATTAACGTTTTCAAATTGTTGTTAGTAAATTGTCTTGTTATCTGGTAACTGATTAACTGTGCGATCTTTTATGGGATTCCTGTTTATGACAGCTTTTGCAATTTCTACAATCCTTTGGTAGCATTACGCTAGTGATAAATTTTTTAAGGTCGTTGATAGACCATGATTCATCATGCGAATACATTTGCTCAAGATTTCTGCCTCAGAAAGAAAATAATCTTATGGTGTATCTTTTCTTTAGCCAGATGACTCCGAGCATAGTAGCAATTCAGTTTTCTTCTCCATTGCTTGCTGAGACAAAACTAGATTCCCTTCTATTTGAGAACCTATGCATGATCAGTTGACAGTAGAGGATCCATCTGAGTGCATGCTGCTTGGAGCACCTTCTTAAGACCTTGGTCAAAGCTGCCTTGAGCATGTGCGGCATGGCTAACCTTGCCCATCAGATGACTGGTTCCTAATGGATTGGAACTGCAATTAAGAGTGTAATAATGAAAGAACTGGCACCCACATGAAAGTTTGTTAATTATCTTTCCATGAGCTGTGTGGAGTTTGTCACCGAAGGGCCTGGGACTTTTAGGAACACTAATCTAAAGGCGAAGATTAGCTTTTTCTCTATAATACGGAAAGCTCAGAATGATTGGACTAGGATGCTCAAAATGTTTCGGCAATAATTCCATTTTTTAATGATTTTTTTTCCCTGTCTAATTATTGGTGCTCATTTTTATTCGTCTAATTGGAGTGGTAAACATTACATGCACCAATTGTGTGACATATTTGTGCATGAGAGTAGTCCCAGCTGATCAGTAGCAATGAAAACAAATCATGCACAGTGTTTCGGAAATTGAAAATGGGGAGATATTCAATCATGTTACATGCAGAGTAGGCTCGCTCAAAAAAGTCAGAGATGAGGTCAAACTGTTGCCATGTTTTTATTCTACTATGATGGTGCGGTTTATTTTTTTATCAGGTAAAATAAAGAGAAGAAAAACTAAAAATGGTAATTTATATGGATACTTCTGCTGATTATAATGATGTTATGAGAGTTTGAAAGGTCGAGTTGTTATGTGAACTTCAGTGTCCAGAATCGGGTTGTTGCTGTGGGCCCAATACAACAGCGATAATTTTGTATTATGTGGTAAAAAAGTTCTATTTGCGTCTGGTAGTGGGTGGGGTGGTGGGGGTAAGGGACACTTGCCCAGTGAGACTGTAAATCCCCACCTGCTGAAGCTTAGAAGAGAGTTTGTGGAGTATGCAGTCCCTGTTCAAGAGAACAAACTGGAAAGGGTACTCCCCTTTCCCCTTCCCCTTCAACTGATTTAACCTTGCCACTTTAATAGTATTCATGCTTGATTAGTGTTAGATATTGTATATTTTTAACTGTAGTTCAATTCTCTCTAACCAAAACTCTAGTTCAATCTTCTCTATCCTTCTCTATTTCTATTATCCAGCTTCTTTCTCCCCTCCTGCATCTTTTTGGTGTAGAGAATCTCCCTCCTTTTAAAAGAAAAGTAATTTGGTAGAGTAAATTCATATCTTTGGGGTAGCCTCAATTTTGATCTCCAATCTCAAATTGTCCGGTTGAAAAATGTTGATTTTATTTCGTGATTACTAGGAGAGGTTTTAAGTACGGATAATATTGTCATTGCAGACTTTTGGTTAGTTTACAGTAACGTTATTCTTTCTCTTACAGGCTCACATATCCAGGCATCTGCACCAAGAAGCTCGAGGGTGTGACTATATAGTTTTATGGTTAGATTGTGATCGTGAAGGAGAGAACATTTGTTACGAAGGTAAACTATTGGTGCAATTTTGGTGCGATGGTCTTCAATATTTCCTGAATGTTTTTCATAGATCCTTTTTTTACAGAGAAACACAGTTGCCCCCTTGCAAACCGTTGCTTCCCTCTTTTTATTTTTTCATTGCCAGATTTCTGTATGTACGCTGGGCGATTTTGCATTCGTAGTACTGGTCATATGCTTATGCTCTTATCTCTTATCAATCATAAATATAGTTTCCTATCCTGAATTCAACCCTGTGTTAAGTTTTACTTCACCTTAATTCGAACCCATTCCTTCCCTGAAAACAATATAACAGCGAGCATCGTGTTTCATGTTACACATTACTTTATGGGGAAGGAATAAGCCGAAAACGATAGAGACGTGAATAGAGATAGAACGTGTCAAGTATCCCACACAGTGCAGGAGCTGAAGAACGATAATGCATTCTGTATAGTGCTGATCAGTCCAGGTTTTGTACCTCTATGCTTTCTTAGTGGCTTGCGTCTGGGAAATTAACCAGGGAGGAAAAGGCATATGGAGAAATCATGTTCATTTCTGTAGAAGCAGGGAGGGGAGGTGTTATGAAGCATAGAATTTTTGTTAAAATGATATTACTTCACATAATCTGGGACTTTGAGCAGAGAACTGCAATATTATTCCACTTAAAATTGGTTGTTAGAAAATACTTGATAGAGTCCATTCAATGTCCTCTTTTTTTCCAACTGTTGTACCATCCTAACGTTCGTTTCTGCAGAAAAGCATATTTATGTGGTATCTATTTCTAATATTCAGTAATATTTTGGTGTAAAACCAGGCGAAGGATCTTCAAAACTAAGATCAATGGCCCAGGGATTTGTCTTTATTGGATATAGGAGTGTGAAGTGGTGAACTTTCTTGTTCCAGTTTTTATTACTAGTATTCCTACGCTGGACAACTTTCATGTCAGTTTATCAAAATAATTTTGTAGATCAATTAGTCGCAGAAATACTTGTACAGCGGGAGATATACCAGATAACCAATAATGGGTGAGGATTTCCTATGTTTCTCGGAAAATGAGAGTCATAAGTTTATTATTATTGGTTAAATCAGTACTGTTTGTATTGTATTGGTTGTATGGAATGATATGGGTTTGCTCAAAGAGGTTAGGCGTTAAATATCATTTTTCTTGGTGATAATTATAGATTGAAATTGGTGACAGTGTTTCTTGTTGTCCAGTTTTTAATGTTAGTGTTTTGTTTCTTTGACAATGTATTCGGGTGAAATCTCTGACTAGTAATTGAATTTCATATTTATAGGCTTTAGGAAGCCCTTTGATCATGAGATTTCGAGGGTATTGCTTCATATTCTGCTGAATGCCATTGTCATTCGGAATTGATTTATTATCTTCTGGTTCATTGGTCTAGATTCGATTTTTCATCCTCTGGTTCATCATTCTATCAATTTTTAAGTTGTCAAAAAGGATTTTCTTGGGACCCAATTCTCTTACTTGCCACTAATCACTAGCATAATATTATGCGCGTATTTGTCACTGTGCAACGTCATACCTTAATATTCGATCAAATTAAGTTGAATCTAGTGTTTCATAGCTATCAGATTATTTTGTTAGTATTTCATAGGCAGAATATTTTATGGTGACAAACTTTCTTTTTTCTCTATGAGAAAATTTTGTTGGATTTATAAAAGTGATTAATACATTGGACAATGTTCGCTGTCCAGTTATTGAGTGCATTGGAGTACATGAATCTGAGGTAGGGAAAAAAATTTATCGTGCTCGATTTTCTTCTGTCACTGAGAAAGACATATTGAAGGCCATGAACAACCTTGTTGAGCCCAACAAAGATGAAGCTTTAGCTGTAGATGCACGACAAGAGATAGATTTGAAAGTTGGAGTGGCATTTACCCGGTTTCAGACACGTTATTTTCAAGGGAAATATGGCAACCTTGATTCCAGAGTAATCTCGTAAAGCTCTCATATCTTCTCTGACAGACATGTTCGATCAACATCTTTTCATGTTTATTACATCTCTGACTGCTGTTCTATTTCTTCAGCTATGGCCCTTGCCAAACGCCTACTCTTGGATTTTGTGTGCAACGTTACTTGCAAATTACAACATTTAAGCCAGAAAAATTCTGGTCTTTGCATCTTTATATTATGAAAGATTCATATGAGCTCCAACTGGAATGGGAACGCAAAAAAATATTTGATTTTGATGTGAGCTCCTTTACGGCTTGAATTTTAGCTTATTTTTTCAAATACATACTCTTCGTTTATGAAAAATCTGTATGCTTCTTTTTGTCGTCACTTCTAGGTTGCCGTGATGTTTCAAAAGATGGTTGTCAATGATGGGACTCTGAAAGTGACTAATGTTTCAACAACTGAGGAGTGCAAAACTCGCCCTTGTGGCCTTAACACGGTCAACTTGTTGAAGGTTTGCATCAAAACAATTTCTTTACTATTGTTCTGTTTCTCTGGAAGATAATTATATTTTATTTGAGTTATTTATTTATTACGTCAAAGAACGACAACAGCAGCCCTAAAATTTTACTGAAGCATCTTATGTCTCAAAAAAATCACATTGTCTTCTAGATTTCGTGATGATAAGTGTTGAAATACTGTCCCTTAGTGTATCGTGTCTTTCATTTTAGTGAAACACGTGCCTGTCTTATTGTGTCTCGTACTGTAAGGTTCATAGGTCTAGAACCTTCCTCGTGGATCTGTTATAAATAACAGACCCCTGTCATGATTGTAAACTGAATAGAATTTCTCCCTTATTCGAATTTAAGCCTCTTCCATTTTGAACGAGCAGATTCTCTCTCTCAAAGATTCAAAGAGACAATAAGTAAAAAATATCATGCATCATATATTTGCATCTATTACTCTTGTTATTATAACTAGTAATCTCATCATGCGGGTGAGGTCAATTGCACATATAGGCTCCTGTTTAGCCTCGTTTTTTTTAGATAACTGATACAGCCAACCCTGTCATTGTATGCAACGCTCACTTGCTATATAATATGGTCTCTAGAGCAATGTACAATAACTTCATGTGTCAGAACATGAGATCATTTTTCTACCGATAGTGTTGTCTGGTCGATTTAAAGGATGGAATTTTAAGTGCTGCAATTTTACCTTTTTTTCATGTCAACTTATGATTGTATTAAAAGAATGATGTTAGCTATATAGCTGATTTTGGGTATTCTATGATTCAGGTTGCCTCAAGTGCATTGGGCTTAGGTCCTCAAGTTGCAATGCAAGTGGCAGAACGACTGTACACTCAAGGGTTCATCAGGTTTTTATTTTCACATGTTTTTGTCCTCTAAAGATTGAAGTCATTGCTTCCTACGGTTTAACAGACTTGAGCTATTTGTACACTGTCGTGAATATTTGAAAATGTCTCTAAGACAATTTCGTTTAATAAAATTACTCCTTTTGATAATATCTAAACTACACTTCTGCTGGTATTTAGTAGATAACATCAAAAAATTATATGACACCTTTGCCATCAAGCTTAAATGTGGTCAGAAACTTGATGCTTGCTAGAATTAAAGCCAATAGAGTCAACAATGTTTGTCAGTTCACTATATTCATCATTTATTGCCTGGAATCATTTCACATATTTATCTTAGACTATGTAGCATCACCTAATCTTACACTGTTTTGATGACTGTATACCATGTTTCCATCCACCTCTGTTGCCTGAGACAAGTAATAAGGTGGTCATCAGTGCCTATGCTCTAAGGGCTTATGAGTCGATAGATTTGCTGAATTTACATATATCTAGGGGACTTCTTGAGTTTTGATTTATGTCCATTCTACATATATCTAGTTATGTTCATCAATGAGCTAGGGGGGTTATTGATTTACCCTATGATGACTGTTATGTCTGCATGACCCTTTATGGGAATGATACTCTATCCCGTGGGATTTTGTGAGGTAGAATTTCTCTCAATGCGACTTTCATAGACTCAATAGTATGAGGAAGGCATCTTGAGAAGAGAATTAGAAGAATTTGTGCAAAATCTTAAATATATTTTGTTGCCTCATGAGATAGGGTTGTGTCCAATTACTCCACCATGTGATTCTTTTAACCGTCATAATGAATATTTCAATTGGACGAAGCCTCGTTTTACCTCAGCCGGATTCTATTTTCGTTCCTAGGCACGTCTTGGACACGAGGAGATCCAACAAGATGTGATTTTCTTTCTGCGCAGCTCAAGGTAGATAGCTCTGGTTCAACAGCATTCTCTTTGCTGAAGTGGACATAGACATGATTATGATAACTTGCATCATTGGGGATTTCACTCTTGAAAAAATCATTGCATCATTCGTCTCTCTAGCAGCTGGATGATACGAGACAGATTAGGGTAACTGGCCAACTCAAGATGGGTAGTCTCCTGACCTCACAATCTTTGATGAAAAAAAGCTTGTCCCATGATTTCGTTCATCCATTCATTTATTGGCTTACCAAATAACTACATCTGATGGGAATCTTCTCTATCAGCTGAGATAATATGAACGAATTAAAGTAGCTTCAAAGACTGGGTGAATCTTTTTTATTGAAAGGGAAACTGAACAAACGCCACCTTTACATAGATTCTCTCCCTGACAGGTGAAAATGTATTCACGCATTGCTAGACTCTGTCATCAATTAAGGCATTAACCTTTAGTGATTTATCTGTACTAAATCTAAATCCTTCATGATAGTCCGAAGACTCCAGTGTTTTTATAATCATCTAACTTTTGCCTTCATTAATTTTGTTTCCAATTTTGCTTTTACATTGAGTAGCTCTTTCCTGGTGCCACTGTAATATATCGTATACTCGTTCAATTTTTGTAGTGAACTATGTTTGAAGATAAACAGGTCCACCACGTTGTCTGTAGTTCTTTATATTACTACACTCTTCTGGATGTCAAAAATTATGCACCATACTGTCATCATTCCCCAAAGCAAATTTACAATACTTCTTTCTGTTAATTCGTGTTCCTCTCGATATGTTCTCTTTCTAATGTTAAACTTTTGTCTCTTTCCTTTTCATTAGTTATCCCCGTACAGAGAGCACTGCCTACCCTGCCTCATTTGATTTCCAAGGCACTGTTGAAGCGTTACAATATAATCCTGCATTGAGAGAATATGTGCAAGCATTGTTAGTGAATGGTTTCCAGAAGCCACGGATGGGATCTGATGCAGGTGATCACCCTCCTATTACTCCTATGAAATCAGCCAGTGAAGACATGTTAGGAAATGATGCCTGGCGATTGTACATGTACATTTGTCAACATTTTATTGGGAGTATCAGTCATGATTGCAAGTACACAAGGTCAAAAACTTTACTCCTTTTCAAGAATTACCTACTATGTTTCTTCATGATGTGTTCAGAAATCCTTAATTGCTTGATACCATACGATTCCTAAACTCTTGGAGTGCATTGGTAACATTCTCCTATTTAGTCATGTGGTGAACTACCATACTGATTTTGTTTGTCATTATGCTTAAAGCAACCTTGGTAAACTGATTGAGTAGGATAAAACGACAACAAGAAGATGATCGAAAGCTAATCCCTGTGATTAAATCAATCCTGAAAAAATTTGAATGTGGTGCCTTCAAGGTACAGAAATTCTGGATAGATAAATCTTGCAAAGCCAAATATTTTAGCTGATTGACAAGTTCTTCCAGAGTTTATATGAAATTTCCTGTTTAACTGACCCAGCTTCTCAGACTCTTCGTTTTTATGCTTCAAACTTTATAAAGATACCTTATGATTTTTAATGCGGCTTTTTAGAGAAACTGATTGAGTTGACAGATGGAGAAAACTTATTCTGTGATATCCATTGGCAGAAACGGATTTTTTTAAAATTTGTGAGTGGAAAATGAAAACAAAGGCCACGAATTATTAATACAGCACCTTGAAAAGTTAATTATGTATAGTTTTGATCATTAAAAGGATCCACGCTTATAAATTTTCTTTGTGATATTGCATTATATTTAAAGTTTGAAGGAATACTTCTGGGGATACTGTGGCTTAATTGATGGGACTTTGGTGTTGCACGTTTAATGATATCTGTGGGGAAGAATGTACAAATAGGAGTTTGGTTCTTAGTTGGACTGTTTCTTACTTTGTCGGTTTTTTTGTTGTTTGGTTATTTCCTTGTTGTGGCCATGGTACCTATACATAACAGTTGGCTATGCTGTGGATATGAATTCAGTTTCTTCTCTGCATATCCTCCTAGGGTTTATGCCACTGTTCACGACAATATCAAACATGCTTATGGCCCACAAAGAGACTGGGATAATGAAAATGATTACTTTACTGGTGGATGTTTAAGATTTACATACTAGCTTTGGTCTACTATTACGGTGTTGGCATTGTGTAAGTTTGCTTTATATAGCGTTTTAAAGAACTTAGCTGAGCCATAGATGTTCATTCATTTAATCGTTTGTGTAATCTACCTCCCGCTATAATTATTCTTGCTCCAACCATATCATAGCTGATCGCTGGACTTGTTTGACCTATTTTCATTCTAAATGGATTACAATTGTCCTTGACCCAACATGTTATTTCCACGAACCTGAATGAAAGGAATGGGAACAAGCGACTATGGATTAGAGTTCGTTTGTTTTAGTTTGTATTATGAGCTGCATTTTTATGCGTGGTCCTCTAATATATGATGTGGCTGTGAATATGCACATAGTGCCTGTAGAAGGAAATTAATATAAGTTTTCTATCTGTCCAGTTCAGCCCTAGTTTTAGCACTTATGTTTTTTTAGAATTATATGTCTAGCACCATAGATATATAATCGCAGACTGATGTTGGGTATGATTGTGATAGAGTAGATACCGTAACTAGAAATAACAGTCGAATTTTCAGAAGTGTCTTAGCAGAACGTATGATCACTTGTGTGTGCACTGAGATCGTTGGCCTTCGAGTTTTTTTCAAATAGAGGGGATTGCGGAAATCAGCGTCTTTCATTTTGATTGGTATCACTATATTATTTCGCCATTTTGGTACAGACTAACGATTTTCTTCCAAACCACGTTTGTAGATCTTTCTTTGACCATTTACACTTCCATCCTTTTCTTTCTGAACTTTAATATCTTCTTTCAGAAAAAGTAAACGAGATTGTATGTCATTTCATGGGCAGGGAAGGGATTGTGATGTTCAAATTGTCAATATCTAAAGAAATTGTGTGCATTATTGAATTTCGACCTAGTAGTGTCATTCTTTTGCATGAATGCATTTAATTTAAATAATGTTACATTATTTTTTTTAATTTCCATTACAGGACAAAAGTAGAATTTGAATCAGGAGCTGAGCTGTTCTGCGTTGTTGGACAGCATGTTACATGCAAAGGATTTACGTCTATCATGCCATGGATGGCAGTAAATGAGAAAAAACTTCCTCAATTCCTACGTGGGGAGAGAATCAAAATGATGAAGGTTGACATATATGAGGTAGGAAACTATGACATTTTTTATTGGTTGGCTTTCTACGAATGATTTAGACTATGACAATTTCAAGGAAATAATGAATTTGTTCATTCTTCATGAATAATTTAATACCTTGTGTTTATTCAAATAATTATTTCATCATATTCATTTTTACAAAGTAGCTTTTTGATAGACTTTGTTGATTTCAGGGTAACACCACACCCCCAGATTATCTCAGTGAGAGTGAGCTTATTTCTCTTATGGAAAAGCATGGAATTGGCACAGATGCATCTATCTCTGTCCACATAAACAACATATGCGAACGGAACTATGTGCAGGTCCTCATTTTTTGTTTGGAGATTACTCTAATTTATATGAATTATTTTATTGTTGTACAATGGGTGATTATCCTTCTATTGGTGAATTTCTGAAGGCTGCATTTTGGATCTGAGTGTCGGTATATGTTTCTTGGTTTACTTAAGTCATAAATGGTATGATAAAATGAGTGAACTTTTTTCCCCAGACAGGCGAATGATTACATTGATCCTAATGCACCTATGGAGAAGTTACTCATTGTCAGTACAAAATTACGACTAGGAAGTTCTTCCCAATGCACGATTTGTATTCTAGCATTTATCTTACTACTTTCCAAGGCTTATGTGTTTTTATTTTATTTTAAAGGTCAATGCTGGGAGGAGGTTGGTTCCAACTGCTCTTGGAACTGCCCTGATAAGAGGGTATCAATGTATTGATCCGGATCTATGTTTGCCAGACATCCGCAGTTTTATCGAGCAACAGATCACCCTAATTGCCAAAGGGAAAGTGAATCATGCGTGGGTTGTACGACATGCTCTGCAACAATTTATGCAAAAGTACTCGTATTTTGTCAAACAGGTATCTCTATAGCTCAAATGGGAGTAAGGCTTAATGAGAATGCTGGCATGTCAGAATTCTGTCTGGATAGTTGCTGTATCTGACTTTTTTAATGATTCACAGGTTTCAAAATTATATCTTCGGAAATAATTAATTATTTCAATTAGAACTCACAAAATTGCTTGTTTTCCTTTTCATCTGTAAGTTTTTTTATTCCCTTTTTCAATTTTCCATCGTAGATTCTTGTATTAAACACCTTTTATAGATGTTTTTTTTTCCTTCTTTGCTGTGATGACAATTAGATTACTTTTAGTTCACAGATATGAATAGTCTTAACTGGAGCTAGCAGAAAGCTTTCTGTTGTTCAAAGACTCTCAGAAAATTTGGCAGTGATCTTCTAGTGATGATGTGACTGTTTCTGAGGTTTTGGGATGCGCTGGGAAAATCCATGCTTGTTGAGTTAAAGTGAAGCCGATGGCTGGATAGAAGCTTTTATGAAGGAAACGAAAGTGAAGAACCAGGAGAAGAAAATCGAGATGGAAAAGGCTGTGAATTTTTTTTCTACGAAAGATTCTCCTCAGAGAAATTTATTATCTGGAACGAAAATTTCTAAGACAGATTCTAGGGAATGGTGAAGGATTGAGGGCCGGAGGTTTCTGGCTTGTGATTTGCAGATTTCAAAAATAGGAAAAGAAAAAAAAAAGCATCTGGAGAAGCCTCCTACCTCCTATCTCTACCTATTTCTTGCGACATAAATCTAAAGTTTAAGATAGAGGAGGGCGTCTTGAAAACATGAAACCGTGTCCTAATCAGCCCCTATTGCTCAAGGGAAAATATAATTTTCTGCAAGTTCCTATTAAAAAAAATCCTATGATTCATTCATTTTGCAAAGTTTTTAGAACGCTTTATGGTTTTGATCGAGGCGGTTATTTTCCTTCCATATTTTGGGGTCTGATCCTGGCTCTGCAGGCTTTGCAAATATCTTGCGGCTAGAACTGTTTAGATGTTTTTTGCACCTTCCATTCACCAGCCAATGAATGTTACACATTTCGGGTAGAGGTGGACCCAGGAATGTTGCTTACCTTTATTGTTCAGCAAATAATTACACCATGGTTCTGGGCGCATAGAGCAGGTACGATAGGGATCAAAACACTTACAGAAGTTTCTTAATGACTGGAACAAAGAGAAGTCTGTGGACATGGGTTTAAAAATTCTGTTTAGGGTTTAAAAACCTGGTTCAAAAGATAGTGCCTTTTGCCGAAGTCAGAGGTGGATTGTTTTGGTGGAACGAAGGACACTACGTTTGAACCAAGTTGTCGACACTACTTCTGTCAATGTAGAGAGCGGCACGATAACCATTTCTTAGTGTTGTGGTAAACTTGTATATTAATGGTAGTGGCGAAGTATTTGATTGTGTTTTACAAAAAGGAATAGTCATGTTCTTTGTATATACGTCTTAAATTATTCATAAGCATCATCAAGTAAACTTGCTTTGAAATATAACCAGCATGTTATAAACTGTTGATTCTAATTGGCCATATTTTTCTTCTTTTAGTTCATAATTTTTCATTAAGATCTTTGCTACGTGATACGTCTTAGATTCTTCTTCGCACGCATCATCAAGTAAATTTTCTTTGAAATATAACCGGCATGGTATAAAATATTGATTATTATAGGCCATATTCTTCTTCTTTTAGGTCATAGTTTTTCATTAAGATCTTAGCTATGTGATACGCCTTAAATTCTTCTTCACAGGCATCATCAAGTAAACTTGCTTTGAAATATAACCAACACAGTATAAAATATTGATTCTCATAGGCCATAGAAAAATATGGCCTATTTTTCTTCTTTTAGGTCGTAGTTTTTCATTAAGATTTTAGCTGTGTAAGCCACGTTTTTGCCCATGTAATATAGGTAACAAGTCATCAATATGTACACGTTGGTCGAATTCAGAAGTTTTCTTTATTAAATAGATGTTATGCATAGTTTTGTTTAACAAAAAAGAAAACAGAAAGCATGTAAAATGTCGTCATTTTTCTTTGAAGATATTTCTACATGCTGCTCATGTTCGAGATGTCTAAAAACTTTTAAGATCACTTTTGCGTTGGCTTTGTTGCACAGTGCCGAATATATCCATCTCCATTCCCCTTGCTTAGCATAGAGTTCCCACAAAAAGAAAAAATATATCCTGAGGGTTTACATAAAAACGATAAAATTCGTAATCATCTAAAGACAATCTCTGGATCAAAATTCTGAGCCAGAGATTTTCTCAATCTCTTTTCTTTCTCTCTCGTAGGAGCTTCATCTTGTTGCGCTCTACTCACAGAGTCTGCCAAGCAACAGCACTCTTGAACTGTCCTGGGCACCCTTCTATTTAATTTCTTCAGGTTCTTCTAGTACAATGAAGTCGACATGTTCTGCAGCCTGATTACAATCGTAAATACGTGCCAATTTACTTGCCTCGCCTCTTCAAAAAAAAATATCAGAATTGTTTCTTTAGATATGTTATCTCTCTTCTCACTGATCTCCTGTCAGATGTCTGCCCATTTTATGTAAAAGCGGAGTTGGATTTTTATGAAATACTTGCTCCACCAAAATCCCATATATTTTCTTCTCAGTTGTGAAAGCTTCCATCCGAATCTCTGAGCCTGGCTTTCTCTCTCTTTCCCAGATTGAGCGAATGGATGCCCTGTTTGAGGCACAGTTCTCACCTTTGGCAGACACAGGCCGTCTACTGAGCAAGTGCGGTAAGTGCACTCATTACATGAAGTACATCTCCTCTCGCCCATCGCGGTTGTATTGCGTCACCTGCGAAGAGGTCTACAGTCTTCCCCAGAACGGAAGTATCAAGGTAATTCTTCTTACCCATTTTAAGCCGCCATTTTTAGGATCTGTTCTGATGTTCTATCTTGCGTGTTCATGTGAATCAACATCTTCTGGGTTTTTGAGTTCTTGGTCCGTGATGCTGCTGCGTTTTTCCCTTTTTGGATAATAATCGCCTCCTTCCCAATGAAAGCTGATTCAGTCACCTTTCAAAACCCCATTTCATTACTATATATATGTGTGTGTACGTGTTTGGGGGACTTCTAATGGCCAAAAGCGCGGAGAACCCGGTTGAGGTCCATGCCAGCTGGATGATATCTGATTCTCTGCTTCCTCCTTCACCAGCTCTACAAGGAGCTGGCCTGCCCTCTGGACGGCTTCGAGCTTCTCCTCTTCTCCACCGGCGGCCCCGAGGGCAAGTCCTTCCCGCTCTGCCCCTACTGCTACAACAGCCCCCCCTTCGAAGGGATCGAAAAGCTCCTCCCCGGAAGCTCCGCCAAGCCGGGCATGCCCTGCTCCCTCTGCCCGCACCCAACGTGCCGCCACTCGCTCATCTCCCAGGGCGTCTGCGCCTGCCCGGAGTGCGGTGGCGGCGGAGGAGGAACGCTCGTCCTCGACCCGGTAAGCGCCCCCAAGTGGAAGCTCTGCTGCAACATCTGCAACTGTCTCGTCCTCCTCCCGCAGGGCGCCCACCGCATCTCCACGACGGGGAAGAGGTGCCCCGATTGCGACTCCGCCGTGCTCGAAGTGGACTTCAACAAGAAGACGACGCCGCTCGCGGGCGGCGCCACCCTGCACGCCGGCTGCATCCTGTGCGACGAACTCCTGCACTCCCTCGTGGAGATGAAGCACGGCAGGTCCATGTTCAGGCGCGGCAGAGGGAGGGGCAGAGGGAGGAGGCCCGGCGGAGGGAGAGGCCGTGGAGGAGACCCCAAGATGAGCTTCCGCGACTTTTAGACCTTCCCTTCCTTGAAAAATCCAATCGATCGCTCCGAGTGTTTCTTCACTCTGCTCGGCATGTTATTATTCAGTAAATCTAAGCCCATTGACTTTCTTGCTGCTCTCTAATCCACCTGATGGAGTGGCCGCTCGATCTTATCGCCCATTGACCCAAGATTCTTTATACCAAAAAAAACACATTTAGCTGAGAATTATCCGAATGCAGTACTAATTTTCTCCACGTGATGCTCCGGCATTCAAAAGTCAACGGGCCACCTAGAACAACGGCGTCTGTTCTCTCAGCTCTTTCCTTTCCTCCCCAAACCTCTCAGCAGGAAGACCTTGGAAGTTGCTCCAAGAAACCCAGATCCAGATATCATAAACGGATGCCAGGGCGAGTCTAACCTGTCTCATCCCATCTCCTGCTGGTGCAAGCCGGATGGCCTCTAAATCTTCTCCGAGTAGAACAGTCCTTCAGCTACTATCCATGGCTGCCTCCCCAGCTTGGTTTGGTAGGTCAGCTTGCACCTCATCATACACACCCGTTCCCTCATCATACGAATACCTGCGCAAGAGGAGACAAGATGACGCATGTAAGAGTTTATGTGGGGGAAGGATGAGGAGGCAACCACGAACTGAGGGGATCCTTATGATTCATGTAAGAAGATGCCCCCTTTTTTCCCTGCCCCAACCACAAGTTTGTAATAACTACAGACAAAGAAAACCCCATGTTGGTATGAAAGACCTGGGGATGATTATTGCATAGAACTTCCGTCACAAATCCTCTTCTTCAACTTCTAATTGCTGTCCCCTTTGGGATTGATCTCCATGTTTAACTCATTTACAGTGCCACGCAGTTTCTCCTAGTGTTCATTGACTCGCTCAGTCAAACCCTCTGTTCTCCTAATGTCAAACGCCCGCTCAACTGGCAATATCAACAAAATCAAGTCAAAGTCCCTCACGTTGATGATGCAGAGGCTCCTCTTCCATTTTTTAATGTTATCGTGTCACCTTTTCAATCTGATTCTGGAAACCATATCCACAGTATTCCACATCCCCAGGAAGATCACACGAAACAGATTAATTTCCTGTACCAGACTGCAATCTCTTTTCTGTGATAGAGCTCAGAAAATATATTCCAAACATCACTGGGCCTTCGCATCTCGCAGCAACATGATAAGATCCGAAATCAAAAGCATTGATCAGAAGCAACTGAAATATGAGCTCCTGGGCCAGAAGCAACTGTCTCTTAAAGTTTTCTCCATACATCATTAGCAAGTTTTCAGGAAAAAAATCTCAAAGCAAACTTTCTTCCGAGAGTTTTCGTCTAAAATACTAGCCCACAGCCTCCCAAAGAAAAACCTTTGTTGTTGGTATACGGTTCTCCACATTTCTTCCTCTGGAACAAGGATGAAGAGAGAGAGGGAGAGAGAGAGAGAGTGACATCGACGAAGCACCATTTCCTATATTAATGGTTGAAAAAGGAAAATGAAAGGCTAATTACTGAGTTATTGAGCCCAGTCAAAAACCAATTTGCGTCTATTTTAGTCCAGTCTAAAGGCTTGGGGGCTCTCACTGTTAGCCAATAGGAACCCTTGGTGAAACACTTTTCCCGCAGCATGATCCAAAAGAATCCTTGATGAAAATGAAAATGAAAAGAAAATGCCGGAAAGGGGAACACTACCAGAAAAGAAACACGCAGGTATAGCCATGGCAAAAAAAAGAAGTGAAAGTACGGAGCCCACGATAGAAGAGGGCGAAAGAATACCATTTCCCAGATGCTGCACAGCAATATAGTCTTGATGCAGGGTCGTAGTAATAACCTAGGCTGCTGCTGTAATAGTAACTGCAAAAGGAGAGGAGAACAATACTTGAACTTGGGTCAACAGCAAGCAGGGAGAAATTTTCAAATCAACAAAAAAAGGATCTAAATTTTAAAAAGGCCAAAAGTGTCTGATATTGAGAGTCCAACAGAATTACTCATCGCTGGAACTTTCAGATTATCAGCAGAGCAGGCATCCTTGATAACTTTGACGTCCAATAAGTGACTTCTGGAATCTTGTTTCTTTTACACGACATCGCTTGTAGACCTATTTATCACACATTTTCTACAAAACTTCATAAACCTTTTTGGATCAATGCTACTACTAACGATAACAAGGGCTTTAACGAGAAACAGGTAGACAAAGATCAGGCATTTAACCATACTAAGACCCTTTATATGACTACATCATTAACAAGAGCACAGGGGAAACATTTTTCCCTCTGGTTAACATAAAACCCACTTTTTAACCATAATTTATGCGCCAAATTATGTTTGGAAAAATGGCCACCGTGATTGCTAATTGTAATCAGACATCAAATCTAGAAATCGTCAGAGAGATGGGCATTTCCCTTGTCAGCCCCAGTCAAAATAAAGTAAACTAGCAACCACAAGTTACTTGCATGATTTACTGCTAATTCGTAGTAATCAACAGTAACTGTGAGATAGACCAAGTGAGTCATGCCTCAAAGGCAGAGAGGTCCTAGAACATGATCCTTCGCTTACTGGATTTTATGAAGTACGAAATGAAGTCAAAAATAACTACACCTCATTAGTACAGCAACAATCTGCATACAACTTCAAATGAAGACAAGTGGCAAATTGAAAACCTAGGAGAGAGTCAGATTGGCTTACCCAGATGACTCATCAAATACATAATCTGTTCCATTTCCTTCGCCAGCTTCTACAAAGACAAGTCAAAAAAGAGAGATAGTCATGAAGTATAATTATCCTGCAGTTTAAGTGTAACTTTAGCGATCGCTCATTGGGCTCTTTTTAGTGTGGGATTGGAGTACCTTCTGGATGCACGTTTTGCAAAGCTCCAGAACCTTCAGGTGGCCGTTGAGGAGGCAGAGCATCAGATTGACGATCATTAGTTGTATTTTCATCCTCTTCACCAAACATATCAAAGGTATCATCATCACGAGATGATGCCTTCGTCGTAATTTCATTAGCTTGCAAAGAACCCGCTGCAACCTGCGAAATAGAGGAACTTTCTCCCCCCACAGCATCAGAAAATATGTCTTCCACGCTCGTAAGATCAGGATTACTGATGCCAGAACTTTGGGAGGGGCCTTCCTTTGCATGTGCCAAGCGCTCGTATCCTTCTGAGAAAAACAAGGAGCAAAGGACCTTACACGACTATAAGAATAGTTAATAATCATTCATCCAGCAGATAATGCCATGCAAACATTTAGGCAAGTAAGAATGTAGTCCACAAAACAAAAGTGTCCAAATTGACAGGACTGATTAAAAATGGCAATTCCTCGGATGCAGCATTGAGTGCACTTGTGTCAGGACCCCCAATAGATGTAAATTACTCCAGGAGTAATAAGGGGGTCCATAGGTCACGTGAGGGTTAAGTCAGGGATTATTAGGTAAATATACACGGGGGGTTAAGGGGTTATTAGGCTTGGAGGACAACATTTTGGCAAGTAGGGTCTTGTGGAAGAGAGAGGTTACCTTCTCAAAAGGTCACCGCGAACTGAGATTAGGGTTCCTACAGGAGCCCAATCCCCTTTATTTTCGTATCTGTTCTACAAACCCTGTTCCTTTGTGCTTTTCTATTTCTGGTTCCTATCAACTGGATCCTTTAAATTCGACCTAAACATGAATGTATTAAACCATTGAATGTCCCATCAAATCATTGGATGTGGGACCCTCCTCAAAATATATAACTCCCTAGGAACGAAAGAGACGTCAACCATAATATACCCATTTTACAACCCAACGTTATGAATAATGATAATGATGATGATAGTATATGCTATTCTATGAATTTACTAAGCTACCTCAGGTTAGGCTAACATGAAAATTTAATCACCACATCAGAGTTGTATGTCCCAAAATCGACCCAGTAAACTAAAAAAAATTAACTGAACAAAACACAAATATTTACCAAGGATGCACACTCAAACCTCAATCCTGAAGGCAGTTAAGACAGACAAATACTAGAAAGAAAAAAATTGAAAGAAAGAAAAAAATCAAACAGACCTGCCTCCCTTTCAAATGTCTCCTTTTTATCGTAATAAACATCTGCAGAGGAAATAGAATGGAGGATTCTCAATACATCAACCCTACATTAAGGTAAATAAATAAATAAAAAGATATCCCTGAGAACGGAAAAAGTAAGAAATACACTGAGGAGAAAAAGCAATTAACCATATTCGCCACCCTCCATCAGTTTCATGGCATCTTCAGTGAGCTGATCAAATGTACGTTTGATTTGCTCCGGCATCTTATCTTTCTTGCTACCTGTCGGGCCTTTCAATCTTTTCAGAGCATGTAAGACCTGGTACATAGGGATGCAGAATGACAAACAAGTTCTAGATTTATGTGCAGTAATTTATTCAGCTAGAAAATCTAAATTAACAAAAAGTTGTAAATCTAATGAAGCCACTAATATCCCCCATCGACAAGTGAAAAAGTGGAACTAAGGTTTCCATCAAAACACCTGCAATGGAAAAAAAAACTAGAATTATCTTATACAGAAGAAATCAATGTCTCACGTTCAGAGACTTTTCGTTGAAAATCTCATTCGGATAGGTTATAAAGTAAAAAAGAATAAGCAAGAAAAAAAAGTAAAAACGTTTTTATAATTTAGTTGGGAGATTACTAACGCCAAGAGATACATCACGGGATGATCATCTGGAGATATTCACAAGCACCAGAGGATCCAGATGGAAAATATTGTAGTAAAATACTCTGGGAAATGAAGAAAGGCATCCCTCTGGGCACGGGTTTATGTTAAGACATTCTCAAAAATGCTTATAATCAAAGTTTAGTGCAGGATCACAAACTGAGGAATGTGGGATGGAAACTATATTCATGGGAAGGGAAATGGGAAGGCATAGGGAAATGATGAATTTTACGTGATTATAGTCCAATTTGATTAGCTCATTGAAAGGATCCTGCAATTCAGGACTGGCTGAACGACCATCATCAAAAATATTGGTAAACCAGGGTTTATACACCCAGAAAGAATTAAACCTCTCACAAATGTACATCTCAATTTAGTTCACAAACAGCGATGTCAATACTATGAAAAATACTATGTCATATGCTACCAAAAGATGTTGGATCTTCAAGAAATATATAGATCTCTGAAGGAAAATGGAAAAATTCAAAATTTTCACCTGCATCTTCCATCAATGGTATGCAATAGCCAACAGATAAAGGTTCTACAGAGTTGGCAACAGTATTAATTGGTGCATGAATCATCAAGAGTAACATGTCTAACGATTCTAATTTGCTCATCACTTATTTTTCATTTTCCACATGAAGATTTCAACTGTATCAATAATGCACAAAGAAGGTTAGAAGATGACGGTTCACCCGTTTTCTATCACATTGGCAGTGTGTGATTCGAACATTTGAGTATATTGATCATGCGGTGCATCACATAGGTAAAATTCTCAACAGGTTGTTTCTAGTCTTATTCAAATTCCATTCTAGGGGAAAAAAAAAACTGTATAATTTTATGACGAATATTTAGCTTTGATGTTAAAAATTACCGTTTCTCCTGGCTGGAGTGCATTTGCTATTCGCCGCTTTATTTTTCCAATATCCCCAGCTGAGAGATCATCATATTCCTCTTTGGCTGTTTGCTCATGTTTCTTCTCAGCCAATCTCAGATCAACTTGGACATTGTCTAGCCATGCATCCTAGATTGAAAAACTGAGATACATCAGACAAAGTCGCTGTGGCATGAATGACCACGGCTTATAAAAAAATCACCTTAATTTCATTTGTAGCCACATACTCGACATAGTTTCCTTCTGCATCAAAATATCCTTCTTCTCTTTCTTGCTTCAAATTAAAAGGCTCAATTCTAATACCATCATCTTCGAAGCTGGCATTCACCTGTCGAAGTTAAAATCTCTTAAAAACATCCCAGTGTTTGGGGGATTGGAAATTATTATTATTTTCTAGTCAAAAGTGAAAGGAAACGAAAATATAAGCGGAAACATTCAGAAGTAATTTTTCTATCATGGTAGAACAATGTTTTCATCGTGGAATCCTGCTATGTTCTGAATAGCATCGACCTGACATGATACCATAGTTGTGAGGACAATCAAGTGGAAATCAAAGGTCGTGGCCTACTACCTAAACGTTTAACCGACGAATTGAATTTCCAGCAAAGGTATCAAAGTTTCTAACGGTAATTAAGATAAATAACTATCTAGGTTATGTCACTTAAATGCATCTCAAGAAAATTTGATACAATTATGTTGATCCCCAATTACTTGAGATGGTCAACCATTCCATCACTATCTTTGATACGGTTACCAGAAAACTAGCTCTAGATTATACTAACTGTTTCCAAGGGAGAAACCTTTATGAAAAGTTTCAAGAACCAATTTATTCAGATAAATTTTCACCCACAGATCAATAAGGCTGGTCATCGAAGTTGATCACAATATCATGCTGAATTCAGAGACTAGCAGTAGCAAGTTAGCGTTCAACATGTGAGCCCTGGCCATTTTCAATGACAATCTAGTGTAATGTTTAACAATATCCTTCGTTCTATTGCGTTTTTATCAGAAAGAACGCCCTTTAGACACATGTCAGCGTTACCTTTGTCAAAAAAGATGACCAAAGCAAGTGCCTTTTAGGCCCCAATTCCTATCCATGCAAAATTTGCCCTTATATAGCTTGTTACCTTGTCAATGACCATGTAGAGTATGGTTATTTAAGGTTTTTAGGCCTGCTATACTAGGATAGACGTCCATCCTCTAAGGAAGCAATAGAGTTACATGGTTCACGAATATGCATATAATATATGCCTAAAAGGCAGAAACAGATAATATCTCTTTCAGGAAAGTTATTCCTCGTTTTCGTATAGAAGTGGATACGATGGCATGACATCAATTGAAAAAAATAACATATAAAATGTAGACACAACCATTAATAGTGCTTTAGACGTCATCGACATAAGTGACATCAATATGCCATCACTAGATGGTTCTGGGAGAAGGGAGGATGTGGCCAAACTAAACAAATGGAATGATAAAAAGACCAAGACAGCAGGACATACAGCTACAAATAACGAAAACTGTTTCCAAACGATGGAGAAATGTCATATAAGGTACACAGCCATAACGGTTACTGAATTTTATTCGATACATGACCAGAAAACCATATCCTAGATCGATTGGTTCCGTGGGACAAAAGAAAGTTTCAACTACCTAGGATTAGAAGTTTATAGAAGGAGAGTGGTTAGCTCGAATACCCATCTATCACAGTTTGATAAAGTTCACCACTGTTAGCAAAAGCCAGACTCTCAGGAGTTGAAAACGGGAACAAGAAGCCAGGCACACAGTTCACTCGTCTGATCAGTCCGCGGTTGGCTTAAGTTGTACCCAAGTAAAAGGCTATGATTTAAATTTCTCAAGGAGTTCAAACAAATGACAAGATACCTCTCTTCGTAGACAACTACGAGACCTTTGCAACCTGAGGAGGCACAAGAAGTCTCAAGGAATTTTTCAAATGCATAAGATCTTTATGATCTCTAATGGAGACACTTTCTAGACATGACCAGCTAGCTGTCCCTATTGAAAAGCCCGAAACCCCTCGCATCTTGTGGAGTGAAGAATCGCCTACTGTTTGACCAGTCCAAAGAGAAAAGGTATATGGCCAATAATTCAGTTAGGTCAAGAATTTTCCTCCCATGATTCCGATTAAGGAAAGAACGGAAGAAACCGAGAAATGCATAAGACATACAAATAGGGAACGAGAACATACCTCATACTGCACCTCTGCACCCACAATGTCTTCCACACCCACGACCTTCTCCCTGAATAGCTCAGCCTCCCTGTTCTGGTTCCGCCGCTTTGTTCGCTCCCTGACCGCGAGCTCGGGATTCATCCACTGGCCGAATGCTGCCGCCCCATCATCCCCGTTCCCGCCAGCGGCGACGTCGCTTCCTTTCCTCGCCTTCTTCCCCTTGGGGAACCTCACCTTCTTCTCCCTGAAAAACCCCGACAGGAAACCCAGAGACATCACAACAGCCCTACTCCCTGCTTAAGGAAAGAATTTGCCACCGGCCAAACCAAAGAGAGAGAAAGAGAGAGAGGGAGAGAGCTGTACATGGAAGGTTTCTCATCCTCCTCGTCGTTGCCATCCTCGCGGAAAGGACGTTTGACACCGGAGACCTTGCCGCCGTCCGCCATTGCCACGATTCTCTGCTCCTCCCGCCCCTTCTCTTGTATTATTATTATTATTATGATAAGAGGATTCCACCGAGTCATCGGACGGCTGTTAATGGTCACAGTAGTGGGCCGATTGGCTGGAAATCAGCCTATGGACCATTTCCCCTAAAAATGGGCCGTCGCTGAGAAAGTTCAGTGGGCCACAGAATCTGGGAAAAAGAATAGGCCGAATTTGGTCGAGCTGAGCTTGGGATGAGCCCACACATCAACAGACCTCTCATCCACTGGCAGATCTTTTTTTTTCTTTAAGGAAAGTAAATCAAATTAATTATATGTATTTTATTTTTACAGGGGAGCTCGACACGTGTCTTATCTCATCTCTCTCCAACCCTACCCCTTCGTTTGACCTTATCCCCACAAAAGCTTGCATATGCCCCTCCTCCAAGGGCACGTACGCAAAGCCCATAGCATACGTACTTCCATCTTTTAGGTGGCCAAGCCACAATTAGTATTACTTTGTGGGGATAAGGTAACTCAATATTTTTTAAGGCCCTTTTATGTGTTTATGAGATACACATAGACCAATATCATAGTTGTTTGAAGCTTTGGCTTATGGTAGTACATCCATCAAGATCTACCGTTACACGTCACCAAAGATTTTTTCACTTAAGATATCATCGTGATCTAATCTATATAATCACGTGTTTAATTTTTTTTAATTTAATATTTAATGTTATCATAAAGAAAAACTTATGGTCAATGATGTTGACGTCAGATCCAATACCCAAGAGATTAATATTTCCGGTGTAGATGTGTGGCGTTGAGGCCTTTCAATTCGTGATAAATGCGTGGATTGTGTTTCTACATTAATTCAATATTATATATATATAAAAAAGACTTTCTAGAAATTAGTGAATTATTTACTAGGTAGTTATTTTATTTATCGCTTGCCCAACTGGAGAGTGTTTTTTCATGGGTTAGTATTTGAGAAAATAATAATTTGACCAGGGAAAACCCACCAAACCAGAAAATGGGGATATCCAAGATTTTCAACTCATTAATCGAGAGTCAATATTTTTTAAAATATTCGAGAAATTAAATAAGTAGATAAAGATGAGTAAAGATAATGTAGAAAAATAAAACATAGGTGAAGATGGAGTAATTTATAAGATGTCTGGGGCAAATCTGCATGCAGGGGACGGCGCCAACCCACCAAACCCACTAAAAAGGAATTATCATTTTTTAAAATTTTATCTACATTTCACTTTTGTTATTTATGTTTTTTTATTATTTTATTTTTAGTATCGTCGTGTTCGCTTTGGAGGCTTGCGGAGCAGAAACCTTATCCAAAATGTCCACATCGGCAGTGTACGCCACAACCAGTCGTTCAGAGCCACGCAAAGGATTCGCTATCGTGCGCCGCGTATCAAATACTCTTCTCAGGGGCGACCGACGCTGATCGGACAACACAGGAAACGAAGAAAAAGAGGGGGGGTAAGGGACGAAAAGTAACAGCGACGACGCCGCTGCGATTCACCGCGTACGGGCCGCCGCCGCCGGGAAGACGACGGCCGCCGTGTCGAAGCCCAGCAACCGGCAGTGAACGTCTGCTCGGGCCCGCACGACGGGCGGCGGAAGCGCTTCCGCCGCCGCATGGGAGGGGGAGGAAGGGGAAGGGGAAGGGGAAGAGGGAGAAGGAGAAGGGTTGAGGGTGCGGCGGTAGGGGCCGAGCCACTTGGCCTGCATGAAGCGGGCCTTCCGCCATGGCGGGATGTGCATCTCCCGAGACCGGAGGGAGCGCCGTGCGGCGTCGGCGAGGACTCTGAGAAGCTGGCGGAGCACCTCCGGCCTGGCGACGAGCAGCCTCGGGAGCTCCTCCGTCAGGCGTCCGTACTCCGCCGTGGGGCGCGCGATCTCGAACTCCCCGGCGAAGTCGATGTCGACGATGTACCTCGCGGCTTGGTCCGGCGGCGATGTAAGTACGTCGATGTACTCATAGCTGCCAGCGACGATTCCTCCGCTGCCGCTCTCCCACCTCGATTTGCAGATCCCGGCATTGTAGCCGATCTCCCTGAGGGACGCCATCACCGCCCGACGGAACGCCAGTCTGTTCTGCTTCAGATCCGCAAACCTGTCTGCGGCCCTGGCGGCGTCCGCAGCCAGATCCCGCCTGTACCGCTCTTCCGCCGCCGAGGACCTCCCCCGGTTCACCAGGTCTCGGATCATCTCCACGCCGGGGACGGTGAAGACGGACTGGAGGCCCTCGCCATCGGAGAATCCCCCCGATCGCTCCACAGACTCCTCCTCGGTCTCCTCGACGTCATCCCATCCCTCCTTCTCAGAGAAGAAGAAGCCGTCGACGAAGTCGGAGGCCTCGGCGTCGTGCTCGCTGCCGCTGCTGCTAAAGTATCCCGAACCGCGCCGGAGCTCGTCGTCCCCTCTGAGGCGCGCCTTCACCTTGTCGTCGAGCGGATCGGTCACACGCTTAGCCCGCCCCGTCGCAAAGATCGTCATCTCCCCTCCCGATCCGCTCCTCCTATGCAACAATCTGTCAAAAACACAGCAGTGTGAGGCCTCCAGCAACTAAATCCGGCCGCCCTTTCCGAGCATATACCGCCGTTTCTAGAATAATCCGAACCTAACCTGCAAGGCGATCCGCATCGATCATCGCTCCGACCGGATAATCCCCATCGAATGCGGAGCAGCAAACAAATCCAAATCGAGCTGACGACGATGACGACGACAACGAAGAAGGAGAAGGAGAAGCCGATATATCGGCGCTGGAGCCGGCGCGGCCCCCACCTTCTTCCAGAAGCGACGCGGATAATCACCCTCGGTCGTCGAATATTCCCGTGCATAGACAGCCCCCACTGCCCCCCTCTGCCTAAGAAGAGCCCTCGGAAGAGAGGAAGAGGATGACGACCTACCCCGCCCCCCTTCCCTTCTGCATGGGACGGCCGTTCCCCCTCTGGCTTTATCGGAAAGGAGATAGAGATAGAGAGAGAGAGACAGAGACAGAGGGGATGATTTTGACGTGGCTTCATCTCAGTCGTAGATGAGGAGCTCTTTCGACGGGACACGTGGGATGGAGTGGAGCACCCGTGCGGCTCGTGGGAGGGCCGAGGGGGTGCCCATGGAGAGGGTGCGACGATGGGACGGGGCCCTCGCTTGGTCTTTTAAATAATATTTCTTTAGCTCATCCAGGATAATAATTTTAGTAGATATTATGAGAAACTTTAGGATCGTGGCGACATGAAGAGATCATGTTGCCTCTCCATTCAACACAGTACCATGTTGTCTGAGCCACGTCATTTTATAATATACTTTAAATAATTAATAATACCCTTTTCTTGTGGATTAGTATTGATTCTATGAATGTTGGGCATTTCTTCCTTCCTATTATCATCGAATATATGGTTTTTTCCGAAAATAGCATATTATGTCAAATATATTTATTATTATAAGTAACGGTATAATGTCTCGGGGGCTTCGAGACTTGTTTTTAGAAGAAATTTGGGACCCATTAAACTTGCATATTATCCAAATTTAGGAAAGTAGCTCCGCCCAAGTCAGTCGGTTAAGTGTGAACCATGACTGGCTTGATTTGTATGCAATGACCCATGACCACGACGAGAGTATATATCTAATAAGAATAAATGGATGGAATAATTGGCCCCCCGTTTCGACTGCAAGACGGCATCTTGTGTCGGCAAGGTAACCCAGGTGGGACAGAGAAAGGCCATTAATTATAATTATTTTCCTCATAAGCGTATTTACAAAAATTGCTCGTGAACTTATCCGGGACATCCACGTCAGCGTCGGCCGCTCGAATCAGAACCCGCTATCTTGCGCCGCGTCGCAGATCTTCTCACCATATAAAATAGCAATAAAGTAAAAAAAAATCCCCATTATTCAACGCGTTCGAGCCGCCGCCGGGAGGACGGCGCTCGCTGCCGCGTCGAATCCCACAAGCCGGCGCTTCACGTCTCCGCGAACGAACGGCGCCGCCACCAGCCGGGAGGAGGGAGACGAGGTCCCGACGGATCGTCGGTGAGGGTCGAGCCACTTGGCCAGGATGTATCGGCTCCTCCGCCATGGTGGGAGGTACATCTCCCTCGACCGCAGAGACCTCCTGGCGGCGTCGGCGAGGATCTCCAGCAGTCGCCGGAGCTCCAACGCCGTCCCCACGAACACCGGCGGCAGCTCCCGCAGCAGCCTCTCGTACTCCTCCGTCGGCCGCGCGATTGCGAATTCCTCCGCGAAGTTCACGTCGACGATGTATCTCTTCTGGATCGCCGGCGGTGCCGTTGTGGAAGCGAGCACGTCGATGTAGGTGTAGCCGGCGCAGCCGCTCTCGCAGGCGGCTGTGTTGCAGAGCCCGGCGTCGTAGCCCATCTCCCGGAGGAACATCATCACCGGCCGCTGAAATGCCGCCCGATCTTGCCTCAGCCCGGCGAACCTGTTTGCCGCCGCGATAGCGTCCGCCGTAAGGTTTCGCCGGAGCCACTCCTCCGCCGGCGGCGCCGCCCTCAGTGTCACCAGGTCTCGGATCATCAGTGCAACGGGAACGGAGTAGACGAACGGCCGCCCCTCGTCGTCGGATCCCTCGAACCCGCCACCGCTATCCTCGTCGGCGCGACGAGCGTCGTCGGAGTCCTCGTAGTCGGGGAAGAAGAAATCTCCGACGAACTCACCGCCAGTTCGCCGGAGCTCGTTGTCGAATGGGTCGGTGACACGCTTCGCCCGCTTCATCGCAGCTGCCGTTGTCTATCCTCCCAAGCTCTCAAAGTTTATATCTTCAGCGGAGGAGACACCTGTGATGAAACCTTCTCGAAGGCCGGCTTGCTGGTTTTCTTATCGACGGAACCCATAAATAATTATTTAGATGCTCGAACAGTCAACGCAGCCGCCAGGCCGGCTCCTCGGCTTCACCGCCGCCGGTAGCATCGAGTGAATTATCCCCGCAAATGCGTTCACGAATATTCCTGGCCGCTGCTACCGTCCGCGTCTCCGGCCTCCCCCTCGGCCACCTCCTCCGGAGACAGGACGGGATCATTAATCGTCGACATCATACCCTCGTGGAGTAGGAAACAAGGATCGAGACGAGCGGTCCTCCTCGTTCCTCCACCTGCCCCGACAGCCACCGCTCCTCCTCGTTTTCCGACGAGAGAAAAAGAGAGAGATAGAGATAGAGAGAGGAATATCCAGTGCGGCGCCGGCCGGCGGAGCGGCATATACCGGGGAGATGCCGTCTCGGGCGGAAGGCCTGCCCTCACCGATGCTCTCACTCAAGCATGGAACTGTTCCACCTGCCGGGGAAGGCACAAACGAGGAAAAATAATTCTTTTTTTTGTCGTTTTTTATCTAAAGCTATACAGAATTATCGATATTATTGGTCATTTTTTTGCCCAAACAGCTAATAAGGAATGTCACAATTTTCAGATAACATCAAATAAATATGTAATATATATATCAGGTTTTTTTAATAAATCAGCTACCACCGCCGGCCGCGTAAACGCCGCCCGCAGGCCACCCGTTTGACGTAGGAGGCCACGAGGTGCCCACATCGCCGCGTCTTTCGCCGCTGAACGCCGCCGCTGACAGAGAGAGAGAGAGAGAGAGAGAGGGCAACCGCTGTAAACGAGGCCGTGAGGATGTCCTTTCTCGGAACGGATTTGTAAAGGCGGGCCGCCGGCCTCAGTACGGCGTGGGCCCCACATGGCGCCTAGCGATTACTTGAAGTGACGGGCCGACGCCGTGACCCGGTGGCCCCGGGGGAACAGCTGCCGAGTCGTAGGATGACAGAGCATGTGGACCCCACCGTCGGGTTATCCATCTCCCTACTCTGTCGTCTAGTGGATCCCCCAAGCGGGCCCCACATTCCCGATTAACATCGCTGAGGCATTCGCAGACTTTGCAGTAGAAGCGCTGCATAAAAATGTATATCCATCATTCCAAACATCAGAAGTGGCCCACTAATGGCCAGCCACGTGCCGGGGGGACCGGCTCATCTCCGCCGGTGGCCCTTTCTCATCGCCACCGCATTCACCGCCGCCGCCGCCGCCGCCGCCGCCGCCGCATGGATCGAAGGTACAAAAAGAGGGTATGTGTCTAAGAGAGAGAGATTGGAGAGACGGCCGGCTTTATCTTGTCCGAGCCGCCGGCGGGATCCCGAGCGGAGCCGCCGCGTAGAATCCCAGAAGTCGGCATTTCACGTCCTGCCCGGCCGTGAAGGACGGATGAGAGGCCACCGGCGCCGCCGCTGCCGTCGATCCCCCCGGCGCCGGACTCACCGTCCGGCGATAGGCGCCAAGCCATTTCGCCTGCATGTACTGACCCTTCCGCCATGGCGGGACGTACATCTCCCGCGACTGCAGCGACCGCTTCGCCGCGTCGGCCATCAGCCTGAGCAGCCGCTTCAGCTCCTCCGGCCGCCCCAGGTACACCCGCGGCAGCTGCCCCGCCACCCGCTCGTACTCCGGCGAGGGCCGCGCGATCTCAAACTCGCCGGCGAACTCCACGTCTACCAAGTACCTCTGCGGCGGCGACGACGACGACGACGACGGCCTGAGGACATCGATGTACTCGTAGCTCCCCGCGGTGGCGCCGCCGCGGCTCTCCCACCGGGCCTTGCAGATCCCGGCATTGTATCCCGATTCCCTGAGGGAACCCATTACTGCCCTCCGGAACGCCGCCCGGTTCGGCCGCAGCGTCGCCAGCCTCTCCGCCGCCTCCGCCACCTCCGCGGCCAACTCCCGCCGGAAAGGGTTCCCCGCCGCCGCCGGCTTCAGCAGGTCCCGCACCATCGTGCCCGCAGACGCATAGGAGAGGCAGCCCCTCGCCGCCTCTCCGTCCGACTCTTCGTCGTCGTCGTCGTCCTCCTCCTCCTCTTTCCCCCCGCCGTCGCCGTCGTCGTCCTTGTCGGAGAAGAAGATCCCGTCAACGAAGCCGGCGAGCTCGCCAGCGCCCTCGTGCTCGCTGCCGCTGCTGATATATCCACCGAATCGGTACTTGTCTCCTCTCAGCTGGGCCTTGACTCTGTCGTCGAGCAGGTCAGCCACTCTCCTCGCCCTCCCCCTTCCTTCCGCCGCGGCCATCTCCCTCCCCGCCTTCTTCCCTCTGATGAGACCTCCTCGGCAGCTCCATCGGCAGGCAGCAGTTTTAAAGGGGGGGGACATGGGGACGCCTCTGAGCATGAAACCCCGTCATTAACGTCAGATTATTATCCTAATTATAAAACAGAAAGGGCTCGACAGCCCGGATTATCTCTAATCTCTAAGAATTTTAAAGGGGTAATGGACCTTCTTCGTAGTGGAACTGGCAGAGGAATATGCGGACGAACAGAAGCACCCCCCCCTCTCTTCCCCCCATCCTGTAAAGATCGGATCTTTAAGTCCTACCGGAGGGGGTATATACCATATTCGGTTTGAATAAAAATGGAACCTTTTTCGTGCGTTGGGGAATATGCCGGCAGCTGCCGCACCCCCACGCACAAGGGCCGGGCCGGACCTGGACCCAGCCCGGCCCACTGTCGGGAAAAGCCCATGCCGACGAACAGGTACGAATCAGACAGAGCCTTGTCGTCTCCCGACACTGGTCCTTGTGGAAAGTGGGTCCGGACCAAGTGACCCGGGAAACCAGGACGAAAATGCGTCCGGGTTCAATGAATTGAATTTATGGTAATTTAACCCGAGAAATAAACACAATTTCTGGGAATCGGCACGAATAATTGATGACTTATTCTCAGGAACTAGAGGACGGTGAGCTTTATTTTTTTCTGGGAATATTATCGTAATTAAAAAAGTCAATCAGCTCGCCCCGGATGGACGGACTCCCAAGGATGGCGACATGAGAATAGAAAAAAGGCATGAGTACGGTCCGACCCAACCCAAACCGAACCCGTTCTCTCTCTCTCTAGCCATTAAGTGTCTATCTCAGTGAAGTAGGTGTGGCCCAGCTGAACCGAGATAGGGTGGGGTCCACATCTATTAAACTCGCCTTGGACGGAGCCCGGTTTGGTGGTCGGGCCCGGTTAGCCTGATTCTGATGCAGGAAAATGGGCCCGTCAATAATTATAAACATTTTCGTGGATTACATGCCATCGACTGTATTAATTTTCTGCGTCAAATCAGTAAGAAACAGTATTTTTTTCTTTAAAACCCTCTAGAATATTAACTATTCGCAATATCCTCCACGTCTCGGTTTGTACAGATGTGGACGTACCGCGAGTCGCGTTCGTGTACGACGCACGCTTTTCCTGCTTGAAATGGCCGGCTTGGAATGGTGGACTCATGTGACCGAGTCAACGGTGGAGGCCAGCTCACTTCCTGGGCCTTCGAGCAAAGCACAAGAGTATTTACTGGGCCGAGCCGGGCCCATAATATTGAACATCAGGCCAAGACAAGCCGACCCATATCCAGAAGAGAGAGAGAGAGAGAGATGGCCCCAAATTAGGCGCATTTTTCACTCTAAGCTGGATTTGAGCGACTAGGGTTTTTTATATATCATTTAGTTATGTATTTTAAGATGGTCTACGTCCCAAATGGCCTTTAAAAAAATAATAAAATTATTATTATTCTCCTAATCGTTTATTTCTTTTTATAAGCAAAAGCTTCAATAATGTCTTAAAAACACTCATAGCCATTATTTTTTTTTTGGAAAAAAAGAATATTAGATACACCGGAAGTTACAGAAGGATAGAAAATTGGGCCTTAAATTTACAAAAAAAATAGAAATCTCACAAGAAAAATGAAAATGATATTCTCGATAATCTTCCATCATCATATTGTGCTATCCTTTAAATAGGATAAATTGAAAATATAATATTAAATAAATACAAAGTGAAATAATTATTACCCTACAAATATGACACATTATATAAATATCACAATACTTTGAATGGGATCAATTTTAAAAAATAAAAATAAATAAAAAGTAAAATAATTACTACCCTACAGATATGACGCATTACATGCATTTCACAACAAAAATGAAAATGAAAATATTGTCAATCTTCCAAAATTATATTGTGCCAGCGTTTGAATAGGATCAGTTAAAAAAAGAATATTAAGTACTTAAAAGAGTGAAATAATTACTATCCTACAAATATGACGCATTGTCCGCATGATTTTGAACCTAACTGCCTAAATGACTGGACTTCAAGTCATTTTTAGGTCACTTAGGTCACGAATATTATGTTCCTTTCAAGCTTTTTGAAGTGATGCCCTACATCAATATCTCATGTGGGATCCCTCTTGGAAGGTACTCACGTGACTTAGTAGATGTGGGTGGGGGCATTCCTTTGGCCCAATCACGGGGCCAGATCGTAGGAGTAATCAGCCTGTTGATTCCTTAGTAAATAAAAAACTGAATTCACAAATTAAATAAACATAAAAAAATTAAAATGGGTACAAGAATAAAATAAGAAAACGTTTGAGTTTGAATAATAAATGGCAGCTACGAAAAATACAAATTTTAATAGGACAAAATATTTATTTACAGTACACTCATAGAAATAGACTACAACAGTGCATTTGCACGGCATCTCTCTCTCTCTCTCTCTCTCTATCTCTCTCTCTCTCTATCTCTCTCTCACTCACTCACTCACTCGCCTGCATCCTCCAGCCTGGGCCATCGCCCTGCTCTTCCCTTCCGTATCTCTCTCTCTCTCTCTCTGTAGGTCGGCGTCGCCCATCTGATAGGAAGAGAGAGAGAGGGAGCTGATGGAAAAAAAATCTGACTTGCCTTCATCTCGCCCTGGTGGCCGCCGGCAGGACTGCAAGACGCGGCGCCGCGTCGAACCCTACGAGCCGGCATTTCACGTCCCGCCCCGCCGTGAAGGACGGATGAGACGCTGGCGCCGCCGTCGATCCCGCCGGCGTAAGGTTCGTGGTCCGGCGGTAGGCGCCCAGCCATTTGGCCTGCATGTACCGCCCCTTCCGCCATGGCGGGATGTGCATCTCCCGCGACTGCAGCGATCGCTTCGCCGCGTCGGCCAGTAGCCTGAGCAGCCGCTTCATCTCCTCCGGCCGTCCCACGTAAACCCGTGGCAGCTGCGCCGCCACCCGCTCGTACTCCGGCGAGGGTCGCGCGATCTCGAACTCACCGGCGAACTCCACGTCCACCAGGTACCTCTGTGGCGTCGTCGACGATGACGGCCTGAGGACGTCGATGTACTCGTAGTTCCCCGCGGAGGCGCCGCCACGGCTCTCCCAACGGGCCTTGCAGATCCCGGCATCGTATCCCGATTCCCTGAGGGAACCCATCAGCGCCCTCCGGAACGCCGCCCGGTTCGGCCGCAGCGGCGCCAGCCTCTCCACCAACTCCGCTACCTGCGCCGCCAGCTCCCGCCGGAACGGGTCCCCGGCCACCGCCGGCTTCAGCAGGTCCCGCACTATCGCCGCCGTAGACCCAGCAGACAACTGCGGCCAACCCTCCTCAGCATCCGACCCCACCTTCTCGTCTCCTCCTTCCCCGCTTCCTACTCCACCGGCGGCAGCGTCCTCCTCCTCCTCGTCGGAGAAGAAGATCCCATCGATGAAGCCGGAGAGCTCGCCGGCGCCCTCGTGCTCGCTGCCGCTACTGACGTACCCTCCCAGCCGGTACTCGTCGCCCCTCAGCTGGGCCTTGACTCGGTCGTCCAGCGGGTCGGTCACCCGCTTCGCTCTCCTCCTTCCCTCTGCCGCCGGCGCCATCTCTCTCCCTCTCCTCCCTCCTCTGCGCCGCGATCTAGGAACCTCTTGCAGCGGCCTGGCACCTCCCCGGCGTAGATCCTCTTTATTATATAGTTCTCAGGAAGACAGGAGGCAGTGAGCCGACGATGTCCACATTCCTGCGAATCCATGAGGCCATTATAACCACTTTATTGCTCTACCGATAAGATCAATCTCTCTCTATCTCTCCCTCATCACGCCATTAAAAAACAAAAAAGGAAAAAGAAATTTCCTTTTTCTTCCTCAAATAACTAAAAAAGAGCGATTGCAAGCCCTAAACCCACTTCCCAAGGCGCCTCCTTTTGCTCTTCAAAACCATTTATAAATACCAACAATTCAATAAATATGATCAAATATCATAGGAAAAGCCCTCCCACCCGCATTTTTCTTTCTTTAATAAAACCTACGTATAATATTTTCCTACCTGTGGAGGCGCGGACGATTCGGCGGCGTCTCTTTTGTGGCGTCTAGGGGGGGGGGGAGCCAGGTGCTTGGTAGGAGAGACTCTACCCCCTTCACTTTATATAGGAGAGAGATGCCGGATGTGTCCCGGTTCAGTGCACCAGAGGGGCGGCTCTCTACCGCTGGGGGTCGGTGTCCAGGTTCGGTGAACCAGTAAGATGGGGGGCAACGTCCGAATGGCCCATTGACGTCCCTTTGGCCGTGCATGGCTGCATGGGGGCGAGATTGCTCGAGTGTTTTGTCGGGGTTTATCGGATGGAATCACAGGGTTGGTGTCAAGATGATTGATCCCACGTGGCGTGTGGCGTACCTGCTGAGCGTAGCTTCACAAATATGGGGAGCCGTCGAGACAGATTATCATATAATAATTGATAATATGCCCACGAAGGGGAAACTGATAATCATGAGGTTTATCAATGCGGGTCTATTTTGACAGGTGATATTGGGCATATTTAGATCATTAAATGAAGGGGGTATATGCGTCAGATACATGGGCTCAACGTTACTGAGGCATTCAGCTCGATGGACGACGTGGAGATAATATGAGACAAAAACAACTCACAAAACGGGTCATTTAATTTCTTCTTATTAGCTTCTTAAATCCTTTAATGAAACATGTTCATATAATCACTTTTTATGGTGAGTTTTTCGTGAGTTTTGAAAAATTCCTTCTTAGGTTTCATGAGATATCATGAATTTTGCATAATTATAATTAAGGTCCAATTTTGTGGCAATCTTTTGGTAGGAAGAGGAAATGATTGAAGAACACTTACACAAGTGGAAGAGGAACTCTCATAGATGATTATCTATTGTTAAGAACTCTTGCTTAACATGTGAAAGAAAATCTGAAGTAGACAAGAATTGTGAAAGTTTCTTGTAGTGATGTGGAATAATTGTCAATAATTTGAAAGCTTGATGATGGGTGCATCAAATATGCCTGCTAAGATCTTTGATGAATGCTTTATCAATTGCATGCATATTTTATCTAAAGAGTGTTGAAATGAATGCGAAGTTAATATATTAATAAAGATGATCTCATAATTTTTTAAGATCTAATAATTGAAAAAATCACCATTCTTAATTACTTGAAACAAATATTAAATAGCAAAAGTTATGATACTATAGAACTTTGTTTTTTCCTCTCTTTTTTTCCTTCTAATATAGACTTAAAAAATAATTTAAACTAACTATATATAACAGCCTCCATTCTTGTAAATAAACAAAATGGTGAATTAACTACCATTTAATTAAGAAAATTTAAAGGGTTAGTCTTGATCCATACAATATATTAACATAGTGTATGTGAACACAAAGGCCACTATGGGCTTCTTGGCCTTCACCTTTTTCACCTCTTTGTGTCTCTTAGTCTTCTCATGTCTCTTAGTATTCGTCTTCTCACTTAGCTCTTCATCTTCCTCTCTATATAGGAAGAAATGTACCCCTCTTTCTCTTTGAGTAAAACATATTCTATTTGTCTACATAGTATAAGAGTAAGTTGATGACACCCTTCTCCTCTCGGCGGCGCTAGCCTCCCGACGCCATACGCATTGACTCATGTCACTTTGTGCGTCACCTTTCGATGCTCCAAGTGTCGCCTCTTGATGCCCAATGCGTCATCTTCCGGCGCCCAATGTGTTGCCTTTCGTTGCCTAGTGCATTGACTCTCAACCTTGAGCGTCATCAAAGCAAGCTAGTGGCACCCTTCTTCTCTTGGCAATGCTAGCCTCCAATGCCCTGTGTATCAACTCCCAATGCCTTGTGCATCGACTCATGGTGCTCTGTGTGTTGCCTTCTAATGCCCTGAGCGTTGCCTCTCGACACCTAGCGGATTGCCTCCCAAGACCCAGCATGTTGCCTCCCAGCACCCAGCACATTGCCTCCCGACGCCTTGTGTGTTGACTCTCGGCACGAGCATCACCTCCTGACACCCCGAGCGTCAAAACCTCACATCTCCCACTAAATCTCCCAACTGGCAGATCTCTCATCTCTAGTTGATGGATCTTCAGGTGACGTCTCTCCTCATTTTGGGAGGAGACTATTCATCTTCTCACTCAACAACTTCTCGTCTTCCCTCGCACTATGACCGCTTGACGTCATGGTTGACTTAGACTCTCATGCACCTCCATTGACCATGTCGATCGATGCCGGCACAACCTTGGTCGATTCACTTGCAGCTGCCCACATCCTACCCATCGGAGTTCTGACTCAACTTCAAAATCTGTGTCTAGTGCTCAATGAAGGAGGTATGAATTACCTTCAATAGACACATAACTTTTGTCGTCTTTTCGGTGTTCAGAGGTATTGACAATACATCATCGATCTTCTCCTCCTGAGAACAATTTTCATCACTCTACGTGGACAAATAGAGATGAGACCATTCATATGTAGCTTCTCAAACTTGTTACTCCCGCTCTCTCTAGCAACATTGAATTTCTCAACATGACTAAAGAAAAGTGGGATACTTTCGACAGAGCCTTTGGCACTAAGTACATCATTACTTTTATGAAAAATATTTTCAGAAATATCATGAATATATGTGGCACCATCTCTCTTTTTCATGTCACACTTCTCGTCATGCAGAAGCTTGACAATCTACTTGATTAGTACCAACCTATTACGCCAGACATCATTCAACGACGCTACTACTAGGAATTCTTGATAACTATATATTTTGATACGATTGATTTGACTCTAGCTTCTTAGGTACGAGGCTCGATATTAAATGACAAGACCTCTCTAACATTAGTGAAATTTTTTAATGTAGTCAAAAGAGTAGCTCCTCTTGTTTCCACATTGACTACGACATTGTTGAAGATATCATCACCGGTCCGTGAAGCCTCGACTGTAGCAATTACTACTCAAGAAGTAGGATGAGGAAGGGGCCCTACCCTTCGTGGTGGGAAAGGGAAGAATAATCATAGAGCTTCTTTGGGCCGGGGTCACCTTATTTCGTGCGGACATTGTGGGGGGACCAATTATTGAGCGACCAAGTGCTACAAAAATTTTGGTTATCCATTTGACTAGCCAAGCCTGCTTCCTCTAGGTGGGTTCTACGTGCACTCTATTGCCTTTTCATTATTAGTTATTACCTCTTCACCCTCGCAAGGGTCCTCTTTGGAACCAACTCTGACTCATGCAGGTAACCAGGATCTCTATCTTGTGAGGAGTATGATCAGTGGATGCATTCCAAAGAGGGGGCTTTGACTTCTCATGCATCGCACCACACTTCATTTTTCAATACAAGTACCACATTTCTAACATCTGAGTCTATGTCTGAGACTTGGATTATTGATTCAAGGACATCCGACCACATGTCAAGTACCTCATCTCTCCTTTTCCACCTCCATAATCTAATCTATCATGAAACTATCACGATTGTTGATGGTCATCCCTTTTACGTCACTAGAAAAGAAGATGTTAAACTTAGTTCCATATGATTGTATTTTTCAGGATTTGCAGATTGGGGCAGGGATTAATTTGGGTAGAGAGACTGGTTGAGACCTCTATGAGCTTATTTTAGACACTTCATCTATTAGTCTCTCATGCTTATTATCTAGAAAAATTTATTTACTTATGTGACATTGTCGTTTTCGTCATCTAAATGTTTTGAAATTACGTGAAGCTTTACTTGGACTTTCTCTATTTGATTTTAAATATAAATCTTGTGAACTTTGAAAATATTTTTGTTCGACAAACTATTGACATGATTCCCCACCATGCAGCCAGCCATTCAAATTAATTCATTGTGATGTCTAAGGGCCCGCATGCGTCACTTTGGTTTTTGATTTTTGTTACTACATGGTCCTAATTGACAATTTTTCATGCGTATCATGGGTCTACCTCCTCATAGATAGAATTGTAATTCTTCCCCATCTTCAAAAATTCTTTCAGAAAGTATGAACCTAGTGAAACACCGTGCCTAAAATCTCTTGAACAGATAATGCTCTTATCGGGTTTGTCTTATCCTTAGCTACTGAATTAATATTCAACTCTCACATGAATGCTATGGCGGCACTTCATTGAAAGGCAACCATAGATGAGGAATATGTGGCCCTCATATGATAGGAAACTTGAGAGATCATTCCTTGACTATGTGATGCTAACATAGTTTCTTGCAGATGGATTTACACCCCCACGTATCTTTAAGATGATACTATTTATCGCTATAAGGTTTGACTAGTGACGCACGGCTTTTCTCAACATTATGACATTAACTATGAGGAGACATTTTCTCTCGTGGCCCATCTAAGCTCAATACGTATCATTATTTTTATGACAGTCAACTTCAACTGACCTCTACATCAGTTAGACGTCTCTAATATTTTTCTCTATGGTGATCTTGACAAAGAGGTCTATATGAAGCAATCTCCTGGCTACATGATCAAAGTAGAATATGTCAAAGTATGTCATCTTCGCAAAGCCATCTATGGTTTGAAATAGCATCTTCGAATTTGATTCATCAAATTTAACACTCTTATATGATAGTGTGATTTCTCGGCATGCAAAGTGGAGTTTACAATTTTTTACAAGATCATCGTAAATGTGTGTATTTATTCTCATTGTCTATGTAGACGATATAATTATCACGAGAAGTGATAAGGCGAGCATTCATAATACCAAGATGTTTCTTTAGGAACATTTGGATATTCAAGACTTGGGGACCCCCAAGTACTTCTTAGACATAGAGTTTGCATGCCGCCATAGAAAATTGTCCTCAACTAACGTAAGTATGTACTTAATCTTTTGTAGGAGATGGGATTACTCAAACATGAGTCGCATGCATCTCATATTGAAAGTCAGCCAAATTTCTGAGACTCACCTTGCCTCTCCTTGTTGACCCTCACCCATATCGAAGTTTGATTGAAAAACTCATTTATCTTAGTGTTACATGACTCGACATTAGTTATACAGTGAATCTTCTCAGTTAGGTTATGCATGAACCTTAACGCAATTATTAGGAAGCTGCCCTAAGACTTCTTGCCTATCTCAAATATGTTCATAGACGAGGAATTACTTTCCGCCACCACAAATATCTTTGCGTGTTTGGTTGCTCAAACTTTAATATGGTTGGCAATTGTGCAAATCAAAAGTCTACCACAGGCTATTGTATATATGTCGGAAGAAATCTTGTGACGTGGTCTAGTCACAAATAACATGTCTCTTGCTCCTCTAATATTGAGGTCGAATATTAAGTCATGATGAATATGTCATCGTGTATGTTTTGGGTACACAACCTACTTAAGGAGTTGAGTTATTCAGTACAAGGTGTTATACTTATGTAATATAATAATCAATTAGTGATCTTCATAACAGATAACTCAACTTTTTATTTATATAGCATACATATCAAGGTTACATGTCATGTCATCTGCCATTGACTTTTGGACAGACTTATCTACACTTCACATATGACATCTTCAAAGTAACTTATGAATATTTTTACTAAAGATTTAGGAGTTACATCAGAGGATACTTTTTTGTGCAAACTAGGCTTAGTCGACATCTATACTCCAACTTGAGAAAAAATGTGAGCACAAAGGCCCACTATAGGTCTCTTGGCCTTCTTACATCTCTTGGCCCTTCAAAAATGTACTCTTCTGTCTCTTAGTCTTCTCATGTCTCTTAGTATTCATCTTCTTACATGACTCTTTATCTTACTCCTCAAAGACGTGTACCCCTCCTCTATGAGCAAAATTTATTCCATTAGTATATAGTGTAAAAATAAAACTATTATAATAACCTAAAATAATTATATCACTTTCATTGTGTTAACATCCAAGTAAGACTAAGTCCATACACAACATTATATCTCACTTTATTGAAAAATGTACCAGTAAAGCATGTCCCTATGTTGTGGTGTATGTATGATATCGACGACTCTAATATGATTTGATTTATATTTTTATTTATTTTAACAATTCGAAATTTCTTGGATTGAGAAATGACGTTTAAAGGTCGATGAGAATTTATTAAAGTAATCGGGAGCATAAATGTAAAAGGCTGGCCTTCCCGTTGATGGGTAGTAGGGCGAGGGCGGAACTAGTCGAGGTGGGGGCAATGGCGAAGGCTAGAGAGGAGCCTCCGAGGCAGAAGCGGCGGCTCCATGAGGTCTCCAAACGCCTCCCCAACCCTTTCAAGCTGAAGGCCGCCGAGGAGAGGGACGGCGCTGATCAGGGTAAGCGGAGGAAGGGGGTAAAGAAGCTTAAGAGGGAGAAGAAGACGGAGTTTGGGAATGGGAGGGGGGAGGAAGATGCCGTTGCGCGGGAGAACTCGGGGGGAGAGATAAAGAAGCTTAAGAGGGAGGCGGAGGAGAATGGCAACGGGAGGGAGGGGGAGGACGCCGTTGAGCAGAAGAGCAAGAGGAAAGAGGCGAAGAAGCGTAAGAGGGAGAAGAAGGCGGGGGAGAAGGGCAAAGGGAAGGAGGATGGGGAGGGAAAAGGGGGGGAGAAAGTTGGAGTTGCTGAAAGTGTCAGTCTCTCAGCCTCCTCGCCTTTCCTGCTGTCGACTGCGCCGTTTGATCAGCAGCTTCAGTTCTTCTGCAAGCAGTTCGAGTTTGGGAACAAGTTTAAGATATCTTCTCTTGAGCTGGAACCCGTCAAAGGTACGCCTCCATTGCTCGCCCGAATTTTCTTCTCCCAAAATTCTTGAGCATCATGGTTGCAGAAATCTTGCCCTAAAAAGGGTACCCCCCGTTCCCCGATATATTTTTTTTTCTGGTGCATCGTGTTGCCCTGCATAATACGTATTTGACCATGTGGGTTCCCCTCTTTCGGACCAGGTAACGCTGGAAAATGGAGTATTTACAGATTGTCACTCGCTTCTCTCTTTCATGAAGTTTTTACTTAGGATCTTTATTATAATATTTTGATAAGTATTAATTCAATCTTGGTACCAGTATGCATATATAGTCCAGGCATCAGTGTCGACATTTTTTTTTCTAAATCAAAACTGGAAAAATCTACAATCAGAATATCTTCTTTCCATTTTTTTCCCTTTCCAAATGGACCAGATTCTTCTCCTAGATAATCATCAACATCTGTCCCTACCATAGATTTTTTTTTTATGATAATTTCGGGTAATCATGAATACATTTTCCATCATGGGATTTCTAGCAATCGTTGAATTTTTCTGATCACTGGATTAAGAATTAATCCGCCATCTGCAGGCACATGTATTGCCAAGCTTCCTAAGGGCGTTAACCAGGATGTTGATGCCTTGTGCAAACACGTGAAGGACACTTTCGGGCCATCGTGGAGAAGTGCTCTGTGTGATGGGAAGCTTATGGAAGGAGAGATCGATCCAGGAAGCCCTGCCATCCTTCTTATCAGCACATCGGCCACAAGGTCATTGGAACTTCTCAGGTGGTGAACTCATCTTCTTTGACGTCGTTATTTCTTTTGTTGACTTTCAAACCTTGGGAACTGACTATAAATGGGGTTCTGGGGACTGATAATCCTCAAATGGGTCATCATTTTTCTTCAAGGTTTGACCATCCCGATCCAGTAAACCCAATGTATATACACTTATTTATATTTTTTTCTCCCTGGGGGGAGATGAGCTGCTGTTTGAAAGGGAAGATGAGGAAAGTGCAAGGGTGGGGACCCAGAACTTGGGAGCTATTCTGAGATAGCTTACGATCGAGATGCCTATGCTTTTTAGCTTTCCCCGTCTCAGAAGATTCTCTCTCCTCGTGAAATCCAAAAGCTTTCAACCCCTTAGCTCCTCGTGAAATCCAAAAGAAAAACAAATACTTTCAGCATAGAAGAGCTGAAAGTATTTGTTTTTCTTTATCACTTTGGTATGAACAACCTGTGAATGGGACTAATGCGAGCCCCCCCATTGTGTTCTCATTCTTGCCTTCTGAAATGGGTAATTTTCACGGCAGAGGCTTGCGACCCCTGACAATGGAATGTCGTCCGGCAAAGTTGTTTGCCAAGCACATAAAAGTGGAAGATCAGGTACGTGTTTCTCCCTGCTTCTACCAGGTTAATTCCTGTTTCCTATTCACTTGTTGAGGTCAGAATGGGAATTATCACCAATAATTATCATAATTTTAGCAAAGTTCGAATTTTTTTTTGGATCCAATCTTCGGTAAGTTGTGTTCTAATAATCGTAGAGTTTACCTGGTGCTTCAGTTTCCCTTTTAAGGAATTACCCTGAATAATCGCCCCCACCCTTTTTTTTTTTTTTCTGTTGTGTAGGTATCTCTTCTGAAGAGCCGGGTGAACATTGCCGGCGGCACACCGAGCAGGTGGGCTTATTTTCTCTCTCTTCTGGCCGTCCCTCACCCGTATTTTCTCTCTCATCAGCCCGTAGAGAAGAGTGATGCATTCCTTCAACCTCCCCCCTTACAGGATTAAGAAGCTGATGGACATGGAATCTCTGGGGCTCTCGCGCTTGTCTGTCATTGTTCTTGATATGCACAGGGATGCAAAGGGCTTCTCCCTGTTCACCCTTCCTCAAGTGAGGTATGGAACTCCCCCTCCTCCTCCTCCTCATCCTTCTTACTGAGCGACTCTTGTTCTTGGGGTGTGAAGAAATTCCTAATTATGGCACTTTATGCTTCCAGAGACGAATTCTGGGACCTGTACAGGAGCCACCTGCATGGGCGGCTCATTGGAGGCAATCTTCGGATCTGCTTCTATGGGTCGATACCAGAGAAGGAGTACCGGAAGACCCTGGCTAGGGGAGGGTCGTAGATCCTCGTTGCCCATTGCATTTATTCATAAAAAATCTTGAATATCTTCAGAAGGTGATATCTTTTTTTAATTTATTTATGAAATCAAGGCATCAGAAAGTGTTTAATTTTGAAATTCTGCTCAATATATGCTTTTGATTTCTTCGGTAATTTTCTGTGAAGCAAGACCCATTTTACTTCGTTTTGATACAGTAGAGAGAGAGAGAGAGAGAGAGAGAGAGAGGTCCTAATCTTCGGGGACCGACCCTCTTCCCGCACTGGTTCCGGCATCTAAAAACTGGGGCAATAATGGGCCGGGCCTGATCCCACGAGCCCGCGGCCAGCCCCCATGGCTTCTACGTCCAGGCCTGGAAGATGGGTCTTTAAAAGAGTGGGCTGAGGCACAAGTTTTCAGGTCCATTACGTTTTCGGGCATGAACAAAAAAGGCCGTGTCTTGATTGGCCCTGACTCTGTGACATGAGATGGGCTGGCGTATGAGTAGTAGGGCCTAAATGGGCCAGCCCGCTCCCCCGGCCCCCCTGGGGGGCTATCATTCCTTCGAAAACCCTAGCCTCGAGTTCCTTCATTTCTCTCCGTTGGCCGTTAGGAAGGAGGGGGAGGAACGCCGCGGCCGCCACTGTGAGCTCTCTCTCTCTCTCTATCTGTGCCTGCATCTCCAAATCTATTCACTTCCTCTCCGTCCGGACGGCAAGAGTAAGTGGCCGATTCTCGTCGTTGTTTCTTCTCTGTTTCGATCTCTTGGAGTAGGTGGTTAACATCCCCCTAAAGAGGGAGTAGAGAACTCAACTTGCCCGAGTGTTTGAAGCGAGAGTTGTCCCGTGGTGGGATCTTGTCGGACTCTAGGGTCCTCCAGTCGAGTGTTTGAGAGGGAAACATTTCCTGCTGGGGATCTTGTTTCTTCGTTTCTTGTTTAAGATTTATTTTTGAGTCTTGAACGTGGCTCTTTTAATTCGCATTTTCTGCCAAGAAGATCGAACGAGATGGCCGTGCCGCTGCTTGCAAAGAGGATCGTGAAGAAGCGCACGAAGAAGTTCAAGAGGGCCCAGAGCGACCGCAGGATCTGTGTCAAGGTCATGCACTATTCCCTTCTTCTTCCCCCGCTCCTCCCCAATATTTTTTGAGAGCAGCTAGTGTTTATCTTTTTAGCACTCGCATCAGTCGAACAATTTAATGTCTTCTAAACTCGTACGGTTGGCTATTCATGTATTCCAATGATTATTGACTGGTTTATGTGTTCTTGTTTACTTATCTGAAATCATCTCTAATAGAGAACAAAGTATTTAGTCTTTTGGATCATGGAAGACATAATTTTCTTTGTTACGGAGAGTTTTTATAAGATTTGTTAATGATATGGCTTATATTTTATTAGATTCTGGTCAGTGTCTTCTCTTAATATAAGAGTGACCTGTTTGAAGTTTTTGGTTGATGAGGCCATGTAATTGTTCCTCCATGCTGAAGTCTCTGGGAAATAGAATCAATTAGAAGTTATGTATTTGGTACAGGCCAGAAAAATAATTCACATACCAGGATTTCTATTGCGAACGAATAATCTCTCAAATGGGATTTTTATGTACCCTCAAAGGTGGAACCTTTGGTGAGTTTTTTTAAGCATATGAAGCAGAGTAATCAATCTTTTAAATATGCCCCAGTAATATGAGAACAGTTTGATCTTGTTCACGCGGACAGGCAACCTGGTGGTAGATTCTAGAGCATTTCATCTTCGGCTGTCAATTTTGGATATTATATTCATAATGAATTATATTTTTAATAAATTGATCCGATTGTATCGGGTGGTTATTAGTCCCAATATTTTTACCCTGCTGAGTCATATTTTTACTGGAAGAGAAAACTCTAAAGTTTCTGAAATATTTTTAAAAATCCAAAACCCGGTGGATATTTCTCTAGTTTTGAATTCATCTCTTTTTATTGATCAAGAATTTTGTGAACTGGAGCCAATATTGGATTCGACCCTGAATCTGTTAAATTGATTTTGGTTCTATGATGACAGACAAACTGGCGCAGACCCAAGGGTATTGATTCTCGTGTCAGAAGGAAGTTCAAGGGATGCACTCTCATGCCCAACATTGGCTATGGTTCCGACAAGAAGACCCGCCACTATCTGCCGAATCGGTTCAAGAAGTTTGTGGTCCACAATGTCAAGGAACTGGAGCTGTTGATGATGCATAACAGGTTATAGTCTGCACCTTCAATGACCCTCTCTATTACTCATGGCTTGCACTGATTAACGACTTTAGGGTAACTCTCTCTTTCTTTCTCTCTCTCCCTTGCTGGTTGGTACTGTGGAGGGTTGGGCCGGTCCTCTCTGGGCCGGGCCCGGGCTTCACAATGTGTTCAGTTATTTGAGGCAATTTTTCAGGCTCTTCTCTGGTATGGGCCCATTGATGCCCATTTATACCTTTAGGGCCTACATTGATGGATGAATTGTATAAATTGCTTGCATTATTGTAACTCTCTCTCTCTTTCTCTCTCTCTCTCTCTTCAGGACTTACTGTGCCGAGATTTCCCATGACGTGTCAACTAGGAAGCGCAAGGAGATTGTGGAGCGGGCTGCTCAGCTGGACATCGTGGTCACTAACAAACTGGCGAGGCTGCGCAGCCAGGAAGATGAGTGAAGGATGTGATGCTGTCGGGCTATTATATTTCTTCAGTGGAAGTTACCCCCCGCTCCTCCTTTCTCAGTTTTTTTTTTTTCTGAACTTTGTTTGTCAATTATCTCTGGTAAGATCACTTGTCATGGATTTTGTCTTAGTTTGTTTTGGTGCTGTAGCCGTATCTATTTCATGACTTGATGCTATTCTTGGCAAGTTAAACATGTCTCGGATGCCATGAATTCACTGCTCCATCTGATTGAGACTCTGACCCAGATTCAATTATTTGGGGAAACTTTTTTTCTTCATTGCTAAATTTTTTATTTGTTATAATTAAGCCAGTTATTTGGTTTACCATAGAATCTTTTTAATCCGAATCCAATTTTTTATCAGGGGATGCCTTTGACAACCGAAATAGAATTCATAAGTCAGAAAATGGAATCTTATAAATGATTGAGACTGAGCGGGGTTGTTTTTTATTTATTTGTTCATGGTGATCTGTCTACTTTAATAACTCATCTAACACAATTTTCCAACCAAAACATTGTCGGACCTTATCGGGTTGTCTTTAAAGTAATCTTGACGAACTTCAGCAGTGGGGCAAGCCTAGACCATGCTGAGATCAATGGTTGGCATCATAAATTTACGTTTATCCATTATTCTGGAACAATATAAGGCAATAGTAATCATGACTTCTTCATCATTTATTGACACGAAAGTTACCATATCAGGTTCTATTTCACATGATCTGAATCCAATTTTCTAAGAGGATAAATCATGGGTCAGCTTGAGATCATAAAAGTGCGTCATTTAAATGATTAGAACCTATCTATTTTAGTATCATTTCCTAAATAAGGAACCCTGGAATCACGCAGTGCATTCAAAATTTCCAACTATTCAATCCCAAGGAGATGAATTTTTAAAACAGCATTTATTGACACGAATTATCTTATTAGGTTATATTCCAACTAATTTTGAAAGAGACCAAGCCTAGACCAACATTAATTCAGAGCCCAGCATGATATGAGCAGGTGTTACTTTTTGACATCCTGAACAAATTCAGGTGTTCAAATGCCCGGAGATACCAAGCTATGAAATCTCGTCTTCTTAGGAGCTCCTAGTGTCACACCACAAGACCACCATCACCTTCCTTCGCCGGGTGACAGCCGGCCCCACCTTCCTTGCTCTGACCATTGGCAACGTCCAATGTCCACCTTTGTCTTCTAGGACCAGCGTGGACACCCTTAAAGATGCCAATGCCATGCAGTGCTTTGGAGCATCTTCAAGGCCTCTGGGACCTGTCTAAGAACAGTCTGAGATAATGATAGGTGGAATTCAATTTTCAAGAGACTTTTTGTTATTCGGTTTTTAGTTGAATAAAAAAACTTCTAAAAATCATAAAAACTCATATTCTTTGAGAAAAAATCTAAAAGTTTGCTAAAAAATTCCTTATATCCCTAAATCAATTGCAAGAATCCAATATAAATTTTGAAGTTATTTTAGGTTTAAACTGATATATTTTCTAAAAGTTAAAATACAAATATTTTATTATTTGAAAATTTTAAGTTTGAGTGATTTAAAATACAATAATTGAATCACATTATTGACACAATATAAACACATATATTTGATTATTAATGAACATCAAATCTATGTCTTCATTCCTTATACAAATCTATTTTAATTAAATTCTATAGATCTAAATCAATTGATTGAATGGAGATTGACATTCAATTTTTCTCATAAGAATAATATGATGTGGTTAAAAGTGAGAGTTTAATAATAGATTGTTCTTTGGGGGATTAGTTTCAATGAGTTGCCAAACCTATGATTCACTCCTTAAGATTATTAGTTAAGTTATGATCTTATAAAAGCTATTAGTTCCAAGTGTGATTAGATGAATCAAACAATGGTGTGAATTGATTCTTCATTTTTTATAATTAAGTATAATATATATTTAATTTTTATATAAATATTTACTTTTAAAATAAATTAATATATAAGTATGAGATAAGTTAAGAATAATTGATAAACACATGATTTTAGAGTGATTCAACTAAATTCTTTTGGCCTATACCTATTTTCAAGAAACTTACCTCAATTTAACTATTTTAAGAGGTAATACACTTAATTTCTTGAAATTATAAAATGTTGGAAGATGAGATGTGTGTTCGTCATTTCAGATGTACCCATGTTTTATTGTATTTTCTTTCTTGTCCCTATAGTTATTAGATTGGGTCCATTTATTCCTTGTAATTAACCATATAACCTCACTCTTTGTGCTTAAGGGGTCATGAACCCTAAACGAAAAAGAAGATCTTTTAGTTTTTACCATTACCTTTGAAGAGCTTCTTTGGATAGTGCTGCAAGCACATGCAATTAGGGCTTGGAAAACAACATGCTATGAGAGCATTAGGTGCACTTGTTCTAACTCTTATCCCTCACCTTGTTTAAGATATCTAGTAAGACTTGGAAATAGTTGTGTTAGAACTTGTAACTAGAACCACTCTTGAGCTTCAAAGGTTTGCGATTATTGAGACCACAATTCTGAAGAGATGGACGATGCTCCAATCTTATCCCCAGTGTTAGTTAATGAAATAGAAGAATATATGAGATGTTTTAAACTCTGAAGAGTCCTTGAAAAATTCAAGTTCAATGGTCTAAACCTATTGTAGTGAGGGTAGTATGTAGCAATGATCTTACTTGCCTGAAGAAAATTGAAACATTTGACTAGTCAAAACCTAAACCCCCTCTCATAACCTCAACATAATACATGGTGAGAGGCATACGTCATAATCAAGGCTTGGATGTTAGAGAGCATGGGTCCAACTATTAAAGATCACTTCTTAATTCCTTTTATGAAAGAATTTGATACAAAGGCCATCATATGCATACAAAAAGAAATGATGAGTTTGAAATATCTCATATGACCATTAAATCTATGTCCCTAGTTCAAGGGAATTGAAACATACTGAACTACACTTGAGAACTACCCTAAAAGACTATCTCTACCCATTCCTTTCTAGATTAAACCCCTCATATGAACAATTATCAAGTCAATTACTCAAGTAAGAAATAGTTCTCAACTTTGATGAAACAGTGACCATAGTAAGGTGGGAATAAAAGTGGCCTACTATGCTTAGTGAGAATTATTAACTTGATAACTTAGCACTAACATCAAATAACACTACATAGCAAACACTGAAAGTCAACCAAGGTTGGGACTTAAAAAGTGCAATTGGACCTCCCATTCCTAACAAGGGAAAACAAGGTCCAAATGTAATGTAGGGAATTGACCCTAAGGCCAACATATGGTGCTCTTATTATTGGAAGAGGTGACATGCAATAGAAACATGCTAGAAGTTATATGGAAAACTATGTAGAGTGGGTCAAAGGTACATGAGTGTGGCCCCTTCACCTACCCAATGGAATAATGTATTAACACGTTTGCATCTATTACATATTTTCTCAAATAAACTTATTTTAATGAGATATGTCAAACTTTTGAATTATTCTAACCTAGGGCAAAAAATATTACTTTAGTAATCTTTTTAAATCAATGAAATTCAATGACTCAATAATTTTATATGAAATTTAATGTATTTAACTCTTCATCTAAGGATCTTTTCAATAGTTACTTACATGCATATGTTAATCAAGTCAATAGGTAAACAAAATTAAAATTATTAAGACTCATGTTAAGAAAATGACTCTTTTATCTTCTGTAATATTATTATACTTAAATTCAGATAGTTTAACTTTTTTGCCCCTAATGAAAATTTAATTAAACATTTCTTAATATCTATCAATTAAAATTTTTCACATTTAAATCATTCACAATTTCACAATTTAATATCATCAATGTCATCAACTTCATTATTTTGAGTTAGGAGTGATTTAAACTACATTTCTTCATACTTAATTAAAAAATAATCCATGACTCAAAAACATAGTTAAATCATTCACAATTTCATAATTTAATATCATAAATGTCATCAATTTCCTTATTTTGAGTTTGGAGTGATTTTACCTAAATTTCTTCATAGTTGACTACAAATTAATCCATAACTCAACAAGTTGAAAGTTATATAAATGTGTAGACATTGATATAGCTCTCAAACATAGGAAAGATCATTGAATGAGAAAAATAATTGTACAATAATTGGCTATAAATTTGAAAATTGTGAATTCATACGACTTCTCAAAGATTTCTACACATGGATATAGACCATGTACTATCAAAATATGTAAGGCAATGTGTAATAAATAGTGAAACTTTGCATGGAACTATGTTCCATATAATGTTCAAAAAAGTTAAAGAAACATAAAGACAAGAGAAGAGGTCTAATTTGAATCCTCTATCTAACCAAATTATCTATAGAGAAGGGACTTCACTAGTAAATGATGGGTAGATGGGAAGGGGACATGTAAGAAATATCCTTAAGAATAAACTAAAACACCAGCTTGCAATACTAAGTGAGAGGAATGTCATCAGGTTGGGCTAGGCCTGACCTCACAATCCCAAACCAAGCCCATTCGTACAAAAAGTTTTGAAGAGAGAGAGAGAGAGAAGGGCACACTATGATCATGGCATGACAAGTGGCAAGCAAAGGAATTTATGGGCTTTTGTATCGGACCTGATCAAAGCCTGCTGCTGGTCCAATAAGATGGCTGATCCAGGCCAAGCCGATTTCAATTTCTACACTTATTAGACTCAAATACTTTGGTACTTGTAGTACCCCCCACCATGTTATGATCGGGCTGGGACCTTCATTTTATACCAGTCCTAACAAAGCCTGTACTTTACAAACTTGCTGATGTAGGCCAAGCCTCCAAGGAGCATTACCTCTGATGATAAATATAATATCTTCTATGAATATTTACCTCTAGTTATAATATTTTGATTGTTTGTAGTTATCTTGTTTTTTTTTTAAATTCTTCTTTATTGATTACCAAAAGGCTATCAATTTATCCTATTCAAGTAACATGCGTTGAAGGGTTATTAATATTTACATAAATTTTAA